GGGGGGACGGGGCGGGGGGGGCGAAGTGGGGGCGAGTCGGTAAAGCAGCGAGCCACCAATGTTGTTGTTTCTTTTCCACGTTTCTGTTGGTGTGATACTCCGTCGGCATTGGTGGAGAGGTAGGTGTAGTGTGTATGTAGGTAGGTAGGTAGGTGGTAGGTAGGTATGTAGGTAGGTAGGTAGGTAGGCAGGCAGGCAGGTAGGTCTGTAGGTCTGTAGGTATCTAGGTATCTAGGTATCTAGGTATCTAGGTATGAATGAACATGTTAGGTATATTCCTTCCCGTATGCATACCGAGTGGAGTAGCAACGGCACATTCCGTAGGATAGAAGAGATACCGGTACAAAGTCCCCGTCTCGACCGCGTCGCGACGCTGATCTGATGGATGGACAAGTTACACACCACACCATACCACACCATACCACACCACAACACACCACATCCCGACCACGCCAAGTCGAGGCCAGAGACCATGGCGGGCGGGCGGGCTAGTCACACGCCATTCTGGCGTCAAGAACTGCTCGGTACCTACGTACCCTACCAGCCTCTATCGGGAGGGATTTCCTCTGTCCCGAGAGGAACTACGGAGGTAGGTAGTTGTCGTACTTGGTCAGCGACCTCGATAGGCAGCAGCAGCCGTACCTACCCAGGGAGGGACGACTAGGTACCGGTACTACCGGTAGGTACTACGTAGTACATGTACGGTAGGTCGGTACGGTCGGGACTGACTGACCTACAACGGACTACCGGACTACCGTACTACCTACTACTACGTAGAAAGTAGTACTGTACCGGTAGGTACTACTACTACGTCGCAGGCGTAAGTATTACCCCTCGAGGGTAGGGAAAACAGGGGTTTTAAAGTGGAAACTAAACTTTTAAGGCACCCTCGAGGGGTAATACTTAGGCCTGTACCGTGGTAGTTGTAGAAGTTGTACAAGTACTTATTACCCCTGGCATGTCTCGTTGTCTCCGGCGGCACTACGGCCTTAGTTGTCCAAATTGTCTCCTCTGATGACTCGCCCCGCCCCCCCCCCCTCCCCCTCCCCCCCTCCCCCTCCCCCCTCCCCCCTCCCCCTCCCTCCTTTGCCCCTTGCCTTTTTTCCGAACAATCAGTTGTAGCTGCCCAAGATTCAAGAAGTAAATAATCGATAATCCCATCCACGAATCCATGGCCCACATTTAATTATCTCTCCCCGCCCCGCCACGCCCCGCCACGCCCCGCCCCGCCCCGCCACGCGAAAACGCGCATGTGTCAAGCAGCACCGACCGACCCGACCGAGCGACCGAGCGACCGAGCGACCGTCCGTCCGTCCGTCCGTCCGTTCGACCGACCGTCCAACCGTCCGACCGACTGACCGAACGATCTACGACCTACCTACCTACCTACCGAGAGGGCCTGGAACACGCCGGCTGGTGTGGATTTCCCCAGATTTGAGTCCAAGCCCAGGACCCCCCAAGGTTCAGGGCAGTCCGTCACTTGTAGGTACGTAGTACGTCGTAGTAGTAGGTAGTTGTAGTACGACTTAAGTCCGGACTGTACGGGAGCGGCACCGAGGACTGCAAGTGCTCTGTCATCCTTCACGTCATTCGCCCACTCCCGCACTTCCAAGGAAGATCGGGTGAACCCCGAAGGCGGGGAAGCCTGGATGAAGGCCCCTCGGCCTGCTTTCCCTTCTCCATGCAGTGAAGTAGTTAGTGTACGGCACGGCACGGCACGGCAGGGTCAGGCAGGGCATCGCATGGCAAGGCAAGGCGTTGCAAGGCAAGGCATGGCATGGCATGGCATGGCATCGCAGCGCATCGCATCACATCGCATCGCATCGCATATTGCCCTGGAGCGCTTGAGGGAAGAGGGAAAGCGAAAGAAAGCACATGGCGCGGGCTGTCGGTCGCAACCCGACCGTGGTGCCACCAAGTAGGGAGTAAGTAGGTCGTCAGTAGGTCGTCAGTCAGTAGGTCGTCAGTCAGTAGGTCGTCAGTCAGTAGCTACTTGAGCCCCGGATACTAGTGTTGACCGGAGTGATACTTGATACTTGATACTTGTTACGGGATACTTGCAACGCACGCAGAATGCCGAACCCGGGTCACCATTCAGAAACTCGAATCGTCCTTCCTCCAAGTCCCCCAAGTCCCCCAAGTCCCCATGGCTGATTCCATGTGGGAAAAAGTCTCCTGATGCTCATCGTCGAGAGCTCCAGGAACGGAAGAGATCATCATCATCATCATCATCATCATCCTGTCTGGTGCCAGGTGAGTGGCCCTGTTTTCCGAACCTCATCGTCGGTGGAGGAATCGAATCCTCCTGGAAAGCAATCCGAGTGACCATCTGGCAACTTGACGTGCAGAGATCCCATTGAGAACGCCTCAACAGTAGCGAAAAGAGGGGTAGCAGCAGATTGGCTTGGGAGGTAGGAGAAATCCGATGCACGAGACGTCGTCTGGATACTTCAAATGCGGTGAAACCAACACGGTCCAAGATTAATATATTGTACAGGCCTGGTTGGACGGAGCAGCCTTGGGGCAGCTCACTTATTGCCACTCACGCTTCTCGCCTTGTCGGTCCATCATCGTACATCCATCCCACCGACAGCTGAGGCCATCCCCTCCCTGCCCTCTTTCCTGGTAGAAGAAAGCGAGACACCGAAGTAACAGTCAGTGTGCCATCAGAGGCCACCATGCACTGAGTGCCTTAACCGGGGGCGGTATCGAGAGTGCCTTTTCCGACGGTCGACGGCGCGGCGTCATTGCCTTTTTGAAGCCTGAGCTTTTCCTCAAACTTCGCAAACTCAAGAGCAGAGACTTCTTCTTCCTGATCCAGCACCTGATTAACGCCCTTCACCTCCTCGATCTGGAGATGCACGTCAGCCTTGTCGCCACAACCGGTAAGGAGATGACTTACATAATGCATCAACATTCCTTCAATCCCATTTTTCAAAGTCACAGTACTCGAATCGCAGGTTCTGCAAGCACCGCGGAGTTTCAAATTGACTATTCCTCCTTCAAAACCTCGGAATTCAATATCACCTCCGTCCTCTTGGATTGCGGGCCTGATCCTCGTTTCCAGAAGCTCTTTGATCATTCCAACAACCTCGCTGTCGTTCTCGTTATACGCCAGACTGTCCTCCTGAGCTCCGTCTTGGCCCTGTTCCCCTGACTTGTTTTCTGTAATGTTGACAATCTGTGCCCCAGACGTTACGGCTTCGGTGATGAGACTGAACACCTCCGGCTTGATATGCGCCCAATTCGTATCCGCTGCCTTGGTAACGGTGATGAAGTCCGCCCCGTAGAACACTGACGTGACGCCATCGATATTCATCAGCGATGCCGCAAGAGGCGATGGGTGGGGAGGCGCAAGAGTAGCTCTGGGATTGAGGTATTCGAGAAACGGGGAGGATAAGCCAGGAGGTAGGATAGGGTGATTTGGCAGGAACTTGAGAGCGTCTGCATTGGGGGTATTCTCGGTTTGAATAAAGATACTGCGACTCCCACTCACCGCTGCCGGCCTCCATACGCCCACCGAGTGGTGTAAGGATTGTAGTGTCGGGCGGATATTCGCGTTGGATAGCCCGGTTCGTTGATGCATACATCTTGCAGCGCTGCGGTGGGCGCGAAGGATCGTGGTCGGTCGCACCCTCGAGAATAGCGAGGCGCACGCGCGGGGCATTTTGCGAGTGGCCATTTTGAAGTGGTGTCCGCTAGAAAGTGGTGTTGAGGTTGTATCCGTAAGCGTAAGGCAAAGAAGCACGGAGGAGTGTCAAGCATACCGGTAGGTACCTACTTATTCATTTGCCTATCAATTCCGAGGTTTTAGTAACCAGATTAACCAGATCCGAGCAATCGCCGAATGACGCAACAGTGGACGGGGACCCCTGCCTGGAAAACAGAACTGGAGGCTGACCCCAAGTGTGTATGAGCATTTTTCTACGCGTGCAGTATGCGCGCCTTCAATTCTCCGCAGCGTTTATCAACGCCAACACAACATGTCTAAACCTACTCAAGAACCCTTAGTGCAAGATGGAGAACTCATGGCGAGTCTGCCGCTCCCAAGGATAGTTCAAGCTCCAGAGGACAATCCCAGCGAGCAAAGCAAACCGGTCGAAGAAGAGGAGCTCGCGGAGGAAGAGAGAAGCACATCACCGGTGACAGTGACCGAAGAAGCTTCAGAGGTAGTGGAAGAAAGCCCGATAACGTCAGTCAAAAAGCCCATGAAGAAGCTGTGCGGTGTCTGCAATACAAACGAACCCAAATACAAATGCAGCCGATGCTACTTGCCCAAGTGAGTATGCGCCACCGAAGAAAAATTAACCACAGCTAACCAGCGGAAGCTGTTCAGTAAAATGCTCAACCCTCCACAAGGCAACCCATCCTGCTGAAGAGATACGGCCAGCAAGCTTACCACCGAAACCAGAGCCGCAGGTTAAGACGGGCGCCGCAAGAGCTGGAACCGTAGGTGGTGCTACAAACTCGAATCAGAAGGGAGCCTTTTCAGCGCTGGATAATTCCAAAGAGCTTCAAGCGCTATTCAAGAAGCACCCACGCTTACCAGGTTTGCTCGAGAAGATCAACAAGGCTACGCTTCCGCCGACGAATACGACCGGCCATCAAAACCATAACGGAGGAAAGCGGAAGGACTTGCCGTGGAATTCCGAACGTGGTCTTCAAAAAGGCATACAGGAGCTCAATGATCTACGCAATACGGGATCGAATGATGGAAAAGCGGTGAGAGAGTTTTCGAAGCTCATACTACTGCTGTTGTCTCAAAAAGAGGGAAATTCGGCGCGAGATGAGGTCGAAAGAGAAGTCGCAGTCGAGAACCACAAGATCATCGAGCAGCTGCTGAACGTCGAATCATGAAGGATCGTTTCGCAATCAGCTGCCAGTCTAGAAACAGAACCTACAGCCTCGGTCGCTGTGCCTTGGAAATTCTGCATCGGGCAGGAGAGAGAAAAGAGTCAGTAGCAGGATACCCTACAGAACGAGAAAATTACAGTGGCTCATCTTATCTCCTAGGAATCCGGACTGCCGTCATTGCGTATTCCTTTCGCCTTAACCACCCTCCGTTTTGAGCACTCGCACCGAAAGCATACTAAAGGTCATATGGAATGGGTGTAAGATTGACTGCGATGAACTATACCCCGGCGCCATGAAATGCCATTTAACAGTCAAAACAAAATATGCCAAGTCCATCATCAGCAAGTCAGCTCGGTTGACGCTTAAACCTAGCAAACAAATTTCCTTTCTTCCCTTCTGGTGACGAACGCAGATCAATGTCTTGCTTCAACGGCGATTTTTCCCTCTTGCTCATCAGAATCCAGCGAGATTCCATCTTGCGGAGAAAGGGAGTAGTCTTATCCCTTTTCCGCATATCAGTAGCCTCATCCCGCTGTGCCCAGTCATGCCGGTCTTGTCCATCGTTGACGGGCTTAAGGGACCCCCTAGGTTTCGTTGTTTTTGTCGGTATAGGTAGCTCATCTTCCCCCCAGAATATGTCTCCTGTGCTCAATGGCCGGGGACCATCCAGTCGATGTCTTCCTTTCAGATGCGGAAAACCTTTGCCAAAAGTCCTTTGCGGTAGCTTGTGAAGATCTCTCATTGCATCTGCATAGGCCGCATCTTCCATGTCAGGACCCCATTGGAACTGATTTCGGCTTCTGAGAAGTTCTTTTTCCAAAATTGCCTGGTCTAGGGCCTGCGTTCTTTGGAGTTTCGTGGTCTGTTGGCCCAGAAGTGAGTCGTCGATACTCAAACGTTCAAGATGGGCTCTGATCGCTGGCTGCGTAAGATGGTGGGCTCCGCGCCTCACATCTGGAGTAGTCGTCCTCTCGAAAGCTGCTGCAGCGACTTTGGGCACATGATGATAGTGTGCGGCATTCTGTTGAGCCAGGACAGCAGCCTTGGCAGCCCTGGCATCTCTGCGCCTGTCTGCCCGCACTTTCTGCTCCGCCAAATACTCATTAAGTCGACGAGTCAAATCCTCTGGGTCAACCGGCTCGCCCTTCTTGACGATCCGCTTTCCCCCATTACTCCGAGGATCCCGCATCGGACGCGTCATGGATCGCGTGGTCTGAACCTGGACAACATGAGTGCTTGCCATGCCAGAGGATTGAATGTAAACAAAGTAAGCGACTTACCGAAGGCCTGTTCGCAACAGCTGGCAAGAAGGGCACCACTAGAGCGGACATCTCGAGCAACGACGACACAGCTTATAATCAATCAAGAATCAATCATTCACCAACTGCGTACAGCTACCAGGCGTGGCAACACAGAAACAGTTTCTGGGCGGATTCAGGACGTGTATCGGTGACACAGCACGGCTCACAGCATCCAAGATACGAGATGAAGCATGAAGGCCGACGAGATGAGCGGGGATACAGTACAAGTACTTGGGGGACACTTGATATTTGCCGAGAGGGGGGGGTCAAATCGCGGCCAAGGGAGGAGAGGAATGTACTAGCATTGTGCTTGTTCTTAAGGCGGTTACCCTGGAGGAAAAGTCTCGGTCTAGGGAAATAAACGAAGGCGCCACGGCCCAAAGCAAGAGGGTCGAGGGCCTCGAAGCGAGCAGGAGTACCGTGTACCGGATCAGTCTACTGGTACTTAGATTGTTGTAGTATTTCTCTTCCGCACCTGGCGACATGTGCGTGCCAGGAGGATAGTGTGTGTTTGTGTGTGTGTGTGTGTGTGTGTGTGTGTGTTTGGAACTATCACGCATGGCACACGACTTTGCTGTGATCCTTACCAATTCGCCCTCCTTTGTGTAATTCTCCGTAAGCAATATTGTTTCGAACAATGGAATAATCGAACAACAATCGAATAATCGAGAATGAATCAGTTCCATCCACCTAGTACCAATCTGTACTTAGTACGACTAATATGTACCTTCTTACGCGAGTGGTGCACGAGGGTCTTGGTCTTGGAAGTCGGGGACTTTGAACTCTTGACGATCTTTATTTAGCGGGGAATCCTGAGGATCATGGATCATGGATCATGGATCCTGATCAGAGATCCAAGATCCAAGACCAAGATCAATAATCAATAATCAATAACCTACAATCTATAATAGGTACGTAGTACTACTAAATGATCATGATGATCAACTTGAAGGCCCGAGCTGCACGTGCCGTAAGGCGTAAGGTGTCGTACTCAGAGTATTCGTATCTAGGTACCTACCGGTATCTACCTCCTCAGCCCGTACGAAGCACTCTCTAGTACCGTATCTACTACGTACGTTGCGGACTGCTGGCCATCTCCCCCGCTGGTCTCATACACGTGATACAAAAGCTTCTACGATTGATCGTTCATCGGAACTCGGAACTTTGGCCCGTCGCCCTCGCCCTCGCCCTCAGGGGACTTTCAATCTCATCAACGAAGGGATCCATTTTGCAGTCATTCGTTCACCTGTGTCTCTCTTAGCAGTGTCTCTCCCTCTCTCCCCCTCTCTCTCACCCTAACACCCACCCACCCACACCCACACCCACACACACATACATACAAACTCTCTTTCACTCTCGGCGAAATGTGGCCGACGGCAGCTCTCGATAATATTCCTTTCAAACTCACCTCAGATTTCTCTTCCCATCGTAATGTACCCTGGGCCTCGAGCACAGGTAAATCATCATCTTGAGCAATTTTCCGGAGACCGACATCTCATATACACCTATGCACCTTTCCGACCAATCTACTACGTAGAAGTACAGTACCGGCCGGACCCACTTACAGCTTCGAAACAAAACGAATAAAGCATGCATGTCCTACGGGAGGGCACTCCATCATTCAAGCGCGGACCACCTCAAAGAGAGCAGCCATCTGCGATATCGAACTGCCTGGCTCCGGCTCCGGCTCCGGCTCCGGCTCCTCGACCCAACAACCCGCGACCAAGTCCGCTATTGCCCTCTCTCAGGGATCCGGAAATTCTCCCTCTGACTCTGAAAGATAGATCGCACTCGCTGGCTCATATTCACCCAGTCTCGGTGGTATCTACAAAGACAAAGGAAGGCCTCTATTACAGAAGCTACCACACTCCCAAATCCGTACCCCTGGTTGCAGAGCTCAGAATCAGATCTGCCTCTGAAATAATCTACCGAGTGCGCCAGGATATCCCAGACCCTCTCAATGACTCTCCTCTGCGGCCTCCTCTGGGCCTTCCTGACGACACTTCGATAAAGCAGCCTACCCGCAGCGGGATGGCGGACATCAATATTGCGGTTATTGGCAGTGCGGGTGTCGGCAAAAGTACTCTCATACAACACGCCCTGGGACTACGGGCTCTCCCAACATCAATTGCTTCGAGTCTCCGAATGTCTGTGGACGGAATTGAATCCGTGGTGAGCCTGGTGGAACTAGACCTCGAGTCCTTCGATACAACCGGAGATAGCGAGATACGGTGGCCGAAGCAGATCAATGGGCATATCGTACCTCGAATGGATGGGGCGTTGCTGTTGTATGATGTTATGAATAGGGAGAGTGTGGTGGAATTACCACAGACCCTGAGTAAATCCCCAAGGAGGGCACTCGAGAAGGCAATCGCTGACTGACGTCCTGAAGATGGTTTGGTACACTCTGCTATGCCGGCAATCTTGGTATCGTGCAAGTGCGATAACCCTGAGAACACGCGACAGATCAACGTGGAGAATATGGAAGAAGCCTGTGCGTCCTGCGTTGAAGCCGTGAAGACCGCAGAAAACGCCCCTGAAAGTGCAAGACTCTGTCTCTCTTCTATGCTCAGAGCTATCATGGCTGACAGGAAGCTCTGTGAGTACGGCTCTTTTGTTTTTACCTTGCACGAGGCTTGGATCGTCCCTGAGTTCTCCAGTACATAGGTTACAGTTGTCGTAAACCCCCCTCTCCGGATCTGTTCAGACCTTGGCGCATGAATGGCTCCATTAATTTGACTTTCCTTGCTGCTATACCCGTCCTTGCTGTCGGTCGGCTTGGCCTTGCATGAACTGACATGTTCTGGAAGCCGCAAAAACTTCATCTGGTTCTGCTGAATCTCCAACACGCCGTCGAGCGACCTCCGGCACACCTCTTGACCACCCCTGCGATCCTTCAGCACCTCTCAGCCGGAACTCAAAGCACAGCCGTGCCAGTTCGGGATTCTCCCTGCTCAGGGTCTATCCATCTTCGGCGCAGGCACCTTCAAGAGTCTCCACAAATGGCCGGGCTAATCTGCTCATATCGCTTCCTTCACCACGCTCTGCGCCTCCACTGTCTTCTCATCCGATGTTTCGCAACGACAGCTTCAACAGCACTGAGCCAAGCATCAAGTTGACAGGTCCAAAATCCCGTTCTCCTTTGCCATCTCCTAGTCCGAGGGAGATTGTTGACAATTCTTCCCTGGAGATGGATGAATCGGACCCAGACTCAGCCTCATATCGCTACTCGGACGACATTCCTATCTTACAGCGCAACGATGACGGCTTCTTTGACAAGCCTGCCAAAGTGGCGGGGGTTACCTTCAGCGAGCTCGTTGACCGACTGTTGGATCAGTACATGACCAGAGCCGACAGCAATTTTTCCGACATCTTTCTATGTCTCTACAGAAAATTCGCAGCTCCGGGTGAATTATTCGATGCGATCATCGAGCGATTGGAACATATTGCGGACGACAGGAATCTACACTATTTGACGCGTACAACCACCCAACTCCGGATCATCACCGTGGTGGCAAAATGGGTCACGAGTTACCCGGGAGACTTCGCTAACTCCATAACGAACTCCAAGCTAGAAGCCTTCGTGGGCCAGCTGGCTGGGGACCCTGTGTTTGCGGCTGCTGCTCAGGAGATGAGGATGCAACTTAAATCACGTGTCTTCGTCGATGATGATACCGGATGGGCTCGAACTGATGCTGATGTCGAGCAAGAAGCTGCAAACTTTGCATATGGATCTCCAACATCCTCTCCAACCCGAACGGGAACAGATACAAAACCAGATTTCGAGGACGAAATCAACAATTTCCACATTGATGATGGATGCAGCGAAGATATGGCACGCAAAGACTCTCGTGGCGACTCGTTGATTTCTGATCCAAGCTCGTCCACCCGATCACTGTCGCCTTCATTCCATACCGTGGAGGACTACGAGAGAGAGGCAGCCACATTGATTCCGAAAGGAGCCTTACCACTGACCAAATTTCGCTACCACATGTTCATGGATATGTCAGTCGACGATTTTGCGGATGAGATGACCCGAATAGACTGGGTTATGTTTTCCTCGATCCGGCTTCGAGACTTGATCAGGCACGTCAGCTTACCTCTGGAGCAGAAGGAGAAGATGACCAATGTCCACCGAATGATCAATCATTTCAACCACATCGCGAAATGGGTAGCTAACATAATCCTGATGCGTGATCACGCAAAGCACCGAGCTCAGATGTTGGAAAAATTTATGAAAATCGCTTTGAAACTTCGGCAGCTAAACAACTACAACGGCCTTGCCGCTGTGCTCGCCGGGATCAACGGGAGTTCCATCCATAGGTTAACACAAACGAGAAATCTTGTCCCTGCAGATGTACAAAAACGTTTTGCTAGACTGGTCATTCTGATGGGAACACAAAAAAGCCATTTCGCTTACCGTTTGGCGTGGGAAAATTCGCCATTACCGCGGATCCCATTCATCCCACTACATCGGCGGGATCTCGTTTCGGCCGAGCAAGGGAGCCGTACTTTCGTGGGAGCTAATGGAGATCGGATCAACTGGAAGAAATTCGAGATCTTGTCTGAAGTCATTCTGCCTATCATGAAGAGTCAAGCCTTGCCATACCCGAATCTTTCACGGCACGAGGGTGCCCGAGAGTTGATCCTAGATTGTAGGATATCCCTAGATGACGAGGTATGCTCATTCTCCCTATAGTACATACACATGGTCTTGGTAACCAAAACTAATACTCGTGCAGGAAGTATACCAACGCAGTTTGCAGCTTGAAAGTTCGTCTGGGGCAGCAGATGTGGGAAAGAAAAGATTCCCGTGGTTTCAGAAAGACAAGTGATTGAGTTTATTGTCAATCGAGCGAATTTACGGTAACCTGCGCATGTTCAGGTGTCTGTTCCGCCCAGCCACGGCTGATTCCTGTAATCTACCTCTGAGACTATGGACATTCTTCAAGATCTCGGCTGGGGTGGGACATAGCCAGAGTAGAGAGGTCCATGACTTCCCTTGTTTGCCACGAGGTTAGACGTTGGATTGTCCCCGTCTATTTAAGTAGTCACATTCGAGCAAAGTGAAGTAGGATGGGTAGTGGTACGGGTGGATCCTATGATGGCGCTGGGAATTTCCTCCCACCGGTGCGCATATACCCCTTTGTGATCAATATCATTTACGCCTCGCTCAAGATAATATACAAGGACAGATAAGATAGATCATTAGTCGTTTGGGTCGATTACTCTCAACACGTTGAAATTTAGATATCTAATATCGCCTTGACTCTAGCGCCAAAAGCTTTCTTGACTGCACTGCTATTAGGTCCCAAGCCCTAAAAACCGAGCGGCAAGCCAGGAGAAAAAAGGGGGGTTCTGTCTGGATGTTCATAAATCTTGCAGCATAATTTTACACCCTCTGCGGAAAACATATCCAAGCCTCCGACGTCGAGATGGAGTTCCGGCAGGGCCTCGACATGCTCATCCTCGACGCGTGGTCAGAACATTTCTCATCATCAATATTCATATTTCGTTCACGAGGTTCCGAGATTCTGAGATGGTATTGGGGACTGGAGGCTGCCGGCTGAAGGCAGTGCTCTTTTCCCACTGCTCAAGTCTTGCGAGCCTCCCAAGCCTCCCAAGCCTCCCAAGCCTTCCAAGCCTACCAAGCTGCCATTGGGGCAGGTGGGCACTCCAGTTTCTGGGAGAATAGGCTTCTCAGATATCAGTCTGAACATCGGCGTGCGTCCTGCCTTCGGGAAGCGCGCTTTCAACAGCATTATTCGTTTATATGGGCCCTTCAAGACATTCGGAGGCAGGTTGTTGCCAAGTATGTGCATGCATGTGAGGCGACGACAGGACTGATGAGCTGGGCCTTTGCTAGTCCAGTATATGTGCTTGGCAGATCATTGCGGATTGAATAGAAGCCCGAAAAGCCCGAAGCGTTCGAGCCTACATATTGTTCAGCCTTGGCTAGTTGCTGGATGGGCAGAAATGGTGATCCATACCACTCGCCGAGGTCTTTCGTTCTCCCTCAATAAAGTCCCCATGTCTTCCGAATTAGCCGCCTCTTTATACAGGTCAATCTGCGCCTCGAGTTCCTCGACATACTCTTTATGCCGCTTGCGACATTCCCGCTGGGCCAATCGATCTGTTGCCCTCCTTCGCTCTCGCCGCGCTGGTGCTGCGGTAGTCGTACCCGGCATATCTAATAGCAAAACGAGCCAACACCAAAAGGAATTTGCAGACGGAGACAAGCCGCAGAATCGGTCTTGAATCTTTCAAAGGGTAGTTGCGGCGGAGGCATTTGCGGGGTTGAGCTTCTGCTCCTGGCCAGAGCCTGTCTTCAACCTGTTGAACGCGAGCCGCGCTCAATACACTGGCGGCACAAGTCTTATTGGCCAAGTGTGGCTTAGGAAGGGCTCGTCTGGTGGCTCTTCCTAGAGCTATTTCCGGGGTGTTTTCGCTCCCCGATTCAAACAATTAGCCCTTGGTAAGAGATTTAAGACGTTGAAACCTGATTGACTGACTGCATAGCATTGTCAACAAGATCGCGAGAGAGGCCATCATACATAGGAGAGTTGAGTTGAGTCGAGTTGAGCAAAGCAGTACAGCAAAAGGAGCCGAAAGCAAGCCCAGAATCGCAAGAAGGGCAGAAGGGCAGGAACCCTTAGAAAGAGAATGCGTATGGAGTACAGCCAGATTGATTGTTTCCGAAGATTCCTTTCGCCGGCCTACCGTGTTTTGAAAGTATCCGGGTAGCCAACGGGCGTGATTGTCAATGATGCTCGCACCTCGTACATGGCCACTGAATTTTCCGGATTCCGCTGCCTGCGCCGCTATCATTTGCCGGCGGTGAAATAACGAATTCTACCGGCCAGTAGATGTGCCATTCTTCGAATGATGAGCTTGGAATAGAACGTCAAAGACCATGAGTATAGCATTCGGCCAGGCAGCTTTAGATGGCCATCACAAGGACATAATAACATATAATAAGATTGCTCCTGACTCAAAATTTCAGATTTCTCCGTATGATATTCCCTGGAGGCAGTGTGTATATATATAGATAAAAGAGAAGAGGGCAGGAGATCAGATGGAGAGCAAGTTTGCGTCAAGGCGCTAGTGAAGAAAGACAGTAGCGCCGATAGTCTCGCTTGTGGTTACGACCCACTTTAACTCCATTTCATCCCACAACACAATTTTCGAGGTTTCTTCCATCGCCAATTTTTCTCCCCACGACACCCACGACAAACGACAACCACCTCTTCCAGTCAAGGTTAGTCAGTACATCTCGCAGATCTAGCAATCGCTCTGCAAATATGCAACATAGGTTCTGCGTTCGCAGTATCATTGCCTCGCTCCCAGCGTGATGGCTTCATCCCCATCTCAGTCTCCATCGCGCACAATCAACTCGGCTCTCTCATTACAGCTTGCTTACACTCCACCTTAACCTCGCGAACACCGCTGACACCCTTCTGTAGATGGGTGCCCTCAAATACGTCGAAGAGCTTCAGAAGAAGAAGCAGTCTGATGTTCTGCGATTCCTTCTCCGTGTCCGATGCTGGGAGGTAAGATAAACCGACCCTCCTACCGCACCACAACCCCGAAACGGATCCAATACTTCGAATCTGCTCTCCGGAGACCTTGAAATGTTGTGGGCGTATACCTGGCTTGAATGTGGACATCTCTTGATGCTCCTTGCTATACACTCGTTGAACTTTGCTGAGAGTGCATAATATAGCTTCGCCAATTGAACGTTGTTCACCGTGCATCTCGTCCATCCCGCCCGGACAAGGCTCGCCGTCTGGGTTACAAGGCCAAGCAAGGATATGTTATCTACCGTGTCCGTGTTCGCCGTGGAGGTCGCAAGCGCCCTGCGCCAAAGGGTGCCACCTATGGTAAGATTTCAAGCGCACAGCGGGTGTTCTGTGGATTCCGGGAGTATTTGCTGATGGAATCCGTTTACAGGAAAGCCAACCAACCAGGGTATCAACCAGCTCAAGTACCAACGATCCCTGAAGTCAACTGCCGAGGAGCGTGTTGGCCGCCGATGCGCTAACTTGCGTGTCTTGAACTCGTACTGGATCAACCAGGACTCGACTTACAAGTACTACGAAGTCATTCTCGTCGACCCCCAACACAAGGCCATCCGTCGGGATGCTCGCATCAACTGGATCGTTGCCCCAGTCCACAAGCACCGCGAGTCCCGAGGTCTCACTGCTACTGGGAAGAAGTCGCGTGGTTTGGGCAAGGGTCACGGATACAACAAGACAACTGCTGGTCGCAGAAAGACCTGGAAGCGCCACAACACCCTCAACCTCCAGCGATACAGATAGATGTCTTGATGGGAGTTTTGCTGCGTGGTTTGAGCTTCTCTGGCATGCAGGGTTGGGCATTCCTTGGTGTATGGCCTGGCAAAAACAATCATACGGCTTTGCTGATTTCATACCAATAATGAATGAAAGAATTGAACCCTGCAGCAAGCTGCCTCCTGACTGAAACTGGTGACTGAACCGTGAGCGAGAAATAAACCCGCAAGAGTGGCCAGAAGGGAAACCAAGTCATAGCTGTACAGTAATGATGCAATGTACGCGAGGCTTCGATCGTATGCCCCAGGTCATGGCGGCAAAAAGCTTTTAATTGTCAAGTCGTTGATTTGATAACGAATGCCCCTCTCGAGGTTTGCCCCGTTTAAACTGCTTGATACGCTGACATTACTTAATCTGGGCCTCTGGCTCGCGAGGGCTGCCCTTGTCATCTCGTATTGCAATATGTGCCACCTCTCCCTCTCGAGAGTCAGGAGAAAAGGTAAAGTACGATCTGATCGTCACTACGAGTACGTGCGAATACGTCCGTTCGTCACTACAGAGTACCGGTACTCCCCAGCTGAACTCGCAAGCTCCTGCCAAGCCAGCATGGAAAGGCCGGTCGGTAGGTGCACTCGTCGTCTCTTTGTACTTCTAGTTGGTCTGTCTACATTACTAAAGCAACAACAACCACAACCACAGCCTCTGGCATATCCGTACTCTATTGAGTTTCATAACCCCAAAACCAAGACCAAAACCAAAAAGACCCAAACTCGAATCCAACTCCAACAACTGAGTTGAGCCATTGAATCTGCCATCCAGCCCAATGAACCCTCTACAGCCCGTGTGCGACGTGTATCGGGCCGTCCGCGATCAACAAAAGCGTTGAAATGCCTACTTGGTCGAGCAGACTTCTTTCCCCTAGCACACGCAACGAAGCAGGTCCGCATTCTGCCAACGCGCCACCACTATCTCCTGCCCGACCGCGACCTCGGATATCTGAAGCAGATATCCTTGACAATGCCTATGGCATCCCGATCCTCTCTCCTCCATCCCTTACGAGCTATGGCGCCTCGAGGCCTACACCAAGTCCTAACCATGGACGTTCAATGAGCCACCCCTTCCCCTCACTGTTCTCGAGCAGGAGGAAACGCCCTGGGGAGTCTGCGGCGGTCGCAGGGTTTGAATCCGCAGAAGAAGAACCTGACTCTCACATCGGGACTCGAAATACAAATCAGAATCCAACACCAACACCAAAGCAAAGGCAAAAGGTGCCGGACAAGGATTTGATGACCGGAAAATGTATGACTTGCGACTCATTGGTTAGGTGGCCGAAGGAGTTGAAAGTCTTCAGATGCACAGTTTGCTTGACGATTAATGATATTAAACCTGTTGCATTAGAAGCCAGACGGGGTGATGGGCATAGAACACCTGTTGCTGCTCAGGCGAGTACGTATTCCACCTCGGGTTACACTCAGAGGAGTATTCTCACCGGCAATTCCATCGTCGCTGTACTGACTGACTGCAGTCACTCCGCTGTCTCTAGACAGAACCCGCAAGATAGTGGACCAGTGCGTGACCGAGTATCTTCTAGGGCGCCTGAAGCATAATACATTGGGCACTGTGTCTTCACCACCTCAGTCACCTGTGCCCTCCCCTGAAGACGTTGATAGCGAGCAGGTCTTCGAACATGACACGATTGATGGGAGCCACGTCGAAGTCAACAGTCCCCCGATACATCTATCGGGCCGTCCTATCAACCAAATGAATGGATTCCAGGGGCCTGTGAACAGCACCTGGCAAGCGGATCAATTTGACTCAGGGACCTACTCGAGGTCATCTCCTGGGAGCTTTCTTGATTCGCATATGAAGCAGAGCAGCCAGGAGCTTAACTCGCGGTCGGAAGACGCGAGCACAGCACATGAGCAAGATCATCTGGGCGGCGAAAGCAACGACCACTCTTACCGGAACCGAGCAGATACCACCAGGAATATTTTCAAACCTCTGGAAGATTACATTATAACTTCCTTTGCTTCGTTTGAGTGCATCAATAGTTCGTTTAGTACAATAAGACCCAATGCGACCTCTAGCGCACAAAGTGAGGGCGCGAAGCGAAGCACGACTGCCCCCTCGATCGATCGACAATCTCGGAAAGATAGCCCGATTTCTGTGCATACGGCCGGATCGTGTGCTGATCAGGCTGCGCGGAACGAGACAGAATTTTCTGAAATGGATGCGAAAACTCTTCTAGTTGGCGACTTCGCAGAAAATGGCTCTTGGTGGACGGGTAATAGATCTGACCTGCGGAGTCCTGATCGATCACGCACTTTTCGTGGTGCCGATACTCCACACGACAATACTGATACCGTTACCCCCAAATCACCGCGGCTCGATTGGTCTGATGTTAATGAATGGTATCGCACAGTGCTCAATGCGGGCAAGTCATGGCGTAAGAAGTTGGATGACCTTTTGGCTTCAGATCTGCATGGTCCTAGTATGGAGATGCCGTCTAGCTTAGACTTGGAGGAAATCGAAAATCTAATGTTGGAAGCGCAGTCTCACACGCAACGAATTCTGCTCAAGGCCATCGAAAACCTGCTTAAGCGACCTGGACGCCGTTTAAAAGAGCCTAGCGATCTTCGCTTTCTTCTCATAATTCTGGTAAATCCGCTGCTATATTCTACTCAACCGGCACCCAGAACAATAGAGCGGAGCCGATCAAGATCGCGAAACAGAAGGAGCCCTATGAACCAAGGACACCAGATACCAAGGAAACCAGTCGGACTGAGGACCACTGGAAAGCTTGACTCGAGTAGAGGAAGCGCTGGACAACACTCCGGTATCATCAAACGAATTCTTGGACTTCTGTCCAATGTTCCAAACGAGTGCCACTACCACATTGTCTCGTGGTTCGCCAGGTTTTCAGATGGGCAATTTCAGAGGACGACCGATCTAGTTGGTAGCTTCGTGACCTACCGACTAACGAGACAGCATGGCAAGAAGCGAGAAGTTGAGCAAGACCTAACTGGTGGGTTGATACCAAGTATTAGCGGCTCGGGGCGAAATGCCTCCGCGGCCCTGCACGCTGCTCTTGGTCCCTCCAACCAGACCCCCAAAAAGAATGATAGCAGGCCAAAACCTGTTATCTACAACGACGACTGGCAAATTAAAGCTGCTGCGAGGGTCATGTCGTTGATTTTTTCTGCAAACAACAGCGGGCTGGTGAAACGTGGGGACTCAAGACCGGCTCGCGCCGCGTCGGATACTGGCCACAGTCACAGTATAGGCTTGGCCGCTCGTGGCAGAGCCCAGAGGCATGGGCAGATCTTGCCCACGAGTGATTTCTATAATACTCTTCTTGACTACTCGGATCTCATCGCGGATTTCGAAGCCTGGGAGTCGAAGCGAACCAAATTCGCATTCTGCCAATACCCGTTCTTTCTCAGTATCTGGGCAAAGATCCAAATCATGGAGCACGATGCTCGACGCCAGATGGAAGTCAAAGCTAGAGAGGCTTTCTTTGACAGCATTATGACCCGGAAGAATGTCAATCAATATCTGATTCTCAAAATCAGGAGAGAATGCCTGGTTGAGGACAGCCTGAAGGGGGTTGGTGCAGTCGTGGGTACTGGTGGCGAGGAGATCAAGAAGGGTCTCCGCATTGAGTTTCGAGGAGAGGAGGGCATTGATGCTGGTGGTCTGAGGAAGGAATGGTTTTTGCTTCTGGTTAGAGACGTTTTCAATCCAGAACATGGTAGGCTTAGCTCATGGCATTTGGCACTACTCGCTGACTTCGTTTAGGGATGTTCGCCTACGATGACGACTCTGGGTTCTGCTACTTCAACCCCAACAGCTTCGAGACAACAGATCAATTCTTCCTCGTCGGGGTCGTTCTCGGGCTGGCTATTTACAACTCGACTATTTTAGACGTTGCTCTCCCGCCCTTCGCATTTCGGAAATTGCTTGCTGCCGCTCCTCCGACTGCAGCTGGTGCTTCATCTCATACAAAGCTGTCCATGACGTATTCTTTAGAAGACCTGGCCGAGTACCGGCCCGCCTTGGCTCAAGGACTTCGTCAACTCCTGGAGTTTGAAGGTGACGTGGAGGCAACTTTCTGTCGAGACTTTGTGGCTGATATCGATCGGTATGGTCAAATTACTCAGGTTGCGCTCTGTCCGGATGGAGACAAAAAAGCGGTTACCAATGCCAATAGGCGAGAGTTTGTTGATTTGTATGTTCGTTACCTCCTAGACACCGCTGTGGCCCGCCAATTCGAACCGTTCAAAAGAGGCTTCTTCACAGTCTGTGGCGGAAACGCTCTTTCTCTTTTCAGACCAGAGGAAATCGAGCTTCTGGTTAGAGGATCTGATGACCCGTTGGACATTGCCTCCCTTCGAGCCGTCTCCGTCTGTGAAAACTGGGGTGTGCCCAATGCCAAAGAGACCGAACCTGTGGTGCAGTGGTTTTGGAAATCGTTTGAAGCAGCAACCCCAGAAGATCAACGGAAGCTGTTGAGCTTTATAACTGGGAGTGATCGCATCCCTGCAATGGGTGCAACTAATCTTGTGATCAAGCTCTCTTGCTTGGGAGACGACTGTTCGAGGTTTCCTGTGGCGCGTACGTGCTTCAACATGCTGTCTTTGTGGCGCTATTCTTCGGTGGAAAAGTTGGAACGTATGCTTTGGCGTGCGGTCAATGAGAGTGAAGGATTTGGATTGAAGTAGTCCTCGCAACACAGACGTGCGTCTGTCTTGAATAGTTCTCTGGTACTGGGGTGCCTAACGCCGCGACCGAAAAACATTTGAGGTGATCGTGAGGCGTTCTGCTCTTGTCAGTAGGGCTGGCGAACGTTGATGTTTACATAGAATAATTCGATCAAGAGCTTATCGCCATTGGATCTTCAAAGTTTTCATCCACAATAATTAATCCGTGGGTTCATACAGTGATGACTTGCTGTAAACCCCTCTGGCCCTGTGAAAGAAAGTGAGACTAATCGAACGACCGCTTCTCTGCTACATTTATGGTTCTTGATGTCCTGATTTAGGGACTACCAGTCAAAACTTTACGAAGTCCCTCTGTTCTACACTTCCCAAAAACTCGAATCTCATACAAGTCTATACGCTAGGTAGGCAACCTATTCATCCTTTCCCGCTCGGTCACGGATTACATCTCTCATTCCTGATCGCAACGTCAAAGTATGGAGTACTAGTTTTAGCCGCCAATATCCCCGGAGCGATTCGACATCCTGGCACATCCTGGGCGAAGTGCAACAGGAAATCAACTATAGACCCCGAACTCGAGCGTTGGGAGAGAAGTGGTGGAGAAGGGGTGCACTTATGGATGGATACTTATGTAAGACTGCTGAGATGCGGTGGTCTAGATGTTGATGTTGATGTTGATGTTGATGTTGATATTCCACGTTCTCCCAAGGGTTCGATGTTCGGTAAATTTTACAACAGAAAGCAATCGTATTTGGTGATTTATATACCGGTTTTCTTGTCTCCAAGATAACCTATGGTAGGTGGTAGGAGGTCTTCTGAAGTAGGGGGTGACTTGATTTTTCACAAAATGCATTCGACAGACATTGACTGCGAAGTGCCAAAAATCTTTGCATAGCCAGCTTCGGTGGCCCATCGGTCCCTCAGGCTGTCTTCGAGTGTAGATATATCTTCCAATAGGGTGGTCGGTATTTGAACCGATTGTTACAAGTATTCCCACAGTGTGCATCTTTTATACAGCCATACTGGCAAATAACGCCTTCCACGTATGCTTCCGACATTTCCTCCTCACCCCTCTCAATTCATCAGCGAATCCGCTCCCGTTGACCCCCTAGCCGCAGCCAGAATTGCCTCTTCTCGTCTCTTCTTCGCGAGGACCTCAGCACTCAAAATCGCATCTTTCTCGCTCCTCACTCTCTGCTCTTCGATCTCCTGAATCTGCCTGCTCTCTTCCGCTGTCGCCTTTACAACCCGCGCTCTCGTCAGCGCCAGCAGCTGGTCTAGGATCTCCGACTCGGGTCTATGCTTCATGTTGATCGTCTCCGTCCTCTCCGTCGGCGGCCCAGCCTTGGACTCGGGTACGGGCCCGCTGGACGTCTGCGCGTCGGTCGTGGACGAGATCTCCGTCTTGATATGTGCTGCCGCTTCCGGGGAGGTGAAGTGGATAGTCATGATTGCCGGGCCGGACTGGTCGTCGGTGCGGTTGACGGTCATGGGGACGGCTGGGTTGTGGTACTTCAATCGGGGGAGGCAGTTTCGCCAGAATTTCCTGAGAGGAGTGCTGTGAGCTTCTCGTTCCGGACGGAGGTCGAGGGTGGATGGACGTTATTTACCTGGGGCCGTAGTGCCCGTCTTCTATGTCGCGCGCGAAGTCCATATGTATTCTCGTTACCTCGGGCGGTAATACCGCTGCTCCGGGGCCTAATCTAATGGCGAGCAGCTACATGCTGTGTCAATTGGAGTCTCGACGTTGATGCCCGAGGGGTAGTGTCTACCTTCTGGAGGAGGAATCTTGTCAGCGTTTGGTCGACATCAGGAGAAGTCGAACACGAGATATACCTACAGTTCTCAGCTTTCTCATGCGCTTTACAATTCCCACCATCTTGAATGTGCGCGGGATGCATGAACTGCTGGTACGATGCCGTCGTCCATGGATTGGAGGTTCATAATAAAATATTTAAGCTTCGCGCTAGGAAACCCTTGTCCAAAATGTTCAGATCTGCATCTCGAACCTCACACGGGCGGCAACATTGAAGCTTCTTGTACATGTGCGAAAATGGCGACAACCATCCAAATTACTCGGAGGATAATTGGGAAGGCCGGGATACCAGTGGCAGAAATTCCTACGTTTCTGTGTCCCGGGATCTTGAGGACCGCTTCTCTACCGATTCGATGTCTCCATCCACAACCACGAACGTTTACTCCAGCTTCTCAGAGGAGGAATATAAGTTTGGGTGAGGGAAGAGGAGAGAAGGACCAGACTCAAGCAAAAGCTGCTTTGGACGACGAGAGCGCTTCTTTCAGGGCTTCTGCCGGAGATGGGACCGAGTCAACTTCAATATCACCGGCAGCAGCCCAAGCAATACAGTTGAAGAGATTACCGCAGCAATGCTCGGGATGTGGAGCTCTCTCGCAGACAGTGGATAAGCAAGGTCCCGGATTCTTCAACCTCCAGAGAAAGGCAGTAAAGAAATACCTACAAGGGACTCCGAATGCAGGCTTGTCCGCAGAAGGTCAAATCGTCAAAGAGGCTTTGGAAAGAGCTGCTTCAGAAGGATTAGCTATTGATGTAGGGACTGTCGAGGTGCCAGGTCAGGAACACAAATATGCTATCTCATGAATTCCACTAAATTTCTTACAGCTACAATCACCCAGATACCTGTATGTGAGAGATGCAATAACTTGATTCATCATAACTATGGGGTTTCTATACAACATCCGTCCATGCAATCTATCAGGGAGACGATCGCGAAATCCCCGTATAAGTACAACCATGTATACCACGTTCTCGACGCGGTGGATTTCCCCATGTCCCTGATCCCTGGTCTACATAAGATGTTATTGCTTGCGCCGCAAAGATCGCTGAACAGACGATCGAAGACGGGAACTTTCTCCAAAGGAAAGAAGACGCAAGTCAGTTTCATCATCGCCAGGTCCGATTTGCTTGCTCCTCTGAAGCTCCAGGTTGATGCCATGATGCCGTATCTACGCTCTGTTCTCAGAGATGCTTTAGGAAGGGCAGGCAGGGACATTCGGCTAGGAAATGTTCATTGTGTCAGTGCGAAACGAGATTGGTGGACGAAGGAACTGAAAGAGGACATTTGGAGACGGGGTGGCGGTGGGTGGATGGTCGGGAAAGTGAATGTTGGGAAGAGTCAACTGTTCCACGGAGTGTTCCCAAAAGGGCGCAAGCAGAACAGATTTCTCAAGAAGGCTGTTCTGACGAGCACCAGTCCATTGGACGTGAGCCCAAGAAAGCATGAGACACAGGAGCAGGTGAACGAGGCCATCAAGGAGGCGATCGAAGAGACTAGAAAGGCAATTGAGGACACCAAGGAAGAAATGGCTGAAGCCCAGGAGGCCGTCGAGGAGAGAGATAGAAAGGCGCTTCAGGAGACCGGTAAGGCGAATGAGAATGAGAACTTCGAGGACGCTCAGAATTCGATTGAGGAGTGCAAATCCAAGACCCCTGGACTCCTTGACATAGTACCTGGAGCAGACTCGGAGCTCCAAGCTGCATTCGACGAGTTCGAGGAACTAGACACCTCCCTCGACACCTCTTCTCTCCTACCTCCAGCCCAACCCGAAACTGACTACCCGACAATGCCCCTCGTTTCTCCTCTCCCCGGCACAACAGCCTCGCCTATCCGCCACTCCTTCGGCAACGGTAAGGGCGAACTCATCGACCTCCCCGGCCTTGCTCGCAGCGACCTCGAACTCTATGTACAGCCCGAGCATCGCCATAAACTCGTCATGCGCGAGCGCGTCAAGCCCGAACAGAAAGTTATCCGGCCAGGGCAATCCCTTCTCCTCGGCGGCTTCATCCGCATCACGCCCACAACCCCGGACCTCTTTATCATGGCCTACGCCTTCACGCCCATCGACGCCCACCTCACATCAACCGAGAAGGCCATCGGGACGCAGCAGCAGACGCGCGACTCCAACGTCCAGAACATCGCCTTGCCTGGCACCGGGGATAAGATAGCCTCGGCCGGGAAGTTTTACCTGAGGTGGGACGTCACCCGGCAGCGCGCCGGGCCCATCACCGCTCGCAACGCGGTGGGCATCAAGCCCGAGCAGCTCCCCTACCGCGTCATGGCCACCGACATCCTGCTCGAAGGCTGCGGCTGGGTCGAGCTTGTGTGCCAAATCCGCAAGCGGCCTGGCGAGAGCTTCGTCATGCCGAGCCGAGAACACAACCAAGCGTGGGAGAGGGAGCCGTATTCCGACGCGGACGCCGACCCAGCCACCCTGAAGGAGTATGTTGATCCGACCTGGCCGGCTGTGGAGATTTTCACGCCGGGGGGTGAGTTTGTGGGGGCGAGGAAGCCGATGAATGCCTGGCTGTTGTGTGCGACGAAGCCGTCGAAGAGGGCGTTGAAGGGTCGCCCGAGGAAGAGCATGAAGGGGGCCAAGAAGGCGGAGAAGGCGAGGAGCAGGGCTGGGAGTCCCGTGTAGATTTAAATCGTATGTATGCTTAGGCGTGGTGCGAGATACCCTACTCTGTAATAGAACTCACTTATTGTACATTTATAATCATGTGTTGGGATTTTTCGGTGTATTTTCATCGTTCGATGGCATAGCGGGCTAAGTCGGATGCTGCCACCCACTCTCTTCCAGTTTGCCTGCAGACAATGAAGCTATTCGAAGCCTGTCTCCGAGGTTCGACTTACGCTAGATAACCGCAAAATCCAAAGCCAGCTTGGTTGAATCCCCTACAACCCTTTTTCTCTAAGCGACGCTATTTCCTGGCCTCTATATCTTAGATCTGAGCGATGTGGAAACAAATCACTGGCAGACATGTCGGTCGCTACGATGTAACACCATATCCGAACACTTATGTTTTGAAAATGACTTTATTCGACTACCGGCTTTGTTTTCTCGCAGATGTCTTTTTACTCATTTATCATATGTACACATGGGAATAAGAGGGAAAAAAAAATGACATGAACAAACGCCGATCAGCCCTCTTTAGAAACCCTGAAGAGAAAACCGAGATGTGCAAAGATTTCTCTCTATCTGCCCACCTAGCAGCGTTCAGGGTATCCACTCAGTAGAGTTCCGTAAGCCAATTTGCAGTAATCTTGCGCCCTCGTCGCCGTATGTTACCAAGGAAAATGTATTTGGAAGATGTCATCCAATGGTATCATCTTGGTGCTTATGCAGCAACGCCGTTTCCGACCTTCTAAGCGGATGGAACGCCAGCCTCGGCATCTAGCTGTCGCTTCTCGGGGATGTCAATCTCCTTCTCCTTCTCCGCAAGCAGAGCCTTCTCCTCCTCGGTCATGTTAGGCAGGAGATCAACCTGCTTGCCAATCTTGAGGCCGCGGTGGAAGGCGCGGATGATCGAGTCGGCGTCATCGACGGCGATGGGTCGGATATCGGCTAAGGCCTTAATCTTGGCTGTACAATCCTTGTATTGAGCATCTGTCATCTCGATGTTCAACTGCGTGGCCCGGGATTTGATAGCGTTCCAGCCTGTCAGGCGGGACGCGAAGTGCACGTAACGGGACATGCCAAAGTCGGCGGGATTGATAATCTCGTAGGTTGAGGGATTGTTGAGAATTGCCTTTGCGTGGATACCGGCCTTGTGAGTAAAGGCGCAGAAACCGGTGATTGGATTGTTGAAGCTATTCTTATCATCAGCGGAAATCTCGGGGTCTTTCCAGAAGGGGCCACTGACGGGATGTTGACCTCAACGGCTTGAGCTACCAATTCCTCGATATCCTTGAGCTTGTCGAGCTTGTACTTGCTCATAACATACTCGCGGTCGGCAACGATCATGCGTGCCATCAATCCACCAAGAGGTGTAATACCGTTTCGCTCACCAATACCCAGAACTGAGGTATCGACGTGAGTGGCACCGGCCTCAAGAGCGCAGTAGGCATTGGCAATGGCGCAACCAGTATCGTTATGGAAATGCGTCTCGATATCACAGCTGACAACACCTCTCAAAGTCCGGATCAAGTCGTAGACCTGTCTGGGGGAAGCACATCCAACGGTATCTGCAATGCCAACACGGTTTACGCCAATCTTGTCGACTGTGGAGTAGATGGAGAGAAGATCGACCAGGCTGGATCTGAAGGAGTCCTCGCTGGAGAATCGGATCTCGATGTTGTGTGACTTCACAAATGTAATCACCTCAATGGCGGTGTTAGTGATGTAGGTCATATCTTTGCCGTGAGAGTGCTCCATGAGGTAGGAAGAAGTGCCGATGACGACGTCACTGAGGGATTGTTAGCAGAGCTTAGGTATGCCGGAATCCCAAACTTACACCCCATCCACACCGGTCTGCACCGCAATTCTGGCATCGTCCATATTGCATCGGATGTGGGTGAGAATCTGCTTTGATTGAGTATTGGGTCTTGGTTGTATCGGGGAGGGGGGCAAGACAAACCTTAGCCTTCAATCCCAACTTGCAGATGGCCTCGCAATCAGCTCTTGATTGCTCGGATGCAGCAGGGGAAGTCAATTCAATCTGGAATCATTGTGTCAGCATTCTGCCAGCGCCCTAGATGTATATTTCTGAATGAACATGACTCACATAGTCCACACCAAAGTCGTCCAGGGCCTTGGCAATCTCAATCTTCTTCTCTCTGTCGAAGAAGGCATTGGCGAACTGCTCACCCTCCCGCAGCGTACTCTCGATGATCTTGAAGCTCGATACATTGCTCAGGAAGTCACCGACGGACTGGTATGGGTTGTGTCTGGTGGGGTGGGGGTTCAACTTGGTCTGGACGGCAGTGAAGCCTGGATGGGCTGGCAACAGATGATAGTTAGTGATTGCTCCCGAGACAAGACGAACGTTGCATGAAGCTCTCACCCTCGCCATTTGCGGATCCATTGGTACCATTGGAAGAGGCTCCGTTTGCATGGCCGTTGCCGTTGGCGGCAGCTTCAGGTTCGCAAGAAGGGCACATGTTGAGGATGTGTAGATGGAGAGAGAGAGGGAGAGAAATATTCTCTGTGTGTCTGTGTGGATGTGGATGTGTGTATGTGTGATTGTGGATGAGAGTGGTATCGTTGTAGAATATGATGTGGTGCGAGGATTCGTTGGTAGGTCAGGGCGAGTTGATGTCGGAGAAAGCAAAAAAATATTCAGAGTCACTCTAGGGTGGTGGGGTGGACGAGTAGAAGAAAAGCTAGTCAATAATGCCATTTTGGCGGAGGGAGCCGAAATGGCCGGTCATGGGCTACGGCTAAAAGCCAAATTACCCAAAAAATCTGATTTGTCCATCTCCGGGGCGATCTGTTTATGCTTTTACTAGGTACCGGTTATCATAATTCAGATTCTCATTTATACTACATACCGGTACAGTACTGTTCACATTACTTCGTATTAGTTGCGGTACGGAGTATCTGACTCGCGGATGGCCGTGAGGCGGGGTATCAACCTGGGGTATCTATCACCTGACTAAAAGTGTTCTTTGAATGCAGACGGTTCCGTCTCTTGACATCGACATAACCTTCTCCTCACTTTCTCAACCATGATCGATTTCAGGAACTAATTATCGGTGACTTTTGGTAGCGTCTCATGTTGAGCCAGAGTGTTGCCGATCTTTAAGGTTCTGAGGGTATATAGGCGATGTTTACGGAGTAATTTGTTTCGCTTAGCAGCAGCCATCGATATCGTTGCTATGCTGAGCTACCAGCAACTGCTCTTATGAATCCACAGCTAAAAGTCGGAGGTTTTTGATTGAGAAAGACCTCTTCAGGTACCCGTGTAGTCTTGGACTTAATGATTATCTAGCCCGGCGAGATGCACTAGGAGAGCAGGAGACAAGCAAGTAGGCAACCAAGCCTCAAGAGTCCTTGCACGGAATCCAGGAAATAATTCGAAGGCTAAAACTCCTGATCATCTGGGTAAGGATTCTATAACAAAGGCCGACCGACAGGAATGTAAGCCCCTAGCCAAAATATATCCTACCAAGAGTTCCAGATGTCAAGCACCCGAGGCTTTGCGCCATCGAAGGATTCTCTGCGTTGCGTTATTGCCAATCTCGCGAATAGGTATCTAGGATGTCATGTATTTCGCTTCGCCAGCGAGTCCCGGCCGGGATCTCCATGGCCTCAAACACAAGCCTCAAAAACGACAACAGAATTATCTCATAGGCGCAGCAGGCTTTCGGCATGACCGTCGTGCGATTCCTTGGAAACGGGTTGGTTGATAGTAACCTGAGGTGGACTAAGGCATGGACGGACACCTATCTTTCTCTTTGAACTAACTGGCTGTATTTTAAACGGTGCCGTCTGATCTTCTCGTATTTGTCTCATAAACAGGAAGATGGACGGCATCCGAGACTAGGAAATCTACATGCCGCCCTAGAGAATGGTTGCTTGGCTCAGAAATGCGAGGTCTTGAAGAAAACATCGCCGCGAGAACCAAAGATTTGCCAAGGGACGCACTTCTAGAGCCTAGAATTGTTCGAGTTGTAAGAGAAATCAGTATATCTTACAGAAGTTAAATTCTAGAAGTCTATGGTGTTTCATCTTCACCCTCTCTCGGCTTCGGATATTGCTTTTGACGTTAGGTAGTTGCGATAAACCTAGACACAGCATGCATCCGACTTTATGGCCTAAATTACCAGCCTGTCCGTATCCGAAATGTTCAAAGTCCACGAATTAAACCGATTTTTTTGTAATCACAAGTCGGAAGAACTCCTCTTTCGCACAAGGAACGAGTTTGCAATTGTTCGAAGTCTGAAACTTGCACTAGTATCTTTACAGATTTTGAACTAGGGGATTTATGGAGGTTGAGCTAGGAGTTTAGTGAATAAGAGTACGGTGCGATGTGCATGCATTATTGCTATAGACCATTTGTAGATAGAAACTCGTTCCTGCCAGGTATCCGCGCTCGTGGTCCTTCACAGAGAGACGTGATAACTGGCGCATTAGGACCGGTTGAGCGTCGATAACACTGGAAGTCACCATGAGTGGATATTATACATAGCATGGAGGATGTGCCCCATGGCATCATGGGTAGAGCTTCAGCAAATAGGGACCCAAGGTGAGACATGGCATCAACCTCTAATCAGCGAACTGTCGACTGATCTGCTTACCCTGTCTGACCACTTTTTATGGTTCGTTTGTTTCCAGATTGGCGAATTCGCACTCGAGTACTTACACCAATAATCTCCTAGCCAGGAAGAAACCGATCTAGACAACAGGTGAGAGCGCTGCGGTGCGAGCTGCTAGTTTACTGGGGTTATTCAGTGTGTGCCTCGACTCGGAAGGAACGTGGTCAAGAGCGATCATGCTACTAGCAAATTTCTTTGTTTTTATTATACAGATGCAACATGGTTAGCCGATCGACCCTTCAAAACCTCCATTCATTCCAGCTAAGGAGTAACCTTGCTCATGCTCACGAGCCTCTTCACACCAACCTGTAATACGTTAGTACCTGCGCATTACTTGAGCTAGCTTGAACTTACCATCCAATTACCACACTCCTCAGTCTTTTCACGCTGAATATCAACCTGCAGCTTCGCCGCAACTTCGTAGTTCCTCGCTTGAAGCGCCTCAGCAAGCTCGCTGAGTCTTTGAATAGTATCAGGCTTGATGAGCTCCTCGTTGTTCAAGTGATCAAAGAGAATGTTCAGTCTCTTTTGAGTGTCCTTGACTTGAGCAGCAAACGAAGCAGGAGCCTTGGAGGCAACTCGTTGCATATCAGTGCTGAAAACCTCTACCATCCTTTGAGCGTTGGATGGAATATGAGAGCGGTCACCAGCAGGGTGCTTGGCCTTTGCAGGGGGAGGGGTCGCGGCGGAAGTGGGAGGGCCAGTAGGTGGACGAGAGCCTTGAGGTGGTCCGGCCGAAGGTGGAGGAGGTCCCTGGCTAAGTTGCTGGAGAGGTTGAGTCGGCGGATACTGGTTTTGGGGCGAATTTCCGACTGGTGCGTATGGGTTTGATGGAGGCGGGGGTCGGTTTCCACCTTGAGGGGGTGGAGCCATTTGAGATTGAGGTGCCGGCGGCTGAGAGTACTGTTGCGCTGCAGGGGCAGGAGCATATCTGTTGGAAGGGGGAGGTCCAGGTGGTGCTGCATTATACGGAGATGGGCCATGGGAAATCGTAGGGGGTGGAGCAGGGTGGGAGAATGGCTGGGCCGGAGAGTTTGCCTGCTGGGGGGCATATTGGTTTGCCGCAGAAGAAGGCCGGCCAGGTTGTTGAAGGGCGTGTGGGTAACCAGGTGTCAATGGAGAGCTCACCCGAGGAGGAGCCGGGCCCTTTGGCGGTGGTGGGGGTGGGGTTGGTGTCGCCCTCGATCCATACTGAGCAGCTGGAGGGGGCATTGAAGCGGCCTGTTGATTGGGGAATGAGGAATTGATAGGGGCCACTGAAGGAGTGCTTCTTCTTGCAGGGGCGACTTTGGTAACCATCGGAGTGTCGTTCCATTGCTCCATGTTCTTTCGCTGGGAGGCAGGAGGAGGACCAGCAGATGGTGTGATGTTTCTTGGCGGTGGTGCACCAAAGGCTGGTGGAGGTGCCCCGAAGGTTGGTGCCGGCGCTCCATAGTTGGGGGCAGGGACAGCTCCATATCCACTGTTACCAGGGTTGTATCCTCCATACCCTCCCGCTTGTTGAGGCGGTTGGTAGCCTGACTGAGGACCATAGTTGCTTGTTGGAGGAGCATATGGGTTCGCCGCAGGTGCGGCCGTAGGCGGTGCAAATGCATTTGGAGCTGGTCGAGCGGGTGCGGTAGCAGGAGTGCTCAGTGGCTGGTAGCCTTGCTGAGGTCGTGCCTGGGCTCGTGTGTTTTGAGATGGCTGAGCTGCCTTCACCGCTGCCCCTGGAGTAATCTTTCTCGACGCAAGCTGAACCCGGTTACGAGCAACCTCTGCAGCAGGGTACTGTGTAGGCAGAAGTGAAAGGTATCTCTCGGCGATTGACAGGTGTCCATGTGCTGCAACAATGTCGGCGTACTCCGTATACTTTTCATACAGAGGAGCGAGTTTCCAGTCCGAAGTCAAGCCCTGCTCTGAATCTTCAAACTTTGTGACATCCCGGAAGACTGTCACCTTCTCGATGAAGTTCTGAAGAGTACGGGCATGGATAGAGAACGACGAATCTCCACTGGGATCAGCGATGGCAGCCTTCTCAGCCTCTTGCAGATCTGTGATCCAAATACCGATGACCTTCTCCAGTTTCGATCCAACAAGATAGCAGAAGGATGCGTCTTTGGGAGAGCCCGTCTCTATAATCCGGTCGCCCAAGGCTTCACACAAATCTGGAAACTCATTTGGATCCGCGTATGTGCACAATGTTGCCATGGTCTCTTTCCAGTTGGCCAGATCCGCATTGTAGACAACATCCCACAGGTTTTTCCCGATAACCGAGGTTAAAAGACGGAGATAGTTAGGTCCAGCTGTTTTCCGGGATAGATAAGTTGTCTGTGCCTTTTCTAGAAGCTCCTTACCACCGCAGTTTGCTATAATCAGAGCATCCGCGATCTTGTCTTCCTTCAGGCAGATAATCATAGCCTTTTCAAATTGACCCAACATCAACGCTTTAGTGATTTGCTTCTCAGAAGCAGAGTCCGAGTCGGCAAACAGGTGGAACGGATTATCGGTCTTGGCACCCTTGGTGGCCGCAATGCTAGACAAGAAGTCTTCTCCCTCAGCACCGTCAGCGAAGAGGGTAGATAATCTACTGTTGTTTACCGCTGTGCCATTAATTCCTTCTCCAGCGTCCTCGGGCTGAGGGCCGTCCAATTGAAGATCTTCGACACCGTTCGTTGCTTCTTCGACCTCGTTTGAAAATCCTAGGTATTCCGTGACTCCCTTTCGAGGATTCTCTGAAATCAGTTTCTCGATCACTTTCCAATCCGCCTTCTCTTCTTCAGTCTTGGCATTGGAAATGTGAGATTCACAAATGCTGTTAACATCACCTGCTACAAGAGCAGTCTCGAATGCTTGTGTAGCTGTTCCAACATCAGAGTCCGCAGAGAAGTTCGAAATCTGAATCTTGGATGATCTATGTTGTCCGGCCACGGTTGGCAATAAGCCAAAGCTAATCAGCTTTCCACCGAAACCAAATGAGGCACCCGCTGGCCTCTCGAGCCATTTCGGGGCTCTGATCAAAGAGAAGGAAGCTCCTTGGGGCTGAGTCTGGGCCTTGGTAAAAAAATCCTCTGGATCGGAGCCCTGGACTGGGGTTTGCGTGTCTACAGGGTTGGTATTTTGTAGCGTTTGAATGGAGATCTTGCCATCAAAAGAGGCTGTAGCGGAGAGAGCCGGGTTGTGAGGGTTAAATCTGGTCTGGAATGTCCAGTTGGTGACTTCCGGAAATTCACCTAGGCGTTCCCCGGTTTGAGGGTTCCAAACAATTGTCTTGTTGTCCTTTCCGCAAGACAGTAACAGGTCACTATCTTGTTGACACCACGAAAGAGAGAGGATTCCTTGGTCGTGGCCTTGCAGTGTGCGTTCGGGGGCATTCGAATTTCGCAGATCCCATAAGAGTATGACAGGGGCTGCATCGTCAGGTGTAGCGGTGAGCAGCTTTGTAGCATTATTGGGGTCCCAGGCGATAGCTGCCACTGCCTTTCGGTTGTTGTTCAGCGTGAGAGATGCCTTTCTCGTCTTCAAGTCCCAAACCGTCACGAATCCGCCACTTCCACCTGTTGCCAGAATGTGGGAAACCTTTCTGTTCCATGCTATGCACTCGAGGTCGTCAGATCGTGCTGCCGCCGTGCCCAATCTGAAGGGGTTCTGGATATCGTTGATGTCGTAGATGAACAGCTCGCCCTTTGCGCCAGCAGTTGCCAGAATCTGTGGCTTCAAGGGGTTGAACTGAAGTGATTTGATAGCACCACTATGTTTTGTCGTCTGTGACATGAAAGAATCTTCAGACCCCTTGAAAAGCTTCTCGGCATCCCATAAGACCAACGATCCATTCTCGAGAGCTCCGGCGATTATGCCCTTGGGATGGTCCGCATTTGCAGGCGCCCATGCAATGTCGTGGAAACTGGAATAAGACAATCGTGAGCTTGCGCTTCTATTTTTTGTTTCGGCCAATTTACCTACCGTGAGTCTGAAGTGATGCTGGCAACAGGCTGGAGCTCAACACCTTGGTCCAGATTATCCAAGCTCAGGTCCCAAAGCTCCAGCTTCGTTTCGTCTGAGAAATCCGCATCCACTGCTCCAGCTCTGGTTCCAGTCACCACCAGAGGAGAATCTGCTCCAGGGTACCAGGCGAACGCCGCCGTGCGCGGAATCTCTCGTAGGCGTACCATCTCGCTGATGTCTTGCTTCAACCAGAAGCCAGTTACTGGAATTGCTGGAGGTTTGCGGCTGAATGAAAATAGAGAGGTTTACAGAGCCCTTTGGATCTTTGAGGGTACGGAAATGGAAAAATGAATGCGACTTCCTATGAGAGATGAGAACCGTGGTGAGATCTACGTTCTGCAGGGACACCCAATGTTCCAAACGTTCCAAAGATGATCTGTCCGAACTTGGGATCTACACGTGACCCGAAGATCACCCAGTCGAGGACTAGGAACGGGGGATAGGAAGCCCTCGGCTTTTATTTTATATAAGACTTCCCCAACGCATAGCCTCTTAAAAAATGTCAGATCAAGCACGTTGGAAAGCAACAGTCTATGTGGGTGGTCTAGCTCCCATGGTAAATGCGGCAAATCTTCATGCTGCGTTTTTACCCTTCGGAGAAATTGCAGATGTCTCCCTCCCGTGAGTACTTACTTCATTCTCAATCTAAGATGGAACCGCAAGCTCACGTTTTGTAGGAAACCTGCTGGTCCAAACTCTACAGAGCTTCATAGAGGATTTGGATATGTAGAATTCGAGGACTCCGAGGATACGAAAGATGCTATCGACAACATGGAAGGAGCAGAGCTGTTTGGCAAGCCGATCAAAGTCTCTGCTGCTAAGCCGCCAAAGAATGTTAACGAGGGGCTGGGAAGCAAGACTGCTTTGTGGGAACAAGTGAGTATCTTGTTACTTTACCTGGACCTTGTATTGGGCTCGATCACGTTCTGACATTCTATTCAGGAGGGCTGGCTTGCAGAGAATGCCGTCAGTGAGGAAGATAAACTTGCAGCGGATAGGGCAAAATCGGGCGCAGATGATGCTCCATATGATCCTATGCAGGGCTTAGAAGGATTGGATGTAGCTGGGCCAAATCCAGTTTGAGAGGTTGTTTGCATTTGAGGCAGGAATATGAGCAATTCAAAAGCGATCGTCGGTATTTGGGAGGCGTTAGGGTGGACCAAGTGCACAGGAGTTACGGTCACCAATAATAGTAAATGGATTACAGTTACATCTGTCAGGTCCGACATAATTTGGGACAATCTGGATCTACAAGAGCCAGAGACATGTGCAATTTCTCAACGCTTGTTACCTCTACACAGGCTTGAAAAATACGGGTGGGGTGTCTGGTAAGTTCCGGAGAATCAAGACGAAAAATATCACTATCAAGGAACACTCCTTCGTCGTGGTCGACCTTATCAGGACGCTGTATTGATGTCAGGCGAGGGCCTGGTTTACTTAATACAAATTGAGCCATTGCTGAGCTCCAAATATGCTTTCCGTACACTCTGCAGCAGTGCGCCGCCTCAATATCCTGCCGCCAGACCTCCATCTAATCCTTTCTGTTCTGGCGACCGAGACGCATTGTCTTGTCGACAACGAGCTTTCGGGCCAAGGAGTAGCCGGCAAATCCGACAGCAACGCCAACGACGATTCCTGGACCAAATTAATATAGAGCCCATTCTTCTCTAATCGGGTGTATGTACCAAGGGGAATCAACTCCGGGGGAATCTTTCTGAGGGCTCGTAGTCGTTGGGAAATGGTGTGAGCTGCAACGCCAATAGATCAGCCTCTGAACCCTTCCCGGATTTGCTGACACGCCAACTGGATATGGGATATCCCTTCCCATCTGCGGCCCATCTATCTGTATATCATGCGATTAGGGGGGCAAGACGAACCGCGGTGCTCCTCATTCTAAGACCCATTTTGTCAGTGATTGATTCGAAGCGCGAGAAGGCCGCAACTTACTGGTTGAGCCGCCATCATACGTCGGCTAGGCCGGAACATTCTTAGAGTCGCAGTTGGCTGCATAATGACGGATTGCTGCCAATTTGAAGTAGAGAGCAGGAGGGGAGTGAGGTTTCTGGTGGTGAAAGGAAATAGATAGATGCTTTGGAGTGGCCTGAGATTGGACCAGCACAAGCGCCAATTCTCGCAACGGCCATAGCCGAAGTGACCCGCGAAATGGAGCCGATGGATGGAGCCGACCTCACCTCAATCATCGACCAACTCTCGCCACCAATTCCACCTCCCTCAACCCACTCCCGCACCCGTATCCTCAATCGCAAAGATGTCCGACTCTGAACGCGAGACCAAGCCCTTCAAGTTCGTCACTGGTAAGTTGCGAGCCCCTCAATCTTTCGACGCCCCGGATCGGATCGGAATGGAATGGTCTGATTGCTAACGCCTGCGCAGCTGGTATGAAAGCTCCCTCTCATAGCTCGAACGGAATGCAATTGACTCCCGATATCTAGGCTTCGATGCCCGCTTCCCGAACCAAAACCAGACCAAGCACTGCTGGCAGAACTACGTCGATTACCACAAGTGTATCCTAGCCAAGGGCGAGGATTTCGCCCCATGCCGTCAGGTACGCCTAGAGAAGTGATTTTGGGGATGCGGTTCCGTTCTGATGGATATTGCAGTTCTTCCTGGCATACCGATCATTGTGCCCAAGTTCTTGGTGCGAGAGATGGGACGACCAACGTGGTTAGTACCGATTCCAGTATTTGGCGTTGATATGGGCTTATGACCACTTTCACAGCGAACGGAAATTTCCCTGTCCGTCTCGACCAGTAGAGGAGTTATGGAATGGAGCTGGTGGTCAAATGCGTTGCGGACAAAAGAGCAGTTTCTCCGGACTGTGTACCATACAACTCAATAGGGCGAATGCGAATTAGAATGGGCTATTTTGGATTTGTGACTTTGCGGGGAGAGATATGCTCCACGTAGCTCATCTACGCTCCTTTTTCCGCCCTCAGCTGGTCATATCGCAGCATTGCTCCAAGCAGGACCTCCGCTCCATTTCCACAGTCATTCTTACTGCAGTACTCCGATGGGTTATGGCTTACACCGTCTCTACAAGGTACGAATATCCTGGATCTAGTAAGCATCGAATCTGAGTATCGAGGCTTTTCTTTTATCTGACTTACATTGAGGTTGGGGCTCGTCTCGAAGTGTAAACACTAAAGCTAGTAAGTCGCCTGGGTTCACAAGTGTAAGTCCTCACGCACCTGTCATGGCCAGCGCCAGAAGTCATTCTTAGTACTTTCCCCTCAGCACTTGTTCCAAGCATATCCGCCGCACTTGCTTCCACACACTTGATGCAATCTTCATGGAACTTGGTTGCCGGAGAATCTGCATCTAGCTGCCAATCAACCGTACAACCTCTACCTTTCGTTCCTAACGCGTTCAAGCCTCCTATGTCTTCGCCAGCTGCAATCTTAGTAAACTCCAGTTCTAGGGCTACTTGAAGTCTCTTCAAGACAGCATCTTCCTTGGATCTGATATCAAGGGAGAACTGAACCCATCCAGGCACTGTGTTTGTGGATCCAGGCTTAAGAGTCAGGATACCAGTTGAAGCTAGACAGCCGAGCTCTGTAGCCTTGTTATGGCTGTGGAGGATCAGCTTGGCTGCGGTGAGCATAGCATCGGAGCGATTCTGGAAATCTGTGGTTCCGGTGTGGCAGTCTGCACCTTTTACAGTGATTGTAAACCACCGGTAGGCTACGTACGTATCAGCACTTGACCCAGCATCAGGTCAAAGGTAGGATGCTGTCCAGCATCCCTGTCTCAGCAAAAAGAAAAGGAAACCGTAAGAGAACACTCACCCTGCACGCCCTCCACAGCCCCAATCTTCCCACCCGTCTTCTCCAGAATAGGCCCTTGCTCAATATGCAGCTCGAAATGCGCCCCGATCGGGTTGGCCTCATAGCTCGCCCTCATCGTTCCCAGGTACCCGATTCTCTCCAACTCGGACTTCTGCGTAGCTGTTCCACCGCCAACTTCAACGAGGCCGTAGGCTTTCTCGAGCGTGTACGCTCCAGCCCAGACGCCGGAGGCGATCATGGAGATGGGGAAGCGAGCGCCTTCCTCGTTGGTCCAGTTTATGACCCCGGTGGGGTACTCGGTTGTGATGTTGTGGTCGTTCATGGTTTTCAAAGCCTCTATGCCGGCATGGACGCCGAGAATGCCATCGTAGCGGCCGCCGGTAGGCTAGATGCGTGTAAACAATTTGAGTATCTGGGGATTGCAAGGTGTTGATACTGACTTGAGTATCGAGATGTGATCCTGCGTAGGTTGGAGGTCCGTCTCTCTTTCCAGGGCGTACGGCGAAGATATTGCCTAGCAGGGAATAAGCTGTGCTCTGGAGCTTGCTCTGGCTCCCAGCTTACCCATAGCATCGATCGAAACTTTGCATCCGAGAGACTCTGTTGTCTTGACGAACCAGTCCCGGACCTTCTTATCCGAGTCTGTCAACGTCAGGCGCTTCATGCCAATATCGGTTGCTCCCCTAGTGGACCGACCAATTAGTAGATACTCACTACAAATAACATCAAGAAATGCTCAGCATGCGAGGTCTCTCAGGGTGGCGGCCTATGACTTGTATGATACTCATCTCACAACGAGAGGATTCGCTAATCAAAAGACCCCAATACTGCTCGAGAGTCCTTTCCTCTATCATCGAGATGATCACATCGAACCAAACTAAGAACCAAGAACATCACTCGATACCATTTTTCAAACGCTGATCAACATACAGAAATTCACAACTTACTCTCCCCACCTCTCCCCCATCCCCCATTGACAAGTCTCGTGGAGATCCCTCCACAACCTCTCCCTGTTAATCTTCACGCTCTGATACTGGGCGTCCGACATCGTTCTCGTGTCCGGGAATCTTGAAGAGCGAGAAATAGAAAATGATCTCTGAAAGATTACGTGGTTCCCGATACGCAAGTTCTGCGAGGATGGAGCTGTGAAGATGGTTCGCGACCGGCTGCGCAAGACCATGATGAGAAGGGTGGGATGACGCATGGTAATAATTATTTCGGTGCGAGGCTACCTCAGAGTGGGAGGATAGGTACCTTAGGACGACGAGTAGAGGACTGGACACCTTGATTACACGCAGGTATACCGCGGAACTAGCCGACTATTACTGGAATATGATAATCGCCAGAGAAATGGGGATGTGGACATAGATATCAAGTCCCAAAGCGGGGGTCGCTGCGCTTCAATAAGCGATCATCACAAGGCCAATGTTGACTTTCGAACCGTCTTTCTGGCTGTCAGATCACAATATTCATTATGGCAAATACTGCCTCCAGAAATATATCAGGGTTCAACGAATGTATTTCGCGGGAAGATCAGCCTATATATCCGCTTCGTGCAAGCATTGCATGGAAGTTAACGCAGAAAGCGGACTATTCCAAGCAGCTCCGATGCCTCGATATCCATGTCTCAATTGTGATGCGATAGTTAGATCAAAATGTATGTGAACATGCCTGCGGAGTAAGCAGCTTGAATGACGTGGTTTCAAGTACTCCTGGTAATTATGTTTGGCCACTGAGAATGAAGTATTGGAGGTTTCTCGAGTTGCAAACCGAAATTCTAGATCCAACCTGTTTGTGGTAAGAATCAAAGTTTTCGGAAGGCATTCACAAAAGCGTTGATCGTACGACGGGGATGAGATTGAAAATCATGGTTAATGAAGATCCACGCTCAGCCCTATTTGGAAAAAGCACAATAACCTAGACACCGTCCAGAAACGCCACGCTTTGCCCAATCTGATACACAGAGACTCACTCAAGCCTTCGAAACTCGACCTTTTACCCTTCCCTTACCCTTGACTGGTGCCTTTCCCTTCTTCGGTGCTGGGGGAGGTGTCGGCTCCTTCTCCTCTTCCTCTTCAGACTCATCTCCGTCCATTTCTTCTGGCTCCTCCTTGACGCCATCCTCTTCATCCTCATCCTCATCACTGCTCATAAACTCATCATCCTCATCGAATCCAAAGAAAGTCCGGGCTGCGGGCTTTACCTCTGGTTCTGACGGGGGTGTCGTACCCTTGGAGCTCGTCCCAGTCACAGCCTCGTCATCACTCGTCGAATCTCCAGATGAGCAGCTGCCCTTTGATATTTCGACCAGGTTGTCCTTGTAGTCCCCAGACTTCATTGCAGCCAGGACAGCCTCTCTCGTCCTCTCATTCGCCTCCTCCTTATCCTCAACCCACTTTCCATCAACCTTTCCCTTGTTACCGGACTTCATCTCTTCCTCTCTGCGTTCCGCAAGCTCCACAATTTGCTCCCATCGCGCCCTTCTCGCCTCCTTCTCCTTCTTTGCCATCTCAGGTTTGATGGCCAAGTATTCAGCCAGAGCCTTCGCCTCGTGTACTGACCTCAGTCTGCGGCCGTCCAGATTCCTGCTGGAGCCGTTGTCTTCGCCTTGGTTGCGCTTGCGCTTCGAGGACATGCGACCACCTGCTGCACGCAGTTGGGAGCCGAAACCACCCTTGCCACCGCATAATGGCAGGGAGAGGCGCAAGGACAAGAAGTCATCTTGCGGGCTAGAAAGCAGTCCAGAAATCGGAATTGAAGAGTCTAGAGGTAGTTGCTTATTCGATATCGTGGTGAGAATGAGGCGGTAGTCGTACGCTGGAAGGCGTGCATCGATGCACGATTGAAGCTCGGAGATGGATGTTTCGGCAGGGAGAGGTAGAGCGAGAGTCTTTGGAAGGTTGAGACCTGGGAATGAGGTCAAGAGAACGTTGATTGTAGAGGGAGCCATGTTGCGATAAGTGGTTTAGTTGTTGGGGTCGTAGACTGAATTCGGGCGTGATCAGGATACAAAAGTCAGCCTCTTTGAGGCTGGAAAATACACTAGTCCGAAGATAGCGTAGCGCCTAAGCTATCGCTTAATACCTCCCACAAATTCTGGTTCTCACGAACTTTTCAATATCGCGAACAACTCGACATCAACCACCAACAAACCGCCAAGATGTAAGGGAATTTACTACGCTGCTGCGCGATAATTTACTCGGTCACTAACCTGTGGCAGGCTTATCCCCAAGGCAGACCGCAAGAAGATCCACGAGTACTTGTTCCGTGAGGGTGTGCTCGTCGCAAAGAAGGACTACAACCTCCCCAAGCACAACGACATAGACACCAAGAACCTCTACGTCGTCAAGGCTTGCCAATCCCTCACTTCCCGCGGATACGTCAAGACGCAATTCTCATGGCAATACTACTACTACACCCTCACCCCTGAGGGCCTTGACTACCTCCGCGAGTGGCTTCACCTGCCCGCTGAGATTGTCCCAGCTACCCACATCAAGCAACAACGATCGCACGCTCCTCCCCGCGGAATGATGGGTGGTGAAGGCGAGCGTGAGCGTAAACCTTTCGGTGGACGTGGCGGCCGTGGCGGAGACCGCGACGGAGGTCGTGAGGGTGGATACCGCAGACGCGAGGCTGGTGGTGAGGGCAAGGAGGGTGCGCCATCTGGAGAGTTCGCTCCTCAGTTGTAAGTTCAACCTCTGGTTCCGCAGTGAAGCTATGCTAATATGTAAACAGCCGTGGTGGCTTCGGACGTGGAGCTCCTCCCGCTTCTTAAATTCCTTTTCCGTTCTGCTTGCTCGTGCATCCGACAGAGAAAAACACACATACTCTTGAATGGTTGGGCTGGACAGTAGCGCGTTTGGCCGAGTGACAGAAATCGCCGGGGTCGAATAGGTCGTCGTTGGAAGTTGACACTTCGAAACTGTCAGGTAGCATAACGAGCCTTTTCCATAAGCTATCTGGTCACTTTCTCGTGAAAATACAACTTGTCCCTCGTCACGATCTTGTCCCGGTTGTCACGTTGCTTCACTGTTGGAATGTGTTGGGATCCGACGACCCTTCAGCCCGTGCCACATCGTATCGAGACTCTTGCTTGAATTCCACCAGCATTATATCTCCCAGGCGTGAGACAGTAATTGTACAAATGGTATCCAAGGCATCCTGGCCGGATGCCATTGAGAAGAATTTTGAACAATTGTGCTGTGCAATTGTGCATGTCACGAATGGCAACGGTGGAGAGGTACCGGTAGTAATTTGCTTGGATATGGATGCTCCAGCGCAGCGCACATCACAGGACTGGGGACTTGAACGGGGATCGACAACGGGCCGGTACATAAAGTCAGTTCCGTACGGAGGAGTCGCTACGTACCAATGAGGCAGTGACATCCAGGTGCAAGTGCCCACTTTAAAGAGGAGGTGGGACATTCCCCCTCCTTCCTTCTTCCTCCCCCTCGTCCCGCTAAGTATCACTTACTGCAATTGCAACTTTCTTCGCACTTCTTCCTCTTCTCCAACCTCACTCCCAGGTCAACCAGAAATCTCAACCATCTCAACCATCTCAATCAATCATCCCAACAACATCATCAACTTCAACTTCAACATCGACATCAACTTCAAAATGGCAGATCTCCCCAAGACCATGCAAGCTTTGCGGTAGGACCACCCCCACCCCCGCGTTGTGGAAGCTTAACAATTTGTCGCCGTGTAGCAAGGCATTCAGAGCTCACCTCACCTCACCCATTTATTTCGTCGTGACTTGCTGACTCTCGTTGACAGCTACTCCAAGCCTGAGGAGTACGGAATCGTCACCGTCCCTCTCCCAAAGCTCCGTCCCAACGACATCTTGATCAAGGTCAAGGCCTGTGGTGTAAGCCCCGCATACTTCGCTGTCGAAAGAGAGGAGTTGACATTGGAATCTCCAGGTCTGTGGCACTGATTTGCACATTCACGAGGGAGAGTTCATTGCAAAGGTAGGCAGGCAGTCCGTCCCTCTTTATATGTGTTCATGCAACTCCACTTTTGTCTTGGGCCTGAATCGGCATCACCACACCTTGATGGGTGCTTCGATGTCTCTTCCGGCCAATTTCTCGGGGAATTAAGGCTAACACCACCCACAGTTTCCACTCATCCCCGGTACGTACCTTGATTCGACGTCCGATTCATTATCATTCACAATTCGCCGGCACGAACGGTTGTCGTGGTACGCAGGTGAACTTGCTGGAGAACAGTTCGAAGTGGGCTGGAGAATGGTGCACACATAGAACCGAACTTATAAGCCAGCTATGCCTAAGCCAGATCACTGATGGGTTCTCCAGGACATGAGACCGTCGGTGTCGTTGCCGCTGTTGGTCCAGAAGTCAAGGGCTTTGCGGTGGGCGAGCGTGTCGTAGCCGAGTACGTGTTTCTCGCCCCCACTTTTACATCTACTGACAGGCTTGAAGTAACTCCGAGTTGTGCAACGAATGCTTCTACTGCAGACGTGGCCAGCTGTTGCTATGCGAGCACTTTGAGGCACACGGTGTGACCATGGACGGAGGCTTTGCCGAGTACTGTGCATACGTACGTCCTGCAATGCGATAAACAATCAAACACCCATTAATAGCTCGAAAGCCTGCAGGAAAGGTCTTCAAGATCCATAACTTGTCCGATGTCGACGCAACTCTCCTTGAGCCAGCTTCCTGCGCTGCTCACGGTCTCGAAAAGATTGCCCCAAAACTCGGCTCATCTGTTCTCATGTTCGGAGCTGGCCCTACTGGACTGGTTCTTGCTCAGATGCTTCGCCAGGCAAGTTCAGAGCCCAAGATTGGATCCAAAATCCAAACTAACTTAGTGCTAGAACGGTGGATGCCACGTAGTGGTTGCTGCCCCTGAAGGTCTCAAGATGGACCTTGCTAAGAAGCTTGACGCCGGTGATGTATGTTTCTTGTTTATTCTTTCCAAAGATCTGCTAACGAGACTAGTCCTACATAGAACTTTCTCGCAAGGACCCTGAGGTCCAGTTTGCCAAGCTCAAAGAGGACCACCCTTACGGCTTCGACATTGTCGTCGAGGCTACCGGATCTCCCAAGATTCTCGAAGATGCTATCAACTACGTCCGCCGTAAGTTTTACTTGGATAAGAATATACTGAAGTGGCTTGCTAAATAGATTTCATATAACAGGTGGGGGAAAGCTCGTCGTGTATGGTGTTTACTCGGCATCTGCCCGTGTCTCCTGGCCACCATCCAAGATCTTCGGAGACGAGATCACCATCCTGGGTTCTTTCTCCGAGACCTATATGTTCCGTAAGTGATTCTACTTTGACTTGGGGCAAGATCAGTAGCTGATTGGGATTAAAGCCGCTGCTATCGACTACCTTGACTCAGGCAAGGTTAAGGTCAAGGGTATCGTCAACAAGACTTACAAGCTCGAGCAATGGGGCGAGTGCTTGGAGGCTATGAAGAACAAGAGCGCTATCAAGGCTGCTATTGTCTTTGAATAGATACAACTGTGTTTATGCTAGCAAGGAAGCGAAAATAAAAGATGGATTTGACTAGTCTGATGACGTATGGAATGTGAATCATGAAAAGAGTTTGATGCATTCAACGTAAGATTTTGCAGATTGAGGACTTTGCAGTTGTCGCACTCCTGCTGGAACAATGAAGCGAACAGAATAGGGGCTATTTGACGCATGGTTGTGAATGGAAACTTTCAGAGAGTTTGTACTTGCCTTGTAAAGTATTCATGCATTCTGTTGTTCGCAGTCTCAGTAGCCTTACAGGAACATGTTCATGAACAGACAACTACCTAGTTTCCTCTCAACCAAGCGGCCGCTCCCAAAACAAATACCAAAGCCATGGCATCTCCACTGACCGTCGTCCAAATCCTCGAGTACCGCAGAACTAGCGCAATGTACCCCTTCCACGGCTCCGGCAATAATCCCATAACCGTCCCAATAACCCCTCCATGCTGAATCTTGCCCTTCTCGAAAAAGAACCGGCTCGTCTGCAGCAATACCTCCACTGTCGCAAAAATCCAGAAGAAGTGCTGAACGCTGTTCGGGCTGACCAGCATCTCATCGCTCGTCGCATAGCCCAGCCCGCTCCTCTCCCTGGCAATCTTCGTACCGTTGAAAGGCGTCGTAAACACAACGTAAAGGCCCAATCCGAGCGCGAAAACAGCATGTAAGATACGCCATAGATACGCATACGGACCCCCCGTCGCAGCCTGATCCGAATGACCGGGTATAGGCGGCATGCCGGGGAATGAAGGCATGCCTGCCCCGCCGTCGCCACCGCCCATGCTGCCCATCATCTGCTGCAGCATCTTCATCATAGGGTCCTCGCCATCCAGACCTTCCGTGCCCGCCATCCCACCCATCCCTGGGAACGCGGCGTACGTATTGGCAGTTCCGCCTGGACCTCCTGGGGACGCGCCAGAAGAGGGGTCGAAACCGAGCATCATTTGCCGAAGTGCAGTGTCGTCCATACCACCTTGTGGGAACGGAGAAGCAGATGAGGCATCATACTGTTGGCGGCGCGGCGCGGGCTCGTAGTAGTGCTCTGATATGTCGACTTCCTCGGGGTCGTCGGTGGGGTTGGAGGTAGAGGCTGTGGGTTGGGGCGGTGCTTCTGAACCTTGATGTCAGACTATATTCAGACGTTTTAAGGTAGGGAGAGGAGAGGAGAGGAGAGGAGAATCACCTCTCTGCACGCCTCCTCCTAGCCCTGTGATCTTGTTCAGTCGTGCAGAGCCGCCTGCACGGATCTTGGCTTCTCGTCGCTCTTTGCGGATGCGTGCTTGGTCTGCAGCGCTGGAAGGGGGTGCGCTGGGTGAGGAGGAAGGGGGCATGGGTGGTGTATCTGCCATTGAAAGGGAGTTTGTGTTATGTTATTTGGGCTGATGGAGTGAGGAACGACGACAGTATTGCAGCTGCACCTGGAGTTGTGCGCGGTGTGATTACGATTGTTGTCGCCCGCACTGAGGAGGGAATATTTTGGCGAGGCTACCCGACCGTTTTGGGAAGGCGGTCACTGTCCTGCCACAGCTATATTTACTCCGTATTTCCTCGAGCAGTCTGGAAGCGAAAAACGATTTCATTTCTATTTTAGGATTCGGCTATTATTACACGTGTCAATTGATATGCTGCTAGATAAACTTTCCAAAAACTTGAACAGCCTCTCGGACTATTTTTTTAACATTTACGGCTGCACCTCAGCTGCCGTCAAATCACATCCACTTGAACTATGCTATTTCGATTTTGTTTGAAGTAGGTAAGTCCCTGCCAGCCTGAATGCTGTGAAAAGTCTAGATGTCCGTTATCTTTTGAGTCAATTTGAATGATAATCGTACCCCTGGTAGTAGTACAAGTCAGAGGCCAGGTTTCCTAGTACTCTTCAGCAACACGGTCAATTTTAGCAATACGGTCAACTTTTTTGGCCTCTTTCATTGCAATAGAAATTGCTAACGTAACTATGTTTTTTTTATATCACACCTACCGGTACTTATGGGGGTTTAGAACGCAGTTATATTCGTATTCCAACCTCGTCGGCGCCCTTCGAATGACAATATTAGAAGAACAACTAAATAACTTAAAAACTATAGATAATTATATATAACCTTGTGAGAAATCGTAGTCGCCAGCCTCGATATTATTTAATTGGTTGTTGTTTTATACTTTAAATCAATAATGAGTGGATTTATTTTTATGACATTTACAATATTTGCTATCGTTTGCTATGCTTTTTGAGATGCGCAGATCGTCAATTAGCAGCGGGAAAGCCTTCGATAAGAGAGACGACGAATGTAGCGGCGGCCATTATACTCGGTCTATTATAGGGATTAGATATTCGGAAAGCGATAGCTCTAACGACTCTACCCCAAATCGGTATCAAAATTAATTATATTTTGTTACTTGATCGCGTGTAAAAGGAAAATCATGAGAAAGTCGAGCGTATCGCTGCAGAGCACTGATAGTGGGACTTGACGTCTCAACTCTGGGGCCGGGAAGGAACCGCAACCCTTGCCTGGGACTTGAACTCCGACCAGGGGTACGATTAAGCCTTCGGGACTCCTGACGGCGAGTTGGTACCGAAGGTTTAAGTCACCGTGTCCCTTAACGCCTCGAACTGACAGCTACCGGTACTTCGACATGGTATTCTTTTACTTTGATGCGTAGCACATGTGAAAGAGGGACAGGAAATACTACCAGCATATCATTCTGGTGTACGAACTTAATTTGAGTACTTGCAGAATAGCTTTGACCTTTCGTACCGACGATGTACTGCGTAAATAAAGATCTCGGTTTCAGCAACTCCGAATCTTTGCGCTTCTTCAGTTGAAAAGAGCCGCTCTCTTTTAAAGTTCGCGGCTTGCTACATAATCTACTACAACGAGCCCAACATTACTAACCAAACTCTATTTTCAGTTCGTTTGCAATCTATACATACTTTACATCTCCCGTCGGGATTTCTGTTCCGGTAACAAATTGGTAGTAGTCAAGCAAGTATTTAGTCAGTGCAGTCGAGTTGACAGGGCCTTGAGCCATTCAGAAACCACCGCTTGACGATTTATGGGGCTGAGCTGGGTCTGCACATGTATTCAGGGGGGGCGGGGTTCGGTATAGACAAAATACCACGGTACAGGCCTAAGTATTACCCCTCGAGGGTGCCTCAAAAGTTTAGTTTCCACTTTAAACCCCCTGGTTACCCTACCCTCAAGGGGTAATAGTAGTCCTTACGCCTGGGACGTACTACGTAGGACTATCATAACCATTATTCTTTTGCCTATAAGAGGCCAAGTCGGGATGGGAAAGTTCAAGCTCTTCTATATTTCTAACGGAATAGTCTTTTCTAAGTGGGTAATAGTCTTTTGTCTTGATAATAATTGTATGAGATGTCACAAAATGGCGTTTGACGAGTTTCTGCTTGGTTACATGATTCTTGAAAAGTTGCTGAGTAAAGGGGTAGCCAGATGTCTAGTAGTACTAAATATGGCTAGACAGCTTCTCAATAACTGTTGACATAAGAGAGTTAGTTCATAAGGCGTTTGTTGATCCGAAATGGATGCAGGATAAGCCTGGTACATAAGCGAGAACCTTGGCGAGAACCTGGGAAGGGGTCGATAAATGGGGAACACGCTCTTGGTTCTCCTGCAATTGGTGTAAATAAATTACGCATTTTTCTTAATGATATCTCGTCTTTCTTGACGAACCCAGTTACCGGTACTGCTAGTAGTATGTTTGCAGCGTAAGGAGTAGGCATCGCGAGCTAGGGAAAAAGGCCCACGTGGGTAGGGAAGCAAAGGCACCGATGAGGATTGCTTTCTTGTGTCAAAGATGCGAGAAAATGTCCGTACTCTCATCCCCTAGGCACAAGGCACACTTAACATTTGAGAACTGTCACAGAATGTAAAAACCGAACCAGTTTCGTGTCTATACCTGCAGGATAAATGGGGTTGCGTTGATGTTAGTAGCTGTACTTTCAGGTCCGATACTCTCGCGACTGCCCTTGGTCTCTAGGTGCTACGATCTGACGGATCTGGGTATAACTCGGGTCGAGAAGTGAAACTACAACGTGGTATATGTGAAGTTGTTTAGTAATATTTATCTCAACATTGTTCTCTGACCCGCGGTGTTTGTGAAGACTCGAGTTTCCCTTCTGACTGGATCGGCCGATTGTTTTCCAAATATCCCGCCCGCCGACAGGGTACGCAAACTCAATCAGGCCGGTTGTCTTTTAATAGTTGTCTTGTATATCTGACTTCCTTACTCTTCGTACGCCGGGTAGCAATACTACTCCGTACAGCGAGAGCTACCAAAACAGCAGCACCGCTTCCGGGATCAGGGGACATGACGCAAGTTAAGGTTCCCTTCACCCTTTCAAATTCCAATGTCTCAGGTTCTATCATTATCAGGCTCTTGATTATCAGATCAGCTTAAGACTAAAGTGGTCATCACCAATCGTCTCTTTCCTCTGAAAACATTTCATTCTTTTTTTTCTTGGAACTCGGGTTCTAAGTTTCGTTTCTTGTGATACCACTTCTATCACTATATCCTTCTCTACTCTCCTTGGAAACTTGTACCAAGCCTTCCGAATCCTCTTTCTTATCATTCTCTTTCTATCATTCTCTTTCTACCATCCTACTCTACTCTACCTGCTCCCATCATGTTTGACCCCACCACGTTAAACCCAACACTCACCTACTCTACTGGTAAAGGATTAGGCTTTGGCAACGAAACCCTACTCCAAAACCACGAATTATGTACGAAAGAAACCTGCGACTTGTCTATGGCGAGGTACTCATACCTACCGTCACTGCTTGGAAACGCCACCTACCTCGCAATCTTCGCTATACTCATCTTTCCACAGATCCTCATGGGCATGAGATACGGAATATGGAAATACATGCTAGCTATGATCAGCGGGTTGGTCCTCGAAGCCATTGGATACTCAGGCCGCATCTTGCTGTACTACGATCCTTTCGACAATGATGCCTTCCTGTTAAACTTCATTGCCTTGACAATTGGTCCGGCATTTTTTGCTACTGCTGTACAACCCCCCCCCCCCTCTTTCTACTCTTTTCACATCAATGATACAATACTGACTGTCATTCAGATTTATCTTTGCCTGGGCCGTGTTGTATTAGCATACGGAGAAGATGTTTCCCGCTTCAGGCCACGCACCTACACTATCTTCTTCTGTCTCTGCGATTTCGGTCCCTTGATTATGGAATCAGCTGGTGTTACTATTGTGAGCACCTCACACACCGAGAAACAGACCCGTATCGGAAAAAACATTGAGATGGCTGGTCTCATTTCTCAAGTCATCGCTTTAGTCCTTTTCGCAACCGCCGCCACCGATTTTGCCATCCGAGCCCGGAAGGCGAAAAGCACATGGGACGAGCGCTACCAATCTGTTGTCAAAACTCCCATATTCAAGGCTTTCCTCACCAGTCTTGGCATTGCAACCCTCACGATCTTCACCCGGTCCATTTACCGCATTATCGAGCTGTCTGGCGGCTTCACCGGCTCGCTGTTTACCGGCTACGAGCCCATATTCATGGTTTTTGAGACTTTCATGATCATCATTGCGTGCACGTGCTTGACCGTCTGGCACCCGGCTTTGGCTTTCGGCGATGTTTGGCATCAGCTCAACTTCGATGACGGTACGGAGGGACCTCCAAAGAAGATGGACGAGGAGAGTGGGGACGAGGAGAGTCAGATCGGCGAGAAGAGTGTGCGGGTGAGCATCGAAGAGATTGGGGACGCGGAGAGTCAGCTGGGCGAGAAGAATGTGCGGGTGAGCATGGAGAAACATGGGATGAGAATTCAACCGTCTTGAATCATGGAGCGAGGATCGGATCAAAAGCTGGAAAATCACGGAGAGAGAACAGTTTGGGGTCTCTATTAACAACAATAATAATAATACTGTTAGAGCTTGATGTTTGGGATACTGTATATACCCTCTTTATGTTTTACGGGCTGATGGGGCGCTTCTGTTTAGACAGCTGGGATAGACTTGATTTCGCGGCGACGAAAGAAGAAAAAAGTAGACACCCTCTTTGTGTTTTACGGTCTGATGGGGCGCTTCTGTATAGACAGCAGGGACAGATTTGAGTTCGCGGCGACGAAAGAAGAAAAGTAGACAACTTCTCAATACGACATCTATGCATACCTTCTACCAATCGCTTTAGCCACTAGATTCCTTGACCCAGAGACAAGATTTTTACACTGGAAACCTCACAGCTTTGAAAAAAAATATATTCCTCGCCATTCTATCTCTTAACGTTAGCTTGTCCGTGTTTCAAGGAAGAGATGGTCTCCGCAAAGTGTGTGACCGACCATACAGCACGAAGATTCGGAATGTTGAATTCTCGGTAAGCCTGTAATCGCCGGCTCGCTTAGGTAGGTAGGTCTCCCATCTCATCCTTTCCGTCTTAGTCCGCATAAGCGATTTGCGATGCGAATTTTGGCATGTCCAAAGAAAATTGGGATAATGATTTTCGACCACCAAAATTGATGCTACAGCCACAACTCATGCAATTTCTCAATCCAAAATATCCTCGGTCGAAGATTGCAGACTTGTCTAATCCGACCAAAAAACATTCGACCGTCGATCGCTTTCTTTTTTTAGAGTCCGTATCATTACTCACCTTTCGTAAAGAACATCGTTCAAGTACCTACGGTATCTATTATTGTTGTTATTATTAGAATTTGAAACCGGCGCGCTCAATTGCAAAGCTTAAAAGAAAGTATAAGAAAGTATAGAGAAAGTATAACGAAAGTATACGTACAGTAACGAAAGTATAAGGAAAGTATAAAGAAAGTATAAAGCTTTGCCGTAGAAAAGGTTCCTTAACAGTACTTCCGATTGGTTATAGCGAGGTTTTGATCCCTGGCGGGCCTCCGCAAAACTCCCGGGCCCAGGGGGCCTCGCTTCGCCCCGGTCGTGGCGCAAGGCTGCCTTCCGCATTAACGCTACCGGTACATCAATTTTCTATAAGAGATGCGCTTTATAGGGATGCAAAGAAAAGGTAACCCTCCAGCCCGGCCGCTAGTCCAAACTTGCCCCGGAGCTTGCGGCGGGCCGCAGGTTTTCCGGAATTCGCGGTGTCATACGGTATTCGTCGCTATATAAATCTATAATAATAGCTTCTTTTAGCGCGATGCATTTTATCTATAGCAATAGCCCCTCGGGAGGCGATGCAGCAAGCTGTGTTTCGAGCATTTCTCTTCCTATTATTATTTACCTATTAATCAAGTACTCGGGAGGAGGAGAGTCTATAATCGTATTTCGTAATCGCAAAAGCTGGATTTCGATTGCCGCATTTCTAACAGTTTACAGGATCCACATTTAGCTCAACATTAAGTATACGGAGGTACAGCGGTCAAGTCTCCTAACCCTCGTCGACCCATGGCTACTATTTCTAACCTACTTGGGCAATAACGTGATCGTTAGGCACGGAATTTTGAAGATCCTCATTTTAACAGAACTCGATCACTTAGAAAAAGTGGCTGTGGGTCGACGAGGGTTACGACACTTAACCGCTGTACCTCTGTGTTAGATTAGTAGTAGATCAGAAGATTGAAAGATCATCGTCACCGACAAAAGGTTGAGGTGCAAGGATTGTTGTTGTCGTACTACCGTAGTACATCCCAGGCATAAGTATCACCCCTCGAGGATAGGATAACCAGGGGGTTTAAAGTGGAAACCAAACTTTTAAGGCACCCTCGAGGGGTAATACTTAGGCCTGTACCGTGGTATTGACGTCGGGCGGGTATCCAAAACGCAATGCTTGAACCCTAGGCCTCCCATGGGGTACGGCGACGTGCTAAGTAAAGGAATTGTATTGTAACTCCTAAAAGAAATTCAAGTTGGGATAGCGCAGCTGCTGCCGATTGTGCCCTCTTCTTACGGAGAAGATAGATCGCAAAAAAGATATATCTTCGTCGAAGGAAAAACCTAAAGAGCAAGTTATAGCGTAGGTAACGTATATCGGTGTCGATTATCGAGATAATTCGAGGCCGGACCGGAGTCAGCCAAGTAGCCTTTTCGAAGGCGCAATATCGTAGATCGTCCTGAACCCTCTTCTATCTCTCTCACCCCGTTCCCTTTCTATCGCAGATCCTCTTGGTATTTTCAGTCGGTATGCTCGTCAAGTACTTCGTATGAATCGTATCCGGCGTGGTGATCGAGGTAGGAGGAGGAGTCTCGTTCGGATCGCCGGTAAAGGAAGATCTCTTCGAAAGGCCACCTTGATACAATTTCGGCTCTCCAGACTCTCTTTGCCGCAAGAAAAAAAGCTAAAGATTCGTAAGGGGCACCTCGTACAGGTGAAGAATCTTAGCCCCCCTTAAGGTGCCAGGAGAAATGGCCGAGGGACACCTTTCTTACGAGGCCGTAACACCTAATGTTCATGAGGTTGTTTAGACCACCAAATCTCACTACGATTGCGATTTTTCGATCGTTTAAAATGATTGTTTATCTTCCAAATGACAGCTACCTAGCAAGCTTTTTGATGTGAAGCTTGCTAGAGAACAAGCCAGCTGTCAGAAAGACGAGTTCTCTGCTACGTAGTACAAGTACTTCGTATTTACGGCCATTCTGGAAAATGACGTACTGACTAAGTTAAGCGAGCCGACTATTACACGGACGGAGAAGAGCGTGTGAACTTGTGTCACGTGGGTCGCGCGGTCCGAAAACCGACGCGTAGACGTAGACCGCGACGTGAAAGCTTCAAATCGTCCGCACCCACTTCCTCATCCACGACACCTCACCGCAAAACCCAATGGCACTTCTCGTAGACAAGCACCGCCCCAGGTCTCTGGACCAGCTGACCTACCACCCCGAACTCTCCGACCGTCTTCGCTCCCTCGTGCGTCCTTCCTCCCATTCCTCCAGATTCTTTCTGTTAACAACCTCACAGGCCCAAAGCGGCGACTTCCCCCACCTCCTTGTCTACGGACCCTCAGGCGCAGGCAAGAAAACTCGCATCGTTGCCACTCTCAAAGAACTCTATGGGCCCGGCGTGGAGAAGATCAAGATCGACTGCCGCGTCTTCCAAACAACCTCGAACCGCAAACTCGAGTTCAATATCGTGTCCTCCGTCTATCATCTGGAGATCACGCCCTCGGACGTTGGGAACTATGACCGGGTTGTAGTGCAGGACCTACTGAAAGAAGTGGCGCAGACCCAGCAGGTTGACACGAGCGCGAAGCAGAGGTTCAAGGTGGTGGTTATCAACGAGGCGGATCATCTGACGCGGGATGCACAGGCGGCGCTGAGGAGGACGATGGAGAAATATAGTCCGAATCTGCGGCTGATACTGCTAGCGAACAGTACGGCGAATATCATTGCGCCGATTCGCTCAAGGACGCTGCTGGTGAGGGTTGCCGCGCCGAGCGAGAGGGAGATTTGCGGCGTGCTGGAGAAGAGCGCGAGGAAGGAGGGGTGGAGCGTCAGTGCTGGGTTGAATGAGAGAATCGCGAGGGAGAGCGGGAGGAATTTGAGGAGGGCTCTGTTGATGTTGGAGGCAGTGCACGCACAGAAGTAAGTCCTTTCCTCACGTGTGCCCGAAGACCTTCTAGAGTTGTATAGATTTTTCACATACTAATATCCAACAGCGAGAAAATCACAGACAACACCCCCATCCCCCCTCCGGACTGGGAAGCCCTCATCTCGCAAGTCGCCTCTGAGATCGTGGCCGAGCACTCTCCAGCCCGCATCCTGCAAGTCCGCGCGAAGCTCTACGACCTGCTCACCCACTGCATCCCGCCAACGACAATATTAAAGACCTTGACATTTAAGCTGGTCCCGTTGGTGGATGATGCGCTGAAAGCGGATGTCATTAAGTGGAGTGCGTTCTATGAGCATCGGATTCGCATGGGTACGAAGGTGATCTTTCATTTGGAGGCGTTCGTGGCGAAGTTCATGAGGATTGTGGAGGAGTGGATGATAGATGGTGATTTCTAGGGCTGGCTGTCACCTTCACTGGCGTTAGGGAGGTGCTAGGCATGGGATTTGGCATCGTAGGAGTCCTTGATGGAAAACACGGTCTTCAGTCTGCTCGGATATGCTCCAGGCAGTAGAATCTTCGAGGTATCTTTGGCCTGTGGCCAGGATGTCTATGATTAATATGCGCTCATGCACGCCTATGGCGCATGAAGTATATCTGATACAAAATGTGCGATTTTCTCACGTTGGCCTCTCTCATCTCTCCTCGACCCTTGAGGTGCTCTCGTCTCAATTCATCGAGCACTTGCTACCCTTCCTGTATCCATCATCATCATCAACCCCAATCAATCATTTCAATCCATCTCAATCTTCTCCATCTCCTCTCTCTCCCTTTTCCTCCCGGCACCGCCATTCGTCAAAATCCTAATCGGCTCCTCCCTCTCCAGCTCCCACACAGTCAGCCCCACCTTGGACCCAGTAGGAACATTCAATCCCTCTCTCGGAGTCGGCGGTCTGAACTCCCCGTCCTGGACTCGCCATCCTTCCCCCTTCATCTTCTTCCACTCATTTGCCAACGCGAACCTCGTCAAGTCGCCGGCGGCATTGGCGTCTTCCTTGCTGTCGTGGCCGTCCATCTTGCCGTCGACTACCACTTGGATGTGGCGGTTAAGGTGGGTTTGCATGAGCATTTTGAGGCCGTTACGGTAGGGAAGGCCGGCTTTGTGGGGATATAGGAGTGCTGTATCAATAATGGTGGGGTGGATGATGCGAGAAGCGTTCAGGTCGTTTTCGAGACCGTGGCCTATGAGAGGCGTATCGGGTGAGAGGTAAGAGAATAGTATGGCGCGGGCAGCTGCTGGGGAATCGACTATACGGAGAGCAGACTTCGCTTCAGGGTCGAGAGCAGCTGGGTGGGACGGGCTGTCAGCTGACCAGGGAAGGGCCTCAGCCAGATCTTTCGGCCAGACGCCTGAGTAACGGGAGTTGAGGTCGAGGATTGGACCGATGGGACGAACGAGAACGTCGAAGAGAAGAGAGCCAGTTGGCCAGGATGTTGCAGTTAGACGGACTAGTTCGAGGCCGTACACTGTGTAGCACATCTCGCCGTCTATGCAGACTGGGCGATCAGAGAACTTCTCTGGGTTCTCTGGCGTCTTTTCGAAGTTCAAGATAGCGGCGAGTCTCTTGACTTCTGATATCTTGAAGACGTGATTCTCGGATGTGGTGCATCCAGTAGACTCGCCGAGAGATTCCCCACAGCATCTGAATTTCTTCTCTCGCTTGGCTTTGGGATCCGTAGCAGAGCGTTCTTGCCAGTATGGCTTGCCGAAGTGGTAGGTACATTTTCCGCCCGATGCCAGAGCGCCGTCTTCTTCTCTCCTGCCTGGGAAGACCTGGAAGCGAGACTTGCAGCGATCACAGTTCTCCCAGCCGTGAGCAGCCTCTACTCCTTGTTTAGCAGTCTCGATTTCTTTCTCGGTTGGAATCGAAACAACGTATCCGTGCTGAGCTAGATCTGAGATAGGGGTGTAGAGTCTATGAAGCAGGGCGAGTTCTTCGTCGATGTTCAGACCGGTTTCGATTTCCTTCGGTGGTCCAGCAGGCTTAGAAACTGGCGTGTCTGACATGAGAGCAGCTTGCTTAGCCTTCTCCTGTGCTATTTCTTTCTTTCTCTCCTCGACCCACTGCAAGACCTTCATTCTCTTGTAGATCAGAATCTTGTTCTTCACAAGATTCGAGTACACAGCAGCTGAAGCCGCTGCATCTTCCTCGAAGTCAAGAGCTCTCGTGATGAGAGCCTGTTCAGAGAGAACCAGCTCTTCCTCGGCATCGTTTGCATCTTTGGCTAGCTCTGAGTTCAACCGGTGAAATTCTGTATGAAGAGCTTTCAACAGCTTGAACCGCATATCATGGCCTGCTGGGGCTTTGCACTTGAGCACACGGGGATTTAGACCTTCTTTCTTCAGTGGTGTCTTCGCCGTGGTCTTGGCTACGGCTTTGGGGGTGGCCATAGAGCTTGGACTGGTCTTTGCTGGTGTTGAAGTGCCATTCTCAATCTTTCGTTTCAAGGGAGGTGGTGAAATCTCTCTCGTCGCTGGATAACTTTGCTCACGAGGCTTTTCATTAGCCTTGGATTGTAGAGCTGAGGTTTGTGTCTTCTCTTTGTCCACCTGTCCTGAGCCTAGCCCAGCAGTTTTCGGAGCGCTCCTGTTCTCATCGTCGAGCTTCTGGCGCTTACGCTGCCCATTTTGATCATGTCCAGCTATCGTTTGATCATTGCTCGTGACCAAAGTCTCTGCTGCCGTTTTTATAGGACTACTGTGTTTGAACATACATCTGGGGAGGATGCATGTTTCTTGGAATGGACACACGACCTCCGAGAAGAGACCTTTGGCAGTGAACATCGTTGACCTATGTTAAAGGTGAAGTCGAATGCGTGAGCTACTGAGAGATATTATGCGTCTGGTTGATGAGGGAGGTATTCCGAAGGTGCATCAGGGTTGAAGGGGTATGAGAGAGTCTGGCGCTAAGTCATGTGCCCGTTGGCAAGATGAAATCGAAAGCCACCACAGCCCGAGGTGAGAATTCTGAGTCGGAATGACTTGAAGAGGTATGTAAATCTGCCACCAAAAACATCTACCCGAAAGGAGCGTATCTAGCTAGCTGGGTGGTGATGTTGGCGTATTGGTCTGGAGGTGGGTGTCGCAGTGTTTGTATATATATTTTGTATACATGTGTATATATATGTTGAACGTTCAAAGCGGAAGTGCTTTACGCGCCACAATTCACCAGCCACAGCCATTTTAGCGAGCCGCTACTCACGGACTTTCGTCGGGATCGGAATCAGATGTAGTAGATAGGGGTAAGCTCGCTTCCCGGAGGAGATCATAATAACAAAAGGACTTCAATACAAGACGGGCCAGGACACCCCCGAATGATTCAATAACCCAGGAGAATTTTCCCACAGACAGACCTCTGAGCTTCGAAGGGTGGACCAAAATAGCTGCATGCCAGGAGAGCTGCATGGCCATGCTATTTCGGCAAATCGCAGTTAATGTTCGACCATGAATCCGCATCTCTCCCCTTTTCCGATGTGTCGAAACCAGATTCTTGTTTACAGACTAGGATAAGATTTTGGTACTTTCGATTTTTTAACAGTACCAGCAGCAGGCTCAGGAGGCGAGGAGGCGGCAGCTCTGGCAAAACTTTAAGAACTCAGAGCTAGAGAGACAACCGAACGAAGGAAAAAGAAGTCGTTCGGCTTCCAGTCAAGCACCGTTACCATCGCATTCACTCCAGTCTGCTAGCAAAAGGAGTCTCGAGGCCTACGCGACATATCCGTTACCATTGAGCTGCCGGAAGCGGCTTCGACGCTACATAATGAAGATCTCATTCATGGCCGGGAAGTTTTGTGTGAAGCGCCGGGTGCAGATAGAAAGCAGAAATGGATAGCTGAAGATGGAACAGACCGAAGTAGTGCTCTCAGGCAAGACCCGACCCTACTGGAGAATGATAAATCCCAGCAGAGAGAAAAGGAAAGCGGCTTCCATAACGAGAAAGCGATTGAGTTGAATCTTGAATGAGTATGTATATGGTCGAGGATACCGACCGGTCATCTCATTCGGATTTGTGTGAAAGTTTTTGAAGCAATCAAACAAACAGGAAGCAGTAATGCCTTTTATTACGTAGGTCAACTACTTTAACACGCCACGGGGTCACACTTTAGAGATATTTCTAAATCCTTGAGAACAGACTGAGAATCATTTCTCCCCTATTTTTCCAATCTTATATAAGGAACATATGTATCGACTAAAATGGGTGGTTGACAGGGACGGGAAAGATGCTCAACATTCAAGAACTCATTTACATTGAGGGAAACCAATACTCTGTACTTTGAAGATGACTATTGCCTCGTTAATATATTAGATAGTTACTAATTGTTCCGGAATGTTCATCTTTGTTGTAATTACATGGTAAGTCCACGGCGAGAAAGTCAGCCGATCATCTTTGCCCCGGCCCAGCTTCCAGCCCAGACCGGTTCCATTTTTGATGACGATAATGACAACTTCTATTATACGGATATTCACTTGTTTACTCAATCGAAACTTCAAACTTCAGAATTTCATTCACCCTCTCGCCCCGTGACTGTGAGAGCGTCACCACGAGCTGCATCTATAAAACCCTCCTGACTCGAAGTTCTTCTGTCGCATAGAATATTAGAATTAGAGTCGACACCCTACGACTGTACGGAGTCACTCTACCAAATCATACCAATCCTATATCCCGACCTTGATTCACAGCAATAACAGAATCAAAATCCAGCCATAATTTCCTCCTCATTCTCACCTTTATCGCCGACTTCGACGTTCACCCACGATCACGATCATCTTTGGCCCTTTCATCTAGAGTTCACATCACAGAAAGCACTCGTCAAAATGCAATCACAACATGGTGTCTTGACCTCTTACGACAAGAGCCTACCCCTCGTGCTTCGCCTTCCGGTAAATGTTCACCTCAGAATCTGGGACTACTTACACCCAATTGAGCGAGCGTGCTTTAGTCTCGCCAGGTACGTATTATAGCCCCGAAATCTGTCATTTCACTTTTGCAGTCCCGTCCTTATAGAGCACGAGAGTTCCGAAAATCTCTGAGAGGAGGTGGTAGTTAGGTTCTGGCTACTATGCCCTATCCTATTATCGGAATTTATCTTGTCCTACACCCAGCCCCTCGAGCATCGTCGCTTTCATAGATCAGATATCCCAGCTTTCTGAACGAATGACGGAATGGAGCTAACTCGTGACAGCCGCCATCTCATCTACCTCCTCAATAAACATAGTCCTCGTATCGCCCTCTCCGTCGGCTCGCCACTATCTCACAACCCACTCTGTAAAGAGCTTGGATGTAGACACTGGTGCGCCCCCCCTCCCCTCTCCTCTCTCTTCTCTCCTCCGCCAACCCGCCAACCCGCCCTCCACGAACCCAGCCCTCCAAAAAGACCAGCCGAGCAATTAAATAACTAATCCCATTCTAGTGTGCCAGCCCTCTACTCCCCCGCCCACTGCGAGCTGCACTTCCACCTTCGCAGCCTCTTCCCGCGCCACCTGACCTACTGCTACAACTGCGAGATGTTTACCTCCCACGAGAAGAAGGGCTACAGCGACTCCGGCGAGTACTGCGGGATCTGTACGGCGAAGTATTCGAGGATGTTTGAGAGGGGCCGGCGGCACATTGGGAACCTCGACGAAGACTTTGGAATGGTGGAGGCCGGCGTGGAGGTCAGGAGAGGTGGGAGGTACGTGCTCTCTTTTCTTCTCGCTTTCTCGCCTTCTCGCTTTCCGAGTCGGTTTGTTGTCTTGGGGCTTCCTGAGGCGGGCAGGGAGGGAGGCTATGAGAAGATAATGGTGCTAATGAGTGTGCTGGCAGGTGGTATAACAAGTTCCTTGAACCTCACCCGGCTCCGAAATGATGATTTTCACCTCGATTCCGAAAATGATCGGTGGGGGAAGGCACGGCTGGGCGCTTGTTGCTTTTGGGTTACGGCGGGACTTTTTGATTCTCTGGACGGTTTCGAGGAAACTTGAATGATTCTGGATCATGATTTTTGAGGAGTCTGATCGCTGGATACTTGTATTGATGATAGTGTTGGTTGGCCTACCTCCGCAAGGATACACGTGAGCTTCGACTTACCACGGAAGGACTTCTGGCGCATACTGGCTGAGGCATTGGAAATTTCCACACTTGCATGGATTGAGTTTACGTTGGAAGCACACGGCAAGGGGGAATACGGTATGCACGAGCTCTGGAGCGAGACCTGGTGGCGATGGAGAAGTCTTTGCTGGGCTGTCGGCATCTCTCCTGTGTCCTTTGTTACTTCGTGGTGACTATCGAGACGCAAGCTTTGAGAATGAAAAAGTCAATCAAGATAAAAGAGACAGAAGAATCAGATAACGGCCTTGCATAAGGGGTAGATTGGAGATGGGATTGTCGTAATAATCCACAGCGCAGACCTAAGCGAAAAATACTCGGATACCTGTTTACTTTGCACGAATCTCACCATGCAACCCCCCCTTCCCTCCCTGCAAAGCGCTCGAAGAACACACAAGTGAATTTTTCCATTCTCTTGAAAAAAAAAAAAAGGAAAAAAAGCTGTGCGATGCTCAGTCTCCCTCTCCTCTTCCTCTCAAGCACTCAAAAGAAATGTTCCCGACAGATCCTATCAACGACTCTCTTTCCAACCACCCAGTCGTGCGTGAAACGTGATACGCCGCCACCCACCGCTTGGTTGGACCGTTGGGGCTGGGATGCTTCGGAAGGGCCCGCACTGCTGCATGGCCAATCAGCATGCGCGGATCTGTCATCATCACGAGACGTCGAAGGGCGATGACTGACTGGCGTAGGAAGACTATAGTGCGTACTGTACGTATTTCATATCCAGTCAGCAGTACCGTGTGTAGAAATCTATGGGCTGAATTCGTTTTAAGATTTTTTATAAGTAGATAAACAGATATACATCCTATTATTGGCCTGTTGCCTGCCTATCGAAAAGATAAGAAGATCTGGCATTCAAAGGCCGTATAAAAGATGAAGGATGAGAACAGCAGATGAGGTTCTTCCGCGGTAAACCTCGTCCTTGTTCACCCCAGGTGAGGAACAGTTGAATGATAAGTGAAGATTCAATATTCAATATAGGTTCCATCGAGCAGAGAGGAAAGAGGCGGCCGAGGTCGAGGCGAACAACTTGAGAAGCATGAAAATACACAATTGACGAGAAAGGCAATAGGGTTCTCATGCGTCATTCGAAAAGAAGAAGAAAGAAAGTACTCCTGAGTCCATCCATTCAACGCGATCTACTAATATACAGCCCCAAAGCCCCCCTTCCACCGCAAAGTTGCTAGCCATCAAACTTGCTTCCGCCTGATTCCTCAGCTAATACACAACACGGAAGCGTTTAGGGCTATTACATGAAAGAACTCTCTATTCTTCCTCACCGAACTCGGCGCGTCCTGCTTTCGAGTTCAAGTATTCGTTTCTGCCATTTTGTCAGCTCGATATACACGTCTCCCCGCCAGAATGCGCGACATACCTCTCGATAGCCCATTGCATCGTGACGTAACCTAGGATGAGAGGAGGTGCAAAGTAGAGGACTTGATGGCTGAATCGTCTCCAGGTGTTGAAGATGGCTGCGTGGAGAGTACCGGCGAGAGGACGTTGGGCGTTGGCGCTGAGAGCGTAGGATGCTATGCCCTTCTGAGTTTGGGATCCTAAAACGACTGTTGTTAGCAGATGCCCCTCCAACTTGTGTTTCCGTTCCATCGTAATCGTTTGTTGCTCGAGCTCCAGGTCGTTGTTGATGTTGGAGTTTAGGGTCGGGGCGAAGGTATCCACGCATAATTTATCGCGAGGCAAAACAAGGCATCCTCCATAAGTGTCTCTAAGATTTGACTCAGCAATACTTGCTATAGTATTGCCCTGCCGATGGTTTCCCTATCGCTTGATCCACCTTATCCAGCCCATCGAGTCGAAGCCTAGGCCAAATCTATGAGATTGATCGCAGAGACAGTCGCCCTTCGATGATATAGATCTTGATCCCACGTAATATGCCACTGGGTCGATTAAGGTTGTGAATGTCCCCGTCCAGATGTTTGTCGCGAATCCGGAAAAGAGGAAGATAGCAGCTCAAGAGCTCTCAACACTCACCCAAATTACCCCAACCGCCCAAGTACCTGTATAAAAGCAAGTTAGCATCTGCCTCTGCCAAAAGTCCCTGGCCATAGCTACAATGCCTCCACAAAGCTTCCTCGCCCTCCCTCGGGAAGTACAGGAAGAGCATTCCTCTCCTCGCCACACAAGGTGCACTGACTTTCCATGCTTGCCAATCGGTCCATCGCCACCGGATCGCAGAATCTGAGAGGGCCTCATGTTGTCGATTATGTAGAAAGTCGCCAAGTTGTGTTCAGTGTGTGAGGAAGTTGAAGAGGATGGTCTTGTCGAAAGACCAGGTCGGATGGATGCGCTAATATCATTACCCCGGTCGTACTAGTGCCAAAATTGTCAAAATGGCGAAGGCGTACATCCCGAACTGCAGTTCAACACAACCACAGCAGAGACCCAGCTCGACCACCAACATTATCTCAAACCTCCAACCTCCAACCTCAGCCCTTAACCCTCAATCCCGACTTTCACCAAGATGGCTGCCGCGCTCCAAAGCCTATACAAGTACGCGATCCCGCTCGCCCTCGGAGCTGCGTTCGCCGACGCTTCAATCTACGATGTCAAGGGTGGCACTCGTGCCGTCATCTTCGATCGAGTTTCTGGTGTTCAAAACAAGGTCGTCAACGAGGGCACGCATTTTCTGATACCTTGGTTGCAGAAGAGCATCATCTACGATGTCAGAACGAAGCCAAGAAACATCTCGACGACGACTGGATCCAAGGACTTGCAGATGGTGAGCTTGACTCTCAGAGTCTTGCACAGACCCGAGGTGCAGAACTTGCCCAAGATCTACCAGGTATGTTCGAAAACTGCATTCGAATTCAATCATGGGTCTAATGCAGACTAGAATCTCGGCCAAGATTACGATGAGAGAGTCCTCCCCTCCATTGGAAATGAAGTCCTCAAATCCATCGTCGCCCAATTTGATGCCGCCGAACTTATCACGCAGCGTGAAGCCGTCAGCAACCGGATACGCACCGACCTCCTGAAGCGCGCACAGGAGTTCAACATCGCCCTCGAGGACGTCTCCATCACACACATGACTTTTGGAAAGGAGTTCACCAGAGCCGTTGAGCAGAAGCAAATTGCCCAACAGGATGCCGAGAGAGCGCGATTCATTGTTGAGAAGGCGGAGCAGGAGAGACAGGCCAACGTTATTCGTGCAGAGGGTGAGGCTGAGTCCGCGGACACGATTAGCAGGGCGGTCGCGAAGGCTGGTGATGGCTTGATCATGATCAGAAGAATTGAAGCCAGCAGAGAGATCGCTCAAACTTTGGCAGGCAACCCCAACGTGACATATCTGCCAGGTGGTGGAGAGGGCGGCAAGGAGGGTGGTGGTGGTGGCAAGTTCCTGTTGGGCTTGAGATAGACGGGACGATTGACGAGGGTACTAAAATAAGTGTAAAAACAGCATATCTAAATGTAATCTCCCCCCTAGCAGGCGTCGAAGAAGTTGATCACTCCACGGAATCGCTACTCAAACGCAATTCTACTCATCGGAGTTTGTCCGAATATGTATTGCCTGGTTTCAAGTGACAATTCTCCCGAGATACCACACGTTTCCCGAATTTTGCTAATATTTTACAGACACGGGAGGAATTACAATCCATTGTGGCTTCTGGATCTACGAGTTTTTTTGAACTGCGATCCTCAGCCTCTCCTAGATATCATAGACATTCTCCCATTCATTGATAGGTCGCTGACCCATGATTCATGCCTAAGAGGACTCGCAATTCCGTGTCTGCTTCGGTTCACTCAGCCTTGTTCATCATCGTGCTTCATCGTGCTCTTATCATGCCACCTCACCAGATGTTTGGCTGTCTATGCATCTGCCACTTCCTGCGAAGAGACGCGGGAAATCACGTTGCATGCAATTCCCCAGTTGGCTGATGTGTCGTGAACGCTCGGCCTGGTCTGAATATGGAAGAGCTGCCATTTTGTCGCTGGCAATATCTCCTCAAGTTTATACCGGGCTGCTCTTGTTTCTTAGTTGGTGAAAACTTCAGCATCTCTCTCTTCTTCACTTACGGGACTTGGTGCAGCAGAGTTGCCTGTTGCTCCGGTCTATCGACGCCGATTTTGGTCTTCAGAGCCTTGCGGTCTGGGGGCGGTCTGGGGCTCAAAGGGTTCGATGACCAGGTGCGTACGCCGGAGAGATCGAGACTCTTTCATGGTATGCCGGGATTGTTTGGAGGGTAGCTTGGAGTCAGACGGGCCTGTAAGTCAACATCCGAAGAGGCTTATAAGCTCATGACCGAGTTAAGCGGCGCTTTGGGGACCCATCCAACAGCCACCAGCCCTACTGATGAGGCCACTCACCGGCGTCTGAACGCGTCGAAAATCAGAGGGCAAGTAGAAGAAACAGCCTGTGCGTGACAATTTCTGCTACCCGCTTGGCTACGGAAACGGGAGCCTATGGATAGAGGCGAGATGGAGTTTAGCGAGAATAGTCGGAGTTTTATTGCCTCGACTCGGATCTTCCTTGAGGATGCCAACGCGAACATTGATCCGGGCGACTTTGGGACGACACATTCCCGATGTGAGGATATACCAGGCCCCACGAGTCGACCTCTTCGGGAATATAGCTCGACGAACCAGTCTCCAGTTACTGCTGGAAGGAAGATCTCCAATCATCACACGTCTCCTCGAGGTTATACTACTGCTCGACCGTTCAAAGCTTTTAGGACAGCATCTTTCTGAGCAGATGAGAAACCTCGAGTGGATGGCAAAGCAAGGAGAAGACTCTATGCTCAAAGACGTTCCTGAGTCATGCCGATGTCGACGGCGCAGATGATTCCGAGAGAACACCTCTGCAAGCTCTGCTCAAAGCGGAAATGAACGCGCCCAGCCAGTATCGCACTTCTACTCATCGAATATGAAGCCAACGTCAAACATCGGCACCCACCCCGCTACATCTGGGCCGCGAGCAAAAACCGGCCTGGTATCATCGAGCTTCTCTTGGACAGCGGTGCAGATATCGATAGCTCGGATTGTATCGCAATCCATCGGCTCTAGAGGCATCACAATCACACAGCCTTGCATGTCGCTGCGTACCATGATTCGATGGATCCAGCACGGGTCCTGATCCGACGCGGCGCAGCAGTGGAGATTAAACACGATGGCAGGTGAGCCCCCACTGGCCGAAGCTACATCAAGCGCGTCACTGCCAATGATACAGTAGATTTGCTGCTGAGCTCTGGGATACCGGTAGATACCGAAGCAGCCGATGGATGGCCGGCTACAGCGTGTCTTGGAAACATTGCCTTAGGTACCGTGGCGCAGAGGCTAAATGCTACAGGTCAAGATCGAGGGGAGCTCGCTGATAGTAAAACTTTTTGCTAGATTTAAAGGAAGGAATGAAAATAAGGCGGAGGTCATGTCCCGTTTGCAAATGAATCGGCGGGGTTTGGAGCTGATTTATACCTTGAGGCACGTCTTTCTGGCCGAGCGAGTATTGCCCCAGGGAGGGCACTTTTGAATTTACCTTGTCAAAGCCGCCACAATCTCGCAGTTTGAAAACTCCAAGAGTCCATCAGACCTCCCCCAGGTACTACGTAGATTGTTGTATTTCCATGCATTACGGAGACTCCTACTCCCGAATGCCGCTTTGTTTACCCCACACCCGAAGCTTTTCGCTTCGCGGGTAGTGATTGACTCGCTAACCGTTGAAATGCAACACTCTATTGTTTATACGCACCTCTCTTTCCTTTTCCTGGAAAAGTACTTATTCAAAACATCACACCCATCCGATAATCGTTTGGACCGCGGGACACAGTTGCGGAGCTTGCATTCGTATACCCGCATCTCAGCCTCCACAAAAGCTCACACATATCATGCAAACAGCCCTCCACCACTGCCGATTTCCCACGCCCACCTCCCTTCTCTCGTATTTGACTCCTACTCTGTGTAATCCTTCATTATCACCACTTCTCAATCTCTTCCGCTTGCTCAAGATCCTCCCCTCACCAAACCACCCGTCCGTCCCTCCGATACCTACCAACTCACTCACTCACTCAACTCATGCACCAACATCACTCCCTCCCCCGTATCCTTGCGCCCTCCTCGCCTGCTCCGTAGCAGCAGCAGCAGAATCCTGCCCCTCCCCCACAGGCGCGCCCGAACCTCCCATCACCGTCTCCCCCCCAAACCCATGCTCGCTAATCGCTTGCCCGTACCGGATATTCTCAGCTGTCTTTTCGCCACGCTGGGCCTTCTCGGCGGCAGCCTGACAGTCTGCTTCGTTGGGCTCGCCTGCATCTGCGTCTGCGGGTGCCCGTCATTCTTAATCAGCTGTTGTTTCTCTTCCCCCCTTCAATTGGGGACCCACGAACATGTATGTATGTAGGTATGTATCTGGTGAAAGAGGGGAGAGGGGAGAGACGGGGGAATATAAAGGAAGAGGAGGACGTACTGCCGAATTGGCCGGTTGATTTCTTGGGCGATTTCATGAATGTGGCTTGGGATTCGTATCTGTCGCCACCCCCCTCGTCTCAGTACATACATCTTTCTCTCTTTCTCTGTTCATTCCACGGCTAGCGTGGCTTTGCAGGCTCACTTACTGTGTATTCTCCCCGCCAGGCTCGGTGTCCATGAGCTTGGTGTTTGTTGCTTTTGACATGTTGTTTGTGTTTCTGGCTTGCGCGGATTCATGTGAGGAATGGTGAGCAGACTTGAGAAATGAGGTTGCAATGCAATACTTGTTGATGTTGGCCTGCTTGAATACCGTAGAGCTTCTTATACTCATGACGTACGTATGTGGGGTTGAGCTCAGAGAAGGTGCTTAGCCTAAGTAGGAACTACTTACTAGATGCTCGCTCCCAAACATCTTCTCGAGTGCAGATTTAAGAAGAAGGGCACCTGTAATGGTTGTATATGTGCAATATACAGTGATGTACAAATATAATCCAGCTCCCCCCCCGGCCACTCAAAGAGCCAGAATACACCCTACAAATGCTGTCCAGTCTACCGGACCTCTATCCCTAACTTCTCCACCATCTCCTTCTCAATCATCGCTTGCAGCTCATTCGCTTCTTTGTTCCTCATCGTCCTCTCCAGACTGCGATAGTTGATCCTATAACACATACTCTTCCTCCCCGTCTTCTGATTAGTAAACTGATCAATGAGCTGCACATCCTCTACCGAATCCCCTGCAATACCGCGAACAATCTCCATCAAATCGTTTTCGTGGAATTCAGGAGCTGTGTCCCTACCAGCCACTGATGACGAGGCGGGCAGCCAGAATGCAACGTCCTTGTAGCAAACTGGGTACTTCGAAAACGGAGTGAATCGTCTCAGACCATCCATATTCCCAGACAGACCTCGGAACTGTCCCAGGAATCTCTCATCTTTGGACCAGAAGAGTCGAATATCTGGAATGTCAAAAAGTAACATAGCGATTCTCTCCAGTCCGATGCCGAAAGCCCAGCCCAGTTGATCGGGCACATCAGCGTTCTTCAAAATATCCTGCTTCACCACGCCACAGCCCAGAACCTCAAGCCAGTCTCCCTGCCAATGAATCTCCATTTCCCACGATGGACTAGTGAATGGGAAAAAGGCTTCGATCCACCTTACCCTCAATGGCTCCGCCGACTCAGTAGTTGTTGATGCCCGCTTCGCCCGCGAGAAAATATCTACCACCATCAACTCCAGCGATCTCTTCAGGTGCGCGGCAATAGCTTCCGCCTCCTCTCTTGCATGATCCCTCTGCAGCGGATTTCTCACCGGATGCGTCTGTGGATTCGGATCCTCGATAATCATATCGTGGGTTGGGAGAGCTGCAATATCTTTCCAGACCGCAGCCGTAATATCGCCCTCGGGAACGGTATTGCGATCCCACATCCGTGCACCTTCCATCTGGTGAAACACCGGGTAATGACTTCTGTCAATCGCATCTCTTCTATACACGTCTGCGGAGATGAGGTAGCCCTCGCTTTCGTTGGCGCGGAAGACATCGGCTTGGTGGGCGCTGGTGTGCGTCCGTAGGACCGTATTCTCGTTCACGTAGTAAGTGTCTGTTTTGCTGCGGCCGGGGTGATCGAGAGGGAAGCCGAGAGAGTCGAAGTTCTGCTGGGTGGTTACTATAGGAGAGAATGTGTTGTGGTATTTGTACGTGGGCGACGGAAACTTGGACTCGATTATCGAGCGGGTTATCGCGATAGGGTGGTCAGGCTGAACATGAAGACGACGGTCGAGAACGCCTTGTATAGTGGCTGGTATATTGTACCAGGAATCTTTGTTATAGGATTTACCCAGGAGGTTGACTGTTGGGGCTTTTTGGTCTGCGGGTGTTAGCTGAGTGACCAAGTGATGGAGTGAGCGACTTTTACCTACATGCTGAAGAGTTATGCCGGCATTGCGTACATCTCCCAATCCTCCTAGATGCTGTATTTGCCAGTCCAATAAACAAGGATAAAGCCTCGTGGCAAGTCGAAATGCGCTGCCGCGGTATGATAAGCTGCATTATGTCTGTAGAGCAGGTACTTGACCGTTCCAGGAAGTTTTGGCTTGGAGATTTAGGCGTAACATTCTTCCGGTCTCCTTGGGTCGGGACGGACCGAATTCCTCCGAATTATAGATTGATCCGTCTATAAGATACAGGACCGACAAGATGGAGACCAGCTTCTTCTCAAAATACTGTAAATAATGTAAATAGATTAGAAGGTATACTCAGCTCACTAATAAAGTAAAGTACCTCTTGATTATTATTCTGCTACATCTATTGGTCCGAAGTTAATTCAGTCGTCGTCGTCGACAAATGAGCGCACTCCTATGTCGGACTTAAGAGTTAATAATATGGGGTCCAAACGTAGGTCTCACAAAAGACGCTTGTTTTATATTTATTTGAATTCGCTTCCACGTCGTGAATTTGACATCCGACCCACCCCCAACTTTCGCTCCTCTTTTGCTCTCCCACCTTTGCTTTTGCTCCAGCGGCACGGAATGCCCAGGCTAGAGCAACTGGCACCATGTCGTCCGAGGTGAAGGCGCGCAAGAGGACGTTCTCAAAGAGGGATGTTGTGAGGTATCCGTTCTGGTTTGGGGGGAGCTCGAGTTGTTTCGCGGCTTGTGTAACGCATCCTTTGGACCTTGGTACGCTTGTTCTACTCCATAGCAGCTTCGAGACAAAGATGATCTACTAACAAGCTTCTAGTAAAGGTAAGGAAACATCAAGCGACATACCTATCCACCTACTTCTACGCGACTGACAACCCCAGGTGCGCCTGCAAACCCGCTACGGAGACGCCCCGAAAACAATGGTCGCAACCTTCGGCCATATCCTCCGCAGCGACGGCATGCTGGGCCTCTACAGCGGCTTGAGCGCCTCCCTCCTCCGCCAGATCACATACAGCACCACGCGCTTCGGCATCTACGAGCAGCTCAAGTCGGCGCAGTCCTCCAAGCCCAACTTCCCGACCTTGATCGCCATGGCCTCCGCATCGGGCTTCGTCGGTGGCGTCGTGGGAAACCCAGCCGACGTCCTGAATGTACGGATGCAGCACGACGCCGCCCTGCCGATGGAGCAAAGGAGGAGTTACAAGAACGCCGTGGACGGCCTGGTGCGCATGACAAGGGAAGAGGGCTGGAAGACGCTGTTCAGAGGCGTGTGGCCAAATAGCATGCGTGCTGTTCTGATGACCGCTTCTCAGCTGGCCTCGTACGACGGCTTCAAGAGTGTGTTGATGGATTTCACGCCTATGGAGGATAACCTGAAAACGCACTTTTCCGCCTCTTTCCTCGCGGGCTTTGTAGCGACAACGGTATGCTCGCCCGTCGATGTTATTAAGACCCGCGTGATGAGTAGCCATGAAAGTAAAGGCTTAGCGACGCTGCTAGCGGATGTGTACAAGATGGAGGGCGTAGGCTGGATGTTTAGGGGCTGGGTGCCAAGCTTCATTCGGCTAGGCCCTCATACGATCGCTACGTTCTTGTTCTTGGAGCAGCATAAAATTATGTTTAGGAAGTTGAATGGGATCGCAGAAGCAGAACAGCCAATATAAAGGCGCGGCAATGAGGGAGGGGGTAGGGGGTGGATGGCCACGGGTGCTTGATGGGTTTGTGAATAGAGTTGCTGTGTCACTGCGTTAACGATGGGCGGGCATTTGTCGAAATCTGGATGGCGTTGGGAGGAAGTAGAGTATGAGAGCGAGCATACACAGGCGTTTGTGACAAGTGGTATAGGGTATCATGACTCTTTGGTCTACCTCGGCGGTTTTCCCTTCCATTCCCCCGAACGCCTGAACCTGACCATACGCAGATTGGTATTACGATGAAAGCCCTCTATGAGCCACGCTATTTGGGTCCGCAAAGGGCAATCTCTCCGGAGATTTTGAGACGTTTTGGGCCCAATTTCAGAAAACGCGGTAGTCGAGATCGTAGAAGTATCTCGCAAAGCTTCTGTTCGAAATCACCGTCTCATCACACAATATATTTTTCGTCCTCTCAACCACTTAGTTCCATCCATGTCCCCCATTCTGGCCGTAAGGAGTCGCTCCGTAAGGGGTAGCAGCTCCGTTTCCGTAAGGCGTAGCATAGCCAGGATCTTGCCAGCTGTGTCCACCGTTCATGTTGATATCAGGGCTTCTCGGTCCATCTTCATATCCGTGTCCATTAGCACCATTGGCATCCTCGTCGCCTTCGGTAAGATCTTGAATGACCGACGCCAACTTTTGTTGCATAACTTTTATGCCTTGCTGGATGATAGCATCTGGTTCCAAGTTGCCTACACTCTCGACCTCAAAGTAGAATTTGGTGGGGACGGCATCGTAGTCGAATGGCTCCCCTTCTTGTTGAGGCTCCTCCCAGTCGGCATACTTGCTCTTTGGCCTAAATAATGTCAACAAAGCCAAAATGAAAAGGTCTCATCTATCTTACCATTCAACAGCCGGATCCGCCTCGTACCAGAGGTCGGTATGTCTCAGCTTGTTGTTCGGGTCGTACTCGAATGCCACAGCAGAAACCGGGGCCCATTTCGCATGTTCCTTCGCAATGCCCTTCTTCGCAATGCATCTCATACGCAACTCCTGGCCCTGGCGCAACTTGCAAATCACCGTGCCAAGTCCATCTTCATCCGTAATAACTGGATTTCCCACATATTGGTTTGCTCGATTTGGATCAACCACCAAGTCGCGCGCATAGACCTTCATGATTTCTTCGCTAGTACATCGTGCCTGGAGGGAAAGGACGACACTGCATAGCTCGCAATAGGACTCGCATTCGCAGTCTCGGGTGTAGTTGACATCCTCAATGTTTTTCGAGACTAGCGGAACCAGACCAAGTCGATGCGCCAGAAACTCGTCAGCCAGTACGGATGTGTTCGCCTCTATCTCCACCGTATCGATTGCCATCGTGGGGACCTCAGCCATGATGACTCGGCGCAGGGAGTTGGCGAAGGCGAGATCGACGTTTTCAAGTTCGAAGTCAACATGATTGGCGCCAGCCTGTTCATGCGCGTGAGCTTCACTCAGAATACCATATCCCAATGCACAATACCTCGGTGATCTTGACGGAGGGCCCAGAGGCCTCCGTATCCATCTGCATTGGGTCAAAGTCCATCGTGACGCAATACGGGCGCGCCCCGGTTCGAGATCGAGACAGGTATCGAGGGAGAAGATATTCGTGTTCAGTAAGGAAGAGAAACTCGGGCAGTCTGCAAGGCTGCCGTGGAAATGTGCAGCTCCGCCTTTGTGGTATCCAACGTGCTGCGGTTTGGAAAGAAGGGTTCTTGGCTGGAGGAGTCGCGTCGAGGAAGAGCCCCGTCAAGGAGGCTGAGAGGGAATGGGCCAGATTTCTCTGCCATAGAGGCTACTCCGGTCACATGACCAATGCTAGCGAAGACTTCTGTCATGGGTAGGTGAATTCAAAGGAATGAAATTTATTGCCCCCGACTTCTCTGTGCGACCAGCTGAAATGCTGATTCTCACTAAAGTGAGTTGCCATGATCAGACCGTTGAGAATACTTCAGAAAAGGTTGAGTAGCACAGCAGAGTTGAATGTTTCATAGAGTTTGCTTGGATCTCCGGTTCGGCTGCTTGTACGGACTTCCTCTCCTTCGCACTCCTCTTACCCAAGCCCCCTTCCAAGAAGATCCACCGAAACTTTAAAGATACGGAAACACAGCTCCTTCAAATCTCGATCTCGGCCTGAGGTCGGTCGGTCTGTCCTTACGACCACCGCCGTGATCATGTGTGAGGCTCGCTGCGCTCCGCTGGAATCCGCAGCACACAGGAGTATTGAATACCTACTATGTGTTTCACGGCCACTGCCTTGGCCTCTTGTCAGAATCCCTCAACAGCAAACTTTTGGGGCTTTCCTGACATGATGTGCCATATGCTGCTGCGGCAGCACTGGAATCGGGAAGGTCGTTAGATGGCTCGAGGGCCTCCAGGGCTCTATCGATGGTGACAGAGCGATGAAGCCATCCGAGCGTCGCTGAGCCGATCGATGGTTTAAGTCGTTTCGAAGGCCAGAGAACCACAGACCGCCTGGCTAGTAGCACCTAGTTGTTGACAACTTTAGCGCTTTGATAGCTGCAAGGAGCAAGTCTCGCCAGTCTCACTCTGGCGATAAGGCCAGAACCAAGCATCGCGGAGACGATCGAGCCAATTTTCTGACGGGCAGTGTTCTCGGACACTTTCTTTGATCTGCATCTGCATCCGCATCTGCAAGGAAGGAGGAGCGCGATGGACCCGTCGAGGCTGAGGAAATGAGACTTTCGAGTCTGGCGTCAATCATCCGTACTTGGCCGACCTCCGTACTTAGGTACTCACTGTAATGTAATACCGGTACAGTAGCGTGAGGCTCGGTGCTACTGTATAGCTGGGCGCCAGAAATCATTGCTTGCGGAGTGTCTTGAATTACGGAACGGATGGCTCGAGCATTGCGGAGTACCGTACTGGTATGCTCGTGGCTGAGTGGGTGAAAATTTGCAGACAAGAGCATAGCCCCCTTCGTTGTTGTTGCCGCCATGCCACTAAGCGAAAGGCAAATAGAGGCCAAGTCCCCCACCTTCAGTAAACAGTCGAACAGCATCAGTACGGCTCTTCAGATACATAATACACCCTCTCCCCCTCTGTTGTCAGGACAGAATTCATCGCATCCCAGATTCACCAGTTCAATCTTAATCAATCGCACTCTTGATTCCATCCACGCCTATATCAACCTCCACCTCCACCTCCACCCACATCCACGCTTGGTCGCCACCTCGTTACACACACCCCCACACCCACCACTAAACATCATGTCGGATATATCCATGTCTCCCACCTCTCTATCGCCACCAGAGTCGCGCCCAACCTCACGCCGCGCATCCAGAGTCAAAATGTCAATCGACCTCTCCTGCATTCCTCCGCTGCAGATGCCGACACCTTCCACCAACACCCTCTTGATCACCAACCTCCAAGACCCCTCCGTCTTCCGCCCCGACAACCTGCAAACGATTCGCGACCTCATCAACAGCTCCGCACCCATCCACTCCTGGGCCCCGATCAAGTCCTTCCGCCGCATCATAGTCTCTTTCTACGACGAAGAGTCCGCCATCCGCATCCGCAGTCTCCTCGATGGGGAAGTCGTCATGGGCGAGCGCATCAGAGTCTTCTTCGGCCAGCAGACCCCCATCGAGCCGAAAGACGAGCACTTGGAGCTCCCCGACGCGGGCAAGCTCTTCTTCATCTCGCCTCCGCCGTCTCCGCCCCACGGCTGGCAAGTGAAGCTCGAGGACGCGCCCAACAAGCAGGTCCACGCAGAAGATCTGGCCGAGGCGCTGGCGAAGCTGCACGCGAGGCCCACCACGGATTTCCCCGCCAGCCCGGTCAGTGATGTTGACGATGGCAACCGGGGCAGACAACGCAGTGGCAGCACCACCATCTACAACCCGAGTGAGCATGGCTTTAGTCCGAACTTGCCGGCTATCTCGGTGGAGGATACAACGGGGGAGTACGAGATTAGCCCGCTCGAGCAGGAAAAGCCCATCTTTGCGCACACGGCGAGACCACCGATTGAGTTGATCAAATAGCGAGGAGCAGACTGCAAGGGGGCTTGGCGTATGAGATCTTAAGTTGGCGTTTCTAGGGAACCATGGGGAGCTCTGCAGCCGCATGGAGCATCGGCGTTTGATGACTTGCATAAGAGGGTTGAATGAACTTGTATGATATCCTCTGGGCTAGCAATTAGACCTTGTTTTCGTAAATAACTTTCCACAACCCATGTTAATGTGTCAACGGACTATTATTGAGTATCGCAGATCGGTGAAGCAGTGTTCCTCGCTTCGGCGGTTGCCCAGTCACTTTTGGTAAGACCCATAACAAAAGAAGCGCCTACAAATCTGTACATGACCCTAGGAGCACATACTTCCTAATCACGACAACCACCACGCCCTTAAACCTCCCAGTATTCCCCACGACACTCTCCACCCAGCGTACGACAGCAAGCCCAAGAACGCACTCCCCCAAATAAGCGCCTTCAAGTTCCTCCTCTCAACCCCAGAGTTCTTGACCCCCGGAACGTAATCGGCCATGGAGGTCGTCGTATCCAGGTTAGGTATATACTTGAACTCAAAATCGCTCTCCTCGCCTAAGCCGTGCACCTTGTTCTCTACGATGACGTGATAAAAGATCCTTCTGAGAGCCTGCTCAGTTGCCTCGTCAGCCGCCGTAGTCCCCAAGGAGTCTCCTCAGCACAGACGAAGATTGATGGCCGGGGGATGGGAAGAGAGAAATGTTGACGGACAGGCTTACCTTGACTTTCTTGCGATCCAAGTACGGGATGGATCGATACGTATAGCACAGCCCACAAAAGAAGATGCATTGTCCCGCCACTAGCGCCTTGTAGTAAAATCCCGGCTTCCCCAGCCCCAGAGCATCAGACAGCTCATCGCCATTCAGCCACCTTGCACTGGCGTTCAGGAAGTCACGGCTGGCGTAGGCAGGCGGTTGGTTCTGCAGGGCGAGGATCACGTTGTTGGCTAAAACACGAGACGTCTCGCTTGGCTGGATCTCCGATATCAGCTGAGACTCCATGATGGCTTTCGCGCGCGCAGGCGTCGAGAAGTACTCGTCTGGCGTGCCCATGTAGTATGCTACGAGACGCCAGAGTGCGAGATAGTCGTTGATCTCGTGCTGACGCAGGTAGATCCCCTGGCGGGGGAAGCCAAGCCAGATGAGCGTAGCAGAGAATGTGCTGATTGTGCCGATGCTGTCGAGGTCATTGATGGGAATCCCGTAGTCTGCGACGGAGTAGTAGGATGGTTGAGAGGCGGCGAGCTGGAGGATGCGGCGACGGACGGCGGCGTGAAGGAGACGCACGCGAATGGAGGAGATGTGTCCGGCACCGCCGGGTTGAATGGATTCAAGAGAAGAGGTTACCTGCAGAATGTGTTGAGTCGTTTCGTAGAGGCGGTGTTTAGCTACTTTGGGAGAGAAGCCACCCGTTCGCGCAAGAACTTCGGTCACGCGAGCAGCTCCCATGCCACCGAGGAGAGATTGATAGGCTAGCTTGAAGGGATTGTTAATTTATATTTGGAAGATTGATGGGGAGGTTTTGACTTGCTGCTGTTAAAGCTACGCCGCCATATCTGTAGAACACATCTTGGCCTCTGATGATCTGGTCCCAGTCGACCCAGTCCGGGACTGTGTTGACCTCGTCCCAGAGCTGGCCCAGTTTGGGATCCTCTGATGCGTGATCTCTGAGGAGAGCATAGAGATCTCTTTTCGGGACTGGCTCGGCATTCGCTTTGGGTGATGCTCTGCTTTGATTTCGGGGAAGGTCTTTGTTGATGGGTGGCGAAATCTCATCGAGCCCTTGAAAATATTAGATGAAATACGCGATTGAAATCAATGAGACAGAGTATCCGTATCTAATCCTCCGATATGAAAGCTACAAGTTCCCGGGCTGAATTGTCACTTGTTCTAGAGCTATGAGAATTGTGCAGGCTCGGACTGAGGGCTGGTCGATGGAAGTCAAAGCAGCTTACGATTCAGACATTCTTCCCCCAAAACATCATAAGAGAACTTCATGGGATGCATCTCCTCTGGAGACATATGCTGAGGCGTCCATTGGAACGTGTATCCCCAGACATGGCGAGTATTTTCATCGTTCCGTCTGAACGGATTGGGCCAAGACATGTGAGCGTTCTCGCAGAAGTCGAGATCCACGCAAAGAAGGCAAAGCAAGAAAAGAAAAATTCTATGTAGCAATGATATCAAAGGTATCGCGAGAATGAGGAAGAAGGGGTTTGAGGTTGAGACTGAGATTGAGAATTTCCCCACCATCCATCATATGGCGGCATCATGGATTCGACGTCCTTGATCGCACAAAGCTTCTCCGGTGGGGTGGCGGCCATCGAGCTACCCCTGATCCGAGCGAGAGCTCTGACCAAAAGTGCCAGAGACTTTCATGTTGGCAGGACATATTATGTTGCCGCCGAGGGAGATCTGAAAAGTAAGATGTTATTACGGAATGTCAAGAAATGTCAAGACGGAATTTGTGTAATCTTCCGATATTGTTGACGTCGTCAGCATTTCTCAGGGGTACTTTAGCGATAAGATTCGATAAGAAGCGACGGACGGAAGAACGATGATCCCATCATTAGAGAGCGACTTTTTCTGCTTCTCCTTTCTCTTAAACCAACCTCAAATTGTCCGAGGATGAGTTGTCGCTGCACTATCAACACCTTGAATCTCTTCATTCGAAACGTAGCACATGTCGACCTCCCTTCGATCCCCAGGAGATCGCCTCGCCTGTTCCAGCCATGTGCTACTCGAAGCCTTACGCCTCGAGGACACTTTTCTCTCTCGAACAGAGCCTATTCGTCTGATGCAGCACCGAAAGTAGAGGACAGCGCTGAAGCCAAATCGATTGAATCGAGAGATTCCGACGCTGTTGCGGAGTTCTCGCTCGACGCGCTAGATTCTATCCTCGCCGAGACGAAACTAGGAGGCCACGAAGATGGAGAAGGTCCAGCAGGAGAAGCGAAGAAAGACATGCATGTTACCCACGACTACGAAACTCCCCTCAAAGAACTGTTCAAAGACGATTCGGGGACTTTGACTCGGAAGAACGATACCATAAGCTTGACTCCAGACCAGAAGCTCGAGCCTTCCAGAAAAGAAAGATGGGTACTTGGGAGAAATGGGAGTAAGGTGGAAGTCAGAAAAACAAAGACCGACAACGGAGAATTCACGTTACATTACAGCGCGAGGCCATCAAAGAGGGTCACTGCTCCCACGGTATCATACGGCGTGAAAGTCAAAGAACCTGTTTTCGAAGACCGACGTGAGCGATGGATGATAGAGAAGCAGGCAATAAAAGAGAAATACCCAGAAGGCTACATGCCGATGAAGAGACTCTCGCCGGATGCCATTGCAGGTATTCGAGCCCTGAATGCACAGCAGCCGGATTACTACACCGTACAGATGCTCTCGAAGGAATTTGAAGTCACCCCCGAGGCGATCATTAGAATCTTGAGGACAAAATGGCGACCCAATCCCGACGAGGAGACGGATAGGCAGAGGAGATGGCATAACAGGGGGAAGGCTGTTTGGCAGAGATTGGCAGATATGGGAGCCAAGCCACCGAGGCAGTGGAGAGAACTCGGAATTGGGAATGGGAAGCCTGAGTGGTTGTTGAGGAGGCAAGGGAAGCTGGAGAAGTACGTGCCGCCGCCTCTGCCTGCTCTTGTTACGACGGCAAGGAGGAGAGAGCAGAAGGAGCAGAAGAACATGTATGGGGACGATGAGGAGACTGAGCCGAGTCTTGGTGACAAGATATTGTGAAGATCCTTAGGAGTCACCCTGGTCGTCGGCGCGAAACGTTGGCAGATCGGATCATTCTTGTTGTACAGCTATGATTGATGGCTGCCTTGAAAGATAGGCTCTGTATAAAATATTGGCGGTGTCATGATAGCCAGGCCGAACGGAAGGGTTGATATCCCGGGAGCCTTCTTTACGGTTGTCACAGGGATGTTTGTCGAAGGGGCGACTGTATGATATTTGGGAAACACGGACTGAGTTCATGTTGTTGGTGCTCTACTGGCCTTATCACAACCGTTCTTTTTCTCTTAGCACTCATTCTCCTGTCCATTTCCGTCAATTGAGCTGCTCCCAATCGAGCGACGCTGGTATCTATTTTCGAGATGCGGATATACGGAGATGAAGGCAATCCTTCGGAGGGCCCTCTCGCTCGCTTAAAGCCCTTGTATTTGCACCTTTCCAGAGACGTGGACGATGATTGTAAATTCAGAAGAGCGAACACCAATTGTATCAGATGGATGTTCGGTCATACGGGGAGTCAAATTGCCCGTTGACTAATTCACTTTGACTGGTCTTGTCCTTAGATGGCTGACGGGGAACGAAGCATTGCCACGTATATAATATCTGGCACAACTTTGTGAGCGCTCCAGTGACGAATGATCGAAAAGACTTGAGTAGGATATAAGAAAGAGAGGACTGGATGGGATACCGTCGACACTGAGGGAGAGGCTGGGTCTCCAGACATATGTGCTCGCTTAATTCGTCTGGACTCCCCCCTTTTCCAAATCGCTACTACATTCCTGTCACCTACTTTCGTTTGCTTCCTTGACCAGAATAACAATAGCCATCACAGTTCAAAGGGCGTGAGTAGATCCTCGGCATATAACCACCTGACTCGACGAACATCTGTAAGTGAATGACACGATAATATAAGTGAAAGAAGGATAGCTAGATAAGTACCTAGGTAAACAAGCGAATATCGCTACAAAACGGACATTGCTGGTGGTGGACTCATTCAATGCCGACGTAGATGCTCATTGGGCGGGTTTTCATATTCGATGTCTATTTAAAGAGTGTGCTATTGTGATTCAATACTCTCTATCTGATTAGGGGTTGTCTTGCCTATCTACGTACTAGCAGTTCAAGGTTCAGGCGCTAGTCCTTGATCGAGATTCACAAATAACTCTAAGGTATTGTCCTGAATAGCGCTCTATTTAACCAGCAGATATCTTAATCAGATGCGTTCTTACCTTCTTTGCGGATTTACGAATAATGGAATGATTTGGGTGCGCGTGGAGATTGCAGATCCTCACATCGGAATGACGGACGGACAAACAATCAACACATTCATTGATCAATACGTAGCCTCCACGAACAATAGCAATGTCTTGGGAGACAGCCCGAGCTATGGGGTGGCTCATATTGCGAAGTTTACAGAGTACAGAGTACTTCCCTGGTCGGTGCCTGGTTTCCCCTGAAAATTGATCGCACAGGCCTGCCGTTCGTTCTCGAGGGCACGGGCTTGAGATAGAGGCGAAAATCAACTGAGGTTGATCAGAGGACAATCCCATGGAATGTACTTCCTCTTTCCCATTGATTAATTCACTTTTTGTCGCCGCTGTGTTAAACAATTTTCGATCGATACTGATCAGCCACTGTGAGTACAGAGCCAGAGCCCCCCCCTTCCCAGCTAGATGTTTATCGTGCAAGTCTAAGACAAAACAAACAGCTTTTGTTCCTGCGATCCTACGATATCTTCACCTCTGAGTCTAGCACAGGCACGAGCAACCCAGCGACGAGGGCAAAGCCTCCAACTGACTGCCTCTCTCCCAAACTACAAGATCTCTCTCGATCGCAAATATATTCCTAATAACTGCAGACTTCTTTTCCCAATCGACCTCCTCTCTATGGCTTGAACTATGACTTCGACCCCATCGAACCCGCGAACCTTCGCAGCGAACACCGGCCTGGGTTTGAAGCTGACGCCCTCCAACTCTCCCTTCGCCCGTACTCCACGCTCGCCCTTCAAACCCCGTGGCCCCTACGAATCCGGCCTCTCTCTCAGACGGATAATTGGCACCACCGTCTCTTCCCCGACCGCCTTTGACACCCTCTCTTCTTCCCGGATTTTTGCCTACACCGCTGGAGCTGCCGCGGTAGTGGTCAACGTCGATGATACCTCGAAATACTCCCAGCGCTTTTTCAGAGCCCGCCCGACTGCTCTACCTCTGAATAATGCGGCCGCAACATACTCTTCTCCTTCTACACCTGCGAACTCAGCGAATGATGGCCGGAATAGGGCGATGCTAACTCTGCGCGACTCGGCAGTCCCGTATTCCCCTTCTACAGCACACAGCAGCAGCCTAGAATGGGGCGATTCGGCGGTCTCAAAAACCTGGACGAGCCGGGAGAGGATAAAGGCTGCAACTTGTCTTTCAATGAGCCAGGATGGCAGATTTCTGGCTGTTGGTGAGGTAAAGAAACATGCTGGGTGAATGTTGATTTTTAGATATTGACACTGGACAGACTGGATATTCACCTCGTGTCCTCATATTCTCCTTAAAGGATACCTCTTCCGATAGGCCCCTGGTTATTATTAACGAGCACACATACGGAGTTCGAGCGGTTGCTTTCAGTCCAGACCAGAAATACTTGGCCAGTTTAGGGTCCCCAAATGATGGTTTTCTGTATGTCTGGGCTATTGACCAGAGGACGGGTGCGGCAAAATTACACTCCAGCAACAAGTGCACGAGCTTTATAAACCAAATGGCGTGGCTAGGAAATAGCATCGTCACGTAGGTTCACCACCGAGGAACTTGGAAAGCAAGCTCTGACTCTTTATAGAATCGGTACGAGACATGTTAAGATATGGAGAGTGGAAGATCGCAGGCCAGTATCGCCAACAAAGCAGCGTTTTGCTCTTGATGGTACACCCATCCCTATTCCGCCTCTCCCCGCCCTGAAAACACTGGTAGGACGAAATGTTCTCCTCGGGCCGTTGGTGGAGACCACGTTCACGGCGTTGGCACTGATATCAGAACACCAGGCAATCCTCTGCTCTGAAAAGGGTGATGTTTGCCTTCTGGATGATACCGAAGGGTCAAAGCTGTTGAAGTTAGCAACGACGGGTTTCCGAATCACATGCATCGCCATAGATACAGCGGCTCGAAGGGTGCGGATAGGTGGGAAGAATGGAAACGTCAAGTCCGTAGACCTCGACGATTTGCTGAACCCTGTCACACCCCCGGAATCGCCGAACCCTTCGATCGCGAAGAGCTTTCTCCCGAGCGACACGGGGCATCTCTGTGCAATGGGCTATGCGGCGAGGAGTCTGGTAACGGTGGATTCGAAACACTCGATTGAGATATCGTCCCCTGGCTCAGATGACGCGGATCCTCACATGCAGAATACACCCTATCCAGCACACGGCGATTCCGTTCTTGGTGTGCGGCTACTCTGCCCCGGAAACGAAATGAAAGCAGATTTTTTGACCTGGTCTTCAAATGGTACAGTTGTGTTCTGGAATTTGGACGGCAGCAGCAAAGGCTTTCTCACGGTTGAAGTAGAGCAACTCTCTGCGGCTGAGGATGGACCCGCGAACCAGTGCCAGATTGTCCGGGCTTCCAAAGAATGCTCATTCTTGGTCACTGGAGACAGATACGGTGTATTGCGAGTCATCAACTCGACCACCCAGAAATGCGCCTTCGAAACGAGAGCTCACATGTCGAATATTCAAGACATCGCAATCTACGAAAGTGAATCTTACACTTTAGTCGCCACATGTAGCCGAGACCGAACAGTCCAACTCTTCCGTCTCTTTGCGGGACAGTGGGCTCTGATGCAGACTTTAGAGGACCATTCGGCCAGCGTGTGCGGCTTATTCTTTGCGGAGAACGGCGAGAAGCTGGTTTCTTGCTCTTCGGATAGGACGATACACATCAGACAAATCGTCAAGAAAGATGTGGGTGGGCAAGAAGTGATGGGTGCGGTCCCTGTCCGGATCATCACATTGAAGGCTACTCCTGTGTCAATGTCGGCTTGCTTCGCAAATCACATGGGCAACTTTGTTGTTTCCTTACTTGATCGCACTGTTGCAACTTACGAGATATCTAGTGGTCGGCTCATCAGCTCTTTCAAGGTTACTGATAATGAGGGACAAGATGCTGTGGTATTGGACTCTTTAGTAATGGGCGTGCCTAACTTCACGCCAGGGCGGCCGACGATACTTGCAGGTGTTTCAAGCACTGACAAGTCGGTTAGAATATACGATGGAACCACGGGCTCCTTTCTGGACAGGGAATGGGGTCACACGGCCAGTGTAACTGACGTGGCTCTCCTGGAAGCCCCTGAATCAGATCAAAAGACATTGATCAGCACTGGAGCTGATGGCACAATAATGATATGGAATCTTTCCCCCAGAGGACCTGACTTGCAGGAGCCTATCGATCTTACATCGAGTGGTGATCCATCGCCTACGAAAGAAACACTATCTAACCGGCCACCGCTTAGGAGAGTGCTTTCCAGAGCTGAAATGGCCGAGTTTCAACGCGCGTCCCCGCTTTCGACGCCTACTGGCAGTCGATCACCCCCAAGAACGATACGAAGAAAAACCTCAAAATACGGCCTTGCGACACAGTCTCCGACCATTTCCATCTCGACCATGCCGACCGTACATCCCAAACATGTCATGTCAGCATCTGATGATACGACTGCCCGTCGTACGTACCGAAACAGATCACGGAGCCCATCAAGCCCCAAGCCTAAGGACGCGAGCCGCCCTTCACTTGAATGTCGGGGACGGACAAAGAGCGCAAGCAACTTCAGCGAATTTGGCACGCTGAACATGGCAACAGAGCAAGCTTGCCGCACACTGCGAGCATATAGAAAGAAATTGCTGTCGTCCGAGACAGTGAAGGAGGATCTATTGAAGGAGTTAGACCAGGAGTTACGCCTCACGGCGATGGCGTTGGGGGAGAAGAGTTTAAAATCGAAAGCCATCAGCGAGACTGTATTGACAGGTTTACTGGACCAGTACTCGGAACGACTGGTATCTCTGTTTGATGAGAAACTTAGAATATCGCGGCACAACTCGAATGAGTTGCCGATACCAGAACTAGAAGAGAGGCCGAAGTCGTTGGAGATATCGCCGCTCGCGTCGCCGGCGCTATGATCATTCGCATTTAGGGGGTTCTTTCGTTCCTGGAGCGCTTTTCCATTCTAGATGGAGACCTAATTTCCTAGGGTAATGGCGTCTGGGACGGGGTTGGCTACTCAGGCACTCCCCGAGATGGGGTTTTAGGGCAGGGGGGCGTTTGTTGCTTTGAACACTGGGATTGGAACACTGAGATTGGTGTAGATACATTTCTGGCGTTTCTTCCTTCTACCTTTGAACCGGCTGATCTATGCCGTGTGGGTGTGGGTGGGATAGAAAGAGAGAGGAGGAATCTCTTTTCATTTCTTTCTTTGTAAAAAGCAAGCCCTGGGGGTTGGCTGGCGTCGATACATGCCTTTTTATCTTTCTTTTCTCTCGAGGGGGGATTTTACTCAATCTATCTGGCTGGGGAATACGGAGTTGGACATCCAGGGTTGGGTGGAGTGGAGGGAGAGAAGAACGAATGGAAATATGGCATGAGCGACATTAATGCTAGATGGATGACCTTTTTCTTTTTTCTCCTGAATGGAAAGGGTGATTTTCCCGAGATGTGAGAGAGAGACGGATCTGTCCAACTCTTTGCCTTTGGATGTATTGTGACTTCTCACAGCTACTCGATCAATACCGATTGCATGCCGAAGCTCTTGAACGGGGTGACATTCTGTAGGGGTTTTCCGTATCGAGATGCCAGAATCAAATCAATCTTTAGACTACGACTGACTACATAATCAGCTTTTGACTTTGTTAGATTTTGTCTTTGACGCATTGAACACACCGGAATCTCAATCAAGTAATTTAACGGTTCTGATAAGATGACTGACTATGCCTATAAGACGCCCGTACCATACCAATACGATACTAGGCCTAAGTAAGCGACAAATATAATCCACCAGCTACCACATGAAAGGGGCTTGGTGGTGTGTAGGGCGTATGTATAAGAGGGGCGGCAAATACCGACGAATTAGACCCTTCCAAGGACGCCTGGTCATTCATTGGGAGCAACGTCTGTCTGGTTGGTCGACTTATGGTGTAGCATTCATTCATTCATTCATTCATTCATTCATTCATTGCACATCAAGCCAAGTTTTCTACCGAGCCGTAGAGAGAAATGCCTGTTTCCATCATTCAGCTCGTTCCAAGTGGGTGGGTTGGTTCATTCTTGCTCCTCGGTCTGCTTTCCTCCATCAAAGGAAAGGAGACGGAGGGGAGGAGGTTGGAAGATACGGATGTGATGTGCTGTTTGGTAGCGTCGATTGCGGAGAGGAAGGGCTGGCTGAGGAAGGATGTGTAGAGATTCCTGATGAATGCGAACGGAGGTCCATCGTGTAGGGGACGAGGAGTTGGAGCTGGAGGGGAGATAATAGAAGCCCGCGCCGGGTAGGATGCATGTCGTTGGAACTCAAGGTTGTTGCGAGGTAGTAGATAGATGTTGAGAAGCGAGACCACGTTCCTTTCTTCATCTTCTCTGGTAATCCGCGAGCCAGGTGGCAAGGATTGTCTCTGCGAATCAATCAGCCTGCAACCTCTTTCATGGAGTTGTCTATCCACCGTCTTGCCGTCCTCTCAGCATATTCTCGTTCTTCGAGCAAGAAAAGCATTGGTGGTCCCCTCTCACAGGTAGCGCGGCTTGGTCACAGACCATGGTGGCAGGCTCGAACATTGGGCGAATTGCTCGGCGCCATGTTCGTCTTCTTCTCCACAAGGGAGGTACTCAATATCCTCCGGTTCCTCGCGTTCTGGCACTCACCCCAGCACCAGGTGGCCCAGGTCTTCTTTGTGTCTGCTGTTTTCGTCCTTCCCTATATCTTCTGGATATGTTGCTGGCGACGTCAGCTTGGTTGCCTATATCCAGAGCCAATTACAGGCAACTGGGCACAAGGACGAGCTGCCTGCAGTGAGCGAGCGTTTTGTGTACGACCTATGTCGCGATTTATGCCATTTGTAGTCCGCTTCTAGGGAGACACGTCGATTTGGGCTCCAGTTCCTTCCCGGGTCTTGATTCCGGATCCTCTCTTGCGATCAGATCTCCTGGATAATCCACCACCACTCAAGATTTCAGAGAGCTTACAAAGAAAGTGAGGCCGAAAATCCAAATAGCGTCTTTTCGGCGGCGATCCTCATCGCCACGCTCGTACCAGTGGGAGAGCATTTGCCCTCAATCACCAGAGATTGGGCGGCGACCGGACAGCGAAAGACTCGGGTCACGAAGTGGCACCAATCGAAGAATGCACGGAAGTAACTCCGCCGGTTGAAGCAGAGGACAAAAAAGCAGAAAGCAAAGGACAAAACTCGATAGTGGTCATTGAGACCGGGATCAAGGCTCGATCATCGTCTGATTCCGAAGCAACGCTACCAAATACAGCGGTAACTCGGCCGCAAGGATAGGTAGTCTTGCACGGAGTCTTGAGGTGCCTTAGCCATTGCTTTGTACGAGAATGAGGGTAAGGCATGGCTTTGTCTTTCCGACGGTACTTGGGGCTAAAATACTCGAGAATTTCCGAGAATTCCCGCAGCTCTGCTCATAGAAGCGCACAACCCTTAGATATCTGGGCCCTGGCGTTCGTGGCGAGGATGAGGCTCACAAGCCGTGATGCCTCATTTCAAATTTTAAGAATGTCTTGGGACTCCAGCTCGTGGGCCAAACGCCAAACGAAGTAGATCTTGAATCACGATCGGTAGCCGGTATTTTGACGATATTTTTGCATAGCAAAACGACACTGGAAATCAAGGGAGATCAAAGGTTCGATATGTAACAATGGAGTAGGGTAAAACAATCAAGGATGAGATAAAGTATGCGAGCAGGGTGGCTCCGCATGTTGCCAGATTGGGAAATGGATTTTTGCAACTCACCACCCGTCCATTCCAGAGTCCGTGACAATCGTGATCTTTTTGAATTCGTACCCAGCCCGTTGACGCCGGTTGAAAGTTCCGCAAAGAGAATCCTGCACGCGCAATTCGTTTGATATGATACACCAGGCCCATACTGCACCATTCCCACTATGCAAGAGGCAAAGCAATCCGACATCCCACTCATACTCGGACGTTCCTTGTTTCCTTCTCGACAACCTTCACCAGATCCTTGTACACATCTCCATATTCCTCGTCGCCCTCGATCTTCTCGGTCTTCTTGGAGCCCACTCGCGCCTCGGAGACCATCACTACACTCGTAGGCCGTTTCGTGTTACCCGCTGCACCCAACTCTGCACGACTTGAGACGAAGATGTAGGGTACGTTATGGTCTTCGCAGAGGACGGGAATATGCGAAATAACGTCCATGGGGGAGATATCTGCAGCGAGGATCACCACACCCGGGACAACGACGTTGCCGGCACCCTGAGGAGACTTGCGCAGGGCTTTGACGACCTCCTTGACTCCGCGCTTGAGCGTCTTGTTCTTTGCGGCTGTGAGAATCACGGTCGTTAGCTCCTGATCCTCCAAGGGGCGCACACGCTTGCATTACCTTTCTTGACGCTCTTGAGCACCTTCTTCGCGACCTTCTCGTCGGCCAAGGGAGCTGCGAACGGCACCAGCGCACCCACGGGCTTGGTCGCGACGGCCTCTCCTGCGGTTTCGATGACCGCCTGCACGCTCTCCTTCTTCTTCTTCTCCTGCTCCTCCGCCGGGGCTGGCGCCTTGACCTTGGTCACCTCCTCGATCGCAGCTGCTATGTTGTCCCCATTGAGCTTGGACTTCTTCTCCTTCTTGGACTTCTTGACGCCGTCGACTTCGCTGCGCTTCTCCTTCTTCTCCTTCTTCTCCTTCTTGTCGCGCTTCTCGGACTTGTCTTTACCCATTTTCTCGGTTGTGGATTGGTTAGTTGGTAGTTGGATTAGGGCTCTCACTCGGGGCGCTCGAGGAGGGAATTTACTGGGAAAAAAAAAAGTTCGTGAATTATTCGCTGCGCTAGACCCGTTGCAAAGGCGGTGAAACTGGCGCCTAAGCTACCCCATCAACTCCTTTCTCTCAAGTTTTGCTATCAGGCAAGGCTTCCATGGACATATTTTATGGAAATCTTGATGGTGTATATGATGAGAAAGGTCCTTCAAGAGACACCTTAGCTCCAAAGCCGTATTGAGACATACCAAGGTCACGTGGCATCTTTCTGTTCCCGAGGTGTCATTTGGACAGCGTAGTGCAACGTCCCAAGAGTATAGGATATATGGTTTCAAAATCCCAATTCTCAATCACTTATCCAAGCGCTGAAAGGTGTATAAAATCTTGGCATCTGTTCGGGTATGTCTAGCATAGGCTGCGTCGCTGCGTCGCTGGATCAGTGGAACGACATCTAGTGTATTTATACCCCTGGATTAAGCGAATCCAGGCACATCTCGACACAATAAATGTCTGTGCAGTGTCCTAGAATATTGGAAAGGGTATCCCTAGCTTTGGAGCTGTAGACAAACAACTGGTGTAAGTTGCGCATACGCATGACTAAGTCAAGTCCCAGTAGACTGTCCGTCGAATGACTCTCCTGGGCCTTGGCCGTGTCACCGAGTGAGAAGGTACACAGAAGAACCGTTCGGTAGGTATCTATTGCAAGCCGGAGATATCCACAGTATAGACAACCTGCAGACCCATCATTACTACATCTTAGCCTTCGAAGCCATCGAATACCCTAAAAGCTTTACTAGGTATCACGCCTTGCCTTCCAATCTTGCTCACTTCTTTCGCCCTGCGATTGTATTCCGGGCGGCATCGGATTTAGGCCGAGTCATTTGTGAGGAGGGCTTTCAATATATGATCTTCGCCGGCGATTCAACTTGGCGCTTTACTCAATCGAAATAACGTTGGTGAAAGATGTATGTCAATTACGTCTCTCCGGTGCTGCTCGGGGAGGGGGCCGCCTGCCATGAAATCGGGGAACCGCTTGACGCACTCTTTATGGGTACGCATTTTCAACGATGCTCTGGTGTTTTGTGGCTACGGAGACATGGTTTATGCTCGATACCAATGTAGGGTGAGTGGTGTCGAAGCTGGCGGTAAGGCCAGCCTGTGTTGAAATTTGAAGTTGATGCTGCATGTACCATCATGAAAGAGAAGATGTGGGCGTGTTATTGCAATATCGAGCGAAACTGATCATACGAAGCCTTCAGATGATGTTTAAACAGGTTGCTTAATGTAATCCTTAAGCATTTTCTCTATTCTCTCGTCAGCCACCTTTTGGCTATACATCAAGAGCTCGATGGTCCGATATCTGTAAATCACGCTCTCATCCAATGAAATAAAAGTACTAATAATGCACAATGCTATACGGATCACTAGGTACCCAGTTGTATGCGATACTTGTGAGGTGTCGCGGCTACTAGGCTGGACTGCACGGTACATACTTCACATGCAGTGGTTTGCTGGACTCCCAGGTTCTGCATCAAGGACTTTAATCTTTACTAGGAATACCACCAATGTCTTGACCGCGGCACCGCCTCTACACTCTGGGATTGGGAAGTCGGCGACTGCGCATATCGTCCAGTCTGCGGCAATTGCTTACCCAGAGAAGAACTACAAGTGGATGCTATCATCTCTTGCTGTGGTCCTCAGGCGCTGACTATTTGGAGCTTCTACTATGCCGACGGAGATCTATTCTGATGGCTCTCCGGCTTGTGGGAAGATTGATGGCGTTGCGGCTGGAGTCTACTATGCTGAACTCGCTGAGGAGACCGAGCAGGGTCCTTGGCAGCAGACTTTTGTGAAGATAGTTGGATACAATCAAGCCCATTTCATCTGAATATCAGCTTCGTCTCTCGATGATACGTCTGTTCAGCATGTTGAGTACATCGTTTGCTGAGAATAGATTGCCATATAAAGATGGATATATGAATACCTAGATTGCAAGTCCCGGCATAAGAACACTAGATGAATACATCTTCTACTCGCAGGAAAACCTAGAAGTACAAGAATCCTACCACCTTATTCCAGATACCATCCCTCTCTTTCCGAAAATTCTCGGCAGCCACCCTCGCCGTCGTCGTCGACTGACTCTGCGCCCGCCGGCGAAATCCCACTAACCCTTACTTATATCATAACCCCTTCACCACCTCCATCAATAAGACGCCAGCGCAGCGTAAGTAGCTTCCACTTCTTACATTCGCAACAGCAACTAACAGGGTTTCAGGTTCCGAATTTCCGGCGCCCGAATTCGACAGCGACAGTCGTCCTGAGGCTACGTCGGATAAAAAGTAAATCCCATTACGTCGGAGGTGTTTCTTCTCTCAGCTCATTCGAGCTGAGAGTTTCTTTTGTACTTTTTTTCCCTTGCAACTTTTTTCTCTCTCTTTTCTCTTTTTTTTTTTCGATCTTTTTTTCTCATCGGGGGTTTTTCTTAACATATGATTATTTTCCATTTTCGATCCGTTAACAAAAAAAGAAAAGAAAAAAAAGGAGGAGACCCGTTGAGCGCATCGCTTTTGGTGCAGGCTTTTCTTCAGCCCGGCCGCAAGCTAGGGGGTTATGTTTTCCGGACCTCGCGGTATAGTACCCGTAGCATCAACACTACATCACTTTTATATAAGTAATACACTTTGACATCATGTAAAGAAAATGTGATGCGTCAGCCCGGCCGTAAGCCACGGGGTAAGTTTTCCAGACTTCGCGTTATAATCAATACTCCTAATAGTAGCTTCCTCTAGCGCGATACAGCCAGCTATCCCTCGAGCATCCCAATCAATAGCAATAACTCCCTTCAACGCGACACAGCGCGCTGTCCCGCTAGTTAGATCTCTGCGATATTTTCTTTGGGGAACAAGAAAGGCCAATGCTACGCCTGCTCGAACCTCTTTTGACTTCTAATTACGCAAATCCTCGCTCGCTATTACCAAAAGCAGTAAAGTAGATGGGAAAAAGACCGCACGAGGCGTGCAGGTCCACAAGAGTGCAAGTATCGGCATCTCAAGCGCTACCTACACCCGAGAAGGCCGGATGCCATGGGTCTTGACAGAAACAGATAATATGCGGCTCTGAGACGTGAACTGTAATCATGGTCATAGAGATTTGCCAGGCGTTGGACGCTTGGTAATAACGGAAGATCTGGAGGCAGTACAGCAGATGGTGACTGTCAAAGCCTAGTAGTGTCCTAAGTCGTGAGAACAGGTGTGGAAGAAAATTAGCAGGCGGAAAAAAATCATGGTAAGCAGACATTCCTTTGGGATGGTACCGCAAGGATTTGGCTCCTGTTGTCTGACCCAGTATCCCAACCAGGTGAGACAGGAAGATTGGTTTGGCAGGAAAAATCGCAGGCGGCTTGCGATGTGACTGCAACAAGACCCGAATGGTTTTGATTCGGGATTCGGGATCAACCACCGTGGAGGAGATAGCTTTCGCTGAGTCTTACCCGGCAGAAAGAAATGACCAGCTGTATGTATCTCGCAGGATATTGTTTGGTAGCTGCCGTCTACCTCAAAGCCCAGGGTCATCCGCAATATCTTGCAGCATCATCCGGTGATCAGCTTCCAGCTCCGCAGCATTCTGCTTCTTGAACTTCATCAGATTCCTCTCGAGCCTTTCATCATCGTCAGAGTCGTCTTCTAGAGCCCCATCGAGCTCCTCTATCGTGAGGCCATCGTCCATCATCTGATCCTCGCTGTCTCGCTGCGCCCAGTCCGCTTCCGACTTTCTAAACATGGCGAATTCGTCACCGCCGTGGACCCGTGCTCGTTATGATGCCCGCGAAGTATTCGCTTCAAACTCTTCCTCAAATTCTTCGTCTTCCTCCTCCTCCTCGTCCTCCTCCTCGTACATGTCGCTTTCATCTGCGGCTTCGCTTTCTTCCTCCTCGTCCAATACACATCTGTTTCGTTGTCGTCGTCCTCTGCCGCCTGCTTGGATATGCTCTTGTGGTGGTGGGGTTTGTAGGAGGAGCTGCCATCAATCTCAAAATGGTAGATGCTTCCACTGTCGCATACGAGAGAGTGATTTCCCTGATCACCCGTCAATACTTTCGCACCTAATCGAATGAGTGTCAAGGATTAGCTTGCTTTCTCGCCCGTCTCCCATTTTCCTGCCGAGAGCTCTTCTAGTGGGAACTGGCTTTTTTGGAAGTCGATCTTCGAAATGATTTGAGCCGTCTGTGGGTCAGCGAGCCATTCCTCTGATGGCGTCTCTTGATGCTTGCGTTTCGGCATAGCGAATGGGGTCAATCCGATGTCTCGACGATAGCTGAAAAAGATGATAGCCGATAAGCGTGTTCAGTTGTTTTTGCATACTTCTAACTAAGTGGAAAGATAGCTAGCTACCTATATAGCTATTGAGGTACGAATGGAATTGCAAACAGACAACCATATGCCCTAATCTCAGTAGGTCGTTTGTACTGTGCTGCCATCCGTATAGTCTGAAATTCTGTTCGCTGATCGCCATTCTCGCTTGGCTCTATTGCCCGTTAGGTGTTTGCAACTCCAAGTCACAAAGGTTACCAAAGTTACTGAAGTTTCAGAGTCAGAGCGTTCCAGCGCTCTTGCAGCGTTCAGTTCCAACCATAGCCAAGAGCTTAATAAGGTGGATAGTTTCAAAACTTCACAGTCCCCAAGCTGCCGACCTGCGCATCTACCGGTACTTCTAGTTGTAGTCGTAGAAGTACAACTACCTCGGCTGTTGTTACTGTATGCAGGTTGAGTTAGCTTGGTTCCGATCTCACGGTACGCCGATACAATCCCGGCGGCTTTGCTCTGCGGAGGCTCTGCTGTCCTGTACGTATAAGTACCTATTCTGGATCATAAGACATGCATACTGCGGCGTGCCGATGAGCATTCCTGTAGAACCTCATCACGCATGACATTAATTAAGGCTCCGAAATCCGTTTATTATTAGAAAGTATTCCGTAATGGGAAACTTACTATACGAAAGCTTCAAGTTCAATCACACTTAGTCGTAGTTGTAGCAGTACATTTACTACGTACGTATACGTAGTAAATGTAACGTATACGTAGTAAATGTAACACTGGGTCTTTTGTGGGCCGATTCCAAGGGGTAATAGTGGAGTCTACAAGGGGTTTGAGCCAATTGAAATAAAGGCCACTTAGCCTTACTCATACTTCGTATTGCTTAGATTTCTTATGTATGCAATCCGTTTTCCATCGATTGATAGCTAAAATGGATATTAATCAATTATCAAATCCACCGATTCCTTTACTAGAAAGCCTTTCGACGATTTATGCTCCTCAAGCACCCAAAAAACGGCGTATACGATCGAAAGACACTATTCGATCCGATTAGGCTATACCGGTACTTCGAACCTGACTCTCCTCGACCTGACTCTTGTACACCAAAAGTAACATTTTTACAACTTTAACCCAGCACAATGAAAGAATAACAACTTTTAATTAAATTTTGATTAATTGATTGATAACAAACTCAATACGGCCATCTGTCTGTACTAAAATAATTACGGTATAATAGTTGGTTGATTTTCTATCCATCATAAAGGGGCCAATTTTACTGTCCCGCCGTGGTGGTGCAAGTCGCAAGTTGGTCAATTCTTTCGAGTTAGATTTAAGGTAACCGACAATTACGTACAATACGAAGTGTTACTATCGCAAGTATAAACTTAGTTTAATTGAAAACGGAAAAAAAAAAGAAATTCGATTACCGGTAGCTTAGCAGCGCGATAAAACTTCTTATCCCCGAATTGTTACAGCCTGAGAGTGCCTCAAAATTTTAAATTTCCAATTTTAACCTCCTGGTTACCCTACCCTCGAGAGTGTAACGAGTAGGCCTGCGACGTAGTAGTACGTAGTATATCGGAACGACATTTCGACAATCGATTAGCTTTTGTATTTATTCAATTTCAATCTATTGAATACGTTTGAAGTTCAATAAAAAGGTATATTTTTCTCTGAAAAAAAAAAGTATTTGTTTAAAACGCTTAATCGATCTCTTTTGAAAGACTACGAGAAATTATATCGGAGGCTTCGGACGCTATTCTTAGTAGCTATATCGAATCTTTATACGAATCGCAGTAGAAGCGTTGTCAAGCTGTAATCGATACTTGAGGAGGGCCAACTCCATACTGGATAGAATCTTGATACTACGTAGAATGATTTTTTTTTTTACTCCGATTGGCTTTGAACCCTCGTATACTCTCCACTACTACCCCGTGCTACACCTCCTGCTTTACCCCCTGGAATCGGCCGACAAAAGACCCAGTGTAACATTTACTGCGTACGTAGTACGTAGTACTTAGGTGGGGTGTAATTGAGCGAGCTGCTTGTATTCATGCACCAGTGAGCAATGCTACCCTCATGTTCTCTGTAAGGTACCGACTTCACGTAAGGCCAGCGGTTGGCAAAAAATCTGGACTGGAAGACACAGGGCTGCTGATCTCTAGCCTGAAAAATATACGTAATAATTTTGTCGATCCATTTACTACTACCGGTATCATGGTGAACATGATTCGGAACCCTCACAAGGACCTGACGTGCCGTGGCGAGAAAAAACCTGCCCGGAAATTTCCACTCGTGAAAAGGCTAACAATAACAAATATCGTTCCGTAGGCGGTACTTCAATTGTGTTGTCTCCGATTTCATTTCGAGTTTTTCCATGAGCATTGTCTCAGGTCCAGCGGGGGGTTGCCGAACTGACTTTCCGGGGTAATATACATGAAGTCGACGTGGGTTGGATGTCCAGGGTGAGCAATAAGTACTAGTACAAACGGCGTGATTAAGGGGTATTGATCAGCGTGACCAGACCTTCTGTATATAAGCTGAAGACCTTTCCATTCTCGAAGGATAATTAATTTTCAGGCAAGAGCGCGTCCGGTTTTCTTAATTACTCACCTCGACGATGTCTTTCGCTAAACTGTTTTCTTTTTCTACGGCAGCCCTGCTGGTCAGGAGCTTGGCGAGCGCCGAACTGACGCCTTACACTGGTACACCACCAGCTCTCCCCGAGAACCGAGCACCATTCAGCTATGGATCCCTCACCACGGGCGGCTCGGCCGCCGACCCTTCCGCTGTTTTCCTCGTGGACAACATGCCTGATCTCCGTACTGTTCTCGCGATGGATTCCCCCCGCACGGTCTATATCCAGGGGAACATCACTGGCAACGAGATCACCTCTGCCAAAGATGGAGGCACATATGCAGATTGTCAGTGGTATATTGACAATAGTCCTTCGAAGCAGTTCAATTTCACTAGATACGTGATGAGTTTGAATGAGAGCTATATGGACAGTGTGAAGCTCGAAAGTGAGAAGGGCGGGACGGTGGAGGGGATGGACGCTACGGAATACCTGGAATTATTGAAGAGAATGAACGTGAGTGCTTTGAGCTGCTCCCTCTCCCGGTTAAGAAAGGTTTCGGCACATAAACTCCCTTCATATCGCTGGCCTTAGGGAAGGTCCAAGGACCGGGGGCTACGTCCATTTCCTGTATCTCTCAAGGACATGGGCATCGTCGGGTATGTACTCGGTTGCTGAAAGAAACCTAGGGTTGGAGGCCACGAGTCCAAAACACTCAAAAAGAATGGGTCTCAATCAACGTCAAGTCAGACCTGACTCTCATCGGCATGGATGGAGATGCCTACCTGAACGGCGTCAGTCTGATATTCAACCTTGCGGATAACGTGATAAGTACGACTCCCTCTTGCCCTCGTACCCGCCAAAGGAAAAACCGAATCTTACCATCTATATTCCTCTAGTCCGTAACCTCAAGCTATCTCCCCCCCAAGACTGCTTCCCTGCCCCGGAAGGCTCCACGTCCTGGAATGCGCGCTACGATGCCTTGTCCCTCGTCACGTCCACCAACTTCTGGGTCGATGGCAACACCCTGTTCGACGGGCCCAACCCTACCGGCCCAGAGCCTCTCATATGGGACCACAAAGTCGATCGCTATGACGGCCTCATGGACGCCGAAGACGGCTCCGACAACATCACCTTCTCGCACAACATCGTCGGCGAGCACCACAAGTCCCTCCTGCTGGGCGGCGGCCTGGCCGAGCGCGCCCGGAGTCTCGGCAAGATGCGCTTCATGTTCTTCGGGAACTGGTTCTCGAACTCGGCATCTCGCAACCCGCTGATGCGCTTCGGCACCTTCTACGTCCTGAACAACCTCTTCACGCACGAAGGCGCCTCGACCGCGCCGTACCGGTCCGATTTCGAGTACAACCTGGGCGTGTACACCGAGTCGCACGTCGTGGTTGGAGGCAACGTCTTTCAGAACGCGGTGAATGGGTCTGACACGGGCATCTTCAAGTATTCGACCCTGTTGGATGCCACGACGCCTGCGCGGCTCTGTATTCCCGCGTCGGAGACGGACCTGCCCGAGGGACTGCAAGGCCTCGGAGGTCCGAGTTCGTTGAACGGCGCGGAGGTCGACTTGAAGAAGGATGCGGAGGCGACCTTTGAGCGTGCTCTCGCAGACCCCACCAACGTGGTCGCGGGGGGTTTGGAAATCAGCTGTGCGGGCTTCTCTCCCCAGGAGGTCCCGGTTACCCTTTCGACACCTGAGGAGGTTGAGGCGTATGTGAAGAAGGAGGCAGGTCAGATGACCGGCGGTGGAAGTTAACGCAGCGTATGATACCTTCCACTGTCCCGTAGCTGTGGTACTCTGCCGGAGAGATGGGGTGGGTTTGTGGCATCAAAGTAGTCGCCTGTGCCCGTGTCGAAGATGGCTCCCCCAAGGCGTTCCCTCCAAGACGCACGATATATCCCGCCCAGGCCCGAATTCGAAGAGGGTACTTGCCCTCGTCACTTCTTCGCCATACCACCGTCAAGATACCGATACTTCAATAGTAAACTTAAGGTTAAAATTCAAAGTATATATATTCCGCCGACATACAAAGGTCTCTAAAATCCAAAGTATATATATTCTGACACACAAAGGTCTTTTTTCCTTCTGACTTTGCCTTGATAATGGAGCTCTCATCTGAATACAAGAGGAACCGGCCAAGTTCGTCTCTGAGCTGAATCTTTTTGAAAATGTTCACGTATTGGATGCAGCATCTTGCCTATCTGCCAGCCGATAGTAAGTATGCGTCACATTCCTTGGTTGTTGATTATTGAGTTGCCGACCGTCGTACGTTTGAGCGACCTTTCTAAGATAAAGATTATCTTGAGAATATACACATGTGAAGTCCTGACAGAGGTGAAGGACACACGTGACCAGCTGGGGCTTGTTAGACGTACATCTTGGTATCTTGGTATCTTGGTATTTCCCCAGATCTCGCTAACCCCATCAGGAATTAGTTTTTCCCCAGGCCCGAGGCCCAATACTGTACGTACTAGTACAGTAGTACAGTAGTACTACGTACGTAAGTAGTAAGTCAAGTAGAGTCAAGGTTAGAGTCAAGGTTAGAGTCAAAGTCAAACCCCACAAAAACAAAACAGACCAAACCCAAACCAGCCGCGGGGTCATCACCGTCACGTGATCCCGCAAGAGGGGTCTGGTTGGTTGCATGCAGTCGGGCTAAAGGGACGGGCACTCGGCCACCACTCGGCCACTCGGCCACTCGGCCACTGGAATGCAATCCAATGGAATGACCCTTTGCCCCGAGGAAGCTTGTTTTTGGGTGCGGATATCCCGTACCTTCACCTAAACCTACGGACGCATTAAAAGATGGCCCGACGGCTTCTTCTCTTCTTCTCTCCCTCTCACTCTCCTTCTCCTTCTCCTTCTCCTTCTCCTCTGTACATTTGATATCCATTTCCTACTTCCTACATCCTACGTCCACTTCCTACTTCCACTTCCTACCTCTACCTCTCTACCTCCCTCCATCTCCCTCAACATAATCATGTCTGAAGGCAGTGTCAAGCCCCCCATCCCCGTCGTGGCTGAGGCCCACCAGGTCGATACCTTCCGTGAGTACTGCAACCAACCGACCAGTTGAGGCGTGAAGTCGCAATGCGCTGGTGCTAACTGACAATCGTGCGATGTGTAGATCCTCCCCAGAAGATGTTTACCAGTAAGCAGAGATCCCCCCCCCCCCTTCCAAGCAAGCTCCCACTGGCAATCGAGGGTACCAAACTGATCGACGACGAACCGGACGGCAGAGCATCCCAGCAAATTGCATATCAGCGGTCTCGAGGAATACCAGACCATGTACAAGGAGTCCATCACCGAGCCGCACAAGTTCTGGGGCAAGATGGCCCGCGCCCTCCTCACCTGGCAGCGCGATTTCCAGACGGTGCACGCTGGCACCTTGGAGAACGGTGACAACGCCTGGTTCCTCGAGGGCCAGCTCAATGCTTCGTTCAACTGCGTCGATCGGCACGCCATCAAGAACCCGGAAAAGCCAGCCATCATCTACGAGGCTGACGAGGCCGGCGACGGTCGCACCCTCTCATACGGCGAGCTGCTGCGCGAGGTCTGCAGGACTGCGTATGTGCTCAAGCAGATGGGCGTCAAGAAGGGCGATACCGTGGCCATCTACCTGCCCATGATCCCCGAAGCGCTCATCGCCTTCCTGGCCTGCGCCCGGATCGGGGCGGTGCACTCCGTCGTCTTCGCCGGATTCTCCTCGGACTCCCTCCGCGACCGCGTGATCGATGCCCAGTCCAAGGTGGTCATCACCACCGACGAGGGCAAGCGAGGTGGGAAATTGATTGGCACCAAGAAGATCGTGGACGACGCGCTGAAGCAATGTCCGGATGTCACACACTGCTTGGTCTACAAGCGCACGGGCGCCGATGTCCCCTTTACCCAGGGCCGCGACTGGTGGTGGCACGAGGAGGTCGAGAAGTGGCCGAATTACATCGCACCCGAGCCGATGAACTCGGAAGATCCGCTGTTCCTGCTCTACACGTCGGGCTCGACCGGCAAGCCGAAGGGTGTGATGCACTCGACGGCGGGATACCTGCTCGGCGCTGCTGCGACGGGAAAATATGTTTTTGACATCCACGATTCCGACAAGTTCTTTTGTGGTGGCGATGTCGGTTGGATTACCGGTCACACGTACGTCGTCTATGCTCCGCTACTGCTTGGCGTGGCCACCGTTGTGTTTGAGGGAACGCCGGCGTACCCCAACTTCTCGAGATATTGGGATATCATCGAGAAGCACGAGGTGACCCAGTTCTACGTTGCTCCAACCGCCCTGCGATTACTCAAGCGCGCGGGGGACCAGCACGTCAAGGCGCAGATGAAGCACCTCCGAGTCTTGGGCTCTGTGGGAGAGCCGATTGCCGCCGAGGTGTGGAAGTGGTACTTTGAGATTGTTGGAAAGGAGGAGGCACACGTCGTAGACGTAAGTTTCTCTCTACCCCCGGACTGGAAAACATGGCTCAACGAGACCAGACGTACTGGCAAACCGAGACCGGATCCCATGTCATCAGCCCGCTCGCAGGTGTCACTCCCACCAAGCCAGGCTCGGCCTCCCTCCCCTTCTTCGGCATCGAGCCCGCGATCATCGACCCCGTTTCCGGGGAGGAGATCCAGGGCAACGACGTTGAGGGTGTCTTGGCGTTCAAGCAGCCGTGGCCGAGCATGGCTCGCACAGTCTGGGGTGCCCACAAGAGATATATGGATACGTACCTGAACATCTACAAGGGCTACTATGTGAGTCACGTCTCCGCCCTGCATCAATGCCTCGTTATCCCATACCCCGGATCTTGAGCTCCGTCTGACAAAGTATAGTTCACGGGTGACGGTGCTGGCCGCGACCACGAAGGCTACTACTGGATCCGCGGCCGTGTCGATGATGTCGTTAACGTCTCGGGCCACCGTCTCTCCACGGCGGAGATTGAAGCCGCGCTGATTGAGCACCACGCTGTGGCCGAAGCCGCCGTCGTCGGCGTCAACGACGAGCTCACCGGCCAAGCCGTCAACGCCTTCGTCGCCATCAAGGACGGCAACGAGGCCACCGATCAGCTGCGCAAGGACTTGATCCTGCAGGTCCGGAAGAGCATTGGGCCGTTCGCGGCGCCGAAGGTCGTCTTCATCGTGCCCGACTTGCCCAAGACGCGGAGCGGGAAGATCATGAGACGGATCTTGAGGAAGATCCTCGCGGGCGAGGAGGATCAGTTGGGGGATACTTCGACGGTATGGTTCCTTTCCTATTTCTCTCGTCGCACCTCTTTCCAGGACAGACGCCTATTTTCGCGTGACGCTCTGTACTGCGGAGTTGTCTTGCCCGAAACTTACAGGGCATATATATTCCTCATGAATTGCCGGTTTTTTCCTCTTCACTTTTGCCCCCTTCGCGTACGACGGAGTCCGGACTATCAGCTGCTAACAACGCGTGACGCCGCAGCTGTCCGACCCGAGTGTAGTCGACAAGATCATCGAGACGGTCCAAGAATCGAGAAAGAAGTAGGCACACTGGCGGCGGCGGCAGACGGTCATGAACGGTCGAGTGCTCGATCCAGGAAGTTGTAGGCGGGAGAGGGGGTCGCTGTTATTGTTGTCATTTAAATCCTGTATCTTATTTATATATTCAACGTCACGTGAAACATGAAAATTTTAACGAAGAGATGTACAATCACAACCGACCAATCCAAGCAAGCGATTTTTGACAAGGTTATGATTGCAAGACAGCCAAGGAAAGAAAAACCAATATGATTATTTCGTTTTCTTTTCGAGACGCAATCGCAAACGAAAAGAAAAAAAAGGGAAAAAAGGGAATCCGGAATCGGATTCGGATTCGCCGCGGCTTCAACCTAGAGCTTCTTCTAATCTCTTTGAATTTAATTCGAAAAAGACGCGCGGTATAATTGAAGATGAAGATGAAGATTTATAATTCGGCCTTGATCAAGAATCCAAGAATCTAGTGATATATAATTTTTAACAAGTTGCATGATTGATATTTTATGACTTGTGGAAAATACATATCTGACTTCTTCGCTATCGTGTTGTTGTTATTGTTATTGTATTTATTAACGTCGGGCGGGTATCCAAAACGCAATGCTTGGACCTTAGGGACCTCTCATGAGGTACGGCGACGTGCTAAGTAGAGGAATTATATATAAAGTACTATCTAATCGAGAGTAAAAACCACGTTGAAGAAAACCTCTCGTCAAATAGCTGAACACTTGTAAACTTTTTAAAAGCAATTCATAGTGATGTGCGTCGAGTTTTCTCTCGACAACTGTCGAATACGTGTGGCCTTACGGGCGGCTTCGATCCGTATAGTACAAACATCGTTCTCTTTCGTCGTAAAGCTAAGAAGGCTCGCGTTCGTAGCCCTTAAATAGAGCCGGTGTGTTTGCAGAACGCTCTTTCGAAAGCGTAGTACCGTGTTTTCGATCAATCGAACTAAGCCTTTCCTATCCTATCTTTTATACACGTTCCCTTTCTATCGCAAATCCTCTTGGTCTTTTCAGTCGGTATGCCCGTCAGATATAGATCGTAGTCGGCGTAGTATTCGAGAAGGAGGAGGGAGGTTCGGAATCGCCGGTAAAGGAAAATCTCTTCGAAGAGACGTCGCATGTCGATGATTTAATTTCGGCTCTCTAGACTCTCTATCTCTCTTTCTACCGCAAGAGAAAGAAAGAAAAAGAGCTGAAGGTTCGTAGGGGGCACCTCGTACAAGTAAAGAATCGTAGCCCCCCTTTCGCTATCGTGTAAGCGGCGCGGGATACAATTGTTTTACGGGACATGATTATTTCGCCTACGCTAAAGAAGGGCCCCAAAAAATCGAGACGTCAAGTCCCACTATGATGGATAGGTAGGTATACATAGGATTATCCCCCCCATTCCCCTCCACTCCCTTTTTCCTCCTCTGCAAATGCGCTTGCAACCATGAGCCACCACTGACGCCAAGGCCTAATCGGACTACAGTAACACAGAGTGTCTATCAAAAACCCCCCGGGAGCCACGCTCACAAATGCAAGACGATCAATCCAACCGAACACCGGACCATACATACCCAACCCAACCCAATCAGCCCAGTAATAAAAAGAGGAGCTCAGAAGTAAAAGAGAGAACAGAGAGCAAACGTCAAAACAATCTCCCAGCCCATAGCCATGTGACCACCCGCACGCTCATGCGTACCGCACGCTAGGCTGCCACGCTAAAGGCGGTTCCCTCGGCGGCTGCCACCTCCCGTTCTCCCACGACCCGTTCGCGTCATACGCACTGTAATTCATGTTGGGCGGTGCACCCGCCATATTCCACTGCGGCTGCTCGACCCACCCGCGGGGTGCTGGAGGTGCTGTGGGCCGAGCGCGCCTTCGGCTCCAGTTTCGGCATCTCGACAAGCAGCAGGAGACGATGGACAGAACGATAAAACCACCAACCACCGAGGCAAGAGCAATGACAAGCGTCCTGTTGCGCTCTATCCAGCTGGTGATTTCCTTGCTCACGCTGGAGCCCTTGCATTGCCCATTCAAGCATTTCCCGCCGCCGCCGCAGGTGGAGCCGTCCAGGAAGTTCTGCTGCATGGAGTAGCAGACATTGGCGCCAAATTCGGGGGAGGCGCACGAGATTTGGCAGCCGGAGGAGGAGCAGGCGTAGGTGTCGTTTTCCTGGGTGTAGGAGCCCATCAGGGTCTTGCATTGGAGGTCGCGAGAGGTACATTGGCCGGATGCGCACTGGAGAGAGTCGCCACAGGATGTTCCTAGGCCATGTCAGCATGGGTCATTACGAGCAGCCGAGACAAACCTACCGTCTGGAGCATTATTGTCGGCTGGGCAAAAAGGACTGCTACCGCTGCACGTCTCCTCTGGATCGCACGTGCCCGTACTAGTTCGGCATACAGTACTATTGGAGGCAAATTGACAGCTGCCAGTGCAGCACTCTTCGTTGCTAGGATCACAGACCGCATTGTTCTTAAACTTGCAAGTGGTCGGCTCACAGCAAGCGTTCGATCCGCAGCCGCTAGCTCCACCACAATCGCAGTCCTCTCCAGACTCGACGATTCCATTTCCGCATTGGCTCCCAGATATTGTCGTGATATCCCTGTTGGCCGTCAAACAGCTCGTCTTGACACTGTTCCTACCGATAGCATTGCAAATATTTCCAATCGTGCATGGTGAGAAAGTCTTGATGTTAGGTGCGGTGCTAGGGTTCATGATATAGGCCCCAGCAGCATCACAAATCGTGGAGCTCAACGGGCAGCACTGCTGAGACTTCACGGTGGCACCATCGCTGCAGCTGGCCGAGTTACAGTCGTGAACGGCGCCAAAAGTGTGACCGGTTTCGTGGGCAATGACCTGCCACTCGGAGCTTGTTCTTACAACAACATTGGCTCCGCTGACAGTTTCGTTGCCGGAGGCAGTGGAAGTACTCTGGGAGGTAGCAACACACGCTTGTCCCAACCATGCAAGTCCGACAGCAGATCCGGAGCCACACTTGGTGAGCAGAGTCCAGTAAGCATTGGTATCAACTCGTTCTCCTCTCCATCCCGAGAAAAGGTTTAGGCGGTCTTGGATCGTAACAGAGTCGCTGCACGCACCGTTCCAAAGGGCGGTCGATGGTGGTGTGGCAGGACATACTGGGTCACTGATTGTCAAATTCTGAATACCCAACGTAATGTTGAAGGTGTCCTCGTACAGGACAGAAGCCATATTCATCACGCTGATGATATTTGCTCTGGCGGCAGAGGTCGAGTTAAAGTCGGCCGAGTATGAGCAATCCGTAGCGACACCAACGAGAGCGACTCTTCGGGTAGAGGGACATCCAGCAGAGTTTCCAATAGTGCTGGATAAATCCACTCCCGCTGAATTTCCAACCGTCTGTCCGTCTATCTGTCGCCCAAAGAGCATCTTGGTGTAGGTGGAGCCGAAGCTATCTTCGTCCCTCTTAGCCATTCCAGTGTAGATCGGGTGATCACCTTGCGTGTTGAAATCCAACACATCAGCGGAACACGATCCATCGTTCCCAAAACCTCTCTTCAATTCCCCATGGGCGTGGCCTTCGAAGTCCATATAGGCGTCAGCACTGACATCCGAGTCCCTCCACAGGACCATATATTCAAAGCCCTTGTCCTCCATCGCCGGATCCTGGGCATTCTTGGTCTGCATGTAATGCGTCCGGGTCTGGATATGGTGATGATCCCCGTCAACCCTAAATGCACCCTCGAACAATGGCTCAGCCCCATCCTGTTGAACCATTATCCGCGCCCACCCAACATTCGTCCACTCGGCTCCGGCATAATACTGCAGCCAGGCCTGGCCCTTGAATATCCTGTATTCCGCGCGATCGATCAACTCCTCCGTCTTGACCGTTCCGTCGGGCGCAAGGTGCTGTATGGTAGCCCCGTTCTGGATCACATCGTGGTTCGGGGCCAGCGTCAGCCTAATCCTTTGTTCGCCATTGTGCAAGTCGAAGGTCAGATCGAATTTCGAGAGGGCATGTATGCGATGCGAGGGGGTATTGAATCTCGCGTTCTCCACCAGCGATAAATAAGTCAACGGGTTTCTCTCCGTAGAATGTGCTGTGGTTCTCGGATGTTAGTTTTGGTTGCTGGTCTACAGAGGTGGCAACTTCGACGGATATCTCGACGTACCGTTCGGGGTCGCAAACAGACACGAGCTGATCCAGGCCGCTGCGAGGCTCTTCAACAGGAACATGTTCGTATTGAGTGTATCGTGATGTCTGCAGCGGTGGGCATGCGGTTACGTTGAGTTGCGGTTTGGATTCGCGGTTGAGGTACTCCGTGTCCGTCGTCCAGACGATCAAAAACATCCGCCACTTCTAAGCCAGCCTGCTCTGAATCCTTGCTTCTCTTTTGATTATGTATGTGAGGTGGTAATTAATTTTCTCGGCGTGGGATCGACCAGCGAAACGAGCGACTGTCGTGAGATATTACGATTGCGAGAGGGAACGAGGTGGTGGTGGATTTTAGGAGGGGGCAGTGAGTGACAGAATGGTTGGGATGGGGGTGGGGGGGGGTGAGGTTTGAGATGGAGTTGGGAGTTGGACATGGAGATGGTTGGTTGCTGGCTGAGTCGAGTCGAGTCTTGTTTCTGGACCGAGGCTAGCGCCCGGAAAGATGGATCTTAAGCACACGGCAGCGGGAAGTACTCAAGAGAGGTCCATGACGTTGTAAAAAAAAAACCAAGATGAAAATAAGAATAAAAATAGAAACATCAGCAATCCATACCGGATAGTTCATATACCGGTACCGGGAGTAGTTTATAGTTGTACCGGTACGTACAGTAGTATTTATGGCTTCTACCAATACAGACCCTGAGACCCCTGAGTCCGCTCTGGCCCATGTTCCGACAGACAGCACCGCCACCTGAATAAGCTTATTCAACAGCCTTTAAAGAATACTCTAAATCCTCTGCCTTTGTTTACTTTCATTCACATCAACAACCTATGATCGGACCTGAGCGGTTGGAGAAGTGACCGTAGAACCCCCAACTCACATACCGGTACCGGTATGCCAGATGTGTCTCAGGTCCATTCCACTCCCAGCTGCCGGTTCTCATCAGCGCGACCCAAGTTTCACCCACTGCCACTGGGCCGCGCGCCTGTTTCTGTTTTCAGCGCGTAAGCCACAACACGTAGGTACGGACATACTCCGTACACACACACACACATACATAAATACCTACATATACCACTTTCAAATAAAAAAAAACCCCCCTCCCCCCGATGATCAAATCCTCCAGTCCTCTTCCCGAAACCCCCCATATTGCACACATCAATCTCCAACCTCGCACAGTGGAATTCGCTTGCTTTCTGTCTTTCACTCAAGCACACTCTACCTACTACATTCAACCAGCGTAAGGTAGGATATATATCAAAGCTACTCACCCACCACCCAACCACCCGACCACCCAACCACCCACTCACTGACCCACTACCCCAAGTACCTAGGGGGTACATATGCGTGCAGAACCATGGCTGAGGCTATGCATACCCGTACCTCCCTCCATCCATCAATCCGGCCGCACAGTACACCTCACCCAACTCATCCAACCCCTCTTGAATTCCACCCAAATACACATTGGTCATACTTGATGGATAGATAGATAGATGGGATCCAGGTGTATGTCGTGAGCAACAGCAAGCGCAAGCGCAAGAGCCAAGTTTACCTACTTAGGTATCTGGTAAGCAGAGAGAATTTCTTGTCCGCTGGGGCCCACGAGTCTGATTCTGGCTGTCGGCTGTTAGCTTCAGGGAACGGTAACTCCGTACTTGGACTAACCAGCTTGTATGTTACTGCTTTCGTGCAGGAGCTACATTTAGAAGCGCGCACTGCGTTGCGATTCAAGCTGTGAAGAGTCTGCTGTGCCGGCCTGACTGGAGTTGCGAAATGTGCTGCTGACATATTCAGGCCTCAAAACGACACATTTGGATTGTCTGAATTGGAAATGATAACACTCCAAGTCCCATTTGCCGAACCAGATGCGACGCCAATGCCAACCGCCGAAATATAACCCCATTGCTCTATGCAGTGGCCATTCCCGCTCATTCCAACCAGCTCATCATCATAACCGAAGATGGAGGAAAGAAGAAAAGGGCCGCGACCGCGATCACTTTCTCGAGCTCTGCTCCGACACATGTCTCTTGAACTTCTCCTTCTCCTTCTCAGGAAGCTGGCCGTTGTCAGGGTACGTGTCCTCCTCGTCGTGGTAGCCGCAGAGGATCTTGGTGAAGTAGTGGCGGGTGCCCGGGATACTCTTTGGTTCATCAGTCAGGAGCCCTTTCTCTTCAATTCGATACGGATTGATAGATAGATGGTGGGATTGTTGGTGAAAGGAAAAGGGGCCGCCATACATCGCCACGAGCCTGCGAGTGCATCATCAACAGCTCCGGAGAATCAAGGATAATCGCCGCCTGCCTCCGCTTCTCGATGTTCTCATACGAATCGTTGCCATACCTGCACAATTGTCAGTTCAACTACCAGTACCTTCACTTTGATTTTCTCCTGACGTGGGTTCCTGACCTCCCCCTGTCACACGACCACACGTGATCATCCCTTCATCCCTCCCTCCCCTGCAAGAAAAATGAAAGTCAAACAAGGGAGCTGAAGGGCAAACTCACGCATCAAACCGCCTCGTGCTCAACTCATCCTCACTACTAGAATCGCTCGAATACGGGTCCTTGTTCCTCGCTTGCCGATCTTGCATACTAGCCGTGAACCTCGTCGGTACCCTCCCAAGCCGGCCACTCCTCTTCCTCGCGCTGTGCGGGGTGCCGGTGCGCGGTCGGGACGAGGAGTTCGAGGCGCTGGCGCCGGAGTTCCCGTACAGGGAATTCTGCGGGGTGCCTTGCGAGCCCTGGAAGCCTTGGGGTGGTGGAGTTGAGCCCGGGGAGGTGGAGGTGGAGGCGGATGTTGTTGAAGACATGTTGGTTGTGCTGTGTCTCTCTATGTTTAATGAACCTAGTTGGTATAGAAGAGGTTGGGAAGATGATGAGATTTCCGGGGGGAGATCTCACTCATTAACAACAGGAACTTCAATAGCGGAAGGAAGGAAGCGATTGATTTACATTGATCTTGATATTGGTATTGATATTGATATATCGGAAGGGCTAGGATAGCGTCGGGCTTGGCATGTCATCGCTACAAGTGCCAATCGGAGAAAGGTTTTTGCTCCGACGACAGGGAAAAACGGGCAAGTCGACGACGACGTCCTGTAGAATATAAATAAATGCATCTGGATCTATGCTACAGTAATTCCTTGCTTGGTCTCTTATTTTTGAATTGATTTTGAGCCTGATCATTCGCCAAAAGAGAACATAGATGATAGTCTCTCTGGTCGCAGTTTGGATGGCTATTTCTTCCCTAATTTGTCCAGCTTGCTCGTTCTGCTACTTCTTGTTTATTTCCCTTGCAATGTTCAATCTGTACCTCCTTACGCACACTACGATCATTAGAGAATGCTCAAGAGAACACTTTTCTTCTGATTCCTGTTGATCTGTTCATGTTCTTCCGCATTCTGATCATTCCCATGGCTTTCCGTGTCAAGTTTCTATCGCTGTACTTCTGTTCTAGCATGCAACGATCTAGCATGCTACCTTTTCACCTTGTAAACTTGCTTGGGGTAATGCAAAATTCTATAGTAACTGCTATTTTGAAACGCCTGCCCATAAACAACATTTAGCGGCTAGTCTCTTTAAATATTAAACACTTCAACAAGGATCAAGGTGTTTTGTTCCATGGGCTCTGCCATAAATGCTGTCATATCGAGGCATCAAGGCTCATCAGTGTATGTCTTGTAGGACTGTACTTGACATTGTGGTCCTGTTGTGGCAAACTTTCTGTTTCATTCATGGTGCTAAAAGCGTTGCCCTTGGTTACCCATCTTTCGATCATCAAGAATTTTGCCTTAAAATTTCCTGTCATCCTGAGGACAAATACTGGGGAAACAACGGAGAATTACTTAGCGCTAGTATTAACCCCGCTATCTTGCCTTTGTCAGAACAGTTGCAATCTCAACACACGATAGCACCAGCATCCTCGGTTAATCCCGCCAAAGAAAACAAACATCTTCGACTGCGATCTTTCCAGTACAACTTGAACACCCCCAAGTTGACCACATCAAGGAGAGTGATTCACTAGATCTAGGGAGCGATCTCAGAATTATGTTGGCCACATTTGGAAGAGAAGGAGAGATCTTGAGGTTGGCACCTCTACCCCGTGGTCGCCCCCATCTTGGTTCTCGTCCTCGGCCACCACCTCTTGAACCAATATCTCCATTTGCGCACCCTTGGCCGGCAAGATCTGCTTTTGGCCCGCCTCCGTTCATCCCACACGCGCTCGGGGACTCGTCGACGCCCCCACACAGCCTGCTCGGAAGCGACTCGACCATGCATGAAGTGGAGTGTAAGGGCATATTTCTTCAATCCTCCTCCAACAAAAAGCTAATAAGTCGATCTAGCCTTCGCTGACAACGAGAGAGAGCCCTTTGTTCCCAATCCATCCCCAGTTGAATACGACCAGCGAATTCCCCGTATCCAAATCACCCCTTCGTTGCTGTACGCTAATGCACTTATGCGCGGAAAGGCCTCGATTCAGAACGATATCCTCATTAGTAACCTCTACAATTCCCCCAGTCGTGCGGCCTACAACCGTAGAATTCGACTCGAAGTCGGCTCGAGTCCAAAAAATTCGGAGTATGTACCACGTGATACATCGTCCGAGATTTGCTAACTCGCCTACTAGGCTCCCGAGGGGCACAACTTTCTTTTGGGACTCTCTCAATCCTGCACCAGTTCAAGAGCAACCTCGCCCAAGAACCGCCAAATACGCACCCACAGAGAAGCAGACAACCTACGCAGAACATATCCGAGAGACCAAACTTCCCGTGATGAAGCACTACAGTGGCGAGCAAGTTAATGAGAACTGGGGACTTCTCAAGATCGGCGACAAATGGGCGGACCCCGACAGCGAGTATGACTTGTATCGGGCAATCCAACTGCACGAGCATGGTATTGATCTGTACAAACCTGCATCGCGCCCCCTCAACTTCGAGCCCGAGCCCGAGTACGAGCCTCCGCGCATGGATAATGGACCGCGTATCATGACCCCCGAGGAGGAAGACGAGTTCTACAAGGGCTATGTTGAGGAAGTCACTGATGAGGTGGATGCAGAGGGAGACCCGCGTCAGTACCGCATCAGTCCCGCTACGTTCGCCCAGTGGGCTGCTGGCGCTGGTCGGGGAGATCGATATGTTGTAGAGACACCAATCGTTGTAAGTCGTCATCATCGCCACTTCGGAACTGCCTTTGTTGACTGAAATTTCCCCCAGCCCAATCTACCTTCTCCAGGTCCACAGGATGACGATCAGATGAACGCAAAGCCCAAGAGTGAGGCACAGTTCGATATGGAGACTGGAGATGCTCTGTCTGATATTTGCGACCCATCTTCTGTGTCGTCAGTCCTCTACAGCCCTCAAAGTAATCTCGTCCCGTCTTCTCTGCGGAAACAGTTCCTGACTGCTCTACAGGTTTAGATGTTGTCCGTCCACCAGTCTCGTACTCCTACAGCTACCCTAAGGAGAAAGTCGAGGTCGATCGTGCAGCCAACGCTGAGCAATACGAGAAAAATGCTAAGCGGGCCTCAGCCCTCGTGTCCACGCCAGAAGTCTTCAACTCTGTAAGCTTTCCCGTTTCTTCCCGTTTCCTCCTCTGCTCCCCTCCTCCCCTCCTCCCACCGTCTCACTCATCTCATCACCCAACTAACAACCCCCCAGGAAGGCGGCATTATCGCCCACACAGATGACAACGACCTCGAAGCCGGCGCAGCCGCCTACGACACCGCCAAGGACTACATGTTCGGCCTCCGCGTCTCCTCCATGCAAAACTACGGCCTCGCCTCGAACACCCACGGAGTCGCCAAGCAAACTTCCGAAGCCCGCATCTCTCTCGCCCAACAAGTCTTCTTCATGAAAGAGAAGCTCCGCACCCAAGGCCACTCCCCTCCTCTTTTCCCCGCCCCTCCCGCGACATCCAACACCACTAGCAACACCATCCCCTACTTCTCCTGCGCCGACACCCCGCAAACCGGCTCCCCCGCCACTGCCACTGTTGCCGCTGCCACGAGCCCCGAGCCCGCGTCGCCCCTTCCCCAGGCCCAATTCCAGCTCCCGCGCCCCCGCAGCCAATACCGCCGGTACTTCGAGGAGGAGACCGAGCGCCTCCAGCTAGCCGCGCGCAAGATGGTCCTGTTACAGCAGCAGCTGGAGCAGGAGAACCAGGCGATGCTGGCCCAGATCGAGGAGCTGAAGGTCGAGAGAGATCAGCTGCTCAAGGCCCTGGGCTTCGACAGCGTGGACCAAATCCAGGACCTGATTCCGAAGCGGGAGACGAATGGGCGGGAGTTGAAGGACCTCTTTGGACTTAAGGGCGACCTCTAGATTCGACTCCCTTCAATCTCATTCGAGAGGTCACTTGTTGATGTGTAAAATGAGGTGGGTGAGGGAATGCTAGGTGCTAGGTGTTAGGTGTTAGGTGTTAGGCGCTGGGAGCAGAGTTAATAGTTAACGATGGATCTTGCACGCACGCATTTGTATGTGTGGGGGGGGGAGGGGGGAGGGATTGGCGTTCCTAATTCTTTGCATCGCATGTGGTGTTTCCGCACGGCCTGGATTCTATCAAGATCCAATCAGTATCCAAAGATGGATCCCCTTGTACGATAGCAAAAGGAGACGGATATCCCAATCTACCTATCAGACCAGATCAGAATACATATTGCACCTCCTTCTCATTCTTCCTTCCTCTATCCTGCCATGGATGGCTTCCTATAAGTCCCTCCAGAGCATTACTATATTTCTTCTCCCTTCCCCCCAGATACCAGATACCAGATACCAGATACCAGATACCAAATACCCCCCTCTCTCTGCTCTCTCCTCATACATACAGACAGGCCTCCGCATCATGTATCATTCTAATCAATCAACCAATCTCCTCACCACACCACACCTCATCCCATCTCACCACACCTCACCTCACCACACCACACCCCATCCACCCCAACAACAAAGCACAAAGCACAAAACACAAAATTCCGTTCCTTCCCAAAGCAGCCAGGAGCCAGCAGCCAGGAGCCAAGACTCATTCCAGCCCACCACAGACCACAGACTTCTGCCTCTTCTCCATCCAGCGCTTCTTCTCCTCCTCTAGAGCTAGAGGGGGATATCGATCGCACTGGGGCTGGACAGGACAGGCTACCGTACGATTCACGCGAGGGATACACACATATATATATGTGTGTGTGTTTTCTATTTTCTACAGGCATGAGCAAGAGCATGACCGGGGGGGGGACCGGACATGAGCGTGTCTTGAACGATAGAAATGAGAAGGAAGAAGAAGGCAAAAAAAAAAAAATTGAAAAATTCCTTGAAGAGCCTGAATTCGACTTTTCTGGTTGGTTTGGCTTCGTTTGTGAAGGCCTGGTGCCATGCTGGTTACATGCATATACAAAATGCAACGCAGCCCGGCCGCTGATGAGAGGAGCAGTGAGATATATATATACACAATATCGTAATCGGTCGTCCAACGCCTCGTGTCCCTCCCTACTCGTACATTTACAGAAACCCTTCCTGCCTCGGATGACGCCGGAGATGCCGATCAATTATTCTTTTCGTACAGCCCACCTCTCCCGTTTCTGACTCCCAGCCCCCAACATATGTCGACTTGGAATGTTCGGTGCAGAGAGTGTGAATTATGCGTTCTTTACAACGCCCACCTTCGCCGCCCTCAAAATCCTTCCATTGAGTTTGAAACCCTTCTGCTGTGTGTGAAACACCGTGTTATCCTCCTTCCCCTGCATGGGCGTCATGAACGTCGCCTCGTGCTCATTCGGGTTGAACTTCTCACTCTCCACACTAGGATCGAACCGCTCCAGGCCGTGCTTCTTCAGCGTCGCCATCAGGATGCTCTCCGTCATCTTCAGCCCGTCGTACAAGTTTAACAGGTCCTTCTCGTGCTCGCTCTTCTCCGTGGCGTTGAGCTTCTCCTCCGGCACCATGGTGAGCGCGCGGTCGAGGTTGTCGATCGACTCCACGAGGTCCTTGGCAAATTTCTGGATTGCAAAGTCTTTCGCGGCCTGCATCTCGCGCTTGGTGCGCTCTTGCAGGTTGCGGAATTCGGCCACGGAGCGCAGGTACCGATCCTATCCAAACCTCACATCAGTACATCCATCCTCTTCACGCGTTGGTGTAATGGTGGCGAGCGAACCTTCAGCTCCAGAATCTCCTTGTTCTTCGCCTCAAGCTCCTTCTTCGCAGGATCTTCGGCGCTCTTCTCCTCTGACTTCAGTTCTTGGCCCTCGTCATTCTTCGCCTCCGGCTCGGAGCTGTAAAATCGCGATGCTGCTGCTGCTGTTACCGGCCGTTGTACACGGGCGAAGGATGTGGGTGTGGGGAGGAATTGGGGGCGGGCGAGGGAGATTCGAGGGGAGACAACGAAGCTGTAGCCTAGGTGGGCGGATTGGCGGAGGACAGTTCTTTGGATCATGATTGTGGATTTTGATTTGGGTGGTGCGGTGAAGTTACTCAGTGATGACCGCAGAAGGTTTTGTGAATTATTTATTTAGCGTAGATCCGGCGAAAATAATTTCCGGGCCCGGAGAGACGAGTCACGAGTCATCTGTCGCCACGTCGAAAATCATCCCAAATATATGAAGTCTGTCAAATTTACGAAATCTAGGCGAAGCCAACTATATAGGTACGTATAAAGCACTGCAATCGCTTTCCCTGGTTACTTTCAACTTTTTTTTTTTTTGAAAAAAATACCAACGCCTCTTGATTGTGCTATAGGTAGTACTTAGGAAGAGGTCCTGCGATCCGCGTCCGGTCGCTGTCCTAGTTCTCCTTCGATGGTCCAAGTATCCCATTGAATAACTTTGTCCGAATATGCCATCAGATCACGTTGTGCTTCAAAGCATTTAGCCCATAGACCCAAATTACCTTCTGATATCGTTCTCGCTGGAATAACCATTTGCAGGCGCCATTCGGCACCCTCATACTGAAACCATGAAAAGCGCAGCGCTTTATCGGGGTCTGATATCAACGGTTTTGACCTGATGTAATCCAAGACGAATTCTCCCGATCCGTCCCATAACTGTCGTCGCACTCTACCCCGCGGGGTCCACGGGTCATAAGATTCCGGGATGTAGATTTTATCGATTTTGTCAATCTTCTTCGGTTTCGCTTCGACGACACAATACCAACCTCCTGCACCGACACCAGGCTCATTTACTATTTAGATGATTAGCTCCGCGTAATAAGTAACGACCTATATAGATCAGACTCACTCATATTAAAGCCGGACCCTAATGAAGTTTCGTCAGAAAAGAGCTTATTGTTTTCATTGATTCTAAGAGCTGCGCCCTATAATTCGCGTAATTAATATAAGCCTAAGTATATTATATAGATCAGGTGAAACTTGCATGGGAAACTGTTACATAGCCGATGGCTTCTCTTGCATGCAATTGCCCAAAGTGCCACCTCCCTTGAGCTTTACTCAAGAGAACGCTTAAGGCTAGCAGGATCGAGAAGATAGACTTCGGTCGTAGCATCGTACTTATTTGTACAAGTCTTTGAACGGTGGGAGCTGGCGAAAGGGAAACAGGCTTGTAAAGGAAGAGGATGATGAATTGAATCTGAGATAGGTGCAGGAAGAAGAAATATATACATCTCTTCTCTAAACCATATATGAAAATTGCTGCGTCTGCTTTAAGTAATCGTACGGCTAGTACCTACTCTACCCCCCATGAATACATATCGAAAGTATGATTCTGCAAGGGATCTTACCAGGTTTTAAATCGATCAACTTACGACTATAAGCATTCATTCAGCCTTGAAAAGTATCTTTGAGCCAGCATCTTGTCTGTGCAATGGAGTTGAAAGGGCTTTTAAGCCGTTCAGAAATCACCACTCTACCATTTATGGAGGTAGGCTGGGTCCGATATTTATTCATGGGGGGGGAATGGGGGGGAAAGTAAAAGTCAGCGTGTAAAGTCGAATTTGCTTTTAGCTAACTACCTACCTATTTATAGTATTGCAACTTTCTTTTCCAACTTAAATAGATCAACGTAATTACTCACAATGCTAAGTCGGATTGGGTCTCCACTCTTCAGTGCTCGTGCGGCCAGTAAATATGTCACCATATCGCAGATCATCCTACGGAGTGAATGTTGTTGAAATCTACTTGTATACGTAGTTGTTTGGCGTGCAAGTTGGAGATGGGGTGCACCACCAAATATTATGGCGATTCCAATCTGCAACGAATAGTAGGCCCGAATAATGATTTGCCGTTTGGATCAATTATAAATATTGATTTGATAACTATTCCAAGCACTACGAGTTGCACCATACAAATCTCCGAAATATGAAAGTGTTAGGTTTTCCCGCATTTCCAAAAGGTGGGGATCGATCACTAGGTACTTATATACACTTGCGCCCCTCAAATCACGCCCTATTTTTGAACCTATTCATTAATACCATCGCCACCATCATTATTAAATGATTTCTTCGTTTTTAAAACATATCGTATACGAGATCGCAATATCTTGGCTGTCTCTGCGGCTTTTGCACTAACTGCGATATCAAGTAAGTTGACGTAAATGGCAAGCAGCTTACGTAACATCAAAGCGAGCTTGGAAGTGCACCTATCAAGGTATGTACGCGCAATTAAGAGTTCATAGAATTTAAAGAGGCGTATTTGTTTGAATGATTGAAAGTTCAAAATAATAGTATATCTCTAGTCTTCAATTGTTAGTACCGGTACTTCAATCACGTTGTCTGCCATTTTAGGATTCTGTCTCCCGTCACCACGCGCACTTTTTAACTGACCAATCAATTCCATTCGCTAAAAAAGGTTATTTGCATTTTTTCATGAGGCCACATTCTTCCTTATAGGGGAAGGAGCTCTCCGGTAATACAAAGCTTCGCAAGCTCGCTTTTTGTTTTTGTTTTTATTTCTTCTAATATCTAATCCAATCTAACCGACTTTTCTTTATCGACTTCTTTTAATCGACTTTTTTTAATCGACTTTTTTTTAATCACTTTTTTTAAAACCTGTTATTATAAACTATTTTCTTTTGAAAAATAGCTAATCAATAGTAAAAAAAATTGCTCGAAAACCAGCTTGCTGTATCGCTTTAAGAAGGGCTATTGCTATAAATTAAATACTTGAAAGATAAGTAGCTGCATCGAGCTAAAAGGGGCTGTAACTGGCTGCACCGAGCTGAAAAGAGCTATTGCTATAAGTTGGATGCTCGAAAAGTAGCTAGCTGCATCGCGCGAAAAAAGGTTATTCTATAAGAAAAGGGCTATTGCTATAGATTAAATGCTCGAAGGATAGCTAGCTGCATCGCCTTAAGAGAGGCTATTATTATAAGTTGGATGCTCGAACAGTAGCTGGTTGCATCGCGTGGAAAAGGGCTATTCTATAAGAAAAATACTATATAAAATATTCAAGAGATAGCTGGCTGCATCGCGCTAAAAGAAGCTATTATTATAGATTATATAGCTACGAATATTACGCTTGCGGCCGGGCTGAAGCGTCACATTTTGTTTACATCATTTTAAAGAGTATTTCTTGAAGAAAATCGATGCGAAAGGCAGCCTCGCACCACGACCGGGCGAAGCAAGACCTTGTTTTCAAGGGGAGAATAGATAGATAGAAGAGCTACTTTTCACTAGCGGCGTTGATATATTGCACTATATTTAGGATAGTGATCTCCTGCAAAACTTGCACGCCAAACAGGCTCCACGGAGGGTTGCGCCGAAGCCCTGTTCCTATACTTGAAGTAGCCAAGGGGCTACTCCCACTGTATATAGCTTTCTGCTCTCACCTACTAGAATCAACAACTTCTGACTCTTTTGATTCTATCAAATATAGAGTCAAATTTGGGGGTAGTCAGACATGCAAAGCGTTGCAACCCCTTTCCCCAGTTTAAGAAGATCGACGCTGGCCGCACGAGCAGCTGATCTCCTCTCGTCGCTTATTAGAACTTGATTCTCATCAGACGTATAAGGAACAGACCAAGGATCTTTCTAAGACTGGTTCAGATGATCAGATGAACCTAGTTGTGAACATTTCCTATAGAATTTCTATAGCTATATGTTGCCGCACGAAACTGGACAGCCACTCAATTCAAAGGAAGGAAGGTCGGTTAGCAGCAGCAGCAGATGGGCCAAGGCCAGCTCTTACTTACACTAGAGTCATTTTCATGCTTGAGCTTCTCATCTGAAGCTGCAGATGCTCTAGATCCGTCGTCCCGGTTGCGGAAGCCATCTATAACACTACGAGGAAAAAATGGGCGGGCTACTTCTAGAATCTACATCGGTCGTGGTATATTACATAGGAGGCCTCTTTCTGGATTTGCTGCCTTGATTTCGTGCATCTTATTTTCCAAAAAACTGACATCCTTTACTGCATCTTGGGGCTCCTTCTGCTCTTTTCCTCCTTTGGATTGATTTTCGAGATGCAAAGTATCATGACCCGGGAGAGAATGTAATGGATCTTGCCTCAAGTTCTATGTGGCTATTCTACCCGTATATTCCCTGTGGGAGGCTCTCATCAAAGGTCTATTGCCCTCTCAAAAACCTTTGATTCTTAGCTAACAGCTAACTCATGCCACGTCTGTGGAAACGTGCAAGTGGTTCCTTCCTATTCAGACAAGTGCCAACCAACTTCACACTTTGTCCACGCTTTGTTACAGCCGCTGGATTTGATGCCTCAGAACTCAAGATTTTCGCTTCGAATTTCTACCGCCTGCTTCCAGATCCCTCCACGAGATTCAATATCGTGCTTCGAGGAACCCTGCGTTTGATTCAATGCGATAGGCATCATCTCCTTTTGACGCTAAGAGATCGCGTTATCAGACGACGAGTCTTTCACAAGGCTGGTGGTGAAATATATTCCAGATCCACAAAACTTGAAGGTCTTTCACCACAACTTCAAATACAGCTAGCTTTCCAAACGGTTTTTAGACCAAGGAAACCATCTCTCGTCTCCTCAGCTAGCCAAACCCTCAAGTCGACCACGATGGTGCCGCACGTTGTTGATAGTAAGTTTTTCCCATTTATTTATATTGCTCTAGCAGATGATTCCTTGCAGATTCACATAGACTTGACTCAACTAAGAGAGCACGATATATATTTACTGACGAAAACATGGCAGCTCGACCCGCCTCACCATCTCCTGCCTCGGATGAGTCAGTCTTCAAATTCCTCCTTGCCTCAGCCTCCTCCACCGAGAAATCTCTCTCGAAGCAAGAGACCGAAAGATACGATCGACCCCCTAGCGACGTCCGGACCGAAGCCGAGAAGGTACCACCTCTCCCTTTCAAAATGTCATACTATTTGGCTTTGCTAACCAGCCACCAGTTCCCATCCTTCCTCAAAGCACCCCAGCCCGTCCCCAAAGCCAGGAGTATGACCGAAGCCGAGATGAAGTCCGAAATCCTCGACGACTACCAAATCGACAAGATTGCCACCCAGCTCAAGACCGCCGAGCCCCCCCTCTCCCTCGAGCAGGCCCGTCAACGCCGAGAGTCCATCAAGGAGGAGCGCAAGAGGTCCATTGACTTCATTCGCCGCCGCACCCTGTCTCGTGCTAGTGCTCTGGGTCGGCCGAACCTGGACGCTCTGGGACACCCGAACTTGGAGGGCTTGGCGGAGGGCAAGGTGTTCAGGCCACAGGGTGAGGAGACTCAACGGAAGTAGAGAGGACTTGAGGAGGGCCGCGCTTGATTCTTTGCGCGCTACATTTGCACGCCAGATACAGAATAACTGGCGCTTCGGACGAGATACCAGATGGTAGGGGATCGCCGGCGCATGATCTCAGGCGACGAATATGCACACCTTTCAATCTGGTGGACCATGACTTGCCTGGTATTCGCAGAAATCAAAAGCTAGCCAAATCAGAGTCCGATATCTTGACATGCCGTTCTCACCTTACTCCCGCACTTGTAGACTTCCCGGCCTGACCTGACCTGGCCTGCAGCTTGGTTTCACCTGAAGAATCCCCTTTCCATATATGCCCCCCTCGTCTCCCCCATTGTCAGCCCAATGAGAAGATGTAATGTATTCACCTCCCCTCTCCCCTCTCCCCTCTCCCCTTTGCCTCTCCTAACTAACTAACGAACGAACGATCCGCTCCCGAACGTAAAGCGAAGCAAAGCAAAGCAGAGCAAAGCAAAGAAAAGCAAAAAAAACCGCCGAATCCGAAACTCACACACACCTCTAGAAGACCTGAAAAGGTCTAATCCAGGCACCAAACTTCAAAACTTCAAAAGTAGGAAGCTCTCGCTGTTCAGAATCGTATGTAGCTGATGATGATCATTATCGAGGGTGGACAGACAAGGGGGCTTTTTGGGAGTTAAAGTCGGCGGAGGGGTTTAGCTGGGGTTAATTTTGGGGGGGGGAGGGGGGATTCTGAAGGGGGGGATAGGATGATTTGGTTCTCTGTTGGTTCGTGGGTACTGTTGCTTTTGGAAGAGGGAGAGAGAGAGGGGGGTAGCTATATCGTACTACATAATTTGTATTGTATTGTATTGTATTGTACTGTATGGTTACCGAGAAGAAGGCAATACAGGAAAGGATAGGTCCCAAGAGAGTTGGTAAAGCGGTTTATTGTTTGTTTATATTCATTGTGATGGGGAAGGTTTTGGAGGTCGTCACGTCTCCTGTTTCCTAGAGAGGTTTAAGAAGAAGAAGAAGAAGAAGAAGAAGAAGAAGAGGAAGAAGAAGAAGAATGATCTTTATTGGCAGAAGAGACCATTCAAATTCCAATCCATCATATGGCCATGAAAAAAAAAGGGGTGGTGGGGGGGGAGCCATCTCACTGAAGAACGAGAGAAGGCACGTAGGTCAGTCACTTCACAAATTTATCACCGCAGTCTAGAAAAGGCAGGTTTGGTGCTTAAAAAGCTTTTATGGGGTTTTTCTATGTAAATATTTGGGCTTATGGCACGCCACGCAGGTAGGCAGCCCGCCAGAAAAAAGCAGTGAAAAGGGGGCTTTCCTTAACGCAATATTGTACATGCCCCTTTCTTTTATTCATAAAAACGCAACTTCAGGTATCCATCAACTCGTTATCCATCTGCCAAGATCATTTCTCATTAACCGGGGGGACCAGTAGCCACGCACGCCCACGCAAAAGTAAAAAGAAAAGAGAAAAAAATTGAAAAACCCGGGGGTATCTCCTTTTTTTTCTCCCTCGCCGTGAACTCCAAACTACCAACGCCGATGATGAAGAACATATGAAGGGGGCGGGAAAGAGAGGTGGGATGGGTGTGAGGAAGTTAGACCTGGTTGAAAACACGGCCGTTCCACATGTTGAGGATGCTAGACTGCATCTCCCAGAATACCATATGCTGGTCCATTTCAAACAAGGCTTGACGCCAGTCGTAGAAACCGTTCTCCCGCCACAGAGCCAGATTACCGATGCCAAATTCGCGGAGGAATTGGGAGCGGAACTCGGCCAGGACTACGAGTTGTGGTGCGGTGGCGCCGAACTTGCGGAACTCAGCCGGATCGCTGAGGAAGTGGAGGAGGAACTTGTAGAGAAAGATGCCGATAGCCTCATTGGCGTCCAGGTACATGATGTTGAGGGCACGGGTGACTGCTAGCTTGGTTCCGTCTTCGACGGAGAATTTCATAGTCTGGATTTTTATGTCAGTATGGCTTTGGAACGAAGGGAATGAAGAAGGGCTTACGCAAATCACGTTGGCGCGAGTCATTGGCTGACCGACAGTACTGGGCTTGAAGATGTGGTAGTCACCAACCTGCATCTGCGTGTAGCGGGGAAGAAGTGCACTCCAGTCGACAGCCGGATTCTTTCTGATGTGTGCTTGGAGGATATCAGGAGCCTCTCCGAACTTGCAGAACATCGAGAATGCCTTTTGTCGGAACTTGTCGTTAGACTCCGGAATTTGGAACACTGACGTGATCGGGAAGCCTTCCCAGCAGTAAAGGGGGCCAATTGCCTTCGGGTTCGAGTATGTCACCAAGGCCGGGGTGTTACTGCAACATGAGACATGGTCGTAGGCATCCGAGAGCAAGCAGGCTCGAGAGCAGTACTTGGTGCCGAAAGCAGAAATACCATTCATTCCGCACAAGGGGCACAGATAACAGGGCTCATAAATGGTAGGGGAGTGGGCTTGCTCGCAGAATTGGCATTGGAAGGTGGCGTCAAAACCGGAAGCGGGTACGGCTCGCTCAGCAGCAGAGGACGAGGCACCACGGTCAACATTCAGTGCAGACTGGGGATTGGATGCGGACAAGAAATCGGATATTTGCGCATTAGTTGGGTATTGGCTGGGCGCGGTTAAAGGCTGGTATGCAGTGACTTGAGCATCCTGAAGAGGGAACATTGGCCCGCTGTGATACGAAGAGCCCTGCTGTCCACTCTGGCGACCGAGATTGGGATCAGGTCCGTCGAAAGCAGGAGCTGGCGCGGGGTGGCCATGCATACCATTGCCGGGATTGTATGAGGGAGTGATTGTCCGGCAGCTGTGGCCCGAAGACGACTGCTCATAATCATAAGTGCCTCGGTAGATATATCCTGGGTTTGAGATGGTGCGTTGGTGACCTGGACCGAACTGCGATGGCATCTCTGCATCGTGTCGGAACAGAGTCACAGGGTTGCCCTCAATGTTGATGTACGGTTCACCTTCATACTCGGGAAGCGGCTTTCGCACGGATCTATTCATGGGAGTGATCATAAAAACAGTGCCCGGGGTCGACTCGAGATATGTAGCATCGCGCGAATCGCGTCGCTCATCTCCACCATCCGTGTTCGATGACGTGAAAGACTCTTCATCGATCTGGAGAAAAGATGTCGATGGCACTGGTAAGTTCGAAAAACTACTCGTGCGTCGAATTGAGGGGAGATCAATTGAGCCGTCGAGGGAGTCTCGCTCGTCGCCGTGTTGTAAGGCTGGGGGTAAGGATAATCGTCGCCCACTGGCTCTTAGCTTTGTCGGCGATGTTAGGTCAGCCCACTCCAGACCTGTGGCCTTTTCCTCTGGAGCGTCGAGGAGGGCAGCCTCTGGGAATTCGATTGATGTATGGTTGTGAATAGGTGAATTTGTCGACTCGGTGCCGGCCTTCTTCGTAATGGGCACGCCCTTCTGCCTCACAGGAGTTGTACTGCCATTTGGATGGGCAAAATTGAGTTGATCACCCTGAGCAGCCTCAACTCTGGACGATTCTTGCTCCACGGTATCAGCAGGGCCAGATGATTTCTCCCGTGAGATTGGCTGGCCTCGTAGAAAGCCGTTCTTTCCTCTAGGCTTCTTAGTAGTCTTCGCATCGTCACCAGAAGACGTATAGTTTCGCGGAAGAGGATTCTTGTCCAATCCATTACCCTTACCCTTCTGCGAATTAACTTGAGCGCTACTGGAAGCACCAGTAATGTGAGGAAGTGGCTCCTTTGAAAGAACCTTAGCCTTGGATTTCTTCGATTTTGCGACCTGAATATCGTTGGTGGAAGTGGAAGCTTGGGATTGAGGAGAAATGGCGGCGGTTTCCTTGCTCTTTCTCAGCTCGATGACGGCCGTTGGGCGAGCTACCGCAGCGTCAGACTTGCCCTTAGCAACGTCATTGCCCTTAACTCGTGAATTGACGGGTGTTAATCCAGCTATTCTAGCATCTGGCTTGCTGTTGGCGGCTGTCTTCTTGCTCTTGTCCTTCACATCGGCGGATGCAGTGCTAGAGGCTGTTTGCCCAGAGTTGTCAGCGGTATAATTGGAAGACAAAATGTTGAGAGATGACCCACCAGCGGTGTTGACTTCTTTGAGATCAGCGATAGCATTATTGACTCCAACCGTCTTGGCTTCGACCTTCTTGACTTCAACCTTCTTGACTTCAGCCTTCTTAACTTCAGCCTTCTTGGCTTCGACCTTATCCTTTTCTACTTTCGGCTTGGTAGGAACTTTGACACCAGTGCCACTCACAGAATGAGTAATTGCCTTCTCATTGGCCTTCATAGATGCCTGTGATACCGTAGCGGAGGGAGAAGGACCGGATTCTGCCTGCTGTGGGCGGGCGGCAAGAGGTCTTCGGGGTGGAGATGCGTTATAAAGATCATCAGGGTCCGAGTCATCCTGAACATGGCTTGGAGCCGGCGTAATAGGTCGGGGTCCTGGTCTTGCGATCGATGACAAAGCAACCTTGGTAGTATCAGGCTTAGGAACCACTGGAATAGCTGGGTTGGATGCCACAGGTGCCTTGGAGTTTGATGGTAAAGAAAGAACTGGCTTTAGTCCAACGGCAATATTCTTGACCGAGTCCTTAACCGCGGGCATGGCAGGGAACTCCCTAGAATCGTGCAAGTTAACCTGCTTTGCCCGGGAGATACTAGGCTTGTAACTAGTGGTGGACTTCGAGCCCCGGTTGCTACCGGAAATTCCAGACACGGATGCCTGTTGCTGGGTACGGCTCGAAAATTGAGCGTTGCTGTTGGTACGACGGGAGGTTCCAGAATTGCCCACGGCTACAGAGCGAGGCGGTGGCACCTTGGCCTTTTCGGACTTCTGTGAGGCCTTCGACTTGACTGTCTGCCAGGGACCTGGCTTCACCACAGATGTTCCAAGCATTTCTGGGCCATATTTATCAAATGCCCGGGAATTCTCTACGTCAGCCTGGGTGACTCCGCCAATAAGAACCGCATTGAAGTCGTCGGGTTGTGTTCCTGGAGAAGACTTATGAGTTTGGGCGTCTGTGATCGTCTCACCCGAGGTGACGGATGCGATCTCATCGTCCAGACCGGTGCTATCTTCTACAGACTTCGTATCCTTGGTACTCTCTTTCTTGGAAGAAGTGTCAATAGACTCGTTGGCAGCCTCAACAGGAGTAAGACTCGCTGTATCCTTGGCGGTGTTGGCGGCTTCCTTGCGTGCTGTAGCGGCTCCTTGTTCTTCGCTCTCCTTGTCCTTGCACTCCTCAATATTTGGAGAAAGGTTTCTTCCAGGTTCGATCGTTGAACCGCGGGAACTCTTGCCATTGCACACTCCGGCACTTGCTTGCTCCTCATTGTTGACAGGAGTCAATTTGTTACGACGACGACGCCCGCCACCCTTGGACTTAGATCCACCGACTTTTTTCTCGATCAAAAGGAGTTTACCATCATTGGATTGCACCAAATTCAGCTTCGCGCTCGGGCCAGACGCATCCGAGCGTGGTCCATGGACTTTAGCCACTAAGGCGCCCACCTGATTGGCTATCACTCCCTGGCTTCCCGCAGCGGTCTCGTAAAACTCAAACCATTTATCACGACGTGTATTTTGACGCTCTTGGATGCTGAGGTTGATTTGCCTATCCTTGTTCCGCTGTTCAATATCATTCAAATTCGTTTCGATCTCATGATAAGTCGAATGGCGGTGGATCGACCCTGAGAACATAGGTGCGGGTGAAGTTGTTTGGGAGACTTTGGGTGACCCGGAACGTCTGGGAACTCTTGGGTGTCTGCTAACCACCATAGTCTCAAGATAGTTCGATATCATAACATCTTCAAGGAAAAAGACCAGCGTTGCATCACGCATAGGCTGAGCTGCAACTACTGTTGCTCGGCCACCAGTACCAAAACTTGTAACAAAGTTTCGTTGACCGAGAGGCGGAGCGTCCGGAAGAGTGCTTAGGTCATCTGGGATTTCCTCGCCGGCGTAGAAGGCCTGGGCTAGTCTGTCAAACTCTGGAGAAAGGGGGCTGAGGGTTTCGGCTCCAGAAACGAAGATTCCTACAATAATCAGTGGGGTGTCTTCAAGAGGCCTAAGGATGCCTACCTCTCATCTCTACCCAGCAGAGTTTCCGGTAGAGTGGTACAGTCTCCGTGATAAAATGTGTGAATTGTTCCGGACTTCCCGAGAAGGCATATGATGTTAGGGCAATATCCTCGCGGCAAAGACGTTCCGAGCGTGCGAAAATTCCTACGTCAAAACCCTTCTTGAATTTAGCGCCAGGACAAGACTGAGATGAGACGAACTTACCACTTGAAATCTACCAGATTTCTTGAGCACATTGGGTATCAGAAGATAGCGGCCATCATAAGACGAGAATAAGCCGCGTCGCTCATGTTCATTGATAAGCGTCAATGCGAGTCGGACGGCGGACGGTTGGTTGTGCAATATGAGAGTGGACTCGACCACCGATGACGGGAAAGGGTAGTGGCCCATGGTGGGATCTCGCAAGTAAACGGTTATCCAACCGGCCAGATCACCAACATGAGCTAAAAGAGTCAGTATGACGCGCTACAACACCGCGAAATTTGTTCGGAGAGGCAAAGATAAAAGAGAGGCTTCGGGGGACACGTACAAATCCAGAAATTCTCGAGGAAACCTCTGTCGGTATCGTCAGATACGGGACTGCGATCGTATCAGCAAGATTCATGGTAAGCGCAGAACGCGCCGCCGAAGGCGGTTAGCGGAGGGCTTACGTCAAGTACAGACGGAATCGGGTGAAGTCAACGATGGTGGTTGCTCCTTGCAGATCCGGAATCTTTGAAGTGTGTATGATCCGAACATTAACATCAAATGGGAGCTTCCACAGGTTTCCTTCGGTTCGGAGGTGGATGGCAGGCAGATCGTCGGACACGATGCCGTCAATTGACTCGTCCGATGAGCTTGACGTAGACTGGAGATCGCTTGGGGGATCGAGGACAACTGTGGCGTCGGAGTCTTCAGAGCTAGGTTCAGGCTCTGAATCGGTCACTGCGCGGGGTGCGCCCAAGAATGCAGGTGAGCCAAATTCTGCGAGGATGTCGTGCAAGATGTTGGCCCACTGGCGCGGCGACGTAGGCAATTGATCCGAGGAGTCCTTGAAGGCCCTGAGTCAGCGGTCGCGATAAGATATGAAGAGTTGGAGTTTGGGGGGTTGGGAAGAGGAAGAGGATATTGGGGAAAAGGAATTTGTGGAGGGAGGGAATATTTAGGCGGTGGCGGCCTCAGGAAAATCAGGCCACCGCAGCAGAGCTGACTATGCACATACCATCTTGAGTTCGAAACCCCATAGGGGATGCGACGCGTCGAAAATGTTGTGGTGTCGTGATGTTGTGGTGTTGTCGGTTTGGCTTGTCGAGGAGAGGAAGATATCAAGGAGACTGAGAGCAACGAATGGGTCGAGCTCGCGTAAATTTTAGCGTCGGTGCGCTAGCACCGATTCGCCTTAGCCTCAAGGTTCTTTCCTCTCTGGCCTGAAAGCTCGGACTTGTGGCCTGATCTCTATCGCTGATGCGAGCGCCGGCCGTCGGGAATATCACCACTATGAATTGTATTCTAGAGCAAGAGGGCGTAGCTTCATAGAGCCCTTGGACTGGAACAGATAACACCATGACCCTGACTGTCAACAGCAGACCAGTGGCAGACCAGTGTAAGCTGGGTGCAGCATATCTAAGATTGACAGGCCTTTCCGAGGGTCTTCGCTCCTCAGAGACTTGCAAAGAAATACTCTCTTTTGAAGTTTCATTTATCAAAGACAATATAAAATGTATAAGCTACTGAAGAGTGTTTGTGAAATTCCGTAACAAGAAGGGCCAAGGACGATCTTGAAATCCTTCAACATACAAAGAACAAATGCAGGGGAATATGAGGAATCTTTGCATAAAAACTGTACGCTATACCTTGTAATGCATGAATACAAGGTCTTTGCGCTGCCAATACAGAGTGCCCAAGGGAGTGCTTTTTTACCAATGCCAACATCAACGTGCCTCCCAGTAGAACACTATAGTAAATCGCTCGAGCAGATTGAGAGCAGGGTAATCAAATAACGAAGTTGCAGAACACCAAAGCATAGTTACTTCAACGTTTTTTGCCGACTCTTTATGATCTGAGCAGTGGTGTACAAAATATGTGTTCCTAGGGCCGATCCTTGCCACTGGCTAGATATGTGACTAATTCAGCAGAGACAAAGGCAAAACAGAACAGGTATTTATGCAGATAAGCAAACAGTCGCTGTAGATAAGCCGAAAGTGAACTGGACATATTGAGGTTTCTAGCTTAAAAAAGTCTAACAAACAGACATAAGCGGAGGCAAATGCAAAAGGAAATGCAAAAAAAGCAAAGAGCGAGCAAAAACTTGAGATACACTGCTAATGTTTGTTCAGTTCTTATAACGAGCAGTAAAATATACAAGGGAAAGGAAATCCAAGCAGGCAGTTGTCAAGGGACATGGCTTCCTTTTACAAATTCAGGATCAAGGATCGTGGTTTGGATATATGCGTGGCAGCTGTTCAGTCCAGGCAGGTATTAAGGATTGCTGAATATCGAATGTAGAAGGACACTAGAAGGTCCAGCGGTCGAAGATGATTGCTCCAGATTGGTCACCTATGGTGTTGATCCTGTCAGACAGTACAATCTGGCCACAATTAATTACTCTTTATTCGTCATATTTAGCATTATTGGGATTCAAGCTAATAGTGATTTGATCATAAAAATAACATCTGATTATGCAGAATTTCCAATAAAGCCTGGAAGAGCAGCAAGAATAAATAAGGTAAGGCAAACGGTACAAAGGGGGCCGACTGTTGGGTGAGTGAAGAAGAAAAATGTCGGTTGATGAGCAAGCGAGTGTATCCGATTCAATATTTTCCTTACCTAATAGACGCCAACCCCGATCCGGCTCTAGCGTAAAGAGTCGCCCCAAAGCTAACAACTTCTTTGAGAGCATTGAGTATCTGACCGATTCCAAAACCAAACTCGACAACTCCAACTTCAACTTGGCTTTCGAGTATTAATTACTCGACAGGCCACGCACATCGCTGCTCCGAAGTGAACAGACCTCACTGCCTCAATACCCTACCTGCTGCGTAACAGCAGCAACATATTGCGATCATGGGTGACCAACAGCCCAGCATCACTGAGATTCTCGCTGCTCTGGGTATGTCAAGCAAGCTCTCCCAACCCCTCCCCCCCACCCCGCGATTGTATACTGATCTTCTGCAGCGGCGCAACGGCCAAATGCGACTCCTAATCAGCCCCTACAACCCCCCTACCAACAGCCCCCTCCCCAACAACCACCCCAACCGCATTATGCTCCCCAGGGAGCCCAAGGAGGATACTCTTTGCCGCAGCCTTCCAGCTCTGGTAGCGTCGACCTCAGCAATGTCAAGCCAGTCAGCTCGGGAACGGTCAGCCTGTCGGATGCGATCGTGAAGGCCAAGGCTATAGCTGCGCAGAAGGGTGTCTCTTACCAGCGACCTCCCTCCTCTTACGGTGCTCCAGCTCCTCATCAAGCCGGTGGCCGACCATACCAAGCGTCAAGATCCCGATCGCGCTCACCTCCTGCTCGCCGAGATGCTTTCCGTGATAATTTCAACCCATACCGAGATGAGAGACGTGGCGATAGAGCACCAGCTGCTAGAGACTACCGCGAGCGCTCATATTCCCCAGGCCTAAGAGGCAGAGCTCCACCGGGCACTTTCTCTCCGGCGAATAGTGGTGGTGGAGGCAGCGGTTACCCTCGCGATCGTTCCCCTCCACGAGGTGCCGAGGATAACCCGGCCGAGTCCATCAACATCGAGTCGAACCTGGTTGGCTTGATCATTGGTAGACAAGGAGAGAACCTGCGACGAGTCGAAACGGAGACTGGCTGTCGAGTACAGTTCATTACCGGCCAAGATGAGAATGGTCCATACCGAGAGTGCAAGATTACTGGATCGAAAGTAAACCGTGCAAAGGCCAAGGCGGAGATCAACCGAATCATCGATGACAGTGGAATGGCTACAAATGCTCGTGCGGCAGCAGAGCGAGCTCGTGATGCTCCACCAATTAGAGGGTCTTCGCACCAGCCTGCCTTGAGAGATGGCGAGGACAGTATGCAGATCATGGTACCCGACCGAACAGTTGGGCTCATTATTGGTCGAGGTGGGGAAACAATCAGAGATCTACAAGAGCGGAGTGGCTGTCATGTCAATATTGTAGGCGAGCAGAAGAGTGTCAATGGCCTCCGACCCGTAAACCTAATTGGCTCTCGAGAGGCAGCGGCTCGCGCCAAGGACATGATCATGGAAATTGTTGAGAGCGATAGTAAGTCAGGAAACAAGGAGCAAGTACCGCCTGCCAGAGCTGCCGGTGGCCGAGATGCTGGTTACGGTGGTGGTGGCTACAATGGAGCTTCAGGAGGAGGTGGCGGAGACTCAAGCAATGACTCGATATTTGTGCCCTCCGAAGCTGTTGGTATGATCATCGGCAAAGGCGGAGAGACGATCAAAGAGATCCAAAGCACTACCGGCTGCAAGATTAACGTTTCCCCAAAGCAACCAGGAGAAACCGACCGCGAAATTGGACTCGTTGGATCTCGTGACGCCATTGCCGCTGCTAAGAGGGCCATTGAAGAAAAAGTTGACGCAGTTGTAAGTTCACGATATACAATCGGCAAAAAAATATTCTAACTTGTGCAGGCAGCAAAGAGTGGTCGTGGTGGAGGTGGCGGAGGTGGAGGCCGCCAGAATGACTATGGCGGTGACCGATACCAACAACAATCGTACTCTCAGCCACAAAGTCAATCTGCTCAAACAGCTTCTCAAGGAACACCTGCTCCTGGTGGTGATGATCCTTATGCCGCGTGTAAGCACTTCATCCACGTCACATTTGACCTCCACTAACATCTAGACAGATGGCGGTTACAATAACTACGTTGCTCTGTGGTATCAGGCACTTGCACAACAAGGAGGCCAGCAACCTCCAGGAGACCCCTCGAAGCCGCCTGGTACTGCGTAACTGACGTCTTGCAATGACCCAACCCCGGACCTACGACATCATTGACCACATGACTCGCATGACTTAGCATGATGAATCCTCACTTGAGGCTGCGTTGAAATTATGATGAAGATGCTCCCTGGATCGATCTGACATGCCTGCATACACCTGATACCGAGTCTTTTCATTCCGCAGGTGAACTGCGCAAATATTCGACATGGCCACTTGACACCCGCAATGATGCTAGACCTCGCTGACCTGCTGCCGGTGTTGGTACCGAGACTGATTGGAACCTCTCTAAGTGCTTGTCCTCGTGCATTTCTTTTCTGACCCTGATGACTTGACCTCGAAAACATCGACTTCAAATCTGACTTGCAGCTATTGGTCGCTCGATTTGGATCAACCGCAGATGCTATGCACTCGCCTGAGTATACATTTTGTCTTTTCAGGAGTCTTCCGATCTCTCGATCTTTCCGCGCCTGTCAATAAGATAAGCATCATGTTGAACACCTGGAGTATGCATGCTACTGAACTTTTGAGACATCGCTTTTGCCTTGTCTGTCTTGACGTTGCACTTACTGGACAGGAGACCGATTGACTGCATTTACCCTGGGAGTTGGATGGATGGCTCAGTATGGGCAGATGTGTAATGAGATAGCTAGCTAGCTATTCAATTGAAAAGCATTCGTGAACTTTGGCCTCGACTCCAGTATCGGCTAAGATATTCCAGCCACCCGACTCTACCTACCGGATATCTTGTAAGCTTTTGGATCTAGACACCTACAGTGGTATATTTGTGGTATGCCTGTGTGAATATGGGGCTACGACTTCCACTGTTCTTTGAAGCACGATATTTCTCCGTCCCCAAGTCCAAAGCTCAGCCTTGCCAGGAGTCACGTGCCGGCATCGGTCCTGGCGAACCAGCTCGTTACTGTATATTTTTCGCCGTCGCGATGACCACTGGGAGAGCATCCATCTTGCGATGATCAATGAGTGTTGGAATTGACGCGCTCCTCAATCATATCAGCAGCTCCTTCCTCATCGCCCAAGTACCTTACTGTCATAATGGTCACCATCAGCGAAGTTAAGGGGAGCGCTCGCGATAGTCGTACCGCTGCGCATACGCACATCAAAGGTCTTGGTCTTCGCCCGGATGGAACTGCAGAGAGACATGCAAATGGATTCGTAGGCCAAGTTGCGGCGCGCGAGGTAGGAGACGGCCAATCCCTCCCAGCACACCGACCGGTATATATGCTAACACATGCGACCAGGCATGTGGAGTCGTCGTCGACCTCATTCGGGCACAGAAGATGGCTGGCAGAGCTATATTACTTGCGGGAGGACCTGGTACGGGAAAGACAGCTCTCGCGCTGGCCATCAGTCAAGAACTCGGCACCAAAGTTCCCTTCTGTCCCATCACCGGCAGCGAAATTTACTCGTCAGAGGTAAAAAAAACCGAGGCTTTGATGGAAAACTTCCGGAGGGCGATTGGTCTCAAGGTTCGCGAAACGAAAGAGGTCTACGAGGGTGAAGTCACAGAGTTGACACCAGAAGAAGCTGAGAACCCGCTCGGCAGCTACGGCAAGACCATCAGCACTTTGCTGATTGGGTTGAAGAGCGCGAAGGGCCAGAAGAAGTTACGCTTGGATCCCAGTATCTACGAAGCTATACAAAAGGAGAGAGTCACAGTGGGAGATGTCATCTACATTGAGGCAAATACCGGAGCTTGCAAGCGTGTTGGCAGATCAGATGCATACGCGACCGAGTTCGACTTGGAGGCGGAGGAATACGTGCCAATACCTAAGGGAGAAGTACACAAGAAGAAGGAGATCGTACAGGATGTTACGCTGCATGATCTCGATATCGCCAATGCTAGGCCACAAGGAGGGCAGGATATAATGAGCATGATGGGCCAGTTGATGAAGCCAAAGATGACGGAAATTACACAAAAGCTTCGGGACGAGATCAACAAAGTTGTCAACAAGTACATTGATCAAGGTGTCGCCGAGCTTGTACCTGGTGTTCTATTCATCGACGAGGTGTGTATCCGTCTGCAGTTCCCATGGACTCCTCACTGATTTTGATTTAGTGTCATATGCTCGATATTGAGTGCTTCACCTACCTGAACAAGGCTCTTGAGTCCAGCATCTCACCGATTGTCATCCTGGCCTCAAACAGAGGTATGTGCACGATTCGTGGTACCGAAGACCTCGTCTCCGCACACGGCATCCCGCCGGATCTCCTGGCCCGTCTTCTGATCATCCCTACCAACGCATACGAGCCGGATGAAATCAAGAAGATCGTACGAATCCGCGTGACTGTCGAGGGGCTATCCATAACCGAAGCTGCGTTGGACAAGATTGCGGAGCATGGGTCGCGGATCAGCCTGAGATATGCACTACAGCTCCTCACGCCTTCAAGCATTCTCGCGCGAGTTAGCGGTCGCAATCAGATTGATGTCATGGATGTGGCAGAGTGCGAGGACCTATTCATCGATGCCCGGCGCAGTGCAGCAATCTTCAACAACGGCGAAACAGGATCTGGGTTTATCTCGTAGACGAACGACTTTACGGGAACATGCTTTTTGTATGGCTGCTAACATTGGTTCCTCGGATCAGCACGGTATTTGGCGTTGAGGAATGTCTCGGAGCGTTTGTCTGGCCTGGCAGCTTTGGTATGGACGCAGCAGGGGTGACCGAAACCAGCCCTCCAAGCGAGCCCTTCTCTCCGTAGAAAGTGTACGAATATAAAAGTTCGGGGTTAATTAATCAATTGCAGCAATTGAACGTCAGTCCTGTTTGCATTCCCCGTGGTCCTGGTTTCATTTTTCTACGGACTTAGCTCCGTCAGGGTGGGCCAATATTAAAGTATCGCTGTTCCTGCGGATGGACTGTGTGGACAAAGAAAAGAGTCGCCTGCGAATCTGCGCCCAACCGGCTCTGGAGTGTTGGGTGCTTGCCGGGGCAGGATCATTGTTTTCCTGTTCATCAATGGGTATTTCGTACAAAGAAAATCCTCCACAAGAAGGCCATTCATACCCTTCTCTGGCTTCATTCTTCTATCCCCCCTCTCCCAGATTCAGTATCTCGACGAACTCTCGCAACGAGATCGTCAGGACTACCACTACCACGGGACCATGATGTCCGTTACGACGGAGGTTCGACATTCGAATCTGGATGCTCCACGGTCCCCAGTGAGCATCTCGACCGATTCAAGTCGCCGTGGTTCTTTGAATCAGCTTCTTCCAGAGCATCCTGAGCCACCGACCCCGATTTCTCCGCCAACTAGTTTGACACGGAAGAGAGCGGCTTCCCTGATCACTGACATTGCGAACGAGCCCAGGATAGGCGAGCTTGCTCTCAACAGTGCTAGCACCAACGGACCTGACCTGGCAAGAGAGCAAGTGTGTCTTTGTCAACCAGATCCCAAAATACCAAGACCTCGAAACGGTGCGTGATCAATATACCCTTTCAGCTTTCGCTCCATTTAACGCCTTATCTGGCGAACATACATCAGCCAGTCCTTTACGGGGGCTGCTCAAAGAGCCTTTGACGAAGCCTCGATAGCTGACTTCTTTGTAGCTTTCATTCTTTATCGTCAACATTACCAAGCCCAAGTCGTCGCCCAACACCCTGGACTTGCAAATCCCGAGATATCGAAGATAATCGGAGAACAGTGGCGAGAACAAGCACCAGAAGTGAAGAGTGATTGGAAGAGATTAGCTGAAGTATGAAAAAATCCTCGTGGGTATGCTGAGTAGATTTAGATCACTGACGTTCTGCCAACAAACAGGAAGAGAAGCAACGCCATCAGAGACAATATCCCGGCTATCGTTACCAACCTCGACGTGCAGGGAAACTGGGTGGCATCCGTCCAATCTCGTCCTCCTCTGCCGACGTTCCTATACGCTGTCCCAAGTGCAACGGTCGCTACATATCAACTCCAAGTACACCGTTGACACCTTTCACTCCAAGCTTCGGGGCTGCTCCACGAAACGAACGCACCCTGCCCCCTTTTACACAGTCACACCCGAACGAGCTTGAGAGAGCCCGATACTCGACGCAGATGCAGAACACGAGGATGGACACCCCTCGTGTCATTCCTAACCATCAACAGTCCCTCCGCAGACCCCACTACCCACCACCGCAATCTCATCAAAGCCACCACGAGCGAGATGAAGACCTGGACCTACCGAGCCCATCTCCGGGCCTGAAGCGCAGGAGGTTCAACGAAGAAAACCACCGGGGCTATGCCGCCAACTCTCCTTTGTCATATTCTGCTCCTCAGCCCTTCTCTCGGCAAGGCGCACCACCACCAATGTCAGCCATTTACAGACAGCAACTCCCAGGTCCAGCGATGCTTACCCGCCATGGCTCTATGGGACCACCTCCCTCCCACTCCCCCATAAACCAGCAACCCCGACACCAATACTCAACCCGCTCTACCTTCGACGAATCACTCCGCTTACCTCCTCTCCAAACGCAAATGGTGAGTGCCACGCCCACGGCATCCCAAAGACCAGATTCCAGGATGGAGATCCGTGAAATTCATGCGAGGAGTGTGGAGGCTATGGTCATGACCATCCCGTACATTAGCAAGATTAAAGTTCTCACAAAGATCTCCCCACCTCTCGCACGGCCTGGCCCTCAAAGCCCTGCGCAGGAAACCCGCGGCGCAGTCGTCGCTATTGAAGGGCCGGACAAGGCACTCCTCGCTGAAATCGGCTCCTTCATCAACGACTACCTCAGCAAAGACCCTACCTTCGCTCTTACAGCCTGGAGCACAACCGCTCAGGCCCCACAGCCTCACCCGGCCGAGATCTCAGAGACGGAAACGACAGACACGCCAACAGTCGATGTGCAAGAGCGAGACCCGTTCGTCGAATACTTCTCCGTCATCTCCGAGTGGCACAGGAAGTCCCTAGAAATGACCAAATACGTCACCACCGCCCCTCCTCCCCCAGCAGCCGAACCCGCCTCCGGCCTCGTCAAGACGAAAGTCCTACCCGTAGCTCTCGTACTAGGCGGTTTCTCACTGAGCACGTCCGACACTTTCGCTCTCCGGATACCGATTAACGATTCCTACGCGCCGGTCGATCACTGGCAGTGGATGGCTACGTTGTGGCGCGGCATCATCGGTCCGGACTTGACGATCTACGTCAATCGCGTGGGCAGAGATGAGCTGAACAAGTACAGTGGGGTGGATGTGCGCAGCGATTGCCCTTGTATCGTAGTTAGGGTTCCAGAGGGCCCGGCGAAGATGGACGAGAAGACGGCGAGGAGATTAGGGTTTGAGGTTGTGGAGTTTGTGCGGAATGTTGAGAGTGGGTTTAGGAGGCCGTGATGAGACGAAAAGGAGGAGAGAGGGGAATGGGCGGATCCGTCTACTTTCTGTATCCTTAATTTGAGCATTGTGTTTTCGTATTGGAAGTACGTGACATTAGACTCTGTAGGCCACCTTCAAATCGGACTGCTCGTGACCCCGGTAAGGCGGAGGTCTATGTTATTTTTTCAAAGCTTATTTCTACCAATGCGGGTTATGGTTGTGCTGTGACGGTTGTACTACGTAACTGTTTGCAACGGCTTGCGACTAGCAATTGCGTATTGTAGTTTTCCCATCCTGAGCTACCGCCAAAGTAAGCCACCCTCAAGTGCCCTCAGGCCCAAAACCTTGTGCGCATCCCTGCTTCCTACTGCCAGCAATATAACCCAACCGAAAGCTTAATAAAACAATGCGTCTCTCAAGCCCAAAGAAAGAGAGTTGTCGCCGTAGAGTTTTGCGGGGCTGTTCAATAGTAAGGAACTACTCGACCTCAGCGTGATCATAGCACTAAACAAAAAATCCCTATCATGTACGGAGTACAATCCGAAAAACACTCCCTGCTTCCAATCAATCTCTTTAATTCTCCGATTTACACCGTTGCATCAATACTTTCAATATACTAATAAACGAATTAGCCAACTGATATTTGTTTACATTCACCCTCGTTTAGCCGAGCTCCGTAGCTGCTGGCCTTATTGGAAAATAAGAGGTCTCGACTCTCGAAAGCCTCTGTCTATCTGCAGTTCAGTTGCCAGTCCAGTAGGTATGCATCTTCTGCATCTGTGCCGCAGATGGGAGATTGGTGATTGAGGTGATAACTGATAAAGAATTCCATCGTAACGTCAGTGCAGCGGCAAGCCCTCCGGCTGATCGACACGCCACACAATATTTTGGAGCGCCCATGGATCACCGAGGGGGCGGGCGGGTGTGGTGCATGCAGCATGAGAGAGCCGTGTGATAAATGTACGGATTGTCTCAATTGAACACATTCGTTCGTTCGTTCGGTTCGTTCGACCCACCCGCGTAGCTGCATAGCTGACTGAATGAACGGCCTTTTCCCAACCCTTTCTTCCCCCACTACCGCACACCTTTCCTCTTTCTCCCACTTATCAATTTTAGCCAACCCACTCAAGCTCCGGGAACGAGAAAATCCCGACTATACTGGACCAGATGCTCACAGCGGTTAGCTGCCGCCTGGAGAATCCCCGCCCTGTTTTTATTTCACTTTATTTTATTTCAATTGCGCATACAGGCATCGTCCAAAATCAAACGGAAAAAAGTGAAGCAGTCGAGTAGATGAATAAGCCATGCATAATAATATATTGTTGCGAAACAAATAGAGGCGCGATCTGTAAGGAAGGATGCAAATCCTGTGCATGCTAGGAGTTGTTGAAAGGTATCAAAAGACAATAAGATGAGAAGAAAGCTCAGCTACGGAGCTATGTTCCGCCCAGCAGATCTCCCTTCGATTGCCGGGGAAAACAAGTGACGAAGTACTGAATCAATAATCCCCGTTTGGTATTTGGTTTGATTCGAGAGAAACTAGACTCGCGTGGAATGAAAAGGTTTTGCCGAGAAAAGGCATCGCTGACGGCAGTACTACCAGGTACTATTCACATATCAACAATCCAATCCAATCTAACTAAGTAAGCGAAAGAAAACAAAAGCGTATGTCATGGGGAATGGATATGCGTACGTTTGGGAAATGAGGTTATTTTGATCAGCATAAATACATGTATTTATATATATAAAAATGTATAATACATATCATATGTATATTATATATATATATAACATTATATATATATATGATTAGGTGATGCTGCTACTACCCTGGCTCGCTAGCGACATGGCGATCCTAGGGTCGCATCGCATGGCGGGGCAGATGTAGATCCTGCATTCGACCGAGGCTCGCTTCAAACCACTCACTCACATCAACGACATCTCCTAGAGAGATAGAGGAGGGAATCGACAACTTCAACTTCAACCTCATCTTCAACTTCAACTTCAGTTTACTTGTGTATATTTCTATATCATCAGCGTTTGTCCGTGTTTTTTGTATATATCGAATTACCTCAATAGCGACGATATCGCTGTCTTCCGGTTATCAACCTAGACTCTCGAGCTCGAGGAGCTGTATACATTGATATCTATCTATCTATCTATCTATTGATCTTAATCAAGATGACGACGACGGCACTCAAGATCGTGGCTCCCCTCGAGGCAGCTCTGCCCGATCCTCCAGCAGGCAACTGTAAGTGATTACAGGATTGGATCGCTCCGGAGTTACTTCGTACCACGCAGGCATGATGCGAGCTAACTCCTCGATTATAGACTTCACGGAAGCACAATGGACAACGTTGATGGCCCTCATGGACACGGTCATCCCGTCCGTAAAACGCGAATCGGTCGCCACGGGAAAAACAGACTTGAATGAAGAGCTGATTCCAGACATCACGTACAACACCGCTGTTCACCACTTGAAACGGAATATGACAATCGCCCCCTCGGAGGTTGAACTCGATCAATATCTCGCCGAGAAACCCAGTGATATCCCAGAGTTCCATGATCTGGTCAAGAGGACCCTGATTCAGTTCAGTAGGGAAGATGCTCGGAAGGGTTTTGCGTTTCTGCTGAGCGCTTTGAAGTACGCAAACTCCTCCCTTTCCGAAATCACAATAATAAGAATCTAATATTAATACCATGTACAGTACGAGGGTTGGATCGTTGTTACTCACTTCATCCATCACTGCTTTCCACGAGCAACCGATTGCGACGAGGACGCAAATTCTCAATTCATGGAGGACCTCTTCGCTTCCTGCACTTCAAGCAGGTTACAAGCAACTCACTTTCGTGGCTAAGAACCTCTGGATCAAAACTTCGCCAAATTTCTATCCCATCACTGGATTTCCGAAGGTCCCAGATCATTATACACCGGGTGCACACTTCGAATACCAGTTCGAGCAATTTGGCCACGAGGGATTCGAGGCTGGACGAGGTGGCAAAGAAGGGGAGTCTGAAGTCTACGAGACAGAGATTTTGATTGTGGGGTCCGGCTGTGGGGGAGGTGTATGTGCCAAAAACCTCGCAGAAGCTGGTCATCAAGTCTTGGTGGTTGACAAATCGTACTACTTTTCTCCCAGCCAGTTGCCGATGTCCGAAAAGGACGGGGGTATTCATCTCTATGTTGATGGTGGAGTCGTATCTTCGGACGATGCTTCAATGTAAGACCTACCTCGGCGTCTTATCTGTAGCTGCTGACGTTGACCAGGATTGTAATCGCAGGGAGCAATTGGGGAGGCGGTGGCACCATAAATTGGAGTGCTTCACTCCAGCCACAATCATTCGTCCGGAACGAGTGGTCCAAAGATCGTGGTCTTCCTCTTTTTACTTCTCAAGACTTCCAGGAATCGCTTGACAGGGTGTGTGGTCGAATGGGCGTAAGCGATAAACATATCCGACACAATCACGGCAACCAAGTTTTGATGGAAGGAGCAAGACGCCTTGGGATGACCTACAAAGCCGTGCCACAGAATACCGGAGGCAACGAGCACTTCTGTGGACACTGCACCCTGGGATGTGGTGCAGCAGAGAAACAGGGGCCTGTTGTTTCCTGGCTCCCGGACGCACAACGAGCCGGAGCGAAGTTCGCTGAGGGCTTCACTGTAGAAAAAATCCTCTTTGAAAACGTAGGTGGCAAGAAAACTGCTGTAGGAGCGAAGGGAACCTGGGTATCTCGAAATAAAAACGGAGGTGTAGATGGCCTCGATACTGATCGGACGACCGCTTCAGTCATCATTCGAGCTAAGCGAGTGATTATTTCGGCTGGAACGCTGTGGTCTCCTGTGATCCTCCAGAACAGTGGCTTGACTGTAAGACTCTTGTCCCAACAATCGTCTCTGATGCTGATGATATGTGAACAGAACAAACATATTGGCCGCAACCTCTATCTCCATCCTGTCAATACCGTCTCAGCGGTATACCCAGAAGATGTCCGTCCATGGGAAGGCGGAATCCTCACATCCGTCGTTGGTTCTTTGGAGAATCTGGATCAGCACGGCCACGGGGCGAAGTTAGAAACAACTTGCATGATGCCGTCCTGGTGCCTGACTTTCATGAACTGGAACAACGGACTGGACTGGAAGCTCCAAGCTCTCAAGTACCGACACATGAACTCGTTCATTTCCATCGTCCGAGACCGCGACACTGGACGTGTATACAAAGACCCTGACACTGGTTTCCCTCGAATAGACTACACTCCGAGTGTATTCGACCGAGCTCACGCTTTGGAAGGTGTGATCGCTCTAGGTAGGATCAACTTCATAATGGGTGCCAGCGAAGTGCATGTTGCCATCGCGGGAACACCGCCCTTCATCCGCACAACTCCCGGAAAGGAGGAGACACCGGAAGAAACCGAAGTTCGATTCGATGCCTGGCTTGAGGATGTGAAAAAGAGAGGTAACAAGCCCCCTGCTGGTATCTTTGCTTCTGCACATCAAATGGGGACTTGCAGAATGAGTAGACGCGCCAATATGGGTGTTGTTGATATGCGAGGCAAGGTTTGGGGAACGGAGGGGCTTTATGTCTCTGATGCGTCTGTGTTCCCTTCTGCCTCTGGAGTGAACCCGATGATTACGAATATGGCAATTAGCGACTGGATAAGTAGGCAGATGAGCAACGACATTGCAAAGGAGAAGATGCCTGTTCAGGCTAGGCTGTAATTATGATAAGTGCAAACTGACATAGGCTCAAGCGAGAGAGTATGCAAGGGATAGGATTTCGATACACAGAGCATATATGAAAGAACAGCTCTTGGAGGAAATATAAACATCAGATATTGAGCAATTAACCTAATAGCCCAAGCAAGCAAAGAAATAGAAAAGGTCGAAGTTTCTTATTGTGTGTTGGGAGAGTCGAGACAATTCAAGACCAAACAATGCATATGCTTTCGAAGCTAGGAGGCTCTGCCTTTCGTACGGTCATGGTAAGGAGTTGAACATATCTGAAGTTGGACAAGAAGCATCGGACTCCCTTGCAAGAAAAACCCCCCATCGTGACTTACACATCACATGACCAAACTCTAATCAAGCTCACCTAGCCTTTGGTTCCGAGCTACAAACTCAATCAGAACGTCGTCGGCGTCTTAACCTCCAAACAACCTCTCAGTCGCTCACTTGAGCGCTCAACTCTCCCGAATGCATGCTGTAGCGCTGCAAGCTTTCCGGACGGCTCAGAGACCTGCAACGAGACGCGCCTGTCGAATTGTCGCCGGGTCCAGACATCCTCTCCCGCATCGAAACTTCCACCGCTCCCCGATTTCGCGCCAGAGCCCCGAGGACCCAGCAGCTGGACCAGCCGCGGACCCTGGGAAGGAAGGCCAGGCTCCCAAATCTCCAGACCTCAGAGGGGACGAGGCGAAGTTCGAAAATGGCACGGCAGAGGGCACGACGGCATCAACAGAGGTGGGCAGTCCCGCTCCGGCCTCGAAGGTGAGGAATCGAACAGGAGGGCGCTTACGCGGTGTTCTACGTCAGAAACCGGAAGGTCTGCCACCAGTGGTCCTGCCGAAGTGGTTCTATGAGCATAACATCAAGCGTGCTGGGAGCTCAAAGGCGTTGAGCGGATCTCTTGCTGTCTATAGTGGGGCTCCAGCTGGTGGAGTCCAGGAAGGCGATGACACTACCAAATTCAATGCCGAGATAGCCCGGCAATTCACAGATATCTCGGCATGCGGTTTGGAGACCAAGGATGCTGCCAAATATTCGATACAGGTTGATGTGTACAGAGAGATTCTGGCAACCTTAAAGGCCGGCTTAGCTTTGCGGCCCCCGGAGCTTGTGGGAAACCAACCAATCCCAAGACCTGTTACTGTATTGCAATGTCCCAAAGATGGCGGAAGTTACTACCTAGATTCTATCGTCGAGACAGTAGCCTCAAAACTGGAGGCGGATTTGATACGGCTAGATGCCCAAGATCTTGCTCAATTAGTTGGGTCATATGCAGAAGGGAATCCGGCAGTACGTTCATCTCCTCAGATCTTTTCTCTTTCACGATCATTGAAACCTAGAATCATTCTCACAAGCTTGGCTTTGACTCATTGTGGAGAAGCAATGCTGACTTGCATGCAGTGGCATTGGTCAAAAACCGGTCTTTTGGCATACGAAGCTCACAAGACTGTGGGAAAACTGGAGTCGTATGACAAGAAACTAGACTCGGAAAAGGAAGAACCCGTTAAACAGGATGAAGAGGAAGACGACGTGCCAAAACTAGGATTACCCAACCTCAGCGAGATCCTGAGCCGTTCGCTAGGTCGAAATCTTGGCAAGTTCGGGCAAACGCCCCCAGATGCGAATGGCAGACGCATGAATATATTTTCGGTGCAAGCAGGCATACCGGGCATGGGTATGCCTTCACCAGCGTCACAAAATTCAACCGAAAAGTGGAATGATCTGAAAATGTGCGCGGTGCTCGAAGCTTTGATTAGTGCGACCGATTCCAGTGCTCGTGAACCTACATCAGATGCTGAGGTGGAAGATCCATCCCCAGAGAAACAAGTTAAACCACTCATTGTGCAAGTTCGAGACTACAAGGAGATGTCTGGCGTACCAGAAGGGTCCGAACTTCTCTACAAACTCAGAACTGCCGTCAACAAAAAATGGCAGGCTGGAAGAGACATCATCCTTGTGGGAACGACTGTTCAGCCAGATGATCCACTTTCAGGCCTTTCTAGACCAGACATACAACATCTCCAATCGGATATCGTGAATGGCGAACAGCGCACGATTTTCGTACCTCCTGAACGTAGAGAACATCAAGATACTGCTCTTGAGAAAGATGAAAAGGCCCGCTTGCGCAGCATCAATATTAGAAATATTGAAGAAATGATCTTGAATCTCACTGAAGGCACTGACCATTTAGTTCGTGAGCTTGACATCGAGAAAGATCTCGACAGCGCCACGGTCTTTTCTTCGGGGTTGGAAGAGGCAGTGTGGACCTACGCTCGCGTTCACCGCACTGCGATGACTATTCTGGGATCTCTTGAGACACCATCCAGTATATATGACGGGAATACCTTCAGCAAAGCTTTAACGCTTCTTTCAGCGAGCGACAACCACAAATTTGCTTGGGGGGCTGCTGAACTAAAGGAGGAAGACCCCGACTTGGAAGTGACCTTAGACGAGAACGAGACTTTCACTGCGGAAAAAAATAAAGGGAAAGCTAAGCTGAGGGAGCTCCGAAAGAAGTGTAATCAACAAGAGTCCAAGCTTCTTAGCGGAGTGGTTCTCCCATCTGAGATCCGTACCACCTTTGCGGATATCCGAGCTCCCAAGGAAACAGTGGAGGCTCTCAAGACACTCACGAGTCTTTCACTCTTGCGGCCAGAAGCTTTCTCCTATGGTGTCCTTGCGACTGACAAGATCCCCGGAGTACTCCTGTACGGGCCTCCTGGAACGGGAAAAACTCTTCTCGCAAAGGCAGTGGCAAAAGAGAGCGGCGCCACGGTCCTTGAAGTCACAGCCGCGGACCTAAACGACATGTTCGTAGGGCAAGGCGAGAAGAACGTCCGCGCAGTCTTTACGCTAGCCAAGAAACTCTCACCATGTGTCGTCTTCATTGACGAAGCCGATGCTATCTTCTCCGCTCGAGGCGAGCACAACCGCAACGCCCACCGCGAGATGATCAATCAGTTCCTCCGCGAATGGGACGGTATGAACGACTTCTCAGCCTTCATAATGGTAGCCACCAACCGCCCCTTTGACCTCGACGAAGCTGTTCTCCGTCGTCTTCCTCGCCGCCTGCTCGTCGATCTTCCTGTGGAGAAGGACCGCGAAGAAATTCTCAAGATCCACCTGAAAGATGAGATTCTTGACGACTCCGTCTCCTTGAGCAAGCTCGCCGCCGATACCCCCTTCTACTCCGGCTCGGATCTCAAGAATCTGTCAGTGGCAGCAGCGCTCGCCTGTATCCGCGAAGAGAACGCCGAAGCGGCCAAACACACCGGCGAGGAGAAGTACGTCTACCCGGAGAAGCGCACGCTGACGAAAGCGCATTTCGACAAAGCGAGTGAGGAGATCAGCGCATCAATCAGCGAGGACATGAGCACATTGACCGCGATCCGCAAGTTCGATGAGAAATACGGTGATCGCAAGGGCCGCAAGAAAAAGGGTCCTGGGTTGGGCTTTGGAGGAACAAAGTTGGAGGAGAAGGACTCGGAAGCTGCGAGGGTGCGGAAGATGGGGTTGTAGGGAGAGAGACGGGTGGAGAAAGCAAGGCATTCATGGGCGTATAGGGTTGGCATGGCATCTAGGCGTGCTGAGCTCGCTGATCAGGCACTTTTTGGGGGCGCTGCGCGGTTTGTGATTTGCTTGTATATCATTGTAATAATAGTGTTTAGAATACAAGATGAATAATATATGCTCGAATATATGCTCTATCGAAACTATTAGGAGAGGATCGAGGGCGGGGGGAGTGGGTAGTGGTTGATTGAAAGAAAATCAAATAAGTATGCTTGCTGCACAGGAATCAATCCGTTGATCGCAAAATTGTAAATAGGTATCCATTGCCAGCCAGCCAGCCAGCAATGTAAGCCCACCTCCAAGCAGGAACAGCACGACAGTAGGTACCTATACCACAGTTGAATAAATCAGTAGGTATCCATGTATCTTTCTGTTCTCATAATACGTAACTTATCTATACGAAAGGGTCAGAGGAATAGTTCAGTCAGTCTATAGAATAAGTAGATTGGAATATCAAATCAGTTATAGCGCATGGATAGATATATTGATATCTTTATATCTATAAATCAATCAAGCAAGCCCAGAGAAGTAGTTAATGGCTCGAGGCTCGAGGCTCGAACTAGGGAGTTGAATAGAAGTTTTCAGTAATGTGATAATTCGGGTTGATTTTATTAGCGTCAAGGTCCAAGGGGTGAAAGATAGTTATAGAAAAAAAAAAGACAGAAAAAAGAAAAAAAAAAGAACGTTGTTGAACTGGGGAGGCTGACGACGACGAGGGGCCGTTCGGCTTCGCTGGCAGGTTGGGTTGTCGTTTATATTGATTGATGGTCAGGTTCAGGTGCAAGCAGCTGCGAAGACGAAGCCCAAAAGCCACCCCATTCATTCATTCATTCATTCATTCATTCATTCATTCCAATTCCAATTCCTCGCGACTTGTACTTTTCCAGGAAAAAAAGAGGAAGAAAAAAAAACCCTGCCTACACTACAGCACACGCCCACAATCAGGTCCTGCACTAAAAGTACATGTTCTCCAGATACATGTTCCTCTTCGGCCTCAAAACCAACTCCTCTTTATCAGGAAAAGCGCACTCGTACCTTTCAACATCCACGTCCAGCACTCGCCCTAATCCCTCTCCAAATACTTGCACAGCACTACGCTCGCTCCCCCTCCCCCGAACAACCACCTCGAAACCCTGCTGATCTTGAAAATCCCACGTCTCTTTGATCTCCTGGGCGACAGCATCGACGAATTTATCCGTGTATTTGCCGGGATGGACGTCGAATTGGCCGGCTGGGTATGGAATGATTTGCTCGCCTCTGGCGTGGAAGGCATGCAAAGCGTTGTAGACGAAGCTGCTAAGCGGGTCGGACACTTCTTCTAGTGCTTCTTCCTGGGAGTGCCGGGTTGCGTATTCGCGCATGGGAAGTGCGATTGCGAGCCAGAACTTATAGACTACGGCGAGAATGCCGCGATGGTCGGGGTGCACGCCGTTGACGTTGTAGCCTTGTTGATGGGCGAAGGTGATGGTGCCGTTCATTGTCATCTTGAGAATGTTGAGGAGGTTCTCGAAGACCCATTCGGACTTGGAGCCAGCGTTGGACAGGAGCCGAGTAACTTGGTTGCTGATTGCCGGGAGGAAAGTTGAGCATATTAGCCAGCCTGAGAATTGGAAGCCTGTGGCAATGAGAGCGGGGACAAGGTCGGAGAGCATGAACTTAGTGAAGTCCCACCATTTCATTCCCTTGCGGATGCAGCTGATGTAGCCACGCATGCGATTAGAGATCATAGAGCTTTTCCATCCATTCAAGAGGTAGTAGAACAACCCCATCGTAGTCTTGTCGGGTTGATGTGCTAGGCGTAGACAATACGATATGAGGCCGGCACCATACATAGATGGGTCGTCGTAATGCGGCCAGTAATGGGTCGACTCTTTGAGGAAGAATTCCGGAACTGTACTGAAGTCGCTCGCATAACTTCTAATATCCGAGACTATTGAGCGAGCGACCTGGAGGTGGTAGTTGTGAAGATCTGTGCCGGGCTCTAAGGACTCGAGTAGGCGTTGCATCGATTTCATCATTTCACCAAGCATGTCTGAGAAGAGACGATGTGCCTGCTTTATCGGGAGTCCGACCTTAGCCTCCGTCACGTCTTCTATTAAAACCGAGCTCATCTTGCGAATGGCGGCTGGGAAGCTTTAGTAATGAAACATGTATAGAACAGGGTAGAGGCATACCTCGCACCATGTGCGTCTGGTCCAGTCTGTCGAGATCAACCAATTCGGTGAGATAGTGCCCAATTTTGCGCAACTCTAGAGTGAACGCTTTCACATGGTCTGGAATAGCTTGACAATTGATGAGGCTCAGTAACCATTCCAACCCGATAATAAAACTGGGAAGCTAGATCATACGTCAATACAAGTCAAATAGGCGACGCTTTATGACCAACCTGTAAGTCTGAAAGTGTCTTGCCATGTATAAGCAGACTTGCAAGGAACAACGGCCAATACAGTTCCGCAATTTTGCATGTCCGTCTATTTTCAAAGACTGCATATTGACCGCGTGTGAGGAATGACTCGAGAGGCTATGAAGTCGTTAGCCCAGTTGAGACAGTGAACAAATCATGATGACTTACTATTCCACCTCCCTCCGACACAAGCGATATTACGCGCGCCCAGCAAGTAACAAGACGGGTCATCATAGCCCTGTCCTGACCACCTTCAATTTCGCTTTCCAAATACCTCCTTACTAATGGACAAAGTTTGTCTAGGACATTATGTCGCAGAGGCTGCAACCGTTAGCAAAATTCAAGAAAAGGGGCGTCATCAGACTCACAAGTATCATTTCTAAGCGCTCCCAGCCCCCAAGAATATCCAGGCTATCCTGGCTATCGGCTTCTCCATTACCTGCAACTACAATATCGTGTGCAGCAGGCGGGTGAAACAGCTTGATCTGATCCATGTATTTGCAGAGGGCCACACTACACTCATCCAACAGGGGCTTAGACAGTGTACCGTTTGTGTGGACTGCTGCGTCCAAGGCCCTCGAAAAAACATCTAAATTTCATCAGCAAAAACTTTGCAGATTGGATGGTCAGGCTTACCACAATTCAAAGCCTCCCTGGCCAAATTCGAAGATCTTGCAGCTTTGATGGCATTCGCCATCGCCCTGATAGATGTGCACATAGGAATCATGATGCTTCGCCGATTCATCAAGACAGTCTTGACAATTTTCGACTCTGACATCGCCTGGCCACTGCTTTTCTCCAGAAGCTCTGCTTGCTGTCGCAGGTCTTGCTCCGCATCGAGGTATTGTTGGCAGAGACTGGAAAAAAAAGCACTCTGCCATATAGTAAAAGGCTTGTATGCCTCATTGTCCAGGTTTTTCGTGACAATGAATAGGGACAGGTTTTCCCAGGCTCTGATGTTGATCAGACAAGCTTCATTATGAGAGCGTTCAGCGATCACGAGTTCCTGTATAAGAGATAGAGATGGCCTCTGGGCGGGTGGCGATGCCCAAAAGAGCGTGGAAAGAATGTCGTGGTGATTTCGTAACGCTGAGAGATCCCGATGATGGATGGTCTCCTCCTTTGGAAACTGTCTGTCATGATTTGGCAGCAGTCGAGCAACGAGGTTTCGGATGCTCTTGACGTCTCCAGCTTTTGATAGATGCTGAATGCCGAGAGCGATGATCTTGAGGAATATGTGGAAGCAACGGTCCTCAGCTTCAATAGCAAGACTTGGCTCGGCATCAAGCTGCTCCAAGAAATGCGGCGACTTGTAGACTTCCTCATTGCGCAGATGGGCCAGGTTGTGAGAAGCAAAGAAGTCAAATAAAGCTCCAATGATGGGATGGCATTTCCACCAGCCCCATTGTGTCATGAGATAGTGACAGCGGTGGAAAAGCGCCCTGCAGTATTCATTGAACCCTGGTGCTTGCCGTTCGTTTGATTTGTACAGCGAAAAAATCCGCTTCAGAATCTGTTGAGGCAGGTACCAATTATCGAACTTTGATGTGTGTCGCAGTCCGGGAACGACAACGCCAAATTCATCAAACTCACAAAGTGGAAGCAAAGTATACATTGCGTACCATAGTTTCTCCATTGATGGAGCGTCAATGACTCTATGCATCGGATTGTTCAAAAGGCGAGCATTGGCAAGTTCCCAGAAGGAACCCTTTGGTATCTCAGCAGCACCCAAGACCTTGATGAGTATTACCCAGGCGTTAACAGCGTGTTGGTCGCCTTTGATTCCTCTTTCTCTGAAAGAGAGGTACTGGAGATCGTCATATAGTTTTCGAACAGGTTCAAGTCCCTGAGAGAGAAGCAAGTCGATACAATGACCAGAAACCGACTTGAGCAAATCCTCAACAAAATAGCTCGAGATATTTGCTACCGACTGAGTCCGAATCGAATTGAGCAGGCGCAGAACGATCAAAATGCACGTAGAGAGTACTTCAACAGTGAGACGGATTTGTGCTTGCTGAAATGTTTTCTTCGCATCGAAACGATTTGAGAAATCTTGTAGAACCTCTATCATTCTCGAAACAAAATCTTCCCGATCGAGAGTACCATCGAACCTTACATTAAACTGAACATAATCCAGTATGAATATTACGACTTCAATGGCATCCGCCGTGGGAGGGCTCGACGTCTGCTGGGCCTGGAATCGATCGAGAAGCCAATCAAAACAAACACCCACTTCGGAAGAGACCTGTTCATCCCACGTTGTCCAAGTAAGGATTTTGTCTGCGAACTTCAAGGACGGAATCGACGATCTCGAGGGAGCCAAGGCAGTGGGGCTCTTGTCGTGAAGAGCATCTGCCAGTCGATGGCCGCCGATGAGCGTGCTTGCGTGAAAGAAGATCCCAGGCTGCAAAGGGAGTATGTCGAAATGGTAAGGATAACTGGTGCCAAACTTCCCCAGTCCTAATAGCTTGCTGTTGTCATCGTTGGGTTCGTCTATTGGGGTGAAGAAGTCTAGGATCAACGGATCCGTAGGCTGCCGATAGTTTGCAGCGCCTGCATCAATTCGGTGAGGCGATTGCTTCCTGCGCCGGCTGGACTTCTTTGGCAGCCGGACGACACCGACCTCCTTGAGCTCATCGGCTTCTGCTCCTGCAGTGTCCTGGTCGGGAAATTTCTCGACGGACGGCCGAACGACATCATCGTCTGCAAGAAATCGGCTCAACTGGAGGTTGATCTGTGGCACGCGCCGTTTGAGTGTGTTCCTGTACAGAGCATCAAGTGTCCTCTTCCTCCTCTTAAATGACGCATCATCAAATGGATCAGAGTATCGAAATCCAGTCGACTCGAGCTGTGCAGGGCGTGCTGGAAGATAGCGGCCTTGTGGTTTAATCGCATTTCTCGAGCTAATACTATGACTTCGAGGATAAGCCACTTCCTGAGGGGCTGCTTGGTCCCTCCTCACAAAGTCGTTCATTGATTGCTGGCGCCTAGAAACCACAAATTTGCGTTTTGACATAGAATGATGTCCATCTAGTACATTCCTGCCGACAGGTGTTGGAAGCCTGCCTTGTGCATTGTTCGTAATCTCTTGGAGTGCGCTTCTCTGTGCCACTGAAGGTGTACTTGATTGAGGTTTGCGGGGCTTCCGTGAAAGCTTGCCTTGCTTCCAATCCTGCAATACCGACTGAGCTTCCTGGGTGTCTGCACGATTTGCCAACCTGATGAACTTTCTGGAAGGACTGTGTCGACCTTGTCCTACCCGAGACCTAGCAGTACGGGCAGCAATTTTTATGAAATCCGGTAGACTACTATCGCCTCTATTCACATCATCCATTACATCCAATATGCTAAGCCTTGGAGCAGCAGGCTTTCTGGGACGTTGCAAGTCATTCTTCTTTCGGGCCGACTTGCTTCCGCTAGATTTTGACTGTCTCATGGATCCAGGTTTCCTGAGATAGTCCGTAATCCGCTCTGACTTGTTGTATGCTCGACATTCTGTTCGAGCTCCCAAGCCCGATCCAATCTTCCTTCTTTTACGCATTTGAGTTGAGCCTCTTGATGTCCGTTTCTTGGACGGCAACATGGCATCAATCGTATCATCCTCGAGGGCAAATCCCAGCCGCGACTGATCGAATATAGTTTCCAATTCCAAAGAATCCACTTCCGTTGCGAAACTGATTGGCTCGTTCTCATCGTCTTCTGAATCCGAGAGGAATGCTAGTCCTGCATCGGCTGAAGTCGACGAAGTTTTCGCGTGTTGACGCATCCGAGGCAAGGCAACACCACGCCGAGATGGGTCTTTGACAGGAGAAATGCTGGCATAATCCCGATGAGTTTCAATGCTTGGTTTAGATCTCTTCGCCTGGTCCAGTCGAAGGTATGAAGCAGGAAGTACACCTCGAATCTTCCTGCTTTTCCTGCGGATTTTCTCAGACTCGTTCGATGAGGACGAGGGAGAAAGCGACTTTTCAACGTCAGAGGCAAACGGGTCATCGCTTTCCACGTCTGAATCTATCATTACCTGAACATTTTTCACCGAACTTGTGGCTGGAGTTGGAAGATCATTAGTTTGTAAAAATGCGTCGTCGACCCTTGCAATGCTTCGCGTTGGCTCGATGGAATTTGATCCAGCACGAGACAAGGGAGCTCGTCCGCGGCGTGAGGCAGCAGCAAACGGAGAACTGGTTGCCGGGGGCGATGCAGGTATATCGAAAATTCTCATTGCAGAAGTATTCGAGAGGACCGGGGTCGGAGGTTGAATTTGATTCTCTGATGGTAGGGGACGCTTGAATTTGGTCCCATATGTCTTGAGCCGCTGCTTTGGCTCAGATTTCTTCGGAAATCGTGATGGTCCTTTCAAAAGCTTATTCAAAGCAGGAAACTCTTCTTCCTCATCATCTTCGTCATCATTGGCCCCTGATAGAGCGTCATTCATGACTTCGTCGTCCGGAGGCATTTCTTCTGGCCGTACCGGAGATGAGGTAGTCGGATCCCAGTCCATGTCATTGTGTTGGCGTTCACCTAGATCGAAAAAAGTGCTTTGCGAATCCTGTTCTTGTGATTCCAGGCCAGGTGAGGAGCTGAGCTGATGTGGGCGGCGTGAATCTTCTGGGGATGATTCCATCCTCACAGGTGCAATACCCCCTGCCTTCAACGTCTTCCGGTACTTTTCTTGTTCCACAAGGTAAGGATGCAGCTGGATAGCATTCCGTTGTCGGAGAGAACGCCTTGCGGTGCTGGCGGGTACTTCTTGCAGTGGCTTAGAGGGGTCATTCTCTATGCCAAGTTGAACAACCTCAGGTACCTCTGGCTGTGGACAGGGAGACATTGATTGTTCTCTTCGAATGATAGGTAGAGTTGGCTCACTGCTCGTATGAAAAGAGAGTGGAGAGGAGAGTGGAGAAGAGAGTGTCGTCGAAATCGGAGAAGTGATCTGGACATAGCTTCTTGAGATCTCGTCCTCTGCTGGTACCCCATTTCCTGATTGCGAAAGTGATACACCGTCCTTAGCTTGAGGATTGTCGTCTCTGTCGAGGTCCGAAAATAGTCGAAGACCTTTATTTCCCATCGGAAAACTTGGGGTCGGTTCTGGAAAGTCGGCACCACCCTCAACAAGTTGTTCAAATAAATTCTCGACGACGTCTTCTGCTGCACCGGGAAACAGGCCTTGTTCAGTGGCGACATCTGGCTCCCGTGGTATTACTTCTAGGCCCGCAGCACCACTAAATTTTGAAACTCCATCTCCATCTCCATCTTCTCTAGCTGTAGCTCCAGCATTCCCATCGAGTTCCACTGCATCGTCAAATCGTGGCTCATTATTGGGGCTTTCGGAGCCCGTCGTGCTTTGGCTATCTAGCCCATCTTCGTCGTCGGAGTCCGGTACCACGCCTTTCTCCTTCCAAGTTGCCATAGGATTCGTATGGCATAATCAAGGCAACCTGGGTCGTGTTCGAAATGCCAATTCGATGTTGGAGTGGTTATGATAACCCTGGTAAGTGTTGACGCGTCTTGAAAATCGCGGGACGCGACTCCTTACCTAATCAACGCTTAAGCACTTAATTTAGCCGACTCAAGACATCATCGGTCCGAGCAGAAGTCAGTTCAGTTTTCAATCATTACCTTGAGTTGCTCACGCTCGACGATTACAGCGTGAAGATGAGCAGAATCCGGGGCTTAATTCCAATCGTCTTGGCTGGTGGTTTAGGAATTGGGAATGGTCAGTAAAGTATATCACTGCCCCTCCACAATGTTCTGCCCTCATTATCGGCCAGGACTATGGGTCTTTGGACCGGAAATCACAAAACAGCTGGAGGAGAAGAAAGAGCAGGAAAAGTAGGGGTGTGTGGGCCAATATTGATAGCGCATGCTAATAATTTCGATAGGAAAGCTCTAGAACTCGTGAGGCAGTCGGAGAATGAACCCATTGAATCCCTGCAGAAGGCGGAAGCAGCAGCGAGTCGGACGATTGCTACCGAGGCCGCATTGAAGCCAGAGAAGTCGGCTTCATGGTTGCCGAGCTGGATCAAGCAGGTGAACAAGCCTCTGGGTAAGGATGCCATGAAGGAAACGCAGAAGGAAGCGCCCGAGGAACCCGTCAAAGATACCCTGGAGGCGCCCAAGAACACGCCGTGAAGGCAATGAGTACATCCGTACCTTAAGCAATAAGGCGGAGCCGAAAACTTTGACCGAGGCCACTCTGTGACTCAGTGCAGGTCGTTTGCGGCGCCAGCTTTCGCGAAGGCCCGGCCATGGATCAGTCGGAAATGCTCTCTCTACATTATCGGACTGGGGTCCTTCGTCAAAGTACTCGAAGGTCTTCTGCAGAATAAGAAAGCAGAGATGGGCAGTCTATCATCAGTAGTGACGAAAGCATAAACGGAGCGGTATCTTCAGCTGGGACTATTGCTGTACCCAATTTGTTGACTTTATCTATCATATGCATTGTTATGAACTATATGCATCTTTGATCTTTTCGAGAGCCGTTTCCTTACGAGTCCTTGACTCTCCTCTTCTCAATCGCCACATTCAGATGCAGAGCCAGAGAGTCGCCAGTCACACTGGATTCTTTCGTCGGTGCTTTTCAACTTCTCTCGAATATGTGGTAGCTACAAAACCACAGGGTGACGCAAGCACCTTGACTTGGAGCGATTCTCGTATCATTTATCTGTCCTTTCTTGATGGTTAAAGAAAGTCCCTAGACTCTCTATCATATGGAACAATGCTGTACCAGTCTTTCTCTTCACTTCCCTCGCTTGGCTACTACACTGTGTTTGAAACTGAGCTCGATTGAATGTCTCTATATTCTCTGCATATTGAATGCAATAGACTGAGCTATATCTCCATATTTTAAATACCCTTCCCATTCATCTGTTTTGCTTCGATTGAGCTCTCCTTACTAGACCAGCTCATTGCAATACGAGTATGGAGCCAGTCGCAATGCACAATTGCGCAAGCGTGTGGTAAATGCAAATCTCATGCATTGTCCTTTTATATTATTTTCTGAAGATTCAAGAATTACACTCCCTCCCAGCTAAAGAAGCTACCCATTTACTCACCTCTCAGTAGGCAATCAATAGCCACCTTCGATCCAGATCACGTGTGATCAAGCCCAATGCACGAACCAGCATGCGACCGAGGCTGCTGCTCCATTCCAAGCCAAACGTCATTGCTTGTCTGCCAGGATATTCGTTCGTACTTCATCGACATCGCGGGGTGCATTTCCCCAAAACCCAATCTCGAACAACACCATAATATGGCAACATCAGTCGAGAAGGCAGAGGCCTCTACAGACCATGAGCAAGATCTCAGTTCCATCCTCTCAACAGAAGAACGAGTCGAATTGACATTGTTGCTGGCCAACATTACCGAGCTCATGCGGAAGCAAATCATGGACACCTTTGACGCGTCTGTCACGACTGTTAAACCACCCCAACAAACTCTGAAAATCACTGATAAAAATCCCAATGTCGACGAGTCGAAGGAGAGAGACGAGACCGAAGAGGACGAGAATGCAAGAAAGCTGCAAGAGGAGAGAGAGAAAGAGTTGTCGGCTCCCAAGATGCTGGAGTTGAAGGAAGCTTCACTGAAGTTCTTTGATGCTTGGAGGGACTCGGTGATACTTAGGGTTGGCACTGCAGTTAACAACTCGAAAGAGGTCGTTGAAGAGCAGAGGGATAAAGCTACTGTCGAGGCAACACCTGAAGCAATATCCAAGGATGGACCTGCTGCAGAACCAAAGGCTATTGGTGCGTGCATTGCTAGACAGATATCAATCACTATACTGACATAAATCAGGCAAGAACACCAACATTGAAGAAGCAGACGCAGCCCTAGTGGAATTCTACCCACCGACCTCAACCTCTCTCTACTCCCTCCCGAGAGACAAGCGTATCCTCCTTCTCAATGCTATGCTGCTTCTCCTCCTCTCCCTGGAGCACTACGTGGCTCCTTCTAGAGTCGTCCTCTTACATGTCTCCTCATCTCTCCACCTCCCGCTTCATATACTCGCCGAGCACGAAGTAAAAGTAGCGCAGGGCCTACTAGAGGCAGCAAAACACATGTCGGGCACCGACGAGACCCAGAAACGCAGCGACGAGAATAAAGTCGCTCGCAGATGGAAAGTCGGACTCGCTGGCGTCGCAGGTGCAGCCGTCATCGGCATCACAGGCGGACTCGCCGCTCCCCTTGTCGCAGGAGCCTTGGGCACCGTATTTACCGGACTAGGCCTCGGTGCCACTGCAACAGCAGGCCTTTTGGGAACCTTAGCCCAAAGCGGAGTAATAGTAGGAAGCCTCTTCGGGGCCTATGGCGGCAGGATGACCGGCAAGATGATGGACTCTTACGCGCGAGAAGTGCAAGACTTTGCCTTCCTCCCGCTCAAAGGCAGCAAGCACCACGAACCCAAGCAGGAAGACCGCCGGCTGCGCGTCACTATAGGTATCAGCGGGTGGATCACCCAGCGCGAAGACATCATTACCCCCTGGCGAGCTCTCGGGCGCGAAAGCGAGATCTTCGCCCTCAGATGGGAGCTCGACGCCTTATCTAAACTCGGCACCTCTTTGGAAACCGTCGTGAAGAGCGCCGCGTGGTCCATAGCCAAGAAAGAGATCATCTCGCGCACCATCTTCGCCTCGCTTATGACCGCTCTGTGGCCCATCGGTCTCCTACAGATTTCTAAGATTGTCGACAACCCCTTCTCCGTCGCCAAAAACCGCGCTGATAAAGCTGGCTTGGTGCTGGCAGACGCCATCATTAACAAGGCGCAGGGGGAGCGCCCGGTCACGTTCATTGGGTACAGCGTCGGAGCCCGGCTTATATACTCCTGCTTGATGAGTCTGGCAGAGCGTAGAGCCTTCGGCCTCGTCGAATCAGTAGTCTTGATTGGGACGCCTGCCCCGTCAGATGCGGCTGTCTGGCGAGCCATGCGCAGCGTCGTGGCTGGGCGCTTGGTTAACGTATACTCGGAGAACGACTACATTCTCGCCTTCTTGTACCGCACCAGCAGCATCCAGTACGGCGTTGCCGGGCTGCAGGCTGTCCAGGACGTGCCGGGCGTGGAGAGTGTGGATGTCAGCGCGATGGTGAGCGGGCACTTACGGTACCAGTATCTGATTGGTGCTATATTGGAGAGAATTGGGTGGGAAGATGTAGATAAGGAAGAGGTGGCAAGGGAGGAGGAAACGCTTGCGCTTCTTGAGGAGGAGGAGAGGAAAGAGGAGCAGAGGAAGGAGGTAGAGGGGGTGGATGTTGAGGGGGAGAAGGAGAGGATGCAGAAGGATGTTGATAAGAAGGTCTGAGAGAAGTACTTTCAGAAGGCGAGGGTTGACGACGGGTACATGGTGCAGAAGTAGCCGACCGCACATGCTTAGTGACAATAGATGGGAAAACCAGCATTGGACCTACCTTAGCATCGCTCGGTAGAATTCACACGTCAATGTTGAAGCACCCTGAGAAAGAGCCTGCAAGTCATAGCTCCTGGACCATTGCCCATAATTTGTGCAAGCTTTTGAGAGGTACTCGGAGCTTCACAGGCACATTCCAGAACCCAACTGATTGCAGTGTGTGTACACTCGCGTCCACGAAGAAGATACTTAAAAATCTCGCCGTTCTGATCTTAACATCCACGCAGGAGATCTACTCCATTCCCAATATCAGGCCCAGCTGTAACCCAAAAGCAGATGAAACGCCACATACACCCGTATGTATTCCGACCCCAATCCCCGCACCGCCTCCCCAGACGTCTAAGAAAAGTCCTCGCCCTTCTCCTCAATCGCATCCTTGATCCTCAACAAGATAACCGTCTTCCACTTATCCAACTTGCTCATCTGATCATACTGGAACAGTTTGTCGGCAAAGGCCTCCTGGTCGCCCTGCTCCACCGCCTCGTACAGATCCACAAGCAGCTGGTGCTCCCGCTGGCTCGGGAACGTCGGGTCCATGTCGCGGTACTTCTCGAAGGCGCGGTTCGAGGCGACCTGATCGCCGGAAGCAAGATGGCACAGGCCGGCTTTGAGGAAGTAGTCTTTGACGGACCACTTCATGAGGTTGTTGGACACGGAGGAGGCGGCCACTTTCTCGAAGAGCGAGATGGCTTTGTAGTAGTCGGATTCAAGGGCGGCGAGGTCGGCGACTTTGAGGTAGAGTTTGTTTGCTAACCTGTATCCCGAGAATTGTTGTTAGCATTGCTCTCTCTCTCTCTCTCGATACGCTTGAGGAGCGGGGACCGTACGCCTCCGCATTGTCATTCTCGAACCAACTCGCTGCCAACTCGTAGCTCTCAATCGCCCTCTTCGGATCCCCAATCTCCGTCTCGTATACCTCCGCCAGATTCTGCTTGTGCGTCGCCGCCCTCCTGAAGTTCCCCTTCATCGTGTAGTGGTTAATCGCAACATCGAGACAGCGCGCAGCGTCTTCGGGATCTGTTTTGCGGTACACTTTGAAGGCCTCGGTCAGGGTGTTGGCGGCATCGTCTGGTTCTTTGAGATTGTTCGTCTGGATAACGGCGGCTTTTTCGAAGGCTTGCCCGGCTTCTTTGTCTGTTGCGTAGAGTTGTTAGTGAGAGACGGGTGTAGCAAGAAGAGGGGGAGGGACGTACTGAGCTTTTGCATGCGAAATGCGTTTGCAGCCTGTGTGTACAGATCTGCTGCGTTCTCCCACTTCTCTTGCCTGCCACCGAATAAACTGAATCCTCCTGAAGCGCCCGAAGCTGCTTTGTCTGCCTGTGGAAAGTGTTAGAGAGCTTATCAGAGTACTGGAGTACTAGATGGCGGGGTAAGTTTCGGTGGTGCACCTTTTGCAGCAGAGCTCTAGGATCTTGCGCCATACTTGTAGTATTTCTTGATATCTCGAAATGAAAGGTTGAAGCTTGTGATTTTATTGCGAGTCGAGTGGTCAATATGCAGTTTCGAAGTCAACGTGTCTCTGGCCTTGAGCTCTGACGAGGTCGGCTTCATACTAGTGTGGAAGCTGGGACTGGGGCTTGGCGAGGCTGCTTATTTGAACATCCGTTCGGCAGGAAGGCTATGAGTATCAAAAAGAAAATCTCGTGGCAATAACTATGTACTCTTGATGCCAGATACAAAATAGGTTTCTTGAGCAATTACGACTATGTGATCAGGGATTCCAGCAGCAACGGAGACAGAAGACGATCGACAAAGAGAGACCATCTATCTACTTTAGCATGGTATGTCCAACCCTCGATCCCGTACGCAATCACTAACTCAATTGAAAAGCCATTCAAGACGTCCATGATGACCAAGTTCATATGCCAAAGCTGTCGAGCATCCATCTTCAGAACGTCTAAAGCTCGCATGGAACGCATCCCCTTTCCCCGACACTACAGCTCCTCAGAACCACCTCCCAATCCCAATCCCAATCCCAATCCCAGTCCCAGTCCCAATCTCAAGTCCAAGACCCCCGTCGACATCGCCGCCCTCCTCTCCAAACCAACCTGGTCTGTCCGCTCTTTAATCCCCGCAGCACCATCGCCGACCACCGAAATCACCCCTCAGAAACTGCACCACCTCCTTCGCCTTTCCGCGCTTCCCCTCCCCAAGACCCCGCAAGAAGAAGCCTGCATGCTAGCGGACCTGCACTCGCATTTGCATTTCGTGCATGACATCCAGAACGTCGATACAGAGGGCGTGGAGCCGCTGCAGAACATCAGGGACGAGACAGACGAGGGGGTGAGGGATATCACGATCGGGCTGGAGCAGATGAAGGAGGCGCTGGCAAAGGAGGATGTGGTGGGGCGGAATCGGAGGCCGAGGAGGAGGAGGGGGGAGAAAGTCGATACGGGAGACGTGGAGAACTGGGATGTGCTCGGGACAGCGGGGGATAAAGTTCAGGGGTCTGGAGGGTCTTATTTTGTTGTTAGGAGTGGCAAGGAGGAGGGTCAGAAGACGGGCGATTGAGAGCCGGGAAGGGGATGGTAGGATACCCATTTGGAAACATTTTGAGGCTCGGTGGTATTGCCCTCGCTGGTGGAACCTAAAGGAAGTTACACCAGGAAACTACTTTTTGGAAGTGAATCTCATCCAGGGGCGAGATATTTCGACAGGTCGATCGGTATGCTGAGTAGAGTAGAACAGCAACATGACGATCGTGTGGTCTACCATTTCATTTATGTACACTTTTACTGGCTATCATCATCTATGATGCTGCCAGACATCACAAATCGGCAGTAGGGTAACAATAGCCTATCGATATTGCAAGCTCCTTCATTTTAAAAAAAAATAATCTATGGACGGGCAAGAAAGATCCTCCCTCCCCTTTTCTCCATCAAGTATTTCTCTCCCTCCCTTCCTTCCTTCCTCCCTCCTCCCTCGCTTAAACCAAATCAACCCCCTCCCCCAAAACATCATTAAAAAAATTTTTAAAAAAAATATTATATATATGCAGAATGAAATCCCACCACCCAGCAGCACAGCTTCAGCATGGCCCTGCCCTGCCCTGCCATACTGCCAAAGGCTGCTGCTGCCTCAAATGAGAGCAACCAGATGTGGAATGAAGAAACCGCTCCACTTCCCTCCACCTCCCTTCACCTCCCTTCACAGACCAGCCGCCAGTATGTTTTTTTTTTTTCTTTTATTACAGAAACAAACGAGCCCGTAGATCGTCCTCTGATAAAAATCCAAGAGGTGCTTCTTCTTTCTGGCTTTGCCTCTCTCTCGGCCTTGACACCCACCCATCTCAATCAGCCCCAGCTCTCTCACCCCTCGACTCCTCAAATGAAAATAAAGAAGTCATAAGAGTCTTACACCTGAACACTTATACGAACGATCAAACGGACATTAAAACATTTTCGTTTAATGCAACGCAATCACTACTGGTAATGATAAGGCTTAGAGACAAAATCGCTGTCGCGCATTCATACTCTTTCGGCTCCTTAGCGTAAACCCTTTGCTCCTCGCCTCACCATTCATCTTGAATCCCGGGTAAAGAAGCCAGCAATCCAAGCCATGTACCGTGAACGCCACCGTATCCACGCCCCGGTATTCACAACCAAGACCATCGATCCGCAGTACCCAGCACGTCCCTCAACCCAATACCCAATACCCATATCCGTATCCACCATCACCACCATCAACTCTCCCCCTCTCTCCAGCGCCGCAGCCACTCCTGGAAGGCAGCAAGCTCGATATCCGACACGGCATGCGCTCGGATTGGCACCGATGATGAATTGAGCGAGTTATGGGAGGTACTCGAGCGAGTTTGCGGGGGCGCTTGTGCGGCCCTGGCTACATCTCCTGGCGTCCCTGCCAAGTTGTAGGCGCCGCCGAACGTCCGGGGGTCGACGCGAGGCTGCGGCTCGACGGGGAGCCACATGCGACGCAGCTGTTCCGCGTCGGCGTCGAAGGTGCGAGCGTCTTGCTCCATCTGGGTGGGGAGCTGGACCCGAAGGACTCGTAGGTCTGGTGGGTTCTGGAGCGCCTGAGAGACGTAGTGGTCGGCGCGGCTTCTGGTGAGGAAGTTGGAGCTTGAGCTTGGGCTTGGGCTTGGATCCGGGGGAGACGCGATGGATTCGGGAGGTTCGTTTTCTCGGAGCAGAGAACTCGTCGTCTTCGCCCACCAATCTCCGATCGCTTGGCCGATGCTGGTGATAACGGCACGTTCGGGCATCCTGGGTTGGGTACCGTTGTATTTAGGTGTATAATCGATCCTAGTCAGGTTGGAAAGTCTGGCCTCTGGCGTGGAAGGCGCCTCCCTTGCTGGCAGCTCATCCACGGCGTTCGAGCGCCCGTGGCTGAGAGAAGCAGAAGACACAGAGGGCCTGCGCTGTGTGAGCCACAAACCTTTCGAGGTCTTATTATCCACTTCCTGGGGCCGGCCTCCAGGCTGGTAACCAGGAGCAGCACGCTCGTGGACGCAGTAGCGGCCTCTTGCTCTCTGAGCATAGTTCTGGCTGCTCCATGGTGAGTTATCCGGCAGATCGTGTACATCGCACCTCTTAACAAAGGGAAGTAGATGGGGGTGTTTGTCCAGCAAAGCCATCTCGCGTGAGGAGCCTTCTAAGTGCCCTTTATCTCGTCTGATGTGCTCAATAAGGAATTTGGGCTTTTCTGGATTTCGCTTTCTCATAAGCTTCAGCTCCCAGTCAGGCATCTGGGAGTAGTATACGCGCTGCCATTGGCGGCCGGGTGCTGGGCCCACTCTGGTGAAGAAGTGATCGTCCCAAGAATTATGAACACCGGATGGATCGATGAAACTGTAGAGGGGTTGAGGCTTGCTGTAGCAACATGGTGACGCCATGTTGATGAGATGAATTAGATATTATACTGGGAGAGTGCGGGTTCAAATTTCATGGAAATCTGTTTGGTGGAATTTATGCGGGATAGAAATGGTGGGAGATATTTAAAAGAAAAATTAGCTCGAGTCGGCTGAGAAAAGACTTGATGTGGCCGCACCAGACGCCGTGAGACTAGTTCTGCTTAGAAGAAGGCCTACCAGAGAAAGAGATGCCCTAGGGGGGTTTTTTTTAATCCTTTCATCATAAAAGGAAAAGCCTCCTCATGAGACGTGGCTGGTGCCTGCTATCGAATATCATTTCAGCTCATCCAACTGAGCAGTTGCAACCGGTCCACCTCTGGCCTTGGAGACAGCCTCGGCTCCACTGCCTCTCCAAGCACTCTCGATGAGTCCAACGATGTAGTCAACGCCTACATTCTTCTTCACCTGAGCGAAAATGGTAGGTCCGCCCTCGCGTATCTTCCTAGCATCCCGGTCCATCACATCCAGATCCGCACCGACAGCCTCAGCTAGATCCGTCTTGTTCACAATCAAGAGATCACTCTGCGTGATCCCAGGTCCACCCTTGCGAGGGATTTTGTCACCTCCACTGACATCAATGACATAAATGATGTAATCAGCCAGTTCGCGAGAGTAGTTTGCCGCTAGATTATCGCCGCCAGACTCGATCAGTAGAAGGTCTGAAGTGAACTCTCGATGGAGGTCTTCTAGCGCTGCGAGGTTGGCGGAGATGTCTTCGCGGACTGCCGCGTGTGGGCAGCCTCCAGTCTCTATAGCGCGGATCCGGGAGGCGGGCAGTGCCTTGTTCTTGGTGAGGAACTCGGCGTCTTCACGGGTAAAGATGTCGTTGGTCACAGCCGCGATGGAGTATTTCTCTCGGAGTGCAAGGCAGAGAGCTAGCATGAGAGCAGTCTTTCCGGAGCCAACAGGTCTGGATGGTGGTTAGCATCTGTCTGGAAGAACAGTGCCTCTGCTCGGGGGAACGCTGAAATGCCCAAAAGAAGACGAGAGATATATATCTTCGGTCACCTGATATACACGTGATATGATTTACCCCGCCACCACCCCGCCGTCGATGACTTGGAAATGCAAAATCTCGGACAAAGGAATTGGGTTGCATACCCTCCAATACCGATAGTAAAGGCTCGTTCAGACCAATTTCTCCCCTCGATGATGGGCATCTCGCGTCCCATATAGCTGCCCGGTCCATCCAGAACCTCATGCGTATGTCCATGATCTGCTGGCGTGTTGTGGTCGTGGGTATGCCCACCTGGGGCAGCGTGGTCGTGGCCCATTGCGAGGGATTGGCTTGGTACGATTTAGATGTGCGTCTGTAAATGTGACAATGTCTCGAGAAGAGATGGATAAGAAGAGATTGTTAATGTCTTCTCGCCATCTGTGGCCGTGGCCGAAGTTGATATATATAATACTCTACGGAGTATGGGGAATAAGGCTAGAAGACTCGCTTACTGTGTCTTGGCAGCAGCATGTCTCCACTCCAACCTTTCTCAGCCTCGTCTCTTGACAAGAAGCTGGATAAACAGAAGTCGGCATCACAGTAAGGGCGTACACATTGGTTGAGGTTTCCAAAGATTGGTCTCAACGTTCGTGGGGTAAAGTGTAGAGAAAGGAAGCTGAAGCTGGGCGTCCTGAATTCGCTTAGCGGCCTCACGTGCAACGGCAACCATCGACAACATGCACAGCTGCCTACATTGTTCTGCCCGGCGGCCTCAGCACTAGCAGCAGCGATATATGTCCGAAAGCCGTAAATTGGCTGTGTTGATGAGAAGGAGAGGTAGATGAGGGCGGTGATGGAGCATGCTGGAAGATCTTTTGAAATCACGAAAGGAAAATCTTGGGTTGAGTTTCGGAGTGGTGCGGCGTAGAAGAAATGGGATATGTATTGGTATCATGTAGATAGCCGACAGGTGGCCGGCCACCAGCAGCAGAATTTTGGATTTCATCATTCTTCATTTTTTTATCATGCAACCACAAAGACGAAGTTTGTGGTTGAGGGTGGTAAGACATAAACATACATCTAAACATATCGCATGAGGCATCAAAATATACACAGAAAAGAAAAGAAGAACTTTCTCCCACGGGCTCAGCGTCCCGCGCCAGGGTTCAACACCGCCCGCCGCTTACAGCCGTCGACGAACATACCCAGGTCGTGGTGTGATATCCGTCGACTCGCTGGCGCTCCCGTACGTAGCAGCAAGCGTCGCATCAAAGTCCGTCGTCTCGCCCTCGGGCTTCGGCTTCCCGAAATTGTCCGACATGGGCCTGACGATCTGGCACCTCAGACTCTGCGCCTCGGACATGACCTCCATCTTCGTGTTGTTGGTCTGGATGAACAGCCTCTCCCGCGTCTCGGCGCCGTTCCACGTGGTCCAGTCCGGCGCGCCCACCTCCCGGTCGATGTTGGGGTCGAGAGTGCGCATGAAGCTCGTGAGGTACTTCCTCACCAGCGGGATGATGGGCGCGTTCGTCGTGGTGTAGGTGGCGGGGGCTCCGCCGTCCGTTCGGGAGGGACCCCAGAGGGCGTAGGCATCGACCGTGTGCCAGGCGCCGAACCCGATCGCCTCGTCAGTCGGGTCGAGAACGGTGTACTTGTAGTTCCAGGTCAAGCCTCCGTCGGCGGCGATGAAGTCCTGGATGTTCTTGATGATGCAGTGAGTGCCGATGTCCCCGATAGCGTTGGCGGCGTTCCTCCACTTGCGTCCCGATTCGGGGAAATGGGTCTCGTTCTTGACGAGCCAGAGCTTCTCCAGGATCGCGACAGCGGCATCGGTGATGGTAGGGTCCGAGTTTTTGAGCCAGGTGGCAGCTTGCTCGACGGTGTCGGTGTCCTGTGGCGCGTTGTACTTCGTGCCTTCGTTGGCGTCGGATCCCCAGATCGTAGGGAGCTTGCTGTAGTTGCCCTGGGCAAAGAGGTTGAGCATGGAGTCGGTGTACAGCTCGCCGTCAATATGGGGGTTGAACCAGCAGTTGCTAGTCATCACGTGTTCGGCCTTGCGGAGACAGGCGAGGGTATCGGTAGAGTTGCCACAGTGCTTGTCCTTTACCAGACAGTCGTACTGGAGCTGTCCCAGTTCCATCGTTCTCATGCTCACCCAGGCGCCCGAGTGGCTCATGCCTCCGACGAACGGCGGGCTCTCCAGATTCGCAGCCATCAAAAGTCCAACGGACGCACCGCCGGCACTGACTCCGTCGAGCACGACCTGGTCCGGGTTGCCCCCAAAACGGCAGATGTGCCTTTGGACCCATTCGAGGGCCTTCAGTTGGTCCTTGATGCCGTTGTTCAAGCTGCCGCCAGCTTTGACCTCCGCACTCTGGAGAAATCCCCAAGCTCCGACACGGTAGTTGAACTGCACAACGACGATGTTCTCTTCTCTGACGATCTCAGAGGGATCCCAGTTAGGGCTGGAGTTGGAACCAAACCCGCCACCTTGGAGGAAGAACATGACAGGGAGTCTGGAGTCGACCGTTGCGCCTGTGGGAGCGTAAACGCTGATGTACAGGCAATCTTCACCGGCGGTAAACTTGGTCGTTTTGGTGGTGACGGTCCAGTCATTCGGCTGCTGCGGCAGGCAGATGTATCCGTTCTGAGATATCGTCAATTCATAGATCATAGAAGCCAGGACAACAACTGAGTTCCTACCTCCGTAGCATTTTGGATCCCGATCTCCTTAGGAGGATCCTGTGGTGCGGCGAACCGCAAATCACCAAGTGGAGGAGCGGCGTATCGCATCCCAAGCCACTTGCTTACGCCTTCTTCATGAATAGCGCCGGAGTAGGTCGCGTATCCCAGATCAACGACAATGTCTACAGCGAAAGCTGGCGTGATTGCCGCCAGCAAAAGAGCGAAATGTGTAGCCTGCCACATCGTGTGGGTACGGTAATCTTTCAAAAGAATGTGTGTCGTTAATGCAAAACAATTATGAATGTCATGTACCACAGGTACGTATGTAGCGAAGGAAAGAGGGCGTAGGGCTGTAGGGCTGAAGGGCTGAAGGGCTGAAGGGAAGAAACAATGGGAACTTCATAAATTTATACTTGCGTAGTACGTAGTATGTACGCATCTTTTAAGCCCTGGTTGCGGCCTATAATTCGAACCGTATTCCGCAATTCAATCTGCTTGTGCCATATTTTATCTAAAACAGAAAGGGTTTGTCCGACGCAGAGGAAGACGACGACTTGACCGTAATTATACAAGGATATGAGACGGCTCAATGGGAAATTTCAGGAATTGCAAGCGACAAAGTCTATTTAAGCTGCTGGGATTAATTTGAAACCAACAAATGCAACGAGCAGAAGAGGGCCAAGACGGAGAGATCATTTTCGCGGAGGTTGAATATGAAGTCAAAGAAGATGAGAGGGTCGTGCATGGCAAGAAAGGACGCATAATCGGGTTTGAAGTGAAGAAGCTACAGTATGAGGGCCTTTCCAAAAGCTGCGAGGTCAACTCCCGCTGTTGCACCAGAAACTGTATATGCCTATTGTACGTAGTATAATGCCACTCCTATTGCTGTTACATGGCCATTCGAGATCTCCGTAGTCGAGCTTGCACTACCGGGCCGGCCATTGAAGGCCCCATCTTAAGAATGCGTAAGGCCTCACCCATAACTAGGTCGTCAGGCAAATCTTGCCAAATGGTTAAGCGGAACCGGCTAAAGGACTTCTTGACTTCTTCTTCACTTGCCCAGCAGAAAAGGAGGCCGATAGTTTCCCATGCCTGATGCCTCGCACCTAGTGGAGCACGTCTTCGCATTTCCTCAACACCCAAAACCAAATGCCGCTCCATGCTGCGAATTTTGGTTCTTTTCCACCGCGTCCCCGCGGGTCGTAGTCGCCGGGGCCGCCCGTCCCGCCCTTTACTGGTTGCCCCCCTATGTGACATTGACTTCTACTTATCTCAGTCTGAAAAAGCCAATTCCGCGCTCAGATTCAAGAGGCTTCCGGCGCTGTACGGGTACGGTAGTTATCAGTACGTAATAATCTAATCATGGGCGAACAATCAAGGTCGCCCTTTGCATTGCGGGAGCAGCGCAGCCTCACGTGATCTTGCAAATGCTCTTACGCGGTGGCTCTACCAAAGCCGCCGAGCTTTGAGCGAGCTCACGTGCCTTAGTCATATGTCTATGCGGCAAACCATTCGTCCGAAAAGTATACTAGTTCGTCCGTCCACACGAGCCAATCAAAATCCCTTCCGGCATCCCAAATTATTTTTGCAAATATATTACTACTGTCACTTTGACCAAGCATTACAAGAGTCAATCTGCAATCTTTGATGGTCTAACGGTCATGATTTCCGCTTGTCATTCAGACAAGTTCGCGGGAGATCGGGGTTCGACTCCCCGTCAGAGAGCTATCGCGTGCGCCTTCTCTAGAGTTCATGTCCCCAAGTGTATGCTTGGAACCAGGTTTTGGTTTTCTTTTTAGAGTTTCTCAATCATTTTGTGGTTGTCAGACGCGTAGAAGTTGGAGGCCATAGCAAGGTATAGACGAATGCGAGGATTTCACACTGTCCAGGACAGCAAGCTCGTGTACGGAGGACGATTGGTAGGTATACGTAGTACTTCGGTGTGTCTACGGTATGACATTCCAGATTGCTTTGCTAGGTTTGGAATTGGGTTCGAAGCACGGTTAGTTAGGGCTTAGGAGGAATGATGGCTTCTATTGGAAATGGGGGGAGATAGGAATACCAAGAACATGCGTTATCACAACTGATTGAAGAGCATAACCGTCCACTCACCTCACTTACGTAGTACGTGGGCCTCCTTACAGCCCTCTCGGTCCGATTAATCTAGTCTGAAAAACATGAACAGAGTTTGAAGTGAACGGTGAATCTTGCTATTTTCCACCTTGGGCTCTGGCAGTCAACATACCTACGGTATCATCTAGAAAAAACACCAACAAGCAAACAAGTTTTGTGTCCATAGCCCTCCCATTTTACCCTAAGCAATTCCTATATCCATCCCCTTAGACCGGAACTCCACCCCGTTCATCAACCTCCATAGCCACATCCCCCTCACCCACAAGCTGCGGCACAGATTCCTCCTCCTCCGCCTTCCAAGCCCTTGCATTCCGCGGCCACATGCGCTTGTACAGACTCACCCCCACCGAATCCTGTGGATTAATCTTCCCGTCAAATGTAGCCTTGAAATATCCGTGCGTACCCAGGCTTTCCTTGATAAACCCACTTCTGCCGCGCTTCGTCCACAATTGCAAAGCCTTGAACCATTCCACATCCTCGCGGTTGAAGAACATGTAGCGGATTGTCACAAGCTTCTTGTGGATCTTGTACGGGTGACCCGTGAGGATGATGCGCTTGGCGATCACGCGAGAGGAGGAGGGAGCCATCGATGTTCCGGTTCCGATAAGGGTGAAGGGGAGGGGTGAGGGAAATGCTTCGCTAGGGATATTGCGTTTAAAGAAAAGAGCAGGCACGGATCCCCACGTAAGGGGTGCGACAAAGCTTGCGATTGTGGATTGCCCGGGGTGTAGGAATCGGTCGAATTTGTGGACGTCGTTGGAGGTGTTGCCACCTTGGGAAAAGATGGGGTTGATGATGAAGCGGCGGGGGCCGCATTGCATTATCATTTCCTCTTTGGATCGGACGGATGTTGTGTAGTCGGAGTTGAGGGTGAGGCTGAAGTTGAGGACGGCGCGCTTCTGCTCGTGGCGGAGGAGGGAGAAGAGGTTGAGTGGGCGAGACGGGTTATGAGTTGCTTGTAGAGAAGTAGGAACGTTACGGAGATAGATGTGCACACGAGCACCAGCTACGACGCCGCCGACCAGAGCTTCACGGGTGACTTGACTTCTGGCTTTCTTATACTCAGGTACTTGGAGCAGTCGTCTCCAGTCCTCCGGCTCGTAAGCTCTATCCTCTGCTTCTTCCCAGTGACTTGTGCGCAAGCTCTTCAGTCCGCGGTATTTAAGCAGACGCTCTCGAGCAAGGACATGGGGATGTAACTCAATCTCATCCGGGAACTCGCGATCATCCTCTGCTTCGTCGACCTTACGATTTCTGAAGGCAGCAAGTTGCTCCGCCTCAGCTTCATCGTCAGGTGTCGGATCCAGGAACATTTCAGATTTGGCGTATTCTGTTGGCGCAAACTCTGTTGGTTCTCTCGGTGCAAGTCCTTCAACTCCATCTTGCGGCAATGCTGGGGCATCCATTGACACATCTCCTTGATCATCCACATCCTCAATATCAGATCCAGAATCGGAGAAAGTGTCCCCCAAATACCACGCAGCTTGATAATTCGAAGTTCCCTTCGGTAATCTTTTTGGCTTGGCAGGCAAGTGAGTTTCGTCGTCTGAGAAATAATGGTGGTCATCCAAAAGCACTCCTCGCTTGTCTGTTGTCGCTACTGACATCGTCGCATCGATGTCATCGTCCATCATAGCTTCTTCGGGGGCCAAATCAGCGGTATCATCCTGGTCCTCTGTTGGCGTAGCTAGCACAATCTCCATGTCGCTTTCGTCCATCGCCGTTTCGTCTTGTCGTCGCTTCTTCGAGTTCAGTGGTGCAGCAGTTATCTTCTCAATTTGGAAGTCGCCCCAGTCGCCAACTTGAACCAACCTGTCTGGTTGCAAGCTGCGGCCTCTGATGACACCAGTCAAAATAACACAACCATGCTCATTCTCCGGCCATTTGACATCATCCACAAGCATCCAACTTCTTTCCTCCCTCCACCTGACGCCCTTGGGTGTAGTCGTACATAAAGATCGCATGAGGTTGGCGCATTCCTGTCGCGAGTCCAAGTTGTGTACCTTCTCCTGATCCGGATGGAAATGCGTAACGTACGACTTCAGAGAAGCCAATACTTGGGGTCTCCGCTTGGGTGGCTCTACTTTGTCCAGCCCTTGAACAACAGTCAAAAGAGTGGAAAGACCCTGGCTCTCTACACTTCTGATAATGAGCTCGCCCAACTCATCCACCTCTTGGTCCGGCGAAAGTATGAAGATAACAAAGTCTGCCACTCTTCCAGCATCCAGACATGCTACCAAGTCCCGCTTAACCATCACATACTGCACTTTCTGCTTGAAGCGATCGATGTCCGTTCGCAACAACCCTTCCTCTGGTACCTCGGCCTCGATATCCAGGCTTCCACTCAGCTGTCGCACCGCCGCAGAAGCGTCTCCATCTTCGCACAATGGAATCACAGCGACTATCCTCGGCGCTCCATCTCGGCCTGCGAAGATACTGGTCTCTCTTAGATGCTCCTTGTGTTTGGTAAGTTGCTTCTGTCGGGCTTGGTTTCGACGGTCGAACTTGGACATGAGCTGCTGGTGGGGAGACTTTCGGTGGCTCAGATCTGCAAGTTTTCCTATCCATTATCAGTATCTTCTCCTCGAGTGGGATATGGAGGGGTAGTACCCTTCGCGATTTCCTTCAATGCGCCCTTGGTTGTCTTCCTGGACTTGAACGCCTTCTGAGTCCCCTTGGTGGTGCTCCTATGCGAGTGGCCTTGAACACTTGAAGGCATGTTGCCGTTGCCTCCGGCTTTGAATCTGAAAGGTATCGACGCCAGTTTGTAGGATTCCTGAGGTTGCATGGTTAACGTGCATCGTTGAAAATGTTCATTTTTCTTGTGCGCTTATCGCTTAAGCCTTATCGGAAAAGACTTGGCATTTGGCAGCCCTCTTAGAAAAAGTTCGGAAATATTCACGGCCTAAACATCATGATCCGACTTTCTCGCACCGCCAATTCGAAAACCGCGAAGAACTGACCGGAAATACCGCAAATGCTGGAAACCATGGAACTGGATCGCCCGAAGATCGAGAACGGTGCCAAGCAGCATTTCAATGGCGCTGTCCCGATTAAACGCGCCCGGATGGATTTGGCTGCGACGGCTCCAGACGCAGCGTTGATACAGAAGCAGAAGGAAGCCAACAAGCAATACGGAAGAGGGAAGAAGATCCCGTGTACGTAGCACTCAATATGGGCTTCGTGGAAGCGCGACTGACTCCGACTAGTAAAGGGAATCAAGGACAGGAAACTGCGTGCGAATCTTAGAGCACAAGAATCGAAATACCAAACGGCGATATTGCGAGCAAAAGATGCGGAAATATTAAACGAAAATACCGAGGGATTCCTGGAACCAGAAACCGAATTAGAAAGAACCTATAAGGTCAAGCAACGAGACATTCAAAGGGATGTTGCGATTGAGACTGCCAAAAAGGGATTCGAGCTCAAGCTGGACTCGTTAGGACCGTATGTGTGTGATTATACCCGCAATGGAAGAGATCTATTACTGGCGGGGCGGAAAGGTCATGTCGCTACCATGGACTGGCGGGATGGGAAGCTGGGATGCGAAATTCAATTGGGAGAGACCGTAAGGGATGCGAAGTGGCTGCGAAACAATCAAAGCTTCGCTGTGGCGCAGAAGAAATATGTCTACATATACGACCAGGCAGGTGTGGAGATACATTGTTTGAAGAAGCATATCGAGGTCACGAATATGGAATATCTGCCTTATCATCAGCTGCTTGCCACCGTAGTAAGTACACCGCTCTCAGATCTATCACGGAATGCTGATCTCAAAAATAGGGCAATGCGGGTTATCTAAAATACTTGGATGTATCCACAGGTCAAATGGTCGTCGAGACACCAACCAAACTCGGGTCACCAACAGCACTCACCCAAAATCCTCAAAACGCAATCCTACATATGGGCCACCAGAACGGAACAGTCACACTCTGGTCGCCGAATTCTTCAACTCCGCTAGTCAAGCTTCTCGCTCATCGAGGTCCAGTCCGTGCAATGTCAGTTGACCGTGAAGGTAGATATATGGTCTCGACAGGCCAAGATATGAAGATGTCAGTCTGGGACATCAGGATGTTCAAGGAGGTCAATAGCTACTTCACACGCCAACCCGCATCTTCTGTCGCAATTTCAGACCGTGGCTTGACAGCCGTAGGATGGGGAACCCAGACATCCATATGGCGGGGTTTGTTCACCAAGCACGCTTCAGAACAAGAGAAGGTCCAAAGTCCATACATGGCATGGGGTGGTGAGGGAAAGAGGATAGAGCGGGTAAAATGGTGTCCGTTCGAGGATATCTTGGGCGTATCCCATGACGCGGGATTTTCGTCCATCATCGTGCCAGGAGCCGGCGAACCCAACTTTGACGCCCATGAAATTAATCCCTACGAGAACACGAAGCAGCGACAGGAGAACGAGGTCCGGCAGCTGCTGAACAAGCTGCAGCCAGAGATGATCTCCTTGAACCCAGAATACATTGGTAACTTGGACTTGCGGACTGCGGAGCAACGCAAGGCGGAGCAAGATTTGGACAAGAAGCCTGTAGATCCCGTAGCGGATATCAAGAATCGCGGGAGAGGAAAGAATAGTTCGCTGAGAAAACATCTCCGCAAGAAGGGAGGCAAGAATATTATTGACGAGCGGAGATTGAAGATCGAGGAGATGAAGAAAGCGCAGACAGAGAAGCATCAGAGGCGGCTGAAGGAGTCGCAGCAAGAGCTAGGGCCAGCCCTGAGTCGCTTTGCTACGAAACGGGGGTGAACATGGTATGGGCATACTGTTGCGTTTGTAGCAACAATCGATACCCATCTTAGATGTCAGCTTACGACTGTGTGTCTGACTCGGAAATCACTATTAGCAGCATCGTCTCGATCCAGTTCTAGTCCCTATCCAGTCCAGCTATTAGGCTACCTTATATACACCTCGTTTGTAAGTCTATATCAAAGAAAGAGCGTGTACTTACAAATGTGTAATCGGCGTAACGAGAGCCGGTTCTTCTGAGCAGATGGCCACCTCCCTCCCCTCGTGACGCTAAGCGAAGGGGGGGTGACACTGGTCTGGATATCAACATTACTCGAAGTGCTTGCACACCCGTTTGTTTGCGTACATTTCCGGATATTTGAGATACACTTGGATGTCTAATCATGGATCAAGTGCATTTGTACCTTTACGAATTGAAAGACCCAGCACCAGATCCTCAATTTATATCAGATGCAAAGAAACATCTCGGTGTGGTGAGAGTTGCCCGGATTTGAACAACATACAGATCTAAATAGATCGAGGGGGTCTATTGCGTGCTGAATTGAACTACCGGTACCTACGAACTGAATCTAGGTTTTCACCAGTTCAAAAATGAAAAGTTTTGATGTATTTGGTTCAGCCAATGAATGACATGATAGTCTCCACTCTAGTTTTCTGCAGCTTCTTCGACGCACGTCTTATCTTTTGTTGCACTTCGCAAAAGTAATTGCCCTGAACTCCAGGCACTTTCCAGGCACGAGTTTGAGACCTGAGGCAGAAAAAAAAATGACGTTTAAGACACCTGAGATACTTGTAAATAAAAATTACCTCGTATTCGCGACCGAAACCGCGTCGTCCCGAGCAACACCTTTGACGACGACGACGACGACGACAACACAGGATTCGAGACCGCCACTAACGGCTGTAAACCAAGATGGCAGACCGCTCGGCCCCGACTACGATAGCTGTCATCATCAGCACAGCGCTCATTGCCGGCGTCAGCGGGTATCTGCTAGGAATCGGGTCGTCTCTGGGTATCATCCCGAATCCTTTTGGCGCGAAGACGCCGGTCAAGCGGGGAGTTGAGAATTATGACGACGAGGAGGAGAGTGAGGAGGAGGATATCGACGCTTCTATACTAGACCATGCGCCGAACTGGTCGAATGGGTTCGAGGCGGATCAGAGGGACGGGCTGAGAGCGACGGCAGCGGGCGTGAGCGCGAGCGCAAAGAAGCAGGCCGCCAAGGCTAAGAAGGACTCGGATTGGGAAGATGTGACTGTCAAGGGTGAGGATCCCGAGAAGGAGGCTGCGAGGCCCGAGTGGGAGGATAGCAGCGAGGAGTGCAAGCTGGTGTTGGTTGTGCGGACGGATTTGGGGATGACCAAGGGTATCTATTCCTTCTTTTCCGGGGATATTGGGAAATGATTGCTGATCAATTTAAATAGGGAAAATTGCAGCTCAATGCGGACATGCGACTCTGGCGTGCTACAAGCACTTCCTGAAGCACGATCCCAAGTCCAAGACGTTACGCAGGTGGGAGAAACAAGGGCAGGCGAAGATTGCGTTACAGGCGAAGGACGAGGACGAGCTGGACATGCTCCAAGCGACTGCGATTAGCTTGGGTCTCGTGGCGGAGGTCATTGCGGATGCTGGACGGACACAGATCGCGAGTGGGAGCCATACGGTCCTTGGGATTGGACCTGCGCCGAAGAGTGTCGTTGACCAGATCACGGGGCACTTGAAGCTGCTTTGATTGATCAGAGGCAACTGTACACATCGACGGCGTTGCGGAAAGAATGACCTATGGGTTACACACGGCATATATGCGGAGTTCGTGGATTCGATTTTGCTATAGAGATGCCCCTAGTATCGGTCCCGGCGTCAAACATGAAGAAAGGGTCTCCCTCGGGTCCTGCGACATGCAGTCAAAAATTGCAGATATTGATCCTCTCTTCTCAAGGTCTCTCCCATCTTAGACATTTTGGAAGCCTATTACAGAGACCATGGCCGGTTTCATGCCTGTCGTGGTATTCTGTCTTGTGTTTTCTTTGCTTTGTTCACATACTCATTTAAGCTTCAGCAGATGCGCGATATGACCAGAGGGCTGGCCTACAAGCCTCTCTTACAGGATGAGATCAAGGATTCTATATCGGCAGGCCGAATAGCTCTTTACACAGACCCGAGCCCAATCCGTCTTGGTTTCAATTTGTAATTGCTTGCTTAGGTACGAAGCCAAGTCAATTATAAATCGCAGGGCTTCATAGGGGTTCCTCTCGGCTCTCGGGGAGTTTAGTCTACGGCAGCCTTGCTTATCCATATTCAAGTCAAGTATTTGAATACTGGACATTCGCTTAATAGCGACTCACATGGATGGCTACTTGCGATGTTGCTTCCTGCAGCAGACTTGAACTCCTCCAAGGAAAGTTGAATCCTTCCCTCGTCTTGAGTATCTCAGAGTCCAGAGCCTCAATGCGGAGCGATACGTGAAAGAAAGTCATCAGCTCGGTAGCCCCAGCGTGTCGCCCTTGCTTACTTCCACCACGGACACGTTAGATGGTCCATACTTCGAAAATCGCATTTGGGTTGTCTCTGCCCAAGCACTCCAATCTTCTCATTCCCAGCATTTCCACCTCCAATGGCTTCAGCTACTTCCTATCGGCTTTGCTAGTTTTTATGTGAGAGCTAAGTGCAGAGTTGTTCCTCAGCCGTCGCTACTGCTTATTGCCCTCTTGATTCGTAGCCCTAACTATTGGAAATAGCAGACAACTCTCTGTTCTTTATTTCGAATATCATGGGAAGGCAAGTCCGTTGACGATGGCAGGGGGTGGGTGGGGTTTACTGTGCGTCATCGTAAGCGAGCCCCGGAAAACCAAAAGCCGTCTCGCTTACGAGTATTATGGAAGGTACGCCCCGCAACTGTAGCCCATCGGGAAGGCACATTACAATCGGTCGGACTTGCCGGGTATGGGTTTGGCTAATCGTGCTTTTCTCACTTGAAATCTCGTTCCATCCAGCTTTCTTCTTCTTTCTCGAGTAGAATCATCATCATTCATCATTTGCATCATTTGCAAGTTACATTATTACAGCGAATCGATTTCAGGCTTCCTATTTCCTCCACCACTCTCGCTCGCATAGCACAGTCTATCACTTAACTCCAAGCTCCATCTCCCGCGGTCAAGATTATCATTGCCGAGGGTGAGGCGCTGTCAAACCACGCAGTAACACCCCCAGGCTAATTGACCTCCTCCGTCACCTGGATTTCCAGATCTCATGCTAATACCACGAGTTTGTAGGATACAGCTTTCCATAGGCCTAGTGCCACTGTACATCCTGCACCTTCATTATAACTAGCTCTTGGATCCCTGGCTCTCGGAACAGATACAACACATATCTCTATTCTGAATAATCGATTAAAAGCACCATCACCTACTTATTTGGCATTCCCAAATCCAATGCTTCGAAGAAAGAGCGTGAGAAGAGAGAGCGTGGGAAGAGAGAGCGTGGGAAGAGAGAGCGTGAGAAGAGAGAGCGTGGGAAGAGAGAGCGTGGGAAGAGAGAGCGTGGGAAGAGAGAGCGTGAGAAGAGAGAGCGTGAGAGAGGAAAGTATTTCAAGGCCGGTCGTCGAAGATGACGAGATCACACCCGCAAATCCGACGCCTCAAACTGGAGCCTCGAGAGTAGAAAGCTTATCCTCGGGCGAGATCGTATCCGCAAATCCGACAGTTGCATTGGACTCATATGGACCAACGGGTAAACCAATCCTGCAAAATTACAAGATGAAGTGCGCCTAACAAGTACATAGGGATTCGTGGTTTGGTCTCATCGCGATATGTGTTGCTTTGCACCACCTGCTCTGCCCTCGGTGGCCTGCTATTCGGCTACGAGTGAGCCTACCTCCGATTCCTATTCTCTCGCTCGTCACTGTTGACAAGTCTTCAGTCAAGGAGTGATCTCTGGAATTCTACGCATGCCGCAGTTCCTTGATCAATTTCCCGAAGTCTCGGATAAAGACTCCCGCAAAGCCCTTAACATAGGAGTGATGACTGGGATGATTGAACTTGGTGCACTGCTTGGTGAGCGACGGTCTTGATCAACAGAAAGTATATTCTGACAAGGGACTCAGGTGCTTTCAACGAAGGCTGGATTGCAGACAAGATATCTCGACGATACTCGATCATCCTGGCGGTATCCATATTCACGCTGGGATCTGCGCTTCAAACTTTTTCTAAGAATTATGAAATGCTTGTCGGCGTACGCTTTGTTGGAGGAATTGGGGTCGGGATGTGAGTCAGTCATTTTCCGCGAATCTTCAGAAGCTGACAGATCTGCCAGGCTGAGCATGGTTGTACCACTTTATATTTCCGAGATATCCCCTCCTGAGCTGCGCGGGTCTTTGATCACCTTTCAAGAGTTGAACATCGTATTTGGCATCATCATCTCTTTCTGGCTTACGTACTTCACAAGATCGCTCAAGGATAACCTCCCGTGGCAAGTTCCCTTTTGTCTCCAGATAATTCCCGGACTTCTGCTTGCGGCCGGCGCAACATGGCTCCTGCCATTCTCACCTCGCTGGCTTGCTTCGAAGGGGAAAGAAAATCAAGCTTTGGCTGTCCTTGCAGAGTTACGAAGGCTGCCTGACTCCGATCCCAGAGTGCAACGGGAATGGGTAGGCATCATTGCAGAGTCAACATTCCAGAAACAAATCCTTGAACAGCGACATCCGAATCTTGCTGCTAAGACATGGTGTAACAGACTGAAGCTTGAATTTGCTTCATGGATGGACTGTTTTAAGTCTGGGTGTTTGAGCAGAACGCATGTTGGAGCCGGGCTGATGTTCTTCCAACAGGTTAGTATATCGGTATCATCAAACTGCCAAGAAGATCTGCTGACAAGGTAGTTCGTGGGGATTAATGCACTGGTCTACTATTCACCATCGTTGTATAAGTAGGTTTCTTTTCTGTTCCAATCCTTATTTCTTCTATCTTCTATTACTTACTCATCGTAGGACGATAGGTCACAAGTACAAAAACCAGCTCATAATTTCTGGCTCACTCAACATCAGTCAATTCGTAGGCGTCCTCCTCAGTATCTGGGGGATTGATCGTTTCGGACGCAGATCAATCTTGCTTTGGGGAAGTATGTGCATGTTGATATGCCTCACCGTGATCGCTACTATGGTCGGAAAGTTTTCATCCGATTGGCCATCTCATATTCTCCCAAGCTGGTTCTGCGTCGGTCTCCTATTCTTCTATATGATGTGTTTCGGGGCTAGCTGGGGCCCGGTACCTTGGGCAATACCAACCGAGATATTTCCCTCGTCGCTGAGAGCCAAAGGTGTAGCTATCTCGACATGCTCCAGTAAGTTACCCATTTTTACCACTATTTTCTCTTACAATTGTCGAGAAACTCACATTCAACTCGATAGACTGGCTGTGTAACTTCATCGTCGTAAGATTATTCCCTATCATGGATCCTCGAAGTTTACTCATCCAAAACAGGGTTTAGTAACGCCGCTGCTAATAGAAAAAACTGGATTTGGTACTTTCGTCTTCTTTGCAGTCACCTGTTTTGCATCTTTGGTCTGGACATATTGCATCGTCCCAGAGACCAAAGGTAAACTCCTGGAGCAGATGGACGAGGTGTTCGGGGACCGAGCAAACGATGCAGAATCGGAGTTGAAGGGTGCGATATTATTGCAGACTCGGGAAAGGACCAATACTGATTGATCTGCTGCCTCTTTTCACCGGGCTCGAGTCCTGGTATGGTGATCCGGAGGCTAGAAATGTTGGCCGATGTTGTCATCGTCAACTTTTAAGCGATATGGTAGATTGAAGGGGGGAAAAAGGCTTAGCGCAAAGGTATTGTTGAGATTACCGTAGCAAACTTTGAACTTATGCAAGCATCAGTTGTAAAAATTTCCAAATTCTTTTAGCAAACTGACCTAAATCATTCAGCCTGATAAGGATACGTGATAGGGGTAGGGGGGGTGCAAGAATATACCGTTCATGTTCTGTATACTCCTTGGGCAAATCCAGCTGTCTGCGGAAAAGGATGACAACGCGAAAACTCGAAAGCTATTGCGTATATCTATGTGTATCACTTGAAGATATCATCGTAAATGTAATTCAAAGCGGATCGACCGGTGCTAGGTAAAGGTAAGTCTTTAATCGGGCATCATTTCATATTCATATCACACGTTGACGAGTACTATGACCTCGCTCCGAACGACGAACGGGTATGAGAAACTAGGTAGCGAGGAAAGGAAAGGGAAAGGGAAAGGGAAAGGGAAAGGGACCAGTGGTTGGGTTAATCCAAGGAAGAGTCTCCTCCAGAGCTAGCTTTCTTCGTGTAATACATATGGGTCACAATCCATCTTGAGATTCGAATGGATTTTTTCAAGGGGGGGAGGGGGAGATGTCTTTTTATATTTTGTGTAGGGCTAATTATTCTTTTTATTATATTTTTTTTATATTTTTTCTCTTTTTTCTTTCTTCTCTACCCTCGCTTAATTCGGTACTTCGAGGGCGGTCAGTTGAGCATCTGACGCCAGCGATGATGATGATGATGATGATGCTCCAGAGATTATTCGTTACGTTTCACGAGATGAGGATCGGGGCTGCGGAGCGAGGTTTGGGGCTTTTCGGAGTACCATTGAGGAGGAGGATGAGGAGGAGGAGGAGGAGGAGGAGGATAGTTAGCTAGCTAGCTACTTGGTGGTGGCGGCACGCAGATCTGTCACGTAAGGCAAGGAAAAGCGACTCGGCCACACCAAGGTGGGGGGAGGTTTGCGTTTGCGTTTGCGTTTGCTGCTGCTGCTGCTGCTGCTCTCCTCCGCCTCCTCGACGGCCTTGATGTAGGTGCGCAGGTACTCGATGAAGACGATGAAGTGGTAGGTGCCGACGCCCGTCCAGAGGTGCCACCAGCCGTGCAGCTCCGTGAGGAAGCCCAGCGGCATGCCGACGAGGGCGCGCGCGTGCGTCAGCTGCGCGCAGAATTTGTTGTCTATGTCCCAGAGGGAGAAGCCGAGGATGAAGGAGCCTGGGGTTCGTCGGTTGGTTAGTTAGGCAGTCAGTCAGTTAGTAGGTAAACACGGGTCGCGTGAGAAGGGTGAGAAGGAGGAGGAGGAGGAGGAGGAGGAGGAGGAAGAGGAAGTCTTGGGCGTACAGGTTCCGTACAGGGCCAGGCACCGGGCGGCACGTTTCACTCCGACGTCCGGGACGCGCGACGAGAAGAGCCAGATGCACTGGCCCAGGTTGGTGAAGAGCATGACGAGGAAGGTGCGCCGGAACGTCTGCACGTCGCAGATGATGAAGTGGGCGATGGAGGCGGCGATGATGACGCCGGTGAGGAAGGTGGCGAGCGATTTTCGGGACGTGCTGCCCATGGTGATGCTCAGCGAGCCGTAGAGGATGGCGGCGGTGGCGTAGAGCATTGATGCTTCATCAACTAGATCACTGGATTAGCATGGTTCCCAAAGAAGAAGAAAAATGAGGAAAAGAAGGGACAGAGGATAGCTGTCAAGGCGTACTCATCTGCGTGAAGTATTTGAGATTCATGTGGTACAGGGCCGAGCCGACGCCGACGAATATCAGGTTGCCATAGCAGAGGTTCACGACTTGGTCGTTGGAGTTACGGTGGTTGTTGCGGATGCCACGTATCCCGAGGGAAACTCGGTTGATGTCAGTCTACGGACGGAGATGGTGCGATGGAAGAGATATATATGTATATACTGTATCCAACGTTGGTCAGGACGGAAATGAACTCGGCGATGTAGGGAGTGATGTAGTAATCCTGACATCTCAGTTAAAGTTCAGGCTTGCTTCCAGCAGAACATACCATTTCGCAGAACCTAAGAGTTTCAAGTCAGTCGATCTCACTAAGAAATTTTCTTCTTCTTCTTCTTCTTCTTCTTCTTCTTCTTCTCCTCCTCCTTCTTCTCCTTCTTCTTTCTTTCTTTCTTTCTTTCGAGGAATGCTCGATGAAGTACCAAGATACTTACTCGTAGAGGCCAGTATTGGGCCCCCATGCTGACTCGCCCTGGATATATGGCCAACCAAGGAACGGCATGGTGATTAGAATGCCTTACGGTGCGATTGGCGGGGGCGAGAAGTAGAATGCTGTAATCAACCAAGCGGTAGGATGCACCGAAAAGATGCAAAAGATGTGGCATTGTCGTCCTCGCCGGACTCCGTTGTTCCGCACTTCCGGATATTTACTTTCAAGGGGTAAAAGTGGACTAGTCTAGTGGGGCCGGCCATATTGAGGCTGCTGCCAGTGTCAATAGAGGCAGAAGCTTGTTTCGACGCCCCGTTACTTTTATATCTAATCGCTAATACATCTTGGGAACTCTAGGATCAATTTCAGTCTTCGTTATACGCATGTATGTCTCTTTTGTTACTACCTCTCACTTGTTATTTGAAAGAGGATGCTGCACTATCTACTATCTTCTCCAATCCGCTATTAGCGATCGTTACCTATCAGCAATCATGCACTATCTTCGAGGTATTACGATTCACTGTTTACAATCACAGCCCCGAGCTAACTCGGTTCTGATTATTTCGCCTGTAACCTCGTGAGTAAATAATAGATTTGTTACAATGCCAGCGCCCAACGAGATTTCAGCTCAGGAACCACTCACGAGTCAAAGGCGTTACAAATTCTCTAGTGTCTAGTGAAGAAGTGGAAAAGCTCAGTTCTGACCAATATCTCTCTTCGCGTAATATTTGCGGACCCCGACAAACCCCTATCTTCGCTCGCTTAATCTTTTTCTATTTTTTGTTTTCTGTTCTTTGGGCTCGGTATCTTTCACCTGAGTACGACTGGTCTCCGTGATTGGAAGCCTTCCGGAAAATTTTCAAACTTAGCTTGAAGGCTTGAAGAATTGAAGCTTGAGCAACCCCATTAACATACGGTCCCAAACGTGATTGAGTCAATAATCATGATAATACATGCAAGTAAAATACATGGCCAAGCCGCGCCTCGCTAGACGACAACCCAACATGTAGAATCGAGCAAATCGCTTCCAGTGACCTTTCGGCATGTAATAGCTACATATGACTCACATGGAGGTCCTTCCATGTAGCCATGCGACCTCAGGACATCGACGGATACGAAAGTGACAAGATTTCTTTCTTTCTACTCACACAAGTCGCAGTGTCACGGCGGTACGTACATGTACAACACGGTCGGACAACCACCCAGGCCTGACCAAGTCCAGATATGAAAGCATAGATAGAGCGACCGAGAGAGCGAGCCATCCCATCCCATAACCTAAATCCAACTCTTATCCCTCACTCAGCATGGCAGAACATCGCACATTCATATCCACATCCACATCCACGTCCACATCCATACCCATATCCAATACCTCCAATCTCATCGCCCTCGGCCTCGAGCTCTCCAGCACCCTCGCCGACCTCGCCGCGACGCTGGAAACAGCAGCAGCAGCCGGCCTCGACTTCCGCCAGTCTGGACTGGAGATCTCCCTGTTCTGCTCGGTGCTGCTACAAGTCCACGCCACGGTCACCCACGCCGCGCCGTGTCGGTACTCGATTGGCGCCCTGGCGCAGATGAGAACGATCGTCACGCGCGGCGCCGAGGTTCTGCTCGAGATCGATCAGGGTATACGCCGCGTCGACGTTGCGAGACGCGATGGGGATCTCTTGGCGAGGGGGCGTCTGGTGTTTGGACACGTCCGTTTCCAGATCCTCCGGGGAGCGCTCGAGGCGTGTACCGTGACGCTGCATATCATGCTGCACAACCTGGGGCTGGCTCGGTGCCGTTGGGCACGAAAGTATAATATGGCTTTCTCTTTCTTTTTTCTCCTTCTTTAAATTCTTCTTCTTCTTTTTTTAGATCCCAGGTCCGCTGCTGACCGGAGCTCAGGTTATCTGCCGCAGAGCTGTTAGAGGAGGAGAAGATGACAGCTCTGGTAACGGACGGTCTCAAAACCACGCGGCACGCCACCCTCCACAGGCTCCAAAGCCTCGAGACGAGCATGCAATTCGCCGCAAGCAATCATCACCCACCACCAGCAGCAGATCTCCACGACATCATCTTCATCTCGCGACCACCCCATCCGCGCCACCGACTGCGAAAACCGAAACCACAGCTCCCCGAGGGGGATGAAGCGGAGCAGGTCAGCACGGCGATGGAGCAGAGGAGAGTATCGATATGGGTCCACGGTCTGATTCTGGACGAGGAGAAGAACTCGCTGATCTCTCTCGAGTTCCGACCTTTGGCGTTGGCTCCATCGCTAGGTCAGGCGCGGGAGGATTGCGATCAGGTGTCTCCCGACTCGCCCCTCCAGCGTCCAGCAGACGCTGCTGCTACTGCCGTTGCAGAGCTCGGGACGGGGCATTCCAGCCTGAGGGGCAGCTGCTCGGTACCGAATGATGCAGTAGAGTTAGCCGCCCCCGACGTCTGTCCAGCGGTCATACAGCAGCAAGTCGAGGTTGCTGGACGTTGTCCGTCTGTATCAACTCGTGCAGCCGGTAGTAACGGCCTCGCAAATGTAATCGTAGGCGACGAATTGTTCTTTGAGACTAGCGCGGTGCCGCCGCAGAGAGTCAATACGCGGGCTGCTACAGAGCCGACCGTGGGCGTTTTGACGAAGGCCAAGCGAGCGAGTAAAGACAGAAGACCGCTGCTGTTCTTGGGAGAGCGGAGGAAGGTCTCTAAAGCAGAGTGACGAGAGTGACTTAATCCAATGTGTGAAGGCTCGAACGGACCTGGTCTACTCTACCGGGAAGTAAAGAGAGTGTCGTGCGAGATATTCCTCGGCATTGAAAGAGCACCCACAAATGCGATTGAGAAAGTGAAACACCAAAAGGAGGACTGAAATGCTGGTTTGTGTCGTTGCATTCAAGAAGATAAAATTTCCAAGGAGCCAGATAGCATTTATAACTCGTGTCGCCGCAAACAAACTGTGCCTATTGTCCGACAGTCTTGGCCTCGCCTCCACCTCAGTGCATGATAACCGCTACATGATCGTCCATGTACGGAGAGATGTCACCCAGAAAGCACGCTGTCACAATACTCACAGCTCCAAACGCGATGCTCGTATAGTACACATACTTGTAGCTCTCGGCGAAAGCAATCTGACCTGCCAGGACCACCATCTCGTACCTCGTCTCGTTCATGCCTATGCCGGGAATCGTGTGCAGGAGCGGAAGGAGGGACGCTCCGGTGTATTCGATTGCGCGCTTGATATCGGTGAGGTTCGTGATGCCGAGTTTGAGGGCCATGGTCCCACCGATGTAGTGTGTGGCATTCGGAACGAATTTGCTGATGAACACGTTGTAGTAGACGCAATATCCTACGGGGAGGGGTTGAGCGGAAGTGTGGAAGAAGGGAAGGGGGAGAGGGATATACCGATCGAACCGCCGATCACCCGGATGGCGAGAGTCAATGCTGTAACAGTTGCGATCAGATCGTCGGGACAGATGATCGTTGTTATGATTGAGGCGGGCACGACGATGCCTCCAATGCCGAGTCCAGCCAGCACCAGAATGCCCCAGAGCTGGTGAAGATTGAAACGGTCGGCACAGGCGAGTGCTCCACACCCTGGTCAGAGTCAATATATCTCCTTTGAGTGGGGGCCAGAGTTTGGAGCAGGAAGATTACCAGCTGTCATCATGACCGAGCTGATTATGATCAACTCTCTATTCCCTCCTCTAAGAACCGACAAACACCACAGCACAATCACAGCCCCGGCAAGGATCGAGAATCCAACTGGGATACCGCGGATACCCACCTCGACTGGATCATGGCCGTATACATTAAAGGCCTGAGTCGGCCAGAACATGATAATGCTGAAGAAATTGGCGCCCGAAATAAAGGTAATGACCAATGTGAGAGCCAGAATCCGCGGTGCCTGCTTCAAGCGGGAGGGAAACATAGGATGTTTAGTACCGTAGATTTCCCAGAGGACAAAAGCTACCAGAAATAAGAGCCCAAGAATCAGGGGTGCTAGTACGTGAGCGGAGTCCCAGTCATACTGTCTTCGGTGAGTATATTGACGCGTGAAGCAAAGGCAAACCTGGTGAACATACCTGATAGCCACCCCATTGCATGCCTGCCATGAACAGAATCATCCCCGAGAGACTCAGGAAACCCCCTATGAAATCAATTCGCGAAATGATCTCTCTTCTTGAGAGGCCCATCGAGTTGACTCTTGGGGGTGGGAAGTAGAAAAAGAGCACCATGAAGAACCCAATGGCGGTCCACACCCCACAGAGAAGCCCGCAGTAGCGCCATCCGGCGTGCTCGGCAATCAACTGTGCCCAAAGAACCGAGGGACAGAAAGGGAGGATCGTGAAGATCAGGACAGCCACATATTTGCCTCTTTTGGCTGTCGGTGCGAGCTCCGAAGTGGCAGCAAGAGCTGTGAGCTCCGAAATCCCGGCGCCGACACCTGCGATTGCCATCCCAGCTGCACGGGAGTTTGGGAGTTTAGTAGGCTTGTCGAGATGTCTTCATTGAGTAAGAACTTACCGATGAAGGTGTTCATTACTTTCGCGGTGGACAATACAATCATGCCAAGAATGACCAGGAAAGAGCCAAACAAACAGATATATCTGCGGCCAAAGAGATCCGAAAGAGACCCGACGAAAGGGCAGACACCAGCAAGGGCAAGAAGATTGGCGAGAACGAGCCAGATCCAGCTAAAAGATTTCAGCATAAGGCAGTTCGATATTCTGTTGCGGAAGTCATGGCGTACCGGTCAGCTCCACCTATATCCGCATAAATGTACGGAGGAATGGCCCCTGTGCAATTGTCAGTTGCCGAAGGCGTGAAATTCCTCAAATGGACCAACCAAAGATGTAAACAGGAATTTGCGACCCGGTCCATATGAACGACATCGCGATCAAAGACATCATTCGCTGTGGCGACATCTGCGAAGTGTTAGACCAAGTGCAATAGAGCCGGGCGAACACTGACGGGTGGCTCGTGGTCATGATCCTCCCCATCACCGTAAGTTCTCAAGCCATTCTTCTCATAGTAGTTCTCGTGGCCGGAGATCCGGTCATGAGTAGCAATATGCTCGACATGCTGATGGTCGGCATGCTTCTCTTCTGCAGCATGGGTGCTAGCTGAAGGACGTCCCGAAGCAGTACTCATGATAAAGCTTGAAGGCTTTTGAAGAGCCAGAGAAACAGATCCGAATAAATATATATCGATAAAGATGGTCTTTCCATCGACAAGCTCTCCTCAGGTACCGAAGATCACGGAAGAACAGATATAAGACTGGATAATTTCGCTTGAAAGGTCCCGAGATTTGCGTTCCCCGGCTCCTGCTCTCCGGAAAGTCCATACGCTTCATCAAAAAATTTGTGCTACGATGCACGCAGACGCATTTCCCGGGACCGCATAACAAGGGAATGATTGGAAAGTTGAGATATGCTGTACCACCGCAGCGAAGAGAGACGAGATGGATTGGAGGAGCTGGCTGTAGGTAGGTCGCTCACAAAGCAAGCCACAATATATAGGAAAAGACATACCAGTAACTCAGAAGATCTTGTATCATTTCTGCATTGTTTTGGGACCGATATACGTTCAATCTAAAATCAGAATGTTGGTCTCCAGTATAGAGCCAATATTATTAGGAGGTTGAAAAAAGAATTAATTAGCGCTGGCCATTATTTACAATAGAAGAAAGGCTGGCTCCCTATCCAGTTCCATTCAGTTGTCAGAAAAATTAGGAAAGTATAATAAACTGGAAGGGAAGAATAAGCATATATCGCAAGTTTCGTTATGTTATGAGAATAGTTACACTTCCGGGCCGTACATACCTCTAGCTATATTTGACGCGACAAGCGCGCCCTAGCCGCGTCGGGCCCATATTTCTCGATAAGAAAGTAAACATCAGCCTCGTTCCTCGTTCCCCTTTCTTTCAAGGACCTCAACTCCCCGCCATTCACTCCCGTCTCCAGGAGTCAAGATGCTACCGCCAATCGACGACTCCATCCTCGAGGCGAATCCCAAATTCGCCGCTCTCCATTCCATCCTCGCCAAGCAGATCCTGAATCCAAACGGCTCGACGAAGTATCACCCCGCGCAGAAAGAGCGCGATGCCGTCTCGGAGGTCTATTTTCCCCCGCGGGCCCCAGTTTCGATTGTCCCGTGCTAATCATAGAAAAGGCATTGAAGATCTCACGAATCCGCAGCGCGAAAGCCCAACTCCTCAAGTCCACCGTCCAAAACCTCGACCTTTCCTCCCCCGCTCCACCAGCACCACCAGCAACAACCACATCAAAACCCAGCAGCACCCGACTATCCCACTCGCAAGCCGCAAGCAAACCACCCACCACCAGCCTCCCAGCCGACCTCCTGGAGCTTATCCTCCTCCTCTCCTCCCACCTCTCCGCGCCTCAAATCCCGCCATCCCAGCAGAAGCTCCTAGCTAGCACACCCCACTGGGCCTCTCTCGCGACGCAGCTCCCCCGCAACGTCGGACCCCTCCTCTCCACCTCCCTCCAAGCCGCCGCTCTCGCCCTCTGCAAGATCCTCACGCCCTCCACCAACCCCTCCTTCTTGCACCGCAGCATCCCTCGGCTCGTGCCCACGATAACCGCCCTACAGGACGAGGGCGCGCAGAAACGCAGCGAGCTGGCCGCGCGCCGCGCCGCACTCGTCTCGAACACCACGACGCTGCTGACCCTGCATCACCTAGCCGCGAGCCTGATGATCCGCATCTTGGAGCAGACGGCGCACGGCGCGGTGGCGCGTCACCTCAAGAGCAGGGCAGACTTCCTGGCGCTGCGGGCGGTGCAGGTGGCCTGCGAGGCGGCGGAGAAGAAGGCCAAGGGCGAGAGGATCGTGTATAGCGAGGAGGTGCGCCACGCGTTGGAGAATTACGTCAGGGAGTTGAGGAGTGGGCAGGAGAGAGGGCGAGAGAGAATGCGTATGGCGGAGAGGACGTTGTGGGGGTATGGTGTTGGAAGGGAGGAGGGAGAGGATGGCGGGGAGAAGGAGAGGGTGTTGAAAGCCTTGGCTAGAGCGTATGGAGAGCTGGTGAGGGAACTGGAGGAGGTAGGGAGGGATGTGGAGAGGTTGAGGGGAAAGTAGCGGATGCCAATGGGGTCGTAAGCAAGGGGGAGGTATAAGTAAGGTGTGGTGCTGGCACCGAACTTGGGCTGATGTCATGTCAGAATATGGCGGGTTTTTGTTGCAGGTCGCACGGAATGGCCCTTTCAGATTCCGCTATAGGATATTTTAAATTTCTAGAAATTCAAGAAGGACAACAAATAGTCTTTTGCAGGACTTGCAAGGGGCAAGAGGCAAGAGGCTGGTGAGTGAGTGAATGATATGGGGTAATAGAGAGTCGGGTATTATGATCCGGCTAACTACCTACCTACATTTGTTTATGTGACTCTGAATGTCCTTTTATCTTTCGGACAATAAGGACTTCATTCCAAAAGGAGGCCTTTGGGTCACTTGGATAAATGCTAAGCGAGAATTGGCCCCTTTACTTTTTCAGGAGAACTAGATGTGCCAGCGTTCGCCAAGGTAACAAGATCCATAACACTCAAAGTCAAGTAGTGTGCGTCAAGTTGGAATTCATTTACGAGTGCCGCAAACGTTTGTACAACTGGAAGATTTGGTCTACAGGTAGAGCCAGCCTTCGCTCGCCACTTTCTGCGCCCAATCATCGGAAGATCATGATCGCTTGCACGTTACATCATTACACCCAATCAAGGCTTCACAGCGTGGATAGCAGCAGCAAGTCTCTTGACGTTCCCCGATGTGATACCCGCGACGGAAATTCGGCCATCCTTCGTGGCGTAAACCGAGTGCTCCTTGGCCAGCGTAGCCATCTGCTCAGGGGTCAGACCAGTGTAGGCGAACATGCCGATCTGGCTGGTGATGTGGCTCCAGTCGTGCTTGGATCCAAGGGCCTCAAGCTCCTTCTTCAGCAGAGCGCGCATGGTGATGATACGGTCGGCCATACCCTTGACCTCGCCCAGCCATTGCTGGTTCAGGGCCTTGTCGTTGAGGATCTCGGAGGCGACACGGGCGCCGTGCACGGGGGGGTTGGAGTACATGGGGCGCACCAAGATCTTGATTTGTGAGTCGAGGCGCTTGGCTTCTTCAGCGGAGGCGGCGACGATGGAAAAGGCGCCGACACGCTCACCGTAGAGTCCCTTTAGTTTATTAGCATAGCTGCTATGGTCCCCCAGAAGTGGATAAACGTACCATATTCTTGGCGAACGACTGAGCAAGGCAGATGTTGTGGCCCTCAGCAATGAAGTGGCGAATGGGGAAAGCATCCTTGTCGGTATCCCCAGACGCAAATCCCTGGTATGCCATATCGAAGAACGCATAGTGGTTACCAGCCTTGACCACGTTGCTGATCTCCTTCCACTGTGCGGGCGTAGGGTCGACACCAGTAGGGTTGTGAGCACATGCGTGGAGCAAGAACATGCTTCCCTCTGGCGCGCCCTTGATGTCCGCAACCATGCCCTCAAAGTCAAGGCCAATGGTGTCCTTGTTGTAGTATCTGTACTTGGCGACTTCCAGGCCCGAGTCCTTGAAGACAGCTGCATGGTTGGCCCATGATGGGGTTGGGATGTATATCTTCTTTGCGCCTGGGTAGTGGCGTTCGAGGAAAGCTCCACCAATTCTGAGGGCCCCTGTTCCAGAGATTGACTGTGTTATAGCGAGACGGTCAAGCGCGGATGATCCGGGTCCGTATGCGAGGAGGGCAGCGGCCTTGGTAAACTCAGGGACACCGGTGATACCGGCGTACTCCTTGTTCAGTTGTGCGGACACGACTCTGTCTTCGGCAGTTCGTACAGAAGGGAGGACGTATGGCTTTCCTTGGTCGTCACGGTATGCGCCAACACCTGCCAGCAATCATCAGTAAGGCCAATTCGCATCCGCAGAGACTCCCATACCCAGATTGATCTTCTCTTTGAAGCTGTCGGCCTTGAAGGCTTCGGTGATACCTGTGTTGCTGTTAGATCAAGCATTACCTCCCTTCCAGCTCAACTTCTAACGTACCCAAGATAGCCTTTCCACAGACGGTTCGTTAGCATTTTCACGCAGCTAGAGGTCGAGATAAAAACTTACATCCTATTTTAGAGTTAGTTAGTATATAGTTCGCAGACTGTAAAATGGACAAACAGCTATTATGACTTACGGGAGGACCCATTGGCACATTAGCCCATGTTGAAGCTTGGCAGGATGCGACAGAGCTTCGGATCATGCTGTGAGACACGGCCTTGCGGCTGGCGACGCGGACTGAAGATAACATGGCGACGGGAGTATGTTTGGAGGAGGGAGGTTGGGAAGAGGGAGGAAGTTGTATCATGGACAAGCTCGAGACTAGCGCCGGTCAGAGTTGTGCAGCTTGTAGGAGGCGAGTAGGTTGGACAGGGGTTTCCGGTAAAACTCCGGCTAGATAGAATAGGATCCATAATTTAAGTGGAGATGCCGAGGTGAGAAGTGGAGTGCCTCCGGGTCAGACTCCGATCCAGACTCCAAGTCAGACTCCTACTCATCCACTGCACACAATATCTTGATTTATTCCTTGTCTTTCAAACATCAAGAAAGATTTCCGATCACATCGTTAGCGCTCAGTCCTCGACTCTCTCTTCTCTACCACCAAGCCAAAACAGTTGAGCCAAAAATCATTCTTGAGATTTGCATCCATCTTAGATTTCAGTATGCCAGCGTGAAGCCGTGGCAGACTTGTCAGGCTCTTACTACGAGATACTCGATATCGTATTCCAGACGCGTTTGCAAGTGCAATATTGCGATCCTAGGACAAGAACTGCTTTGAACAACCAGAAAGAGGCAACAGGCTGACAATGCCACCCGATACGTACCTTACCTTACGTATCAGATCAACACAGAGGAAGGATACGGGCAGCGAACAGAGAGAAGCGAACGCGAATGCTGGAATGTTGCACTGTGTGGAAGGGAAGTAGATAGCATGCCTCCATGCAAAACAAGCGGAGCTCAGTATCTGAAGCTTCGGTTTTGGTGTTCGCTTTCTTCGAATGATTGGAAAGCGTGTCGTACTGGTAAGGAGCAAGCAAGCAAGAAGAAAAGGCAGCTTAGGTATTAGTTGGTACTCTTAATATTCTGAGGTAGTGACTCATTTTGAAGGCACCTGCTATCTGAGAGTCCGATATCACAATTATATGGTTTTGGTGCTGCCTCATTGGGATATCTGAGTATTGCGTCGCTTATAAATATGTCTGGTGCGTGAGACGCTCGCCGCTCGCTGTCGTCAGACCAACCGGCCTCGATAATCCAAGGGGAGAAGAATATATTACGCCGGAGTAGATATAGAAATTCCATTCTCGGGATTCAATTCCAGATTATATACTCCGTAAAGCAAGGTAGGCAGGTACTTTAAAGGACCTATTTGATATCATATCGCTTATCAAAGTAAAAGATGTCGCTTAGCAAGAACAAAAAAAATGGGTCGTTCCGAATTTAAAATGCCTTTATAAAATTGTAAAGCGAATCCGAGACTTTCAAATGAAAATGCAGAAGATAGATAGATGTTAGAGTAATAGGCCGTCGAGAAACGTCGAGAAAAGGAGAATCAAATGCTAGATAAATAAAGCGAGTATAGGCTCTTTTTTTTTTTCAGCATTACGTTATCAGCTGGTCTGCTTTATTCACCTCCTCCTCCTCTTCCTTATCTGCCGATAGCTCCCTCGCAATCGGGCTGCCTTCAAGCTCGTGAACGTAAACAGGAGGGAGGTCGTACGGCGAGGAGCCCCCATTCATCTCTGCCACCGCTGGCGGGCCGCCGTTCATCTCTGCCGCGGCCGGACGGCCCTGCATCTCCGCAACCAGCAGCGGGTGATTTTCGATGCCCGAAAACGGCGAGGCCTGAGCAGCGTTCACTTTGTGATCGACCCAGCTTTCCCGCTCCGGAATCGACGTGCTGGCCGCTCGCGACAGCGGCGACACGGGGGAGGCTAGCTCTGACGTCCCGCCTCGTCGCAGGGACAGCGACGACAGCGGCGACCCGGGACCGTCATCCAACCACCACGGCCCTTCATCGTGCGTCCTCGGGTCAAAGGGCACCAACACGATCCTGAAGCGCCTCGCCAGCCTCCGCGCCTCCTTCTGCATATCTCTCGGGCTTGCGCCAGGCCGCGCATCAATCACCACTTCTCCCTCCAATGTCGGCGGTTCGAGCTTGACCTGTATCCCCTTTTCTCTGAACAGGCCTTCGTTCCACTCGCGGAGCGTTGATCGTAGGTCGCCCTCTTTCGCCAACTTCTCCTTCACTTTCTTTACCAGTGTCTTCTTGTGCACCGATTTGCCCGCGTAGTATCCTACCACGGGGCCGAAGACCATGATGAAGGGAAACGCCGCTGCGCTTGTGGCTACACCCGCTGTCCATGCCGCCTTGTCCTCCGCCTTGGTGAGTTTGGTTGCGTTGACGACTTCTCTGCTGAAGTGGAGCCATTGCTCTGGCGTGATGCCTAGATCGCGGAGGCCCTGGGTGTATGGGAAGCCCGACCCGAGCGAGATGTTATTTGTTGTTATGGAGAAAGGTCTGAAGTCGAAAGGCGCCTGGTACGAGCCGCAGGTATATCTTTGATGTTGTTGTTGCTCTGACATTAGATGTCGACTGTACCAGAGTCAGTATTGTTGGTTTTTCTTCCTAAGGGGGGTATTGGTATTGGGTACAATCCTGTGTGTGCTACTCCATTCTCACTGTCACCGTCTCGCGGTCGAGAGGGCATTTCAACAGCAAAATCCGCCGGAGGAGGGACATACGAGACCCGGCGAAAACTTGAAGCTGTCATCTTGATCTGATATGAGATATATGCGCTGCCGTGCGAGTTCAACCGTTCGAGTCGCTGATCGTGTGAGGAATATGGGTTAGAAAGGAGGTGAAATGTTGCGAGCCATAAGGAAGATTATTGTCGGCGCAAGATAGGACGATCCAACTCCGCGTCGGCGGCGCAGCACGGCCAAGGCGTTACGATTATCAAGCTTCTACGGTACAGCCCTCGCTTGTGGAGTTTTTGGGTTTCGGTTCGGATTTGCCGTATCTCGTATATCGCATTCCCGAATTTCCATCCAGTGTGACCCTTCGAATCTGTTCATGACGAAATATTCCGTCAACACGAACTCCCGTCGTAAGCGTATTGACGTTGTTGGATACATTTCATAGCATGTATGTTATGCGAGCCCAAACCGATAGGACGACGGATCTTTTGTTCGATTCTTGTCGAACCCTCTCGCCCAGACCTTTTTCATCAATCTCGACGAAGAAGACGACGACGACGACGACGACGACGACGACGACGTCGACCAGGGCTTGACGCTTAAGTAGTACTACCGGTACAATTAGTAGTACTTACGGATAAGCGTCGCATTGCGACATTTCGGTGGCCACGAGAAAGAGCGGTGGCGCCCTCTGTACCGTGCCCTTCGATATGGTTATCAAAATAGTTGTACTACTACATTGTTACATATCTGCCCGGCCCCCTAGCACAGTTGTACTGTATGCTAGCAAAATCTCAAGTCACCTGATGATATGATCAGCACTATTCGGATGACTTTCTAAGAAAAATGATTAAATCTCTTGCACGATACGTAGAAGCTCTTGGAGATATCTACATTATATTATATATATATATATATATTCTTATGTTTCATATCATACCATAGCGAATTCCATCCCTTTTCTATTCTACAAAGATAAGCCATCTGAGTAAACTATATCGCCTTTGGTACCACGCCTGCTTTAAACATTACTAAACTGTTTTCTCCTCTACAAGTCCGATTTTTTGGAAGGCGTGCTTGAAAAAGCATGAAGCATGTAACCAAAATAAGCCTTCAACCAGCTACTTCTGTTTGCGGGTTTTGCAATTCTGGCGAGACGAATTTCTTTAATGCCACCCGGACAAAATTGGTTTCAATGGGATGAAATACTTCGTATCCGCCCGAGAAATCGCCATCATATTCCTTCAGCAGCGTGCAAGATCCTCGCCCAAGCCGCACAGCCGATCAAAGTCTTGCCTAGGTAGAGAGTCAGCCAGCCATTAGACCAATTTACGGAACACGAAATATTGAGAGAGAGAGGGGGGGGAAGGGAGGGAGGGAGACGGCTTACATAGTTTCCCCTGCTCGTCTCTCTCTTGATTGTTGACCGTCAGTTCCTTATCGACGCCAAACTTCTGATTGAACCGCGCTCGCGACCCCTCCGAGATGGAGTACGGGCAGCTACCGCGGAAGTAGAGGCCATCAGCGTGATCAAACATGAATTCTCGTCCGAAAGCGGCGATCCGCCGAATCTCGCTCCCCAGTCGAACCGTCAGAGCATGCTTCGAGAGGACGCGGTAGCCATCCACCAAGTGATGCAGGAAGAAGGAGCTGTCGGAGTACATCCTCTCACTAGGTTTCGGGAGGGTCTTGTCGAACATGGAGTTCTCGGGGTCCAGCGCTGCCTCGGCAAGACGGACGGCAGTTTGGAGATGCGCGGGGTTCCCCGTCTTCTCAAAGAGGAGCGTGAATCCGTGAATGGCAAAGCCGGTGTTGTACGTCCACTTCATCTTGTTGATATTAGGTGATCCGTCGGCTCCAAACACAAGACTGTCCCAGATCAACCCGTCCTGGGGATCCCTCAACGTTGAGACCAGCCAGCCCAGTGCCCGGTCCGCAAAAGCCACAAGCCGGTCGTCTTGTTCTAGAGCAGCAAGTCTCAGAGCCGCGACAGCCGCCGGCCCGGTAGAGCAGGCATTGCGGCAGTTCGGGTTGTTCGTGTGCCACGGGACGCCGCCATCTTGCTGTGCCGAGGGCATGATCAGATGCGTCAAGATGGCCTTCGCCTGCTGGAGATATTTCTTCTCGCGTGTGGCCTCATACGCACTGATCAGCGCCTGCGCCGCGTGCGCATTATCGTCATAGTAGATGTCGTTGTTCCCAGGGAACATCTTCCACGCGCAGAAAGCGTGTCTCTGAGGGTTCCAGTACTGCTGCAGACAGGATATCGCCTCGGAAATCGTCCCGGCCGGGAGGGTTTCCGCCGCAGCGTGCACGAAAATGATCACCGGCCAGACGACATATCCAAAGTGGTTGTCCGCCCCGAGCGTGCTTTCGGACTTTGACTTTGCCTGGAATTGGCGGTTTTTCGACGAGTGGAAGTATGAGTAAGTGTTGGCCGCGAGTTCCGTGGCCGAGTGGTCGTTTTTGAATGCTGGTTTGTTGCCAAGTCCGAGACGTTTCTGAGAGATTTTTTCCTCGGCTATGCCGCGCCAACCGTTCAGGAAGGACCTCATCTTGATAGTATGTTTGATGCAGCTGTGGGATGGTAGTTTTTTTTTNTTTTTTTTTTTTCTCCCATGTGATAACGAAGGAAGTGGGTAGTGATGTTGAGATGGTATGTTTCTCGCTAGTTAGTCAGCAAGCGAACTGGAGTCTGGACCTCCATTTGGGCAGAGTACTTCGGAACTTCGAAACGGTTACCAAAGCCCCGCCACCCCTCCGCCCACTCACGTGCAAGAAATCCTCTCAGGTCTGAAAATCCGCGACATGCAACAAAACCCGCTCCTCGGAAGAGATCTAGTCCACTAACCAATCAGACAGCCCTCTCACCCTCCCCCCTGTTAGTGCAACAAAAAACCGTAAACGGCGAAATCGGCGACGTGCAACAAAGCCCGCTCCCCTCAAGAGATCTGGCCTACTAACCAATCAGACAAGATCCCTTCCCCTTCTCCCCTGTTAGCGCAACGCAAAACCGTAAACGGCGAAATCGGCGATGTGCAACAAAACCCACTCTACCCTCCTCCCGGTTCCCTCGAGAAATCTCCGGAGTAGCCTACTAGCCAATCAGACAGCCCCCCTATCCCTCCCCCCCTGTTAGCGCAACGAAAAACCGTAACGGCGAGATCGGAGACGTGCAACAAAAAACGCTCGTTCAGCGTGAGATCGAGGGTAGCTGCGTCTCTTGGCGCGGGAGACACGAGAGCGAGATCTGTGATGTGCAACAAAATATTTGCCCTTGAGATCTGCTGGGGTGTATGGGTGTGGGGACCAATTATTACCTAGTACCGGTAGGTGTGGAGGTGGGGGTCGCGTGATGAGCACGTGGTGTTGAATTCTGCTTTTTTATTGCACTGGCAATATCAGTGGAGAGGCATATAATAGCTTAGGTAGGTAGTGAGATGTGTGGATGGATGGATGGGTTTCTCGTATGTCTTGAGGTGTCACGAGACTGTGATTGTTTCCGGGCTCAGGGAGAATGGTGTGGTGATTGGGTGGGCTGCTGCTGATAGGTGGTGGCCTGATCGGGTCCTGTTGCTATCGCATCATATGTTCTCTATTTTCTCTTCAAATACAGGTTCGTATAAAAGTAGGAAATTCCAAAGGTCCAAAGCCACTCACTTCTCTCCGCTTCTCCCAGTTCGCGAGGTAAAGATCTTCCGAGGAAAGCTTTTGTCTTCAGACACCAGAAATTGCAAGCCGCAGGATTTAAACACAGTCAATAGGAAGTAGCACCAGGAACCAACCACCCAACACACGTCTCACGAATACTCGCTTTGCTGTGTAAGCTGACAAACAAAACGAATAATCAAACATTCCGCCGCACCAAATTAAGCAAGGTATGGTCGGCAAGACCGTGACGTTCGAGGCAACGCGCCCCCTCGTGGTCGATGCCACCCACACCCTCGCCTCGCCCATCGTGCTCTCCTCCCTGCGGCAAGATCTTGCCTCGCTCAACCCCGAAGACATAGCCGAGCTTGTCATCCGCAACAACAAGGGCCTGTTCCGCGATGTCTGCATCTGGTGCGAGCGCACCGGCAACGATATGATAGCCAGCGAGCATGCAAACGATAACCTGGATGTCCACTGCCTTATCCAGAAGGGAGAAGGGATGAGCTTGAGCGGGAGGAGGAAGATGGTCGTGGTGGTGGGAACCGCCGAGTTGGAGAAGGCGGTGGGCGTGTTGGAGAAGGCACTTGGGGGCGCGGTGATGGGGATGGAGGTGCTGATTTGGTTTGAGGGGAGCGGCGTTCGGATTGTGAGAGAGGGCTACAGACCGTTAGTTGGGGGCGTGTTTGGGAGGTTATGGACGAGAGCTGTGGAGGGGTGTTTGAGGAAGATGGGAAGGCCGTTGCCGAGGGAGGCGATTAATATTTTGGAGGAGCTCGGTGCGAGCTTTTTCGTCTGTGGGCCGTCGTTGGAGAGGTTTGGGGTTAGGGAGGAGGAGTTGAGCGTTAAGAATTTTGAGCTGGGATCGATTGTGATGTTGGTGGATATGCTGGACAAGGCGGACGTGGCTTTGTTTTCCAGCAGTAAATTCGAGAGACCTTAGCGAGAAGTGAACGGACATCACAGTAGATCCAGCGATGTGATCAGGACTACTGCCAGTTCAAGATTGTAGCCTTTTTTTTTTTTTGGTTTGAAATGTCTAATCTAGTTAGTAAAAGCAGAGTATTATTCAAATGATCATACAAAGGACCGCAACGAGGGGATCGAAGATCCATCAACGTGTAGCTGGGACGAAAAATTGGGGTAAAAGTGCAATATAAGGAGTGGTCGCTTATTCAACCTGGGGTTGTTGACATTGACAACAGGTTGCGATCAGGAAGCCCGCTGATAGATTTTCGGCCCCGATTGTAGAGGCTAGGCGTGATATAATACATATTAGAGATAGGATCGCAGGTGCTGCGCGAACTGGTGATCAATTGAGCAACGCAAGGGCTGGCACGTGGCATCCGATGCGGCTCTTCTGCGAGACGACCGCAGGCCGAGAGAATGTGGACGACCTGGTGGATACTTAGTTGAGAGTGGTAGGGATTCAGGGCGGCGGATCTGATTCTGAAAGTTGTTCAACTCTTCGGTAGGGATAGGTAATCAATATTCAAAATAATAGCCCTCATAGTCGTGAGTAGGAGACTAATGTCATCGAATTGGATCGACTTCTGCGATCCTGTTGTGTTGCCGAGGTGACGGAAGAAAATACTCGGAGGTTTGGTGGCGAGAGTATGGAGTTTAAGCGGAGTCAGTTTGACAGTGGATCTACTTTGTACGGAATAGAGTGGCGCAAGGGTGTGTTTCTATCCACGTATCTCGGGGCACGCTTTCTCGTTTTCTTTCTCCTGCTGTGTACCGGGAATTCCATTTTCATTTCGTGATAGAAAAATCACTACATTTATGTCCTCTCATAGTTCTCGGCAATGAGTACCAAAACACATTATTACCCTTTAGACCCTTTGGACCCTTTGGTCGGCCCATCGGAGATTTGCCCTTGCGGCCGAAAAGAAAAAGAAAAAAGAAGAAAACTCGGCTACGGGTCCGATAACGCTAAGATAGGGCGATCTTTATGGCGCATATAACCTAGATCCCTCATTCTTTTCTTCTCAAGTCAACTACATCAACAATCCTCACTTCTCTCTCCAAGATACCCCATTCCACAGCCTCCTTCATATCTTTTCGAAATGGCTCTCAGGATATCCGCAAAGCGAGTGACAGCAGCCACTCTGAAGGCGAGCCATGCGCCCACGCCCATAAATGGCGTCTTGAAGAGGAATGCGTCTCAAGCAACTGCTGCAGCTTCAACCCTCCCAGAGGCAACCATAGACAAGATTTACGTATGCTGTATGCACCTGAAGGCTGAAATGTACTAATATATACATCTGCAGCGCGAAGCCAGACTCTCAAACCCAGATCCCGCGGCAGACTCGTCCACCGCAGTCTTGGTTGGCGATCAAGCGCCGTACATGGTGAAGACATACGTCCGCCCCCCGCCAATGTTCGCAAAGGGAAAGGGATGCCACCTCTGGGACATGGAGAACAGGAAATACCTCGATTTTACTGCAGGAATTGCTGTTAACGCTTTGGGGCACTGTGATCCGGAGTTCAGCAAGATCATTGCCGAACAGGTGAATGACTCACCCAAATTATGCCTTCAAATACTGACCAAGGAGTTGTCAGGCCCAAACCCTCGTGCACACCTCGAATTTATACCACAATCCTTGGACCGGTGCCCTCTCCGAACTTCTTGTACAAAAGACACTCGAGTCTGGTGCTATGCATGATGCGTGCTCAGTCTTCATCTGTAATTCCGGCACCGAAGCCAACGAGGCAGCCATAAAGTTTGCCCGCAAGTCGGGAAAGGTCTTAGATCCTTCAGGAGCGAAGCACGAATTCGTATCCTTTCACGGAGCCTTCCATGGCCGAACGATGGGAGCGCTGTCTGCTACACCCAATCCCAAATACCAGACACCATTTTCGCCTATGCTGCCAGGTTTCAAATACGGGACATATAACGATATAGCTGCTATCAACGAGTTGGTGACAGAGAAGACATGCGGTGTAATAGTGGAGCCTATTCAGGGAGAAGGAGGAGTGATTGTGGGTTCAGAAGAGTTTTTGATAGCACTTGCTGCGAGATGTAGGGAAGTCGGCGCTGTGTTGATTCACGATGAGATTCAATGCGGGCTCGGCCGTACAGGAACATTCTGGGCTCACGCTTCTCTGCCAAAATCCGCACACCCAGATATCATCTCTACGGCCAAGGCGCTGGGCAATGGATTCCCAATTGGAGCTACCATTTTGAACAACAACGTCAGCGAGAAGATCGTTGTTGGCGACCACGGAACTACTTTCGGCGGAAACCCCTTGGGAGCTCGTCTAGCACATTACATTGTCAGCAGACTTTCCGATCCAAAGTTACTGGCAGATGTGTCTGTCAAGGGCGAGATCTTCCAGAAGCACTTCCGGGCTTTGCAAAGCAAATACCCCGAGCTGGTTAAGGAAATCCGAGGAAGAGGGCTGCATTTGGGTTTGCAGTTGACGCAAGACCCGTCTCCGATTGTCGCGGCGGCTCGTGAACGAGGATTGCTGGTCATTACCGCCGGAACGAACACTTTGCGATTCGTACCTAGCTTGACTATCACGGAGGATGAGATTCACGAAGGCATTGCGATTCTGGATGAGGCCATGAGGATCGCGACCACGGCTGGCGAGAAGCCTACAGCCAAGCAGGTCAAGGGAGAGGTTGACTCGCCAAACTGATAGGATGATGTGGTTGATGATTTGTATGGCTGGGAGTTTGGCGTTGGGAGATACACAAAAGCTAATTGGTAGACACGCATTACGATCGAATTTACGCATTGGAAATCATCAGCAAGTATCTATCGATTTCGTCAAAAGATTCGGAAGGGGCTTAATACTGATATGAATGATTTTCCACAAATATAGACCCCAGCACGAAGTGGTTGAAACCTAGTCCCTTCATTTCGAGCTTTTGATCGGCATATTGCGCCAGAACTGGGTGCTGAGATACAAAGGCTGCTTTCCATGTCGTCTCCAATCTTACGTAGCAGAACCGCTCTCATACCTCTAAGCCCTCAGCCTGCAGACCCCGCTGCATATGCCGTTAGCAACACCAATACCAACATCATTATCCAAACCCTCCCGATCACCCAGCGTCCTATCGCTCATAATTCTCAGAACCTGGCTCGAAGCCCTCTCCAAACACGTCTCATAATATGCGCAACGGCATACGAAGCCCTGTAGCCGCGCGCCACCACCATTCTCCTGCTCTCGACGACCATCTCAGACATGGTCAACGTAGGTAAGTCCAATAACATTTTTACTCCCGTGCATGCTAAATACCGCAAAAAAACTCAGAAACAACCATACTTGCGTCGTTTACACTTGTAGAGAAGAGATGAGATCGGCCTTTCAGCTCTCGGCTACGAGATAAATAGCTTGGCGGATCTTTGGTTGTTGTGTCCCCTGTGTCCCCTGTTCGTTCCGGAACCAGCTTTCTTGTTTCCCTTGCCGCTCTTTCCACTCTTTCCGCTCTTCCCGGTGTTTGCGGTGCTTTAGGTCTGGTCAGTACAAGATTGTTGAGGGAGTTGATTGCAGAAGACTTACTTTGTTGCAACCGCGTCGACACCAGTAGCAGCGGCACTGGAACGACCATGTCAGTCGGAGCTCTGAACATCAGCAAAGGTCCAGATGGGATCTCACGCTGCAGTCGCCAGGGCCTTGCTATCGATACCCAAGAGATTATCCGCAATGATGACACCTTGGTCCGTCACTTTCGTCGCAGCTGCGTTCCCTGCCTCGGCCTTGGCGAGATCGACCTGGTTCTGGTTGACCTGGGCCAGAATACCCGCTAGGGTCTGAGCCGTGTTGATCTGGTTGGGGGAGTTGTCACTCGCTTCTGTGTCGGTCTGTTGCAGGGCGACGCAGCCTCCGAAGGGACCGGCAGCTGCGGTGTTGAAACATCTCATCGTGCACACATTGCCGGTCGAGGCTGGGTGCGCTTTTATATCAGTCATTGCATGACGGGTAGAAGGAGGGTGAAATTGGGGGGGGAGGCGGGGGGGTGAAACTTACCTCCAATACACGCCATGTCCGCGGGCATGGTAACGGTAAGGTTGATGATCCCGTTCGATGGCGCCGACTCCTTGACGGTCAGGTATTTCTGGCCGTTGAATCCGTTGGCGTTGCCCTTGAGATCCAAGTCGCAGGTGTAGGGGCCAGCCCCATTGGCATCCACCCGGTTGACGGCAACGTTCACCGTGCCGCCTTTGGTAACCGACGTGACGGTCTTGGCAATCAGTTGGTTCTCAGTGTTCTCGCCCACTGGATTGACGCGGAGGGTCAGCAAACATTCATCTACGCGCGTATCTCGGGAGCTGTGTCGGGAGCAGAATACTCATGAGACACGGGAACGACACGGGAGTTGGCGGCTCGTACCATCGATGTTGCCGCCCAGCAGCGTCCTGCCGCACTCGTTGACGACATTGGCGGTGATCTCCTCGAGGTTGATGATATTGGCGTCCGCGGCCTGGAGCTCGATCGCCAGCGGCAGACTGGCTGGGGAGCCCATGGTACCCTGAGCCGTCTGTATCACTCCCTGGGCATTCGCAATGGCTATCATCATCAACACCGAAGGGGAATACAGGATCTTCATGAACGAAAGCATCTTTTGCTGGAAATTAGAAGAAGAAAATGAAACCATCCAAATTTTTTGGGGGGTGGGGGGAAGTTGAGAGATATAGATGTGCACAGCACGTTCGTGATGAAGGCAAAGCTGAAAATGGGAATAAATAATTGTAAGGGAGAGAGATGAGAAAGAGAGAGAGAGATATATATGTATATACCAGGCCGGCTGGGTGAATATGGGATGAAGGAGACAGTACGAGAGGAAGAGAGAGAGAGAGAGATGAAGATGTGGGATGATGGGGCTGCTTTTGAATAAACACATGAATGATTCAACTAATAGATGCTTGCACATATATATATGTGTATATATATATATATATATATTGGTCAACAGCGTCGACGCCTTCCTCACCCGTCGTTACGAAATTCGCGTATGTATCTACTCCAAACGCGGAGAAAGAGATCATACGTACCGCGAGCGGTGATGGAACGGGCTGGCTGCCTGGACGGGTTTGTTTGGAGGCTGCATGCAGTATGGAAGTAATGGATGGGAATTGGTCGGTTGGGTGAGTAGTTGAGTAGTTGAGTGGCAGGTGCTGGGGGAGAGGGGGGAAGTGGAGAGGAGTAAGTATGTATGAAATCCTGATTCAAGGATAGGTCAGTGGTATGAGAGTATGAGACGGGTGAAGTGAAGAGAAGAAGTGGAAGTGGAGGTGGAATCGCTTCTTGTGACAGGAGGGCATACTATAGTATACCTACTATCTGTTTGTTGTTGTTGTGGGCATTAGGCAAGAGGGCGAGTAAATAAGGATCTTGAGGTATTTACATATATATATATATATCGGCTATTCTTTGCTTGGCTGGTGAGATGGATGGATAGTTATTCCTGCAGTATTATATTATTCACTACATGAATGCGCTATAACTTATCGGGAGCTTAGGTTTTCTGCAGAGTATTATTTGATGTTGGGGGTGTGAATTGCGAATTGGAGATGTCGAGGCTGGAGGTTTGGTAAGAGAGGAGGGCGCGGGGGTTCGTTGGCTTTGGGAGACCGTTAGGAGGAGGGAGTTTAGGAGCTGGACTTTGTGGCTTGGTGCGAGACGATTGATGGGCTGGAGTAGGGGGTGTAGGTGCGGCTCGGCTTTATTGACATGGGATTGGGTAGCGAGACAGGTTTGAGATGGGATGTCATTTTGTTTGATATGTCCACGTCGACTTCGGCGTCTGCGTTTTGGCGTTTCGAGGTCTGGAGGTCTGGGGTAGCGCTAAAGTTGATTCTTGATGATGGCACTTGGTAGCGTGGATAGTCGACAATTGTTATGTGAGGAGAGGGTTGTGGGAGAGGATTTGGAGTGACTATCGACCACTTCCTTGCCAATCTCGTCCATCTTGAAGTTTTGCAAGCTTCGAGGAACATCGGTTTCTTTCGGATATCTTGTTATCGGAGCGAGGGATTATTTTGCGTCCTCTGCGTAGATCCGTTACTACTTTCGAGCTTCATCCGGATTACGAAGTCATTCAGTCGGTCAGAAGTTTAGACGGGTGGAAAATTGATCACCTACACTGCCAGATTACAAGGCATCTATCTTATCTGCCTCTCTTTTCCTTTTCTTTCTTGTCCCTTCGTTTCCTCCATGCCGGGCCTTTCCCCATCTGCAAGACTACCAGTCCTAAACTCAGCAGCAGGATACCCACCAGCGTGGTGAATGTCCAGCCAGAGCCGATGGCGTTCACAACCGGGAGGACCGCAGCAGTCCCTCCCGCTCCCATCAGACATCGCAGCAGATTCACCGCTGCGGTCGCGCTAGCGCTCTTCTTGGGGTATATATCCACCATGAAGGTGCTTACCACTCCGATGATAGACGTCGCAGACCATCCGAGGATGAAGGTACAGATAATCGGCACCGCGATGTGTACGCCCTGGTCCAAAGTCCACCCGAACACGAACACCGACGAGATTTGCAGCCCGCTCCACAGATACAGCGTTCTCAACCTCGCCTTCTCCAGGGGGAAGTCGTCCGGGTCGCCCGCGAACGACTTCTGGAACCGCGCGTAATCGACATCGAGGAATTTCCCCGTCGTCAGGGTACCCACGATGCAGCCAACTCCGTTGCCGAGAAAGGTCAACCCGATCTGGAGTTCGGACAATCCATAGGTGCGTGCGAATAGTGTCGAAATGACAGTGACGGTCATCTGCCAGACGGTATAGTAGATGGAGAGAAAGAGGATGGAAGACGTCACCTCGATGCTGAAGATGATTTTTATAGGGCCTAGAAAATCAACCGGGAGCTTCTTTTTCCCGGCAGGAGTTCCCGTCGGGGACCTCTCCAACGCTTCCTCCTCCACCGATCGTGGATGCCGTCGCCGTTGGATACACGACAACAACGAATTCGAAAGTCCCTTCGCAGGCTGGGACCCGTTCCCAACCATGGATCTCAACGTTTCCGGCAGCACCACGACCAAGATGATCAGAAACACCCCGCCGTAAATGGTCAGGAACCAGAAGATAGCTCGCCACCCCAACGTCTCTGCGAAGATCCCGCCCAGCACTGGCCCAATGGCAACAGGGGCCAGCAATCCCGCTTGGTAAACGCCCATGTAGCCGCCCCTCTCCTCTCTCGTCGTGATATCGCCCACGACGCCAGCACCGATGGCGATCGTGCTCGCGCTGCCCGCGCTCTGCAGACACCGTAGAATCACCAGCTGGTGATAACGGTTCGTCTCCGCCAGACCGATGCAAGCGGAAATAAAGATGACGAATGTGAATATGTAGGTGACGCGCCGGCCGTGCACGTCAGCTACCGCGCCCCAGACGCTGGGAGAGAGCCCTTGCAGAATCATGTAGGATGTTACGGTCAGATTGATTAGCTCTGGTGTCACGCTGAGCGATGCGGAGAGGGAGGGGATGGCTGGGAAGTATATATTGGACGCAAAGCCTGAGAACGTCGCTGCTACTGAGACGAGGGTGATAATTATGGCTTTCTGCCCGGTGGTGAAGATGGTGTATGGTGTGATTACGGAATGAGGTGCTGTTGCTGTTGTTTCCGGAGTCTCGAGGACACCGTTTGACGCCGCAGCATCGGTTGTGGACGGCCATCCAAGTCCCTTCTCAGGATCTGGATCTGGATCCGCCATGACCTGGTGTTGTCCATTCGATTCGGACAAGGTTGGAGGAAAGCGAGGCGGAAACCATGAGAGGATGATGGGATTCACGATAGGTGGGGGTAAGTCTATTCCCGAACTTGGTCGGGCCGAGGGTCAGGAGGCGATCATCTCCTTTGTTTACTCCAAGCTTCGCTTAGGCTCGGGGGGCTTCGGGTGGGGTCTGACTTTGGCTCCTCGTGACTACGGGTATGCTCAACTCAACCCTCTTCTAGGTGAGAAGCTGTGTTGAAAATCTCCCAGATGGACCCTAGCCGATGAATTTTGCATGATTGTGTCCAAAGTCTTTATTTCTACAGACCGGAAGTCGCGCCGCGCGTAACACCACGCATATCAAATTTCCAGGTTATCCAACCAACTGGTTCAACGCAGAGCCCTTCCTCACCTACGAAAGCCTCAACCCCCAAACCAAAACTCGAAATATTCCAACGGGTCTCTGTCTTCCAGTAACCTATACTCCCTACATATATTCCTCCCCAACTCACAAGCAATAGTCCCGAAAGTCTCAATTCAGCAACATTCCACGCTCCAAATCCACTAATGATCCTTCCAGCCGCTTGTACTTCCACCGGTCTCGACGTACCACATCTACTAGTATGCGTAGATAATCAGCCAGGGAAGCCAGATCCAACCAGGACTCTTCTTCGAGACCGAGAGCCACGCGTGGGGAGGACGTGTTCTTCTGATCCCGCGGATATGATCACTCAGATTATGCTTTTCTCAAGGCTACGAGATTGTAAAGCTTAGTCTATTCACGATTAGCCTTTCGTTACTTCAAAGGGAGCGATTGCTAAGTCTGATAAATGTAACCTCAAATTGCGAAAATGGTTTATGTGATTATGATTACTTTACCTTTATTTTGAAGTATATAATTGTAAAAACTATGCAAATAAATCTCGACGCAGAACTAGTCTCGGTATATAAATGCCTTCTTCAAAAGTGTATCTACGCAAGATTAAGAGGGGGGGGGGGTTGGGTAAGATTCAAGATATGCGTAGATACTCAATTAATGAAGATTTGGTGAAGAATTTAAGACCGAAAGTTACATAAAAAATGACCTTTCCAATCTCAACTCTTACTATCTCTACCTCCTTCAACTCCCAACCCTAGCCCCTCCTCCCCCTGGAAAACTCCTCGCGCTCAGCAGCACGCCCTTCACGCCCCTAATCTCCCTCTTAACCCTTCCTATCTCGTCGTCCTCCTCCCTCCCCACATTCCCGTACCCGCCGTATCCGCCGCCGTACCCACCGCCGTACCCGTAGCTCGGCGCCACATAGGCCAGGCCTTCCAAATAAGACCTAAAGATGGCGATGGAGCCTTCGACTTCGGCTGTTTCGTGGTCCTCAGCCCCCGATGTTGTGATAAAGTCCTGTATAGACGTTTTAATGGAGGTCAAGGAGGAGACTTGCGCAGATAGGGGAGTGGAGTCTGGGGCGGGAGAGGAAGGGCGCGAGCGGGGAGGGGAGGTTTGCACGCCGATGTCCCGGTGAAAGAGCTCGGTTGGGTCTTCATCGCTGTCTGAATCGTCCCCGGCTATTCCCACAGCTGCGCTTTTGGCGTGCGTAGGTATTTCCGAGACCACGGATTCCAATTGCGTTATCAGTCTCTCGAGATTGGTCTTGGATGTCTCGGCGAGGGAGAGGCGGGCTTTGGTTAAAGAAGCATGCATGGGGGTGAGTAGGTACTCGTGGGTGCCGTAGAGGAGGGCTGTGAGGCCGGAGAAGAGGTAGAGGGTGGTGAGGAGGCGGGGTTTGGTTATTAAGGGTGCGGGCTGCGGTGGCGTCGTGAGGAATTCGGGGTATGTTATGATAGGGGGTGGAGAGGGCATTGAAGAAGCGGGCTGGATTAACTGCCGCGGAGGAAGAGGGGATGTTTGATGTGGTGATGGTTCTGGAGGCTGTGGATGTTCTTGAGACTGGGTGGGTAGTGTTAGTCGAGCTTTATTTAAATGAGGAAGTGAGTTAGGTGATGTACTGGTGTGCTGGCTTCTGGATTCCGCGCCACGCCTAGCAGTAATTTTATCTCTTCATTTTGCAGTCCTTTACTTTCTAGAAAGGAAATCTTCTTGTCGGTGGAGGCATCGCGGACCTCGTCTTCCTCGAGGAATTTCCGCGCCTGGGCTACCACTGTCTCGCGACTTTCCTCTGGCGCTGTTGCGGGCGCTTCATTCGCAGATTCTGGGGCTGGTGTATGTTGCCATGGTGGAATACTGGACTTCTTTTCGGGGTCCGAATCACTCATCGCGTTAGGTGTAGACGGAAAGGGACGTGATGTTGAGATGTCAAAGTTGGATGTTCGATACCTATCGAAGTTGGATCTCGAGCCTCGGTCCAGAAGATAAAAGCGGGACGCGGTCTTTTAGTTATTCCGATGTCCGATGGCACTTACTCACTCACGTGATAAATTTCTCAACTCCAACCTCCAACGGTCTTCTCATATCAACGTTACTCAATTGCCAATCCGCTCTCACATCACATCACATAAGATCACACATATATTGCACTCATACTCTCACTCACTGTCACAGTTACAATCATAACCAAACATATCAAATCACCAACTCCCGTATACACAACCACAACCACAACCACAACCTCAACCGCATCCACAGCCACATCTGTGTTCCCCGAAGATCCTGATATCAACATCGCACCCGAGCTGCGAGTAAGCGTCCGTATCGCAATCGTCAGCTGCCCTTCCCGATCAAAACATGTCAGGACGGTCTGAACGGCCCAGTAAGAAGCTCCGGACGCTGAGTACAGACTCTGAGGGCACCGAGGAGGGCTACGATTGGGTTGGCATCAACAGCAAGGGCTTGAGTGCTGCGTCGTCGGCGTCACGGCCAGGCAAGGCTGAGAAGGCGACGGCGACGGCGATGGGGAAGAACAGTGAGTGAGTAAATTGTTACTTTTTCTCATCTTGTTTGATTCGGATCATTTGGAGCTTCAGACTCTTTTCTGTTATTGAATCGCATCGGGTTGGTGGAGTCACAACTTACAAGACGCTGCCCGTCGTCTTCGTTGCTTTGTTGGCCGAGAGGCAGTCGAGGGCGTCTATCCAAGCGTGACATGTATACCGCGCTTTCTCATCGCGTTTATCCATCCCGTATGCATATCTTATCAAGTGGCCGGAATCCAAGCTCCTCTTTATTCACTCATAATCTTCCACATCCCCTCTCCCCCTCTCCAATTCACCCAAGCGACCTCGAGATCTCCGTAGCATCTCACCCCGCCATCACGTTTCCTTAATCTCATCTCACAATCCTTCCCTCCGCATTGCCCTCTGCGTTGGTGCATCACCTAAATACCACCACCATGTCGACGCGTCGCAGCCAACGCGCTGCAGCCGTCAAGGCCTCAAAAGCAATCAAAGTAGCTGACCTCCCACCTCCCAGAACTACTCGCTCCCGCCGCAACACCGCTTCAGAAAATATCTCTACAGCCAGCGTCTCACGTGAGCCACCTGGCACCAAGAGCCCAACCTCCATGCGCCTGACCGTCAAGACCTCGTCCAGCAAGCTGCGAGAAGCGACCCGATCTAGTTCGTCAGGCGGCTCGCGAGACCCATTTGTTGGAGGCGAAATCATCGAGGGTAAGCGGAGCAGGAACGTCAAGAACAAGACTTATGTCATTCCAAACGAGAGTGACGAAGAGAGCGATGAGGAGATGGAGGATGCGGCCGATGAGGATGCCGAAGAGGAGGATGACGAGGACGAGGATATGAATGCGGAGGATGATGGACTGGGTGATGAAGATGCGGATGGGGATGTTGACATGGAAGTCGATGCTCCGCCACCACCGCCTGTGGTCAAGGTCTCAAGAGCTTCTGGCAAGAGCAGGGATGTTGTTACGGCCAAGGCGCCACAAGTTAAAAGCAATGTCGTGCCGGTTGAACGGAAGGAGACGGAGGACGGTAGCGATGACGAGGAGCTAAGCGAGCTGGACAGTGATCTTGGCGAGGAGATTGAGGAGGAAGAGGGCATGCAGACAGGAAATGAAGAGGATGCCGAAGGCGAAGAAGAGGAGATGGAAGTTGAGGAGGGCGAAGAAGAAGACAGCTTGGAAGACGACGCTGGGACGCCAGGAATAGGAAGTCGTGCTTCGACTCCGGATCTCAATAAGCTTACCAAGCGCCAAAGGGCACGTTTCGAAGAAAGCGACGGTGGGCATCTGTTGGCTTTGCCTGATGGTACGTGCTGCTTAGTACTTCATACGCATTGATTGAAATTCGAGCTAATACACCACCAGAGGTCCAAGTTAAGAAACACCTTACAGCAGAAGAACACGCGATGCGCCGCGCCGAGATGGCGCGCCGCCGCAAGAACCTCTCTGAGAAGCGCAACGAAGAAGAGAAAATGGAAACCATCAATAAACTCCTCAATAAACAGGCACCCAAAACCAACGCCCGCCGCAACCTCATGAACGCAGCTGACACCGGCACCGGCAACGCGGATTCCGAGAATGGGGCGAGGCCGGATTCCATGTTTGTCAGGTGGGTAAGTAGCAAGGAGGGAAATAGGATCGGGGTGCCGCAAGAGTGGCTCGATGCGCCGGTGGGCGAGTTGTTGAGGGGAAGTGTGAAGGGGGGCGGGGGAATGGGCGGGAAGTTGATTCAAGAGGTTTCTTAGTCTAGGTGTTGGGGCCGAGGTCTGGTGAGGGAGTGGAATTCCTTACAATGGAAAAATTCCAAATGAAATACGTTCAAGTCGGTATTAATACGAGCCCTAACTGTGGACCTGGCACCAAGAAAATCCAATATTCTGTCTCTAATAGGCTTAATTTCTCCTCGCGAATAAAGAGCGATATGAATGCGTGGCAGATATAAAGCAGCCTATCAAAATGGAGATAACGAATGAAAGTTTATAAGGGATGGAAAGATATGAGATTTTAATTTTCTTCACCGATGAATAGCAAAAAGAAAGAATCCTGCCCTCCTCGGATCTTGGGCTGATTGTCGGGAAGGAACCGGTACACATCGTGACTTTTTTCTTCTTGATATCAACGCAGAAATTTTTGACCGCCAAAAGGAGAAAGAAAAAGAGATCGTCAAATCACTTTGTCTTATGAGCGTAAATAATGCTAGAAAATTGCGAAGGCCGACTAACTAGGTCAGTTGGCATCAATTTGGATCAAAGAGTAATGATTGCGCATACACCAGCCAGTTTCATAGTATTTTTGTACGAAAACCTTCCAGTTTTTAGATTCATTTCTCAATCGCTATCAAGTCTGTAAATCTAATAATCGTTGCTTTGCCTCATTAGAAGATTTTCAAACGTGAATTTCTACGAGAAGTAGGCAAGTTCGAGGGCCATTGAAGTGAAAATAGACTCAAAGCTTTTACAGTAACTGCTCAGTCAAACATTGATTATTGTTATCAAAAGTGATTAGCTCTGGCTCCCAGCGATAAACTGCTAATATTCCTTTACACCTACCTATATTGCTCCCAACCTCATACGAAGCTCCTCTATTTCTCGATATAGATCAAATCACCTTAAAACTACTAGATCCAGACGTACCTCAAGAAAATCGCAGTCATGCTCTCGGTAACCTCTTCCCGCGCTTTGGTGGCGCTACTCATGGGCCTGATCATGGTAACCCAGGTCTTTGCCAGCCCTGTATCAAACGCCCCATCTTCGTCTGTTCATAGTCGCTCTGAGGTACTGAAAGCAGCTTTATTTCTGATTCCGCTGATAGGACTAACGCGCCTTAGGAAAACCTGCAAGGCCCAGAATACCCACATATCTCAAGCTCTGGTTCTCCCACGACCAAACATGACAATCGCCGATACGAACTGGGAAAAAGGTCATTATGCCCCATAGTGTCTTGAGACTGACGGTGGTATTGATAGGGAAAACTCTTCTGCAACGTCAATAGCCAGAGCTGGGCTTCAGCAGCAGAGTCGGGAATCTTCTTTGGAAGGTCCATGCTCGGGTGGAGCCACCATCCTTATGCGATCTACTGTGGCTGCCAACGAGTAGCTTGCTTCGATGGGTGCGCCGTATGGGACTGCAACAAAAGTGCGTTCACCTCTTACTCCCTTCTGCAAATCTCCCTCGCGCCAGCTACTACAGTAGATTTCGGTACACTGGCTTATTCTGTACAAGGAACCATTCATTTCAACGTACGAAGGAGCAGATCTCGCCTATTTGGCCAATATCATTGTAGAAAGGTGCTTCAAGGAACAGCACGGGCCGCTTCTCGGCCAGCAGTTCGGCTTCCTGGCTGGACCTTAGGGAATCAAGTCTTGCAAAGTCATTATTCGCGCAGATGACTGTCAGGGTCCGGCTTTCTACGGATTTTGATATCGAGGAATGGTGGTATCGACGTAGCTAGTCATGTGGACGCTTTGTTTGGATCGCGTTCGTTGTTTACGGTTCTCCTAGCGAGTCCCGGCTGGTGGATTTCAAATCTATTAAGATATCCACGGATGGCCGCTGACGGGAAGCCTTCTTCACTCAATATATGTGACTAGCCGTATGTACATAAAGCGATCGTTGAATTGGAGGACCGGTTCGCGCTGGTGACCTTTCGGTACTGTTGCATCTAAGCCCACGACACGGGGAGCTACCGATAAAATGCTACTGCCAAGCATAGAATATCAAGGACGGGCGTATAAGAATCCGAGTTCGTCTGGTAGATACATCGATCCATAGGTGCATTATATTAATCTTTAATTGTTTTGGCTGCCGTTACTGATTACAGGAGCGGTTATCACTATACTTGTCCGAGACTAAAAGCAGGTATTCATAAGATTTCGGCCCTTTTCCTTCTGTCCTGTCTTCGGTCCAGGAATCCAATATCCAAATTCGACAACATCATCAAGTCACAGGGCAATAAATTGGTGATCTTATCATATGCTGTGCGATTCTTGACGGCTCAACGTCTATGTATGACCGTTTTATATCGGTGAGTCAGAGTAGAAATTAGTATTATACTACCTGGTGCAACACATAGATCCAACGGTCAGGAAGTGATGCCCGGCCTATAAAAATCCAGCAGAAGTGTCAGCGGGTCTTCTACTTTGATACAGCTGGGATATTAATATGCAACGAAGCGCGCCGCATCCACCATCGCTATGGACTTGGGCCGAAGTGCATTTCCATGTGGCAGAATTCCCTTTCTTATACAACGAGAGAATATCAACGCCTCCAGATTGACTCAATGCAACAAGTATGCGAATCCATCTTCACCTCATTTGAGATAGCGATCTGGCTTATGTGACCAGGTGCTTCGCTGGTATGGTGGCCATAACTGCTTTCCATTCCGCTTGGAGAGGTGCGAGTTCTTCTAGAAGCGGCAGGATCCCGGTACGAGCCAAACGGAAGCAATAAGTATGCTTCTCGACATTGCATGAAGTTGTGCAACATAAGGTTCTGGGATCTTATCAGACGGGACGTGATTCTCGGGAACCACACGATCTCGGTCCCTTCTCCTCGGTATATAAGCGATCACACGGGTAGGGATCGATTGTTGACCGACAAATTTGCCCCTATGGCCGAGAATCGGTGACCAGTTTTCCGTTGCACTTTGGAAGTTGAGATCCGGGTAGCTACTTCAAACCACGGATACAATATAGCGAATGTCATCTGATGAGCGCGACCGGCCCAGATGTTAGCCTCACTCGATAGGATAAAGCCCCAAGGATCAGCGCCGAAATCTTCTCCTCAGATTCCACTCAGAAACCAGGGCAAGATCTTCTTTTGCAATCTTCATCATCATCATCATCATCATCATCATCATCATGGGATCTTTAATTTCAAGCCTTGCCATCCTATTCGTTCTCAACCCTTCTAACTATCTCGCCATTGCCGCCCCAGTGGACTCTCTGACAGACTTTCAAGACATGTCGTCCATTGACCTTTCTCAGGCCCACAACTTGACTTCAGCGAAGGAGCCCACTGAGGTAAGTTTTAAACTCAGAATCCTACAGTCCAACCATATGAAATCGGCTAAGACAAAGATTTCACAGCTGGTTATCCTTTGCAATGATAAACGTGTACCTTGGAAGTAAGTTTGTTACGATTACAGAATACTTCTTTGGAAGAGCTGAGTTCAGCCTGCCAGAGAGCGAAGAAAGCTTCATGTTTTTGCTCGTACAAATACTCACAGATCAAAAGAAAAGTGAACTCGGACTTCATGACGGAGGTAGCAGATCGCCTGCAGCAGATGCCAAAGGATAAGTATTGCTACGCTCCGGCAGGCCCCGGGAAATGCAGGCAACAGAGCTGCATCTTTGGCCAGGCTCTCACGCTCTGTAATGATGTAAGTACTCAAAACATCTTGGACATCCCATGTTACGTTGATTGCGGGATTTTGAACTGTCCCCTTGGATCATTTGGTCGTCCGCTTTTGGTAGCCTAAGCTGACAGAGACGTCCAGAACGATTACTCTATTCAAGTGTCAGTAGTTTTCCACCCCACCGCGACCTCTCCTTTTCCGACGCAAGCGATGCAGTGGCGTCCCTTCATGCTGTTAATCTTGTGTCTTCTCTCGCCATTGAATCTAACTCTGGGGACAGCCTCTGCAACACGATTGGATGGCAGGGGAGATATCTCTCCTACATGTGCACCAAAGACAAGGCGGGTAATTTTAGAGGAGACTGGTTCTACGGGCAGTACTTCGACTCACTGAAGTACAACATCATCGCCAGGTCGGAAAGATGTGGAGAGCCCGAGGGCTGGCCAGGCAAGTCCAAGTGATGGGTCTAAGGGGCCGACTCATCTCTGGCGCCGTTCATGGATAAGCCGTCAGAGAAGCTCAGTACGAGTCAAACCATGCCGATGGGAAGGAAGACGTATTCAGTTCAAAATTTTCAATGCCACTCTACTCCGTATATCATGATTCACAAACTGCATTTTGTGATCATTCCCGTGGCTCGTCCATTCATGGCGAGGGTTGGAGCAGAGGTATAGAGACCCTCTCTCTACACCCAGCTTCAAACTCGTTTCCTTATGATCATCTATCGTCGCAAACGAAAAATCAGAGGCATCTCCAAATCCACATTCCCAGCTACATCCCGCTCCACCCTCAAGATGGCGACCTGGCAGCGAAACATTCATAGGCAAGAGCCGCCGAAACGACCACAGGATAAGCCCATCTCCGCCCAAGGCCGTGGTTACGGCCTTGATGGTAATATTAGAGAGCAACTTCACGGTAGAAGCCCTCCAACCTTTCCCCAAGACAACGCAAATGGTCGACCACCGCCCGTTTCCTGCATATCCGGAAGAGTACGGGAGCAGCCACGCCTGCTTGATCGAAAGCGGAAAGAGGATTTCAGGTCCAGGCTTCGTAGCCCTTTCGATCGTAAAGCGGGATACGGTGGTGGTTCAGATCAGAGAGACGTTAGAGCTCGAGAATGCCAGTGTAACATCCCCGGTGGCGCCGTACCTGGCTCTTGTCCATGGACGACGCCGCCGTCGCGAAACGAGCACCGAAACGTTGATCGTGTACCACCAGCCCGACCTGGCAACATGGTACGTCTCCCAGCCGTACCAGACGACGGGCGCAGATTCGATCAGGTGCCAGCTCGACACGGGAACGCGGCAGAGGGTCGCGGTTCGCGCGATCGATTTCGCCATGCTAGACATGAGGGCTGTCAACCGCGGGAAAGGTCCTGGGGGGACTATGGGCCCGCGGGAAGCCGGACGAGCGATCGCTTCTTGCATGCTAGACGCGGGGGATACGTCGGTGGAGACGAACAGCCTCCCGCCGCTGCTCAACCCCGCTGGAGTCCTAGCTATGACAGGGACGTCGCTTTTCGAGAACTCGTAGCTCGCTCGGAGGAACTCATGGAGGAGAAGTGGTTGGATGACCTTCATCCTGGACGGGCGCTAGGATTGGCGGAACTGCAAAGATATCACCGGGTAATGGAGCGAAAGCGCCGTAGAGGGCTCGTTAAAAAGGTGATATGATGATGTGTTCTGTAATGAATGCCTGATGTTCTATGGCGATGGATGGCTACTGGTCAGGATAGACATGTCCTTGATATTTACATAGCGAAATTTTGTGATCTATGAGAGTGCATATGGTGTGAATTGAACAGAGGGAGCCCAGAATATCATGTCCACAGAGCAGCTTTGTAGGAAAGGTTGGAATGGAGATCTGTTTATAGTATATATCGAAGTAAATAGTTTAGACGCGCTTTTGTACCGTCTCGCTTTTGTATACCCACCCTCCCGCATCTCGCTACAATATCACAAATTTAAGCATCGTCTAGGCGTCGGCAAATCTAAAGAACATCGCATCTCCTCTTGTTGATTTGTGTACCTTTATTGCATTTTTTTTTTGTATAGCAAGTTGGTCAATTTGTCTATTCTCCTACCCGTATCCGCTTCTGCTATTCTTTTGCAGTTGGGAATTGTTTGGGAGCTGTTTTTATATGCATGTATGCATATATGGATACATAGATATATAGATATACATGCATACATAGCTCTTTCTTGCTATTTACATTCTATCAATCCCATTGTGAGTATATACAGATATAATACCTCAAGGCTTTGAATAATCCTCAACGTTCGAAACCAGTACCGACGACCGGATCAGCGCGGGATCGTAACGCGAGATCTCAGCGACCGTGATTAGATACTGAAAGTAGGAATATTCTCCTAGGGGCGGCTCGAAGAGATGTGTTCGTGGAAATATGGGTACTCGTAATAAAACATTTGGATTGAAGTGATGTCCGGAAATATACATACAGATATACATATGTATGTATGTATATATATCAATCTAGAGCCCGCAGCGATTGGGTTGCGACGCGGCATGGTATCTTCCAACTCGCATCAGTTCTAGTCTATAACACAAAAGAAAAGCAATAGCGCAGCAAGCAGCAAGGGGTTCTCAGTCGACCGACCCAACCCCGGCCACCGCCTGACGATGGATGTACACGCATGTCGTGCTGAACTTACATAGCATCACACTCCAGCTCCGACCAGCGCTGTCGGATCTCCTCCCTCTCTTCCTCGGTGCTCCTCTCGAAATCCAGGATCCCCTGCCGGATCCTGACCACCAGCAGGTTGGCCTTCAGGCGTCGGGAGTAGCGCTTCTCCAGCTGCTTCTCGATCCCCTTCAGCGTGTAGCCGGGGAGGCCGAAAGCGGCCGCCCCGGTCTTGAAGACGAGGCCGGCGAGGCCCCGGCCGATGCCCTTGGCGAGACCGAGGGGCCCTTCGCGCCGCGCGCCGTTGAAGGGCTGGGTGACGAGGCCCGTGATGCCGTCGAAGAGGCCGAAGACGACCTCTTCGGAGGCGACCTTGACGCCGGAGCCGAAGCCGGTGATGTTGTTGCGGCGCCGGACCGTGTCGTCGGCGAACAGGAAGGATGGAGCGTTGTGGAAGCCGTTGGCCAGGTTGTAGAAGAAGATCACGGGAACTGCGAGATGGTTAGCGTGCTGCTTTTTGACGGAGGAGCGGACTTTTTTTGTGGGAGGAAGGGGGGGGGGGAGGCTCAAGCGGGACAGTGGAAGAAGGATGGAGTACTCTTCAAGCCTGTGGCAGCCATTGAGTATGCGAAATTCCCGGTCTCAACTGAAGCATCGTGTAAGCGTCCGTGGTATTGCACGACCCTGTTCTTGGGTTGCAGCATATTGGTCGCTCTCAATACCGGGGACCATAACTGTGTCTTGAGGTGCCGCCTCTTTGACTTCGAATTTGGCAAGTTCTTGCTCGCCATTTGGTAAGCGATATCGTCAAGTTGCTTCGGAGAGTAGTGGACTGCGTTCTGAATAGGGTTATGGCTGGGATATCGATACAGACTGTTAGACGCTTCGAAATGTGGTTGCTCATCGGCGGCATCTTCTTCACTTGGGGGTTTCTTGTGTATCGCTTTGCTAATACCGCGAGAGTATTGCACCGTTTTTGTGATGGCTGAAGTTGCTGTTGTTGAGGCCACAGCAATCAGGCCCTGTAGCGGATCTACCGCACCTTCGTCGACGTACCAATCTCGGTGCCGAATACTGACACTTGTTAGCTGATGCTCTGAAGCATAGCTTTTCGAGGTGAGGATCGGGTTTCCTTACAGCTTATTACTTTCGACATTCATCAATCCAGCATCAAGCAAGGTGGCAGCTGCCAAGTTACTGAGTCTGATGGACGTCTTCCTCACCCGCCAGTGAGCAACTCGATCCGGACGTAGGACGCAGCGCATCGAGTCTATATTGAGAGACTCATGGAACAAGGCAGCTGCATTAGCTGCTCCGTTCTCGCCGGCGATTTCTTTAGCCATGACTTCAACAGCTGCCTTGACCTCTGGTGTAAGGGCTGTCGTGATACTGTTGGCTAGCGTGTCCTCGGTCATCTTCTTAAACGGCACGGGCTCAGGTCCTGCGCCGGCTCGGTGGATCATGGCGCCCCAGAACGGTTGATCTCCAAAGAATGGCACTACAACGGTAGGTCTTCCTAAAGCGATGCCGATAGCTGTTGTGCCGGCACCGCCGTCTACACAGTGATGTAAATATCAATCCACGAACATGACATCCATATAAAAAGGCCGATATAGACTTACGGTGAACGACTGCCGACACGTGTTTGAAGAGCCAGTCGTGAGGAACATTCCCAAGAAGGAAGACATTTTCTGGAACCTCGCCAGCTCCCAAGCCACCCCAACCTTTCGAGACCAATGCGCGGACACCCGTTTTCTTTACAGCGCCGAAGATCAAAGCTGTCAGCTCTTGGGGGTTGTCTACGACAATAGAGCCGAAGCCGATATAAACGGGTGGAGGTCCTGCATTAAGGAAGGCTACCAGATCCTCGGCTGGGGTGTATGATGAGGTTTGATCTAGAAACGAAAAACCGCTCACGTTGATATGTGAGCCCCAGTCCGGCGGTTTTGGGATGAGTGTCGACGACCTGGAAGTTGTGAATCTCTGATCCGTAACTGATCTGTAATAATGGTAGGGAAACAAACCATGTATAAGTGAAAGGTACTTTCATCCTCGAAAGCAGCATGTGTCCCCAGAGCGGAGAGACGGGATCCAACTGTAATGTCTTCACGCGAAAGCCGTTAATCACATCGCTGAGTCTGCGTATCTATTAGCCGAGCTGCATGCTTAGATTTTTGCGAGTGTCGATGTACCCTTGCCATGCCAGCAGCTCCATCATAGAGTATGAAATATAATTTGCAAAACCCGGATCTGACTCGTTTCTCTCGAGAGATGCCAGAGGATGCGGGAAGTATTGAGTAGGTGACCAAGGCATTCTGCATATTGTCAATCCAAGGTGCTTGCCACGCTCTGCTCCGGTCGGCCACTTACGTGAACATGATGTGAAGAGGAATCCCCAGCTTCTCCGCACAATGTACATGGCCGTAGCTCGGCGGATTTGCGATAATGGCATCTGCAATGAATAGACTGTCAATTTCTTCTTCCCGACTCTTGCATTGCGACGACTGCGACGCTTGCGAGGTTCTTTTCATTCCATTTCCCGGCTCGACGCACCCTCTCCAGCAGCCCTCGAGTATCTCGGCAATCATGTTTCTTTGCGACGCAACGTCTCCTTGTCGAAGACTCTGTAGTCCGGGCATGAGTCCAGGGTTCTTGACCATATAAGCCATAAGCCTTTCTGGGTCTCCGCCGATTGAGAAAAATTCCAGTCCATTTTCCTCGACAAAGTCTTTGAACACAGGATGCGTGCACAGCCGTACTCGGTGATTGTACGGCTCTTTCGTCAGCTGTTGTCCGACGGCGATAAATGGCTGGACGTCTCCTCTGGAGCCTACGATAAGTATCGCGATGTTCAGTCGTGGGATGCCAGCATATTTTTCCAGCTTAGATTGGAAGTTCGTCTTGTATTTGCGCTTCTTCTGGTGGAGATCTTCACCGCCGTGAAGATGGCCTGGAGGAGGTCGAGAGCTCTCGTTCAGATACTTGGTGATCGCCGAGGCTTTATCTTTCAAGCGTATAGACACACGGCCATCGTCACGTATGAAGGCCTTCGCACGGAAGAGATTACTCGAGGAATCGACGGCCCCAACAAGTGTTTGCTCTGAGCCAACTGACATGACGAGTAGACGCGACAACTAAACAATCACCAAAACAATCACCAAAACAATCAATCACCTTTGAATGAGTTGAACTGTGACGCAATCTTCGGCAGACCAAGTATAGTATAAGGAAACGAGATAGAGTTTAAGCTCAAGTAGGGGTAGAAATGCACTATATCACCGGACGCATCTACCTAGCCGTACTTGGTAGTACTACTATATACACGCACGCGCTATAGTATATCAAGAAATGCCAAATTAATGCTGAGACGGGGGTCGGGCTTTAATGTGCTGTATGTGTACGGAATAGGTACAGGCAGGCCCTTTCGCTAAACATCGACTAGCCATGGGAAACTTTGCGCCGTGTTTGGGATCCGAGGCCCCGAGGTTCGACATGATATCGTGGCTACCATGGCTCGTAGTAGTAAGCGATCTGGCAAGTTAAAGTTCTTCGTGAAGTTCTTTGGCAAGTTCTCGAGAAATACTGTATCGGGATGCCTGTAGCTCTGTACCAGTACCTACTCCGTACTCCGTACTCCGTAGGCTGCTTGTTGACTGCAAAACAAGCTTTAGCGAGCCTGTATTCGGACGGTCTGAACAGCGGAACAGCGGAACAGCGGGCCTTTGAGACTCGATCCAAGCCCCGAAGCTGCCGGTCAGAGGCTCTGTCATTGGGTGTTGGGGCCCGAGTGACAGCTGAAGGAGATCGAGTTAAAGGGCACAGGGATCTGCTGCAGGGCTGCCGCCACCACCGGGACTGACGTGCAAAGTCTATTCTGCGATGGTCGGTCCAGCACGGAGCTGTTACACTTTATATAAAACGTGATGTGTACTGGTAAGATACCGTACGTAGTGTAATTCAACAGTAAATCGAGCATCGTGGAAATGGGTGACCACTGGCTTTCCGCTCCGCCATGTGCAAGTCGAGTCGCCACGCATGAAACCAACAAGCCCGGGTGTCCCGGTGGGTTACGGTAAGTCGACGTGTCTTCCATCCGCGAGAGCACGGGACCCCGGAAACCGGATTTCCCAATAGCCGGGAGCTTTGAATTTTTTTTAGGGATCTCGCCACCGTCCGATGCAAGTAAACAAGATGAATAATTTCAAAGGCCTCCCGAAATCGGCCTCTCTTCCGTCCAAAAATGCAACCCGGTAATTGTATGTATATATATATAGCAGAAGGAAGCAATGAAAGTCCTGGTAAGCAGGGTACCAATCGAGTCCAACCTTCATATTAGGACAGCGCTCAAAGGGTGGTCCAAAGAATCGCTCTGGTGGGCCAATCTTGCCATTTTGCCAGGACCAGAACGCCGCTTTCTATATTTGAGCAGCAACAACAAAGATACGCCACAGAAAATACTACGTAGAGACGCAGATCTGAGGCCAAGGCCGCGAAGGATGCGGACGTTAGCAAAGATAACTCCGATCCTGCAGGAAGAGAACCTAGAGAAGCATCACTAGCGCGTTACTACTGTACGTAGTATGTATTGTCCGCGGGCTGAAAGCAAATTGACAATTCATGTCCACGCGAACCAGCTTCCTCGCGTGGCGATACCGGTATACGTACCACGGTACAGGCCTAAACTAAGTATTACCCCTCGAGGGTGCCTTAAAAGTTTAGTTTCCACTTTAAACCCCCTGTTTTCCCTACCCTCGAGGGGTAATACTTACGCCTGCGACGTACTACGTAGTATAAAGAGCTCGATTCCGCCGATTAACGCATTCAACTTTTAATAGTATGGCTTTTTTCATTGTTAAGTTATTCAAGTTACAAATCGTAAAAAAAGATGATGTTTTCAACTTTGTATCGAAAAGAATCGAAAATCGCGATGTGTATTAAGAATAAGTCAACAACGAAAAAAGCTATTACAATAAAAATTGGATACACGAATCGAGGTACGCGGGTTCTGTTCTACCTACAAAGAATAGTATACCTCTTTATTAATAAAATAATCTAAATCACACTATCCCCCTCCCTGAATGAAAAGACGGACCACCCACTTGGTGAAAGCACGTTTTGACCTTAGAGCTGACCGACCGCTTATTGAATGTAGCAACACAACGTACATATTTAATTTTTCTAGTATTTTGTAAATCTTCCGTGAGCATCAATCATTGCTTGATGTCGATTTTACTACGCATTATATAAACAAACTATGAATTCTTGAGGAACTGCTTCTCCCAAGCGTTAGGGTTTCAACCCCTTGTACTTTTCGTCTCTTATTCAGGGAGGGGGATAGTACTTATCACGTAAAAATTCCAGCTGTAAAAAGCGTAAAAGGCTCGGACAACTTAGCGAAAATGCAAGAAGGTAGACTTTTCGGTTATGTTTATAACGTGGATCAAATGATAACTGTAAAGGCTATAATACGTAATAGAAACGAGATGCACGAGTCCGCTTGATTAAGGGTTTTCTACTACTAGATATCGGATTCTTTTTCCTCAAGTTCAATGTTGGAGACGATTAATGTCAAGAAATATATAATGTTTAATATGAGTCACTTGATTTTCAATCAGATTCCATCGTAAATTAAGTACGATTTCGATTTCCAACTATTAAATTGTGAATAAGAAGATTTCATACCTAGTAGTTGGAATGTTAAAGATGTCGACGACGCTGATAGATGCATTTAGTTGTCAACATGATAGCTCTACTCGTTGCAAAGTTATTGCCAATACAAGTTGATATACTACCTAATTGAAATGGGACACTGGCTTGTCCTGTTACCGAGAGCCCGCAGGTAAACCTCAGCGCACTGACTACCATCTGTAGTGGCCTGAGAGGCCATGATGTGATGTCTCTTCCTCGAATTCCTCGAAGCTGCTCCTGCTCCGACCGTGAGATAACCACTGCAGCAATCAAGGGAAGGTTCGGGATACGTACCCTCCTCCATTCGCAAGCGGCGCTTCCCATGACGATCCATCTGGGGATTTCTTCGTTTCGATCGCCCTTCTTGATCAGCGGGAACTCCCGTTCCAGATGGGGTGGGTGCGGAGGGAGTCTGACGGCCGGTATGCTGATATGGTTGGAGCGAAGAAGGGGAGGGGCAATCGAGGTTCCGGTGGTAGTCGAGGTGGTTAAGGCTGAATGTCAAAAGTCGGAAGGGGTTCGTACGAGATGCGCCTGATGAGTCCGTAACAATTAGCCGAGTAACTTCCTCCACAGGGCGCGGGAAGGGAATTCGGCGTCTAGAGTATGATCATTGGCCGCAAAAGGGATATGGGAGGATGCCCGTCTCCGGAGCGAGGTAGCTGCGAACGAGATGAAAGAGGAGCGCAGTTTATGAGTCCCAAGTAATAAGCACGGAAATTTCAAATCTAGATACAATACTTATCGACATCGTGGCTTTCTTGTTGAGGCAATAGGATACTAATGAAATTAAAACAATTCCTAAGCCGCAGCTATATTGATGTGTAGCCGTTGATTCCCGAATTAACCGCAATCTGCATTAACATCCGTGTCCTCATTCTCGCTGATCGACGACTCCCTTATTGTCCAGACTCCGAGAACACCTCATTCGAATTTCGTCGACAGATACCGGAGACTCAAATCCAACGATACTCATAACGCCCGGCTTCAATGCAAGCAGCTCCTTTCTCTTTACGCAATTGCAAAACATAAGAACTGTTGCAATGCCGATATTCACTGCCTCATATTCTCCCTGCATCGCTCACTCATCGCTCAGCCGTAACGGAATCAGAAGAATCGAAAGCGGTATCTGCTTGCTCCTATCTACATCGTCCCGTACCACCGATCAGCAACTTACATTTCAAATTTCCAAGTTCAGGATAGCTGATCGATTATGTGTGGTGCTGTTGCTCGGAATGCACATCCCCCGCTCTTTTTTTCACTGGCTTGAGAATGCCCGACCCGTTTGAGAGACCTGGCTGCGGAGCTGAAACAAACATGATCTCTCGAGTCTCTGGCTAATCTTTGGAAAGTGCGACGCCGACTATGGGGGAGCAAGTGTACCTGGCGCCGGTTGGTGCACTATCTGTGGACACCCGAGCAAAGGGTGCCGGGACTGTTTCGCCTGCTGAGAGATGACCTTGCCCAGAAGGTGTAGTGAAGTGGATCTGGTTTGGTTATGTAGCCCTGCTCTGCAAAGTCCTCGCTTAATTAAAACTTAAGGGCAGGGAAGGACATTGTTTACACGCGACGGCGAGGATATCCATCACAAGCTCACACTATAGCTCGTGGAAGCTTTCTAAAGATGACAGAAGCCTAAATAAATCAGTATAGCAGATGGACACACACACACAGATATATATATATATATATATATATCTGTGTGTGTGTGTGTAACTGTGAAGTGACTGACTCTAGTCAAGGGATCATCTCCCACTACCATGACACACCCGATAATAGCTTCTGCACTTATATAATCCAAAAACGAAAACGATCCTTTTTTTTTTCGAAAACCTTTGAAGTTTGGGAAGTAGCAGAGCGGTAGACGATTGAATTTGCGTCCATTCTGGCATATTTGAAGCAACCCGCGACCAAAAAAGGAAATTCGGAAGCAGCATACGATTGAATAGGCTTGCGCGAGAAGATGAAAGGAAGGCTTGATGAATTTGTTGGAGCAGATGATGCTGGACGAGACAAAGCCTGCTTGATGGTATTGGAAGAAAGGCATTCCAGCGCAACTCAAGATTCGTAAGGAGCAGGAGGAGACTCGCCAATGGATGCTTGAGCCTGCCAAACCTTGGATAGATAGACACTCGGCATCAGACGGGAATGTGAGTCCGGGAAACCAGTAAAGGGTGGCATAGATAGAAATGCAGCTCCAGTAAGCTTGGGTATGGTCAAAGGAACTATACCAGGGAAATTTAATGTACTTTCGAATCTTGCTTGAGGTAAAATATCCGAATGAAGCGATGTGCAAGAACTTCAGAAGGAAGCTGTGGTGTTGAGAAGGCAGCTTCACGAATATCATCCGCTCATACGTAGAGGGAGCGTATTTTTTAGATTCGATACCTTGAGAGCGAATTCGTATCCCAGTAGGGTCATTCGTATTTGATCATGTTGAAGTACATGTCTCTGTGCTGCACAGGAAGATGAGGTTGTCGTTGCTGATACGTTCAATGTTTACATAAGCCGGCCCGCTTATCGTCTCGACGAGCCAAAGCTCCAGACCTCCCCAAATTCAACTCCAAGCTTCAGCTCCAACTCACCCTTCCACCTCCCCCCTCCACGCCGACGAGCTTCCTCTTCACCCCCGACCCTATCACCGCCGGCAGGTTGACTTCCAGCTTTAGCTACGCCTCCCCCCTTTCGATCCTGGAAGAACCGCAGCGATGGGAGACCCGAGGGAATCGTCGTCGTACAGCATTACGCCAAGGATTCGATACAACACCATTGGGGGTGTTAACGGCCCCTTGGTTATCCTTGAAAACGTGAGTGTAGCCTCTGAGAGATGGGAGCTTGGGGAAGCTTGCTGATGTCTGCGAAGGTCAAATTCCCAAGATACAATGAGATTGTTACCTTGACGCTGCCCGATGGCACACAAAGATCTGGGCAGGTGCTGGAAGCCCGAGGTGAGCAAAATACCTCTATCGTATCAACTAGATGTATGCTGATCCAGCTCTTCAACAGGCGACAGAGCCGTGGTGCAGGTATAGCTACCGATATTCGAATGGCACATGCACAGGGCTCACGGGTGACTAGGTATTCGAAGGCACATCTGGCATCGATGTCAAGCGGGTACGAGCTCTGAAATTGCAGGGCTGGAATACGTACTGACTATGAGTAGTCTAAGGTCGAGTTCACCGGATCGAGTCTGAAAATTGGGGTCTCTGAGGATATGCTGGGTCGCATCTTCGATGGATCCGGAAGACCAATCGACAAGGGACCTAAGGTTCTTGCAGAGGAGTACCTAGACATCAACGGAAGTCCCATCAACCCATACTCTCGAGTCAGTGCGCTTCCATACCTCGAAGGAATAAGAGGCTAAAATGTGCTGCAGGTTTATCCTGAAGAAATGATTTCCACTGGTATCTCTGCCATCGATACGATGAACTCCATTGCCCGTGGACAGAAGATTCCCATTTTCTCGGCATCTGGTCTCCCTCACAACGAAATTGCCGCTCAGATCTGTCGGCAAGCTGGTTTGGTTCAGAAGCAGGGTCTGACGAACAAGGGCACACACGATGGACACGCCGACAACTTCTCAATTGTTTTCGGTGCTATGGGTGTCAATTTGGAAACCGCTCGTTTTTTCACCAGAGATTTCGAGGAGAACGGCAGTTTGGAGCGTGTGACGCTGTTTTTGAACTTGGCCAACGACCCCACGTAAGTACCACAGTACCACCCAGGCCTTGAGATAGGGATTTTCTGACAATGCCCAGGATCGAACGTATCATTACCCCTCGTCTTGCACTTACTACTGCCGAATACTACGCTTATCAGCTCGAGAAGCACGTTCTGGTTATTCTCACAGATTTGACCTCATACTGTGATGCCCTTCGTGAAGTCTCAGCCGCCCGTGAAGAAGTTCCAGGTCGCCGTGGATACCCAGGTTACATGTACACGGATTTGTCGACCATCTACGAACGTGCTGGTCGTGTTGAAGGACGCAATGGATCTATCACCCAAATTCCTATCCTGACCATGCCCAACGAAGATATCACCCACCCCATTCCCGATTTGACTGGTTACATCACGGAGGGACAGATCTTCATCGATCGTCAACTTGCCAACCGTGGTATCTACCCACCCATCAATGTCCTCCCATCACTCTCGCGTCTCATGAAGTCTGCCATCGGAGAGGGTCTTACCCGAAAGGATCACGGTGATGTGTCCAACCAGCTGTACGCCAAGTACGCTATTGGACGTGATGCAGCTTCGATGAAGGCTGTTGTTGGTGAGGAGGCTCTGTCATCCGAAGATAAGCTTTCTCTGGAATTCCTGGAGAAGTTTGAGCGAACTTTCATTTCGCAATCCCCCTACGAGTCGAGAACCATCTATGAGTCTCTGGATCAAGCATGGAGCTTGTTGAGAATTTATCCCAAGGAGTTACTCAACCGCATCCCGGGAAAGGTCTTGGCAGAGTTCTACCAACGATCTGCTGCGGATCGCAAGGGCAAGGGTAAAGGGACCAAGGATACCAAGGACAACAGCGATGAGGCCAAGGCAAATGGAAACAGCCAGGAGGGGAACCTCATTGACGCGTGAACTTTGATGGACGACTGATTTTGGGTTGGCCTGGTGGGGATTCGAATCGAGATTGTGGAGAGGCCTGGGGACTACTGCTTTGCTATGCAAGCAAGCGTGTGTGTAAGTATTCCGAGGCATTGTGCGAGGCTAGAATGTATAACGTATCAGCTACCCCTAACCCCCCGTCTCCGCCTCTTGCCTTGTTTGGATAGTCTGTTCTCCATCTCGGCTGTTTTCTGAACAGGCTGCAGAATTCTATATGAAATGACGGCCGCGCCCGGCAATTTTCGATGTTGTGCCACTCTCGGATGTGTCACTCGCAGAATCAAATACTTCACAAACCTTCAATGTTTCTTCTTTTTTCAATGACCTGGGAGGCCTGTAATTCCAGTGCTTGCCAGCTTGGATCGCTCACTCCTCCCAGACGCCGACCCGGCCCCAATCCAAGAATTCAAGAAAACCCCTCGTCGGCAACTCCGAATTGTCCTCTTTCAAGTCCGTTGATGTACTATCCAGCCTACGTAACAAATGCGTTCCCACTGCGGTCAACGCCCCAGCCTGTGACCCATTGCGAGTCGATGGAAGGAGATGGGTTGGATAGAAAGAGACTTGTGCGAAGCGCTGGCGGGATTCTTTGGGCTGGTTGCAGTTGTACCTTGGCCCTGCCGTCCTGTGGATGTGGGTGTGGATGCGGATGTGGACGTTTTGAAGCGGAGATTACCTTGTGGACCGATCTGATCTGATCTGATATGATCTGATCTGTTCTGAGATTCTTATGTGAAGGTTCCAATGAGAAGGTTTCCATTGCGAGTGCAGCTTACCTGTACCGGATCTGATATTGATCCGGCCGTTCTGCATCCGGCATAGTGTCCTGGCGTAGTTTAAACTACTCTTTCTCTCCATGCCCTGCCATCCATTTCTTCCATCTCCCCTCCTCCCACAAGTTCAACCCGCAAGATACACAATCTCCCCCCTTTTCAACGAAAATTGGAAGGCTCTCCAGCTAACACATCATATGATTACCGCAGGACGGTTCTCAGCACAGCTTTCAGTCATCCGCTTCGCTGGCAATATACTCACCTTAAACACTGCAGTCAGTCAGTCAGTCATGATCAGTCTTCAGACGAGACTGTACGGGAGGAAAGGAGGACTGCGCGAACTTATCAGCACGAACCCGTGTTAGGAATCTCACGGATTGGCTCCAGCTCCGTATCCTTGCTCTGGCCTTTTCAATTGGGGAATGCAGCTTCCCCCCGGCTCCCGCATTTGTGCACCACACACGTCCTTGACGAGCGAGTCGATTGCCGTGGAAGGTTATGGTTCCACCCGATAGCGGCAAGCAGTGTACACATGTACAACGCTTCGTGTTCATGATCATTCAAGCAGACAAACATGCTTTTAATCGCACAGTTTGAGTATGGTTTTCATTCTTTTATTGCCCCTTCCCTTCTCTTCAGCTCTTCGGTCGAGAATCCTTGACACCATCGTTCCCTTGTTCAATTTCCGAAGTGCGTTTTTTTTCGGGCTCATGTTATTGTTACGCACTATTGCCTCGTCTTCCATTGTTTGGTATCGGGAAAAGTCCGCAAGTAGTCTGTGGTCACTGGACGCTTCCTCTCGATGCAAGAAGGGGCGGACAGAATGCTCGGCCAGGCTGTCAACGACTCGTCTGAGGACCAGATCTCGTTCCTCGATCTCGAAGACGGCTATAGCTACAGCAACTCGGGAGTCTCGGAACAGTCGTCCAATTGCTCCAGGGAGAGGAATGCTCGATGGTGCCAAAACCCCCTGCTATACACAATTTTTCATGAGATAGGCCAGCTCGAGCTCTTGGATGAACTATTTGAGCACGAATTTACGGATATTTGTCTTCCTATTGAATCAGAGACTCAGCTCACGCGTGTATTCCTCGATCCAGCACTTCGGCCTCTATTCCTCGCGGCACAGCATCGGGTCTGTGTACAGCCCGATTGTACACCTGAGATCCAACTTGAAGAAATTCGAACCGGTCATGGGCACTTGATGACAGATACGGATCTTCCTCTGCAGTATCGGCGGTCGGTGGGTCAGGGCGGTTCTGCGACTGTGGACGAGGTTTTGAATCTGAAGGACGGCCGAGTGTATGCAAGAAAGAGCTGGAAGAGAATGGACTCGGTGCTTGATGAGACGGGATTCCATCGCGAGATCCAGGCATTGAGACGTTCGAAGCACATTCACTGTGTCCAGATTGTGAGGCCTCTGCTCTTCCTACTTCTCACTGAGACGGACAGTCCAATTTCATTGCATCTTTCCAACGTCCTCTTGCGTGCACAATTCTCGAGTAATCCTAGCATTCATGCCCGTGTAGCTAGCCCCGTCTCCTTCCTCGACTTTGACAAATTTAATTGTCTCGCACTGACAGCTACCTATCAAAGTTTGGCAGCTACACGACCCCAAGCGCCATGGTATTTCTCATGTCGCCTCTAGCTGACTCCGACCTGTGCTCCTTCCTCAAGAGCGCAAGCGTCACATACGATTCTCAAACGATCCTACTGCTTCGACGCTGGTTCGGCTGCCTCGCAAGCGCCGTCCACAGCCTTCACTCGATCAAGATCCGGCATCGCGACATAAAACCACAGAATATCCTAGTTCAAGGTCACAACATCCTGATAACAGACTTCAATCTAGCCTATGATTGGAGCAACTCAGAAGATGGTGAGACGACCGTTACCTGGGAAGGGTTGACAGTACGGTATGCCGCACCGGAGATATGGAGATACGAGGAGGCGAACTCCTCGACAGATGTGTGGAGCTTGGGGTGCGTGTTTTTGGAGATGGCAACGGTGATCAAGGGCCGGAGCGTGCGGGATTATCGGGACTTTTTCAAGGAGAAGAGAGGAAACTCACATTTCTTTGATAACGAGGTGGGAATTGCTGAGTGGTGTCTGCTGTTGGAAGACTCGTCGACAACGGATAATACGCCGTTGCGCTGGGTTGGGGCGATGCTTGAGAGGAATGGGTGGAAGAGGATGAAGTCTGCTGCTTTGTTGGAGATGATGAACGAGGATGCTGGTGATAGCGGGGGTTATTTCGGAGATTGTTGTCAGCGAACCCAGTTATCGACTGTCTAGGCCGGCCGATCTCCTCGTCGTCTCATGGATGAGACTTGCAAGCATCTCGACCTCGTACAATATCCGCCAGCCTGGAGCGCCAGCTTTCCCCTTACCCAGTAGCTTGGGCGTGGGGAGAAATATTTAGCACTCTCGGCCATGTGCAATGCTAGTAATGTACTCACTGTCGGTCTCTTATCCTGATATTCCATCAGCTAAACTACGATCTCTTCCAGCTCGAGGACTCATGCATGAAGCCGTCTTTCGCGGCACAGCCGCCACAGCACGCGCACCAGTAACAAATCCCCAAATCCCACCGGGCACTTGCTGGCGTCCGCCGCCAAAAGCTTGAACCGGCTGGACTCCGTCCACAGCATCCGGGCTCTGCAATGCACTGCAACTGCAATGCGTGAGGAAATAGACGCACCAATCATATGGCTCGATCTCAATCCCAATCCCAATGTCATCTGCCAGCATCACGAACGATCTCAAGATGCACCGGCGTGAGCGTGCCTGGCTATGTGTCTGGCTGCGCTATGCGATCACTTGTTGCTATCTAGCCAGCTAGCTAGTCTGGGGATACAAAGACTTCCCCGCATTTGATGCGGTGTACTGTACCGAGTGTCGACATCAACAGTCCTTGTGTTTATGATTACGCGAGGGGGATCAGCTGGCTCGTTTCTCTTTTTTCAACGTCTCTTGGGCCTCGCTATGAGTGAATAGTAACTTCACTTGGGACGAGGTGCGGAACTGGGTACGTAATTCAGAGCTAGAGCTAGAGCGAGCTCTAGAGCTGCCAGACAGCTATAAATCAGGAGCTACCCCCTCTGCTGCGACTCTGCTCATACATTTCGTATCCCACATATCTCATATATTACTTTCTTGCCGGAGGGGATCTGCCATGCGAGCTACGTTTCTTGGAGCTGCCTTCTGGGCCTCTACGGCTGCGGCCCAAGTTCCGGGGCAGACGGTGACAGGGTCGGCGGGGGGTACGACTGTGGCTGGGATCTCGTCTGGGTCTGATGGTGATGGGAAGTATACGATCGAGGGAACAGATATCCGTGCTACCTTTATTCCCTACGGAGCTTCTGTGTCGAATTTGTTCATCAGTATGTCCACTTCCGCCCCTTTGCTTCCATGATTTTGAGAGCCTCGAGTCGCCTCTCTCGGTTATTGGGATTGAATGAGAATTCATACACTGACCAAAATATAGACGACACTTCTGGTATCGAGCGCGACATCGTCGCTGGCTGGGACAACGCAAGCTATTACGAGGTCGACAAGCAACACCCACATTTTGGTGGCGTGCCCGGTCGCTACGCGAACCGCATCAGGAACTCCACATTTGAAATCGACGGCGAGACTTTCCACATCCTGCCGAACGAAAACAACGGGCAGGATACTTTGCATGGCGGCCCTGGCGGGTGGGACTGGCGGAACTGGACTCTGGTGGCGCATACGAGCAGTAGCATCACGTTCAGCCTTACAGACGCTGATGAGGACCAAGGGTTTCCAGGAGAGGTTGTGAGCTATGTCACCTACACGCTCGGAAACCGAACCTGGGATTTCAAGATGGTGGCATTGAGTACGACGAAGAAGACACCGATCATGCTTTCGTCTCACGTAAGTGCTGCCCTCATGCCCCCTCCTCCAAGTTCTCTCACAACCACCCACTGATGAATGATGACAACAGACTTACTGGAACCTCGACGGCTTCGCTAATAACGAGACCGGCACCGCCCTCAACCACACCTTTTACCTTCCCTACGGCGGCCAGCGCGTCGCCACAGACCCTATCCTCATCCCCACCGGCGACATCCTCGCCAACGAGAAGCACTCCCTCAATGACTTCTGGTCAGCGCCTAAGCAAATTGGCGCCAACTTCTCCAACCCTGCTCTCCTTGGCAACTGCGGCAACAACTGCACTGGCTACGACACGTGCTTCCTGACTTCGCGTGCCGCCCTCGGCTCCTCCAACTGGGACGCGAAGCCCGTAGCGCGGCTGGCGAGCGCGTGGAGCGGCATCAGCGTGGACGTGTATACGGACCAGGAGGCGTTCCAGATGTACTCCTGCGGAGGGCAGAACGGCAGCGTGGCGCTGAAGAGCACGCAGGGCCTGCACGGTGTGCAGGGTAGGCCGAGGGTCATTGAGCAGTACGGCTGCGTGGTGATGGAAGTGCAGGATTGGATTGATGGCGTGAATCACCCGGGGTGGGGGAGGGCGAGCAAGCAGATCTTTGGGCCGGATGATGGGCCGTATGTGCTGAGGGCGAGGTATGAGTTTGGTCTTGATGGATAGGCAGGGGTGGGACGGGGGGGAGGAGATGAGCTGTGAGCGTCCTAGTATCTAATTTAATGACGAAGTCTTTGGTTTTTCGAATTATCGTAAGCATGCCACGTGATCTTTCTTTAGAGAGACTTGATATGCGCTCGTATAATTTTGGTTTAGCTATTCTGAGCCCGGCTCCTGATCGTTTACACGCACACATGTCGACAAACATACATGCATATATATATATATATATATATATATATACCTGCTAACTTATTCTTATTTTTTGATAAATTATATCAAAGACTTCGTTTAGCGCAACCTAGCTTAGCTCAATTCAGCGTCGTTTATTCATCTATACTTTATCTATCTATTTAATTTCGAAGCGAGCGATATAAGGTCCGACTCCTACTGAGTTATCATCACGGGGTGCCTATCATTCTTGTTATACGCCAAGTGGATGGCGAACATACTGACAACAGCTGAGCTTAGGACTCAATTGTAGTTGTATTGTTTATGCATGGCTCCGAAAATTAAGTTCTCTCAGTTAATGCACTACATTGCCAAAGAAAGGATGTACTATCTACCTTAGGAATCTCCTATGGTTATCTGCCGCGATTCTCTTTATTAGCACAAGCTACCAGCGTGAAAGAGTCAGCAAACTTCTTACAAGACGAATTAAAGTGACGACGCAATGCCACATTCAACACGATAGAGTCCGGGTAATGACATGACAAGGACCCATTGACGCCTTTCAAATGTTCAATCAGCAACAGAATGTTCATATACACGAGCCAAGATGGCTGTTCATCATTACTTCTATAATCTTTCACTCCTTCAGCCCAAAGAGCCAACTTCAATCGACAACCTATAACCATGACCTCCACAGTACCCCCCCGAAACTTCTCGTACCCAAATCAGTTCCAGCCTCCACACCAGAAGCTGCGCTGCAGCAGAAGCTTCTCTCTGCCAAACATGAACCCGAACAACGCCTCCAACTCCGGCGCCCAGCTGAACCTCCCCAAGACGCGAAACCCAGCCCTGATATCACCAGAGCCAGACCGCTCGCAGACGCAGAGACCCAGCACCCCAGCGCGCCGTCCAGCGTCTCCACACCCACCACGCGCCGCCGCGCCGCCACGAAAGGACTCGTCGTCCCCGCGGCCTCGCAGCCGGTCGGGGAGGATGCGCTCGAAAGGCCGGGCGATCGTCCGCCGGATCTTCACCCCGACGTCTCCCACGGCCACACAGCGAGCCTCGCTCATGTCGCCGCCGCCGTCGCCGCCGTCGCCGGCTGCGCTGGGCGTCGACCGTCCCGGGCAGCCTGTCCTTGTCGAGTACCTGCCCTTGCGCCCGCGCTTCCCGCGGCGCGGAGCCGTGGTCTACCTCGCGCCGGGTGACTCGCGGGCCAGCTTCGTGGAGCGGGCGAGGCTGGACGGGCTGCGTGGCGAGGGCTTGTTCGGCCTCCGGCTGGGGCGTGATGATGGCTTGAGCTTGTACGTCTGCTGGAATCAGGGGGGCAGGTCGGAGAGGGTTGATAGCGAGGTCGTGGGCGAGCGGGAGTGGAGGAGGGTGGTGGACTTGATGCAGGTCAGAGGGTGGACGGATCGGTTTCAGCTGTGGTTTACGACTTGAAGAATCTCCCTGAGGGGTAGCTTGCCCGGAGGCGTCTGTCTGCTTTCTATGGCGTCAGGCTTTGGGATAGAACGAGTGTGGTTTTTGGTACGAGATTGTTAGATCTTCTGATTTCTAGGCGTGGCGTCAGAGTCGGTTGGTTGATATTAGTTCTAATTTCTTGTATTATCTATCCAGTTCACTTTCGAATTTTGAACTAGTCCTGTTGTTGATACCTTTGAAAACATCATTTAAAAAATATTCATTGCCAAAAGTCCTCTGGCCTGACTTGACAGAGTCATCCTCCCTTTGATTGTTCATATGTATTTTTCAAGTGGACCTGACCAAATTTTGGCGCGATATATGATCATCTCGCTAGAACCTATTGTGAGCTAGGTCTCAGTACTTACAAAAGGCTTTAATATTATATTGGAAGAGACACCCAGCAGTATATCTATTGAATTCAGAGCTATTGGAAAGCGACCTCGGAGAGTTTTGTCTCGTTGTTGTTGACTCGCGTCCTTAGCCTGACATCGCCAGCACCGTGATTTTTGGGGCGGATGGTGAATAGATGTACTAAAGAAGCTCCCCGGTTTTTATTCTAAAGTGATCTTTTCATTTCTCCCAATACTGAAAGAGAAGAGTCAGGATTCCGAGGAAGGCCGAAGCCGTCCATGTTGTGTATAATGACGAAGAGCCCCTGAGGGAAGCGAGCCGAGCCGAGCCGAGACCCTCTGATTTTTACCCCTCCTGGGCCCCCTCCCACTTTCGCTGTGAATCTACCAGCCAGCCCCGTTCAAAATCCCGCAAGTCACAGTCGAGATATTAAACAAAGACATATCTCTCAATTCAATCCTTTCAAGTCTTATAATTCGCATCCACACTAAACAAGACAGAAGCTATCATGGTATTCTACGAGCCGGGAGTGACGCCTCACAACCTCCCGAGGGACCCCTTCAAGGCAAGCTAGCCTCTCCCCCTACTGCCGGCAACAGCATTCTCACACCTTCAACTAGGCATGCGTAGTGCCCCGACCTATAGGCTGGATCTCTACGCGATCAGCCGACGGCAGAGACAACCTGGCGCCCTACAGGTGAGCAAACACAGCCGCTCCCAGCTAGCGACCGCTGACAACTCAACCCCGACGACACCCCATCCCAGCCAGTTCAACAACCTCACCTTCGACCCCCCCTACGTGATGTTCGCGGCCAACCAGACCGCCGCCCACGCCCGCAAGGACACCGTCGTCAACGCCGAGGCGACGGGCTCCTTCGCCTGGAACATCTGCACGTGGCACCTCCGCGCAGCCATGAACGCCACCTCGGAGCAGGTGGCCCCCGGCGAGGACGAGTTCGCCCGAGCGGGCATCGCCAAGACGGCCTCGACGGTCCTGCCGCATGCCGTGCCGATGGTGGCCGAGTCCCCGATCCGCTTCGAGTGCGCCTACCACTCCACCGTCCGCCTGCCCGGCAACCCGCCCATGGGCACCGTCGACATCATCATCGGCCGCGTCGTGGGCGTCCACATTGCGGACCGGGTGCTGACCGACGGGATGGTGGATCTGGGGAAGGTGCTGCCGGTCGCGAGATGTGGCTATTATTCGTATGCGGTGGTGCGGGAGACCTTTGAGATGGTGCCTCCGGGGAATGGGAAGATGGCTTACGGCCTGGAGGGCAGCGCTGCGAGTAATGCACGAGAGCAGCGTGAGAGGACCGAGAAGCAGAGGAGTGAGCTTGAGAACGACGAAGACAAAAGAACTTGATTTTCCAGCACGGGTAAACTCCTCGGGTGGAACATCGTTTGTTAACAACCTGCCCCCTGCATTTACCACGTACTTGCCTATTTTGATATTCGAAATACTACTTGCATATATATAGATATAGATATATATTCTCAAGGTCATACAGGACAAGTCTACCTCAAGTCCGACAGGTTTGACCTCTCAGCCTTGACGAAGGTAGCCAGCCCGACCAGACCAGGGCGAGCCATTCAAAACACATCCGGCGCCAACGCCAATCAAGCGAGATCGTCCCCCTATTGAACAAGCGAGACATGTTGAGCTGATGGCCTAGTGCGGACATGCTACAGCTTGCTTGCCTAAAACATTCCTCTCCTTTCTTCGAGCCGCTTGCCCATGAATTTTCAACGTCGCAAGTACTGCTCTGCATCCTACTCCTTTGCCCTAATGGGCGACGGGTACGGAGACACGGCTACTGACTCGTCAGGCGTGCAATACAAAGCCTTATGGAGACTGCTTGATCCCAGTATAGCGATCTCGACGAGACCAAAAGGGACTGGGGGACTTGCTATCTTTGAGTGATGCGGTTGTACTTGAGGACATCTTCTATGCTGTGAAGTGTTCCTCAATGTGAGTGCCAGAGGCTAACATTGGATTTTTTGTACTGCTGGCCAACGGTATGGAAGAGAGGAGGACGCCGTGATGAAACTGCAAGGCTGAATGGAGGAAGTAGAGGTTCTTTTCCAAAAGACAAGCGAGACAACCATTGCAATTTGTAGAAACTCATTGACAAGCAAAGATGATGCGGAAAAACCCGTCGTGAGAAGCCTGAATACTCCTTCAACCTCTGCTCCTTCAGCTTCTGCTCATACCTACGATGAAGCCTTGATACCCGCGTAGCTGTTCCAATTATCAATCGGCGCGTCCTTCTCAATCTGCTTCCAAAGAGCGTTCACTCTCCGCGCGATCTCTGAATCTAGAGGGCCATCCTCAATATACGTGCAAGTTTCTTCGACTTGGCTCGGCCTGCTCGCACCGATAATGATAGCATCCCCATTTTCTGCCTTCAGAGCACTGTGGTACGCAATCCATCGGTACGCCAGCGACGCTTTCGTGATTCCAGCATCTTTGGCGATCACTGCCCATTGATCCAGCGCTTCAAGCATGCTAGGCTTGGTGTACATCTTGATGTACATGTCTCCAATTCTCGAGTTCTTCCCAAAGCGTCCCTCGTATGCCTGTTCCCGCAATTGCTTTGAGTCCTTCACCAAGAACCCGCCTCCAATTGGAGAGTAGGCGTAGAAGCTCATCTTGAGTCTGTGGAGGAGGGGAAAGAGATCGGACTCGATGTGGCGGGAAACAGCACTATAATTTCCCTGAAAGACGGAAGGGAGCACGGAGTTGGCCTTGGCTTGAATATCGTAGATTTTCTGAACGTCGTCGGGTCTGTAGTTGGAGAGCCCGAACTGTCAGTTCTGTCAGCTTCAGCTCTCCTCCGTTGGAAGCAAACAAATTATATTCACCCTCTTAAATTTGCCTGCAGCATATATCTCTTGTATGGCAGACAACGTCTCTTCAATGGGAGTGTTTGGATCGGGCGAGTGAAGGTAGAAGATGTCGACCTGGCGAGGTGTATCAGCAGTGAATCGAGTAGAGGAACTCTTCTTAGGCTCACCTGCTCAACATTGAGATTCTTGAAGCTCTCTGTGATTGAGTCTAGCACTCCTTGCTTTCCCATGGAGCCCGGCGAGAATCCGACTGACTTCGTGGAAATAGTATAGCGTTTCGGGGCCTCATACTGACCCAAGACAGCCTCACTCGAGCCGTAGATTCGTGCTGTATCGAGCTGTTTGACATTGTGCTTGTCAAGGATACCAAATATCTCCTGCACCTGGTCATCACTGAACTCTGCAACACCAGCAGTGCCGAACACGAGCGCGGGGGCTTTTTGTGCCATTCTGTTCTATGGGTAATGATTTCGAGTTGAGGTAGATGGATGGATGGAATGAAAAGTTGTAAACTGAACAGGAGGTAAGGTTAGTTACTTGAAATTCTAGAGAGAATCTAGAACCTTTCGAGTTGTATAGGTACCGGTACACCGACCTTATTCGTTACCCCGCACTAAGTACGATAAGATAGCCTCGATGACATCACTCACTGTTTACCGCAACGGCGGATGCAAGAAGAACACTCAGAACCGTTGCGGCAATCTATAGTGTCCTGTACGCCGGAAAGATGACGGCCGGCATGAAGCATTCAGGAAAGGTAATGGTACCACTTGTGCTGTATTGTTGCAAAATAATCCGTTGCTGACGAAGGCCGGTCGTACCGAGCAACAGCGCTACTTCGTTTACTCACTACCGATGTTTATTTTAGCTCGCTTAAAGCTTGACATTCTTGAAGGTATCGGATCGACTCTGATCACGGGTCCTTTCATTCTGCCCTGCTTCCTCTTCACCACTGCTCAGGTAGAATTCTGCCCGTCCAAAACCCGACAAATAAGCCTCCTATTCCGTTGCGTAAATCATAATTTTTCCTACCAGAGATGCGGCTACTCATCGCTAGGGTCGTAAAATTTAGGATCCTTTAAATCCCCGCCGCCGAGTATCATCCCCTCTTCCAAGCAGTTGAGGTGCTTCTCGTGCTGCGTATCACTTGTTGGCGTGTAGCAAGTACGGAGCCAGATTCCATAGAGCGGATGACCGTCTCGGTAAGCGAGCGGAGAGAGCAAGGTCCCCATGATAACAAGATGTCTTTCTTCCAAGAAACGGGTTTCTTGATGGTGAAGAAGGGAAGCGGCCTCGGATGAAGCGGTAAGTAAGACTGATGCACTGATATTGGTCCGGCTCTCAGGTGTTCTTGACTCAGTGGGACTGCTCGCGACTTCATAGCTAAGAAACTGTTTTTGACTGGGCCCTGACTTTGCTTCTGTCGTTCCCAGGATCTGACAAAATGGTTGATCTATTCCGATTATTTTCCTCTTCTATTCAACAGTAAAAGGAATTTCGAACGCAGGACCGTCAGAATATTACCCCTGAATCATATCCTATCAAGACTACTGATATAGCCAGTGTTAGTACACTTGAAGCCCAAGGGGCCTTGGAGCATACAGGAGGAGACAGCTTGTTCCCTGTGCTTCCAGGACTGAAGTCACTTGGAAGAAAGATAAGTTAGAGACATGTATTTACTTGTAAGGAATCAAACGCCATAAAGATACGAGGTTCGATCAGTTAAAAACGACGTGGGCTGTACAAAGTCGCGGGTAATTATTGCCCAGTCCCAGATAGTAAAATGCTTTCTCCGTGGAACTACTTCTATGCAATACTGGAGCCCGAAATTTTTAATATCTAGGCCCTAATGTTGAGTCACCAGATGCTATTGGACCACTTTATTTTTTTAAGATTCATCTAGACGACTTCTGTGAATGTTCTCCTCCATTCCTCCATTGTATCCTCTGCATTATACAAGCGTCTCTTATTTCTAGACTCCTTTATTAGCTTTACTACTCAACCTCAAAATCCTAAAGAATTGCTTCCAAAAGACTCCAAAGCCTTCCAGACTATCTTAAATCATCTTCTCGATTCTACGTTACATGCCGCCAGACTGAGTCGCTCTGCAAACCGGAACTTCCAAGCTGGATCGTCTACTGCTGTTTCCAGCCTGGTCTTTTACATAGAAGCCTGACCACCAAGATCGCGAAAATAACAAATAACCGACATCATGTGTGCCGACCTGAAGACCACTTATGACTGCGGCCACGCCACCTTCACTCTAGACCTCTGCGACGGATTCAAGCCCAAAGGAAACAAGATCCTCCAGTACAGAGATTTTCCGGACTACAAGGGATACAGCCAGACCTGTAAAGGCAACTGCGATAATGAGAACTGTGCCGTCCCGACGAAGAAGTGAGCCAGGTCTCAACTTGTACCATCTTTGGTTATGAGCGCTTGGGTGCTGAGTGATGACGGGCGGATTTAGTTGGTTCTCTTTCATAGAGAACCTTGGATTCGCCTGGTGCTGCAGCCAATTTTCTGGGATTGTCTCCAATCGACCTCGCATATTTGGGCTTCGCGTTGTGTTTCTATTCCGGGATGGAGATGTGGCCATGATTTGAATATGATTTCGGGACCGAGCTCATTGCAACATGGGTTTCTTTCTCTCTTTGCCGTGGATTGTGAGTTTTTTCTTTTTCTTTATCTTTTTTTTTAAAAATAGCCTTAAAGGGGCCGGAGTTTCTTGAAACTCTTGCACTTGATTCCCCTTTCTCGGAACTACCAGGTTATTCGCTAGATAATATAGACGGGAATATATGCTCTTAATAATTTAAACGCAGGCTTATTCAGCCTTGAAGGAGTTCGTGTAGCTATTTGAGTCATCGTTCTTCTTTCATGTATACACCAACCTCTTTGGTATCCATACCTGTTCTGTGGACGCAAAATAAACAGATATAAGACAGGAACAGACGGACGTAGAATCGGAATCGAGAGCCCAACATGCCACAATGTAAAATTAAACTTTCCCACCGAGACAATTGACTAATGCCTGGCTCCAAATAGCACTCGCTTATCGAGGACAGCTTTGCTACCTAGATCAATGTAACTCACAATTTCGTCAGGCTGTCTAATCCCACCGTAGCTGTTTTGTTTACTTTCCTCAACAAAACTCGTCTAAATAGAGGCTTACCCATCCTTGATGTTTCAACCGCCAAGTCTCAGCAATGCACTAGCAACGGAGCTCAGCTCTTCTGCCACGAGAGTGAACTGACCCCTCTTGCCCCAACATTGTTCCAGCATGTGAGAAAGTTTACACATGATCCTTCCATCTATCCGATCACAACGACGATCTTTCCAGAGAGCAAGTGTTGTCCCTATGGAAAATTCCACCGATATCAAATTATTTACATCGTCTTTGTATAATACTAAAAGACTATGTAAGCGACACCTTGTTCTAAGGGAAGCTCTTGTTGATGTTAAACTCAATTCAGTGCCGGACGATCTACAAACTCAAATTACCCCACCAATTACCGTAGACGCATACCCCTCGCCCTAGTGAGCTAGTACGGAATATATATTCACCACCAGACATTTAGGAGACTGCTACTCTCACAAGTATAAAGCTAGACCACCTCAAACTATTCGATATACGTCGATATACGAAAGACCTCCCTCAGCCTTTGTCCCATCACCATTATAACGAGCCAACCAGCCCTCAGCCGCCCAAGCAAACAAACCATCCCTCCAAACTACCAACGACTTTTCTTAAATTTCTTCCCACCTCTCCCGACAATGGCACCCCTAACCCCCCACTGGCCACAGCCCTCCCACTCCAGCATCCAAACCGTCATCCTGCCCTCCAACCCGGAAGATTTCACCACCAAGTCGCTCTCCAAGATCTCGCTCCCGCCCTTCGGGCTCTTCGCTAAGCTCGAGTTCCCGCCTTGCACGAAGGCGGATAGCCCGACGTACGCAACGGTGCAGATGGGTGAGAAGGAGCACTTGAATCTGAACAGCGATTTGGTGTATATCAACCATGGCTGTGAGCCGAGCTTGGTACGCACCTCTATTCTTCTTTCCTACCTCGTCAGATGTCAGCCTGTCACGATTCTGTGTTGGTGTGGGGTGCTTTCTATATACATACTCTGATACTGCTCTGACGGGGGATGAGATCTTCATATATCATATAATATATATACATATACATATTCAGGAGAACAGTAACTAACCGACCGATCGAGCTGCAAACAGACATTCGACCTCTCCCGTATGGGCATCTTTGCCGGACCCGGCGGCCTCTCCCCCGGCGACGAACTGACCTTCTTCTACCCGTCTACCGAATGGGATATGGCACAGGGCTTCGACTGCTTTTGCGGCGCCAAGACGTGCCGCGGCTTCATCTCCGGGGCGAAGAACATGAGCGAGGAGCAGTTGAGCGGGTTGTGGTAGGTTCTTATCTTTCCCTCGCTTACTCTCTACCCTGTTTCAATACTTGATATAAATGGAGAAGGAAAGCTGAAAATCGGAACCTCGAACTCGGATCTTGGGAAACGCGAGGTGAGGCTGATATGGTGTGTGATTTGCGGTAGGTTGAACCCACACATCCGCTCCCTGCGGGAAAAACACTCGTCTTCCACCTCAGGAAGCAGCAGCTCGCCATTGCCCCTCGTCGCCAGCGGAGACGGAAATGCAAGCAACGAGAAAGAGGGTGCGGCCAGACGAGGTGTCACCAATCGCGAGATGAGCGGCGAGATGGGCGGGGATACGAAATAGTCATGTTATTTAGGAGAGGGGTAAGGGTGGAAGGATTAAAGAGGTTAGAGGGGGCAGAGGGGGGAAACAATTCTTGATTTCTGGTTTGGTTTGAAAGTGGCGGATGCTTTTGAGGAGGAAGCGAGGGGGAAGGGGGGAGCTCAACATCCCTTTGCACCCTCCTTGTCTTTCTTTCCTTTGCGCAATAGGAATACGGGGGCAGTGGAGGAGTGGGCAGGGGATCTCAACATCTCAGAGTTAGGAGTCGAAAAGTAACTGAATATCAAAAGTAGTGGATACAATAAGAGATACGTAGATAGAAAAGGAGAAGCACGTTTGGACTTTGAACCCCCCCCCC